ACTTCATAGATAGAAATAGCTTACGATACATTGTTGTCTGCTGAACAATACAAATGTGATTTCAAGCTTATGTACAAACAGCTTGCCGTAGCTAATAAGAACAGAAGTTCACGGTCAAAACATAAAACTTACCATCTACTGCGTGCAGCTTGAATCTAATACTATCCCATCAAGAAAAAGAAACTGTATATAGGTTAGAATTGAGTATTCGTTTGAAGTAGAAATATATGTAGTATATAAAAAAGAAATAAGATAAGGGAGAGGATCGGATTTAAGGACTTCATTGTTGCTGTTGATCTTGCAACTGCTGCAACCGTTGCAATTGCTGCTGTAGAAGCTCTATTTGTTGTTGTTGTTGCTGTTGCTGTTGCTGTTGCTGCTGCTGACTCTGTTCTTGTTGGTGTTGTTGTTGCTGCTGCTGTGATACTGGCGTGTAGAGGAAAGTGATTCCGTCCAACACAGCCGTCACTCTACGCCTGTATTCAGCAGCGTCCTCTTTCCAGTGGCTGGGTGTTGCTAAAGGGACGTCATCAGGCCAGCCAACTAACGAAATGCTGTACTTTTTTCGATTGATGACACCATTTCCATCTTCAAACTTTTTCCACGGAAAATTCGTGATCTTTTTGAAGCCTTCAACTTTACCAAGCAGAGTCTCATCTAGTAAGGCATACATCGCAACTGAGTGGCTGAACCATTTGATATCAAGCCTTTTTAGTTACTTACTGTACGAATTGATGATTTTGTTGACAATTGTACTTTCGACCTGCTGCTTGGAAGCACTCGAAAATGAGCTGCAGAGTCGGGGTCGCTTGACTCCACGGGAAGAAGAGGAACGATTGTCGGCTGCAATAGTTGTCGGAGAGGATGATGATGGAGATGGAGGGATTTCGGTGGCATTGTTGGTTTCAGGATCAATTGGGACGGTCTCAGTAGCGGCTAAATAGGAAAGTCAGAGCTACTTCTACATCTTTACTTAATACATTCATATACATACCCTTCCTGTTGAAGTCATAGCATTCACTTTTGAATATTTCCTTCAATCTGAAGGAAACGTCTTCGACCTGGTCTGCTTCTACCTTCTCTAAGAAGGCGATTCCTGCGTCTAAATCGAGTTTTTAATTTGTTGATCTTCACGACGAAAGGAAAATGAAACTCACCTGATCCAACTGCATCAACGGGAACCACCTTGCTCGTGAGCTTGTCCGGCGAGAAAAGACACAAGGTTTCAACACCACATTCTCGTTTCAGCTGGACAAGGTTGCGGCCCATGCAGTCGATGAGCAACTTCAGCTTCAACTTTGCCGACTGAACGGTCTTTTGTTCAGTGGCGCCAATGCTTTCGTTGTGCTCGGTTGTTGCTCGGATCAGGTCCGCCTTCAGTTCCGGATCGTTCATCAAAGCTTTGTATTCGTCAGACTTTTGCTGAACGATATATCCAGCGTGACGATTATCGTCCTTCAGCATTCCCCTATCTAAGCGTACAGAAAAATACTGATTAATACGAGTGTTGTATCGTGCCTGCATTCTTGTATTTGCTATTATTAAGATGATATAACCTTCTGCATCGTAATGAAGGGACAGGAAATGCTGCCAGGTGTTTCGTTTGCCGGCGTGCTTGCGAAGCAATGGCAATCTCACCGGCAGGAGCTCCTCGACGCGCTTTCCATACTTGGCGGCAATTTGGGCTTGACCTGCCTTCATGCGGTCAAGCAACTCTTTTTCAAGAGCTGCCAGATCAGCCTCCATTTCCTCGTCGGCTTCGGCCACAGCGGACGCAACTGCTTCGTCAGCTGCAGCATCTACTACGTTGCTGGAGGCAGACTCGAGTTCCATCTGCTCAATAGCAGTCGCCACGTCAGCGGTTGCATCAGTTGTCATTGGAGCTTGGTCGAATGAAGCTTTTGCAGCTTCAATTCTTTCCTTCATTACTGCCGCTTCGTAATTGCATTCGGAAACGAAATCAATGAAATCATCATTATTAAATATTTCCGTCTCTTCTTCTGTTGTTCTATTCTCTTTGACAAAAAGTCGGTAGAGTTTAAAAGCGGTTTCAATATGGTCTTTTGTCAACAAGGGATTCATTTTAAAATTGCAGAAAAAGGGAGGTAAGAAGTAGTAAGGAAGAAGTTGGTGTCTCAACATCTGGCTTCTCTCTGTTCTATTATCAAGCGTTTCACAAACTTTCGCATCATTCACTACAGAGTCACATTTCACAAGGTTCTCGACAATTACACTTTTTTGAGCAATTACGGCAGAGTTCTATTTGAGTTTGCGGCGTAATTTATTTTTGCGGCTTTTGCGGCCGTTATGAATATACTGGGGCCGCAAAAATTTGCCCAGTATAACCATTACTGCGGCGGCGGTAATACTAGCTGAAAGTAACAGGTCCTGTCTGAGCTCCTGTAAAAACCCCCTTCTCTTTTGAAACAAACTTTTTAACATGAACACCAACAACAGCATTCCCACTTCTACGACTACGGTCACTTCTGCCCCCGAAACCACCCTCCCCTCAAGCCGAAATGCTACCGCTGCCTCCTCTGTCGCAACTGCCGACCAAAAGAAGACGAAAGGTGCTTGGTGGCGCAATGACGAGGATCAGCTCTTGGTCCAAGCCTACCTTCTAATCAACAAAGATGAAAAGGTTGGCATCAACCAAGATTCGAAAACGTTTTGGCAACGCGTTTTTGAAGAGTTTGAAAAAGGTGGTAACGACAAGAACCGCACTCCCGAAAGTTGTCAAGGTCGTTGGGAGATTATCAGCGCGCAAATCGCGAGATATGCAGCGGCTGTGGCCTTTATCGAGAGAGGGCCACCAAAAAGTGGCGAGGCCGATGATGACAAGGTAGTCTTTTGCACATTAAAATGCATATAACAGATTCGAGAAGTTCCTTTCTTTCTGATAAAGTTCATATAATAGAAGCAGCGCATCGTCGAAAGGTATAACAGCAAAGCCGAAGCACGGTATAAGCCTTTCAAGATGGCTCATTGCTGGCCTCTGCTGAAGAATGAGCAGAAATTTAAGTTCGTCAGCGACAAGGCCAACGAGGTCAGCGTGGATGGTGAGAAGGATGTGCGGCCCCTTGGTAACAAGAAAGCCAAGGCTCTGAAGAGACGACACGCCGAAGACGACGATCTCGCGAGCCTGGCTGATGAACAGGTGAAGCTCGCCCGTCTCGAGGTCGTCGAGGAAGAGAAGAGACGCAGACTCTTAGAAGAGATGCTCAAAGAAGCGCAAAAGGCGAACGAAGAGGCGCGACTGGCTAGAGAAGAAGCCATCATGAGCAAGGACTTGGACTCTCTTAGTCCTGCTCAGAGATGGTACTTCGAGAAGAAGCAACAGGAAATCGTAGATCGATTGAAAGAAGAGACGGAGAAGGATGTGGTCCAGGAAGGAGAGTCCGGAGACTGTTCGGAGGAAGAGTGTGAATAAAGCGCGAGAAACGATGACCGTTCTTCCGAACATATAAAAAAAAACAGCTGTACTGCATCGAAAGGTAAGTATTTATTGTACGTGAGATCCATATTGGTGCCACATGTGCTCGATTAGATCATTGCGTAGTGAGTCATGGACAGTGCGGTCCATGATGGCATTGTTCACTCGTTGCATTATGTGAGCTTCGGCTGCACCATCGCGAGAAAACGACGGCTCAACCTGGAAAGAAGCCTTCTCGTAATCGAAGGTTTCTTTCTTGTTGTAGTCGTACGTATCTCTCTCATCTTCAACAATGATGTTATGCAAAATTATGCACGTCTTCATTATGTTTGACAGTTCGGAAATTGACCAAGAAAGTGCCGGGTGCCTGACAATTGCGAAACGCGCTTGCAGCACGCCAAACACACGCTCAATATCCTTACGGACAGCTTCATGTCTCTCCTTGTAGTACTAAAAAGTTTGGTAAATAATATTGGACAAATGTTATCTGTTTCTAATTTTTTATCGTCAATAAATAGAACAGTACCTTTTGTTTGTTGTCCAAAGGATACTTAATACTTTTCACAAACGTTCCCCACCGGGGGTAGATGCCGTCAACCAAGTAAAATCCTTGATTGTACTCTTTGCCATTTACTTGAAACTTGACAGTTGGCGCACGTTGGCTGATGACATCGTCGAACAAAGGAGACCTATGCAGAACATTGATGTCGTTGTTCGATCCAGGTACGCCGAAATGACAGTGCCAGATCCAAAGGTCTTGCGAAGCAACGGCTTCAAGAATAACTGACGGGCCGCCTTCTTTGCCACTGGTATACTGGCCATGCCAACCTGTTGGGCAGTTCTTCCAGCGCCAATGCATGCAATCCAAAGATCCCAGCATGCCAGGGAATCCGCGCTGCTCGCCAAAAGCAAGAAGACGCTTCAGGTCTTCGTCAGTTGGACGCCGGAGGTATTCTTCGCCGAACGATTCGATGATACCTCGACAAAACTCCCTCAGAGTATGTCTGGCTGTGGATTCAGCCATTCTGAAGTAGTTGTCGACGGCATCTGCAGATCCGCCGTACGCCAACATGTTGATGGCCACACATACCTTCTGAATTGCCGAAAATCCAAGTCTATTAGCTGCGTCGCGTCTTTGCTGGAAGTAGGTGTACTTTGTCTCAAGCACGTTCACGATACGTAGAAAGAGTTCACGTCTCATACGGAAGCGGCGTCGAAAAGTGGCTGCATCGTTCATACAGTCTTCATTGAAGTAGTCTCTCATGAGCAACCACTCAAAAAGCGGACGCAAGCGATCCTTGTATCGTCGTCCAGGAACAGAGCCACTGCTACCCTTGCGTTTGCCGACCGAGTATTTGCGAGCTTGGATCTTGTCGATCAACTCCAAAAGGCGTCTCGAGCCGCGTTTCTGTTGCTTGCGTTTTTGGTGATTCTCTTCCTCAAATATAAATGCGCTTTGCACGATTCGATGAACAATAGATTGCGGATTCATTTTGAAAGAGAAGGTAGCGAAACCGAAATATATTTCACGCTGCCCCGGTCTATTTCTTTAACAATTTATGACGTCGCTATTTCGCGTTATTCGCGTTACACTCGCAATTAACGCTTATATTTTACAGGAACCGTTGTGAAATATAGACCTGTAAAATGATAAATTATTTACAGGACCCGATTTTACAGGAAATTTTTACAGGCACCGCTGCGAATGCTCTTACAACGCAGTTACTTTCGGCCCCGCCTGCTGCTGTAACTTTCCTCGTAATATTACTATGCGGATTTCTTGCAGATCGCGGAAATAAACGAGCTGTTATGGTCAGCTCTGGAGCAGGCATTATGGTTCTTGGTTACACTATGTTAATGCTTCTTCGTGATCGTTGGGGTATGTTTATGAATATATATTTCTGTCAACCGCTTGTTACGCGTATTAATTTTATGTGATTAGCGTGCTATGCTGCTCTTTTCATCATTGCTGCAGGTATCGGTGTTGAAGCACCCGTTGGTGTTAGCTGGTCAGCTATCAATTACCCGGATTTGACAGTTCGTGCTGTAGCCGTTGCATTAGTTAACATGATGGGAAACTTCGGAAACGTGATTGCCTCTTTTATCTACACTGTTCCAGGAGACACAAATCACAGTAAGCATGCCTTCACGTCTTGATACTTTTCACTAATCTGACCTGTCTGTATAACTTGTACATCAACATTTCTTTGGTAGCTTTCGGTCACACCTTTAATTTGATCTCTGCTCTTGGTACTGCCTTTTTTGCAGTATTCATTGGCTTGTTGCTGCGCCGGCAAAATCGTCGACTTGAACAAGCATCGTCATTTTCATATGTAGAAAAGAGCGACATGGTATGTATTGTAATATACAACAATAGCATTGTCAATTTCCTGAAAAATGTTTTAACGACACCATGTATATAGCAACAGCGACAGCGGCAATTTCGGGTTTACTACTAGTAGAGGACCTTCTAGGCTAGTTAATAAGAATTTATTGCGAAAGTATACAGAGAAGAGATGAGAGAAGGCGGGTTTGAGGAGACGTAAAGGGAGGTGTTGGACGAATGCATCGCACCAGTAGCGATTATATCATTTACAAATGATGGTTTATCTAAAAGTCGTCATCAGAGAAGAATTCATCAGAGTCATAATTGAGTTGTTCAAAGTTGACACGGTATCTAAGTATAAGTATTAAATGTAAGTTAGTACGATTGACTATAACCGCATTTTCTTTGTAACTCTCCACAAGATATAGAGTCAACTCCCTCTTCAGACATTAGACATTTATGAATGATTACTCTACCTGAGAATACCGCCAATACCACCAAAGCCTTTGACAAACTGAGCACCTTCCTGCGAACGGTTGGTAACAAATTCGAGGTTGGTACCGAAATCCTTGTAGCTTTCAGCGAACCATTCGAGAAGGGGCTTGACATCGACAACTTCCATTTCCGAATTTGGTGCTGCCTCTTCGCAGGTGTCCTTAATGAACAATCGATCCTTCTCCTCCTGCTTGGTAGGATGATAGATGATCTCCTGACCAGCTGCATTGCGAAGCACATATCTGTTCATTTCCAAGTTTTCCCAGACAATTAAGTTCTCCACAGCACCCAATTCCAAAGCCTTGAGCGTATCATCGACACCAAAGCAGTATTTGCCGCTATCTTGGGAAATTTCGTCAAAGTAGGACTGAATGAGTTTCTTTTCTTGCACAAACTTGACGTTGGAAAGCGACTCGGCGGATAATTCGATAGCCTGGTTAAAACCGTTCTCACCACCGTACGAAACGTCAACAACCTTGACAATCTTTGCCTGCAAACGAGGATCAAACATATCGGATTGTGACAATTCGTTCTTGAAATCAGCAGAACCGGCCAGCACAAGGCCAGCAACGTTAACCTTGTCAGCAGTGATGAAGAATGAGACGGCCAATTCTGCGATCTTGCGAACGTAGTTGTGACGCTTTTCCTCACGCAAACGCGAGAAACGGAGAGCGGACTGACCACCACGACCGTGCTTCTTGGGCAAATCGACTTGCAGTTTGTGAATCACGTCACGAGTGTTACCGGACAAGGTACCAAACAGCGAACCGTTACCATCCATAATGATGAAACCAAACTTGGCGTCGTCTTCAAGCAATTCGGACAGAGCTTCGGTGTGGAACTTGTTGTCGCAAAGATACAAACTGGTGTTGATGGGCTTGTGTGGCTCAAAGTCAATGTTGACCTTCTTTTCCTTGCCTTCGTCAGTTACAATGGTACCGCAGTATACGACCAAACCATTTGGTGGCACTACAATCAATGAAATCATCGAGAGAGGGAATTAAAGCGATGAGCTGTTCTGTTGGTTGTGTGGCGACTGGTACTCGTTTCACGGATAATAAAGGATGCAATCGTGTGTTCCTCTTCCTCTGGCTAACCTTTGTTGTACAACTTCAATCTTTGCTGGGTGGATGTAATGGCGGATAAGACAGAGAGACGGTTAACGCGAGATTTAATGTTGGATGCTGTGCCGTATTCGTCTGCTAACATTTTGCCAACACGGGAAATCTGATCCTTTGGGGCTATCATAAACATATATGCATACGTGAGCCTACATACACAAACGCATATACAAACCAGTTGCGCAAGATATTGTTCCCTTTCTTGCCCCAGCTTCCCACTGTTTTGACTCAATTACGTACGAATAATAAGGGAAATCATTGAAGTGCCGTTGCTAATTGAGGTAAGAAAAAGTTAGTTTAGGCAAAAGCATAACGATACATATTTAGAGAAACTAAAGAAGGACAGGCGAGAAAGATACACACCCTCGTGCTGCTTCCAAGCTCTTGATGAGCTTCTTCATCTTCCACATTTCGACATTGTGGTCAGTTTGGCCTTCTGCACTTGCGGACATGATGAGCGGATATGTGTGCAGATGTTTGGTTTAATTGATGGGCAAAGAACAAAAAAGTCGTTAGTGGACTTTCCAGGACTCCTGCTTTACAAAATTTCTGTGTGTAAAAAGCCACCTAAGGTACATCACCGCTAAGTCTAAAACCATATTTGGTAAAGCGAAACTGTGATACGAACTCCGCTGCTTTCCCCATCAGCAGAGGGAAGCAGGGGGGAGCTTTCCCGTCATAGTTAGAAGAGCCTAGTTCCTGAACGTATGGTTACTTTGCTATTGCATTATGTCTTTAATTTGTAGATACTATGCTTCATCTAAGAAATTATATATATGCACTTACAACCATCGGTCATGTGCTGCTCCCAACTTAATGCTCAAGCATTATGTAATGGTGAAGAATATAGGAGGGTGGCTCATCATACCATTAATGGCAGTAACAAGAGAAAAACAAAACGCTCGTTTTTGATGAAATCTTGAGCTCATCCATAGGTGAGAAAATGTATTTATACACAGTGACGGGTATCAGTTCAATCGTTGAGCACCACCGTCATTCTATCCGAAATACTGCATTTCTATTCCGATAGTTCGGATAGGGCTTGACCGGTTTGACAGATCAGCTGTTAGTCCAACACTAAATAGAGTGTTTTTAAATCGTCCTTCCCACATTAATGCCAATCCCTAATCATAGATCAGTCAGTTTAGAGAAAGCTATCATTACAACCGAAAGTGACACATTATTGTTGTGTACCTCAGCAAAACCTATGCGCGCCTTGATTAGTCCTTGCAATTTTTCAGTGTCACTGTTTACTTGAGTTAATCCATCATCTTGCTTGTTCTTGGTGCGGTATTCAAATCCAAAGCTAAGGTCGCTTTCGTATGAGTAAATGCTGAAATCATATCGTGAGCACATTGCTAGCTCTTCGGAGATCTGCGCTACATAGGCCGTTGACATGTGTCCTACGACGGGATTGAGTGTATACGTAAAACAGATAGGTGGTGATCCAAAGGAGGGTAATGTCCGATACCGCAAACCAGTAGATACTATAGCATAAACAAGCCAAAGCTCTCTTTTTTAGACGTGTTACCGCTGTTTCTATCCGAAATGAGTTAAGACTTACAGCCTGCGCTTTTATCTAGCATTCCGTAATATATTTCTGTACCAAGCGCCCATTGACCAGTGGGAATTGCACTTTCAGGTTGATCGAAGTTGTATAGAGCACGTAGTCCAAGTAACCCATCGTCCGTTGTATAGGAACACTCCGAGCACCATTTGCCAACGTCATATTGTAGTTGCATAGCGACCTTTAATTTCATGATCATACAATACATATCAATTCACTCTGGTCCCGATGAACAGCGCAGATGTCAAATATGTATTTACCTCTGGTAACCCGGGCATTCGAGGATTATTGACGGCTGTTATTAAACATTGCATTTTATCGGATATCCTTCGGACGTACATGGATTCTAATCGTGCACCTGGAAAAAACATGCGTCCATACAGTAGATAATGATTTACTGATTCTTCTAGAAAAGGGAAAAATATAAAATACTCGAGTAAATATGCAAGTCTATTCCATTCATCTTCTATTTAATATGGTTTAGTACACACAAACGTACGTTTTCGTGAAGTCAAATCGTCCGGTTTTACGATCCGAAACCGATCGACCATGTCCTGAAAATCAACTGTGGCACTGGTGGCAATGTCCAGTGACCGGGAGGTGTATAGATAACCAATGCTGCCATTGAGTGAAGGTAGTGCATTCATTGTATAAGACGGTTTAAATTGTGGTGTCGGTAATTTGGACAGGTACAGGGACAGTCCTTGTGGAGTATAGAAGTCGAGTAATGCTCGGGACCATGAGCAAAGATTAGAGTACTGATTTTCTTCGTTCCAGCCGCTTTGACGATAGTAACAACGGAGGCAATGTTCCATAAAATCGTACATTGTGTTATATAAGTTATGTAGAAGTCTTAATGAGTTACCACAAAGGTTCTTTCTACAGACAAACTCCGTTTCAAAGCTTGAACCTAGTAGGTTTATGCCACTTGTCAGTACTTCGACTAAGTCGTGAACACCCATTTGTCTTGCTGGTTCATCAACAAACGCTGCGGCGTTTGGCGCCGAATCGCGTCTGCGCTGAACCTTAGACGTTGGCAAACAAGGTGATGAACATAGTGTATCGAAGTCATTGGTCATACTCTTGTGCTCGCGGTGCAATCAACGAAGACGTCACAAAATCGATGTCAATTTGTTCATGTTATAACAAAGCTAACTACCCAAGCAGCAAAAAAAGGCCAACCTTTTATACGTCGTGAAATATTTACAAGCTCATTAAGTAACTTAATATGTATGTGTATGTATCTACAAACTCACGGTAAAAAGCGCAGGAATTTGCCGCCACAAATGCACAACAATACTAAAATAACTGAAACCTTCGAAGTATTTTGCAGATTCGACCAGGCCATAATGAAAATAATGATCTGATATGTATAGCATGTGTAGCACTTTTTTATTTAAGCAATATTTAAGCAAGAAAGAAGAAAGAACAAGAAAGAAGATATGTATGTATAAAAAGCAATAGGCGAGAAGGGAGAAGGGAGAAAAGAGATATATATTACACGAAAAAGAATGGAAAAAATAATAAGGGAAAGCGGATCAAACATGTTAATCATGAGAGAGGGAATCTAGAATAATATATGTAACAGAGAAGACTATTGTACGAGGAAGAATCAAAGGATGTACGATTGTTACTCTCCTTCCTCTTCCTCCAAGGTCTTCAAATATGCAAGCAGGGTACGCTTGTGAATAATGCCAAGATATTGGCCGTTTGTCTTCGTCAAACACACATAACGAGCGCCAAGTTTGACAAACATTTCCATGAGCAACTCCATGGATGCATTGAGATTAATAGTCAATGGTGCCTTTTTGAAAAAAGAAGAAAGAAAATAAGAGAAGATATTTAGCAACCCTATGAATGAATTACAATGAAATACAGATTTTTTATGTTTACCTGATCAACATAAATTGAAAAGTCGTTGAGCGGCGGTCGTGTGCGTTGCTCAGTATCGGTAGTATCAACCGAAGCGTTTGAAGGCAATAGACATAGCACTGGATTGTCTTCTGCTTCGACCATCAGACTGTTGTCTTGATCACTGCGGCGGAAATAAACTGGCACCTCTCTGCGTTCCTGTTCAGTCATGGGATATGGGTTGTTGTCGAAATACCGACAAAGCTCATTGAGTGCATGTGACAGTTCAGAAGCTGCAATGTATCCTTCGAGATATTTGCGGTTGCTACTAAGGATCGGGAAACCACCGTCCTCGCTGTATCCCATGGCAGCGATATCGTCTAATTTTTCGTAGAGCTTGCCAACGGTATTGAGCTTATCGATATCGATGGTTTCGTGGTTTCGCTCGGTCAGATCTTGAATCGTGTGGGTGTGAACGTAAGCTTTACGTGCATCGAGGTAAGGGTACATCTGGAGATCGATGAGTAGGTCATATATGCCTTCAACGAACATGGCATCAGCAACCCATTTAGCCACCATCACAGCAATCATAATCGGCACAGCGTATGTCAACGAGTATGTCAGCTCAAACATAATGACGACCAAGGATACTATAGAGTATACAAAGTAGTGGTAGTGGTAGCACAGGGTCAGACATTTTTTCTATTTTTTTTTTCTCGCAAATGTTACACATGGCTCGTCATTGTACTCACCTGTTGTACGAGTGACACCAGTAAGACTTGCCGCTGCTCCGACCATAGCATATACTCCGGGAATGACACATTCACCCCGCGAGGCAAGGTCATCAGCGCATGCAGTGAATGGCCAAGCCGTAGGATAGGTCAAGGTAAGATATTGCATGATCAATCCAATAATACGGCCAGTGACGGCACCGACAATGAGGCCCGGAAGGAAAATGCCGCCAGGTACCCTGCATCCAAATGTGACCATTGTCAAGCACATTTTGATAACCAAAGTGGTCAGCAACAGGTATAGAAGTCGCGGAATCTCGGATACGTCGTCACTATATTATTAAAGGGAGGCTGAGTGAGAGGAGAGCTTTAACAAGTACCGATAAATCGAAACTAGAGACGAAACATACGCGCAAAGGCCTCCGTTATCATCTTCCTCAGAGCATTCGGAGAACAGATTGGCAACAAACTCGTTCAAGCCCATCCTGTGGTATGTACAATGGAAGAAGTTTTAGCGCAAATTTCCTCTCTTGTATACATCTCGCGGTGAAAAAAAGAATACTTGTTAAGGTTATTACCGTGCGAATGGGTTCCAGAAGCTAACGACAGCCGTGATGAGCATGATGCAAAGGACTTCAGCAACTGGATATTTCTTGATAAACGTTGTCTTCCGTAGATGCTGATACTTGATGTTGAAGTAGCTGACAAATGCACCGAAGCAACCCTAATATATAAAAAAGATTAAGTAAATGCCGTCCATAACAAATTGCACAAAGAAACTTACAGCAAAGGCGCCAGTGAGCAAAAATGGCAAGAGTTCAAATATGTGGTACTCCTTGTCATATCGAACCTGAAACAGCACGATTTTGCCTGTGCCAAAAGGATCCATGATCTTGAGCACCATGGCGGCAACCATTGCACAGCAGTAACTGCGGATCATGGTTTTGATGGGAAAGTAGTAGCTAACTTCTTCCAAGCTAAAAAGAACACCACCAATTGGAGCGCCGAATGCGACAGCAACACCAGCTGCAGCTGACGCCGAAAGCACTTCGCGCCGTTTGCCTATATTTGATCGTCAGCACCGGTTTTTAAGTCTTCCTCCACAAACAACAAATAAACAAGATTTCTGCCAGCCAACCAACTAACTTACTCTCGTTTTTGTTGTATTTATCAAACAATCGACAGAAAATGTTGGCGACTGAGCAAGCGAAATGCACAAACGGTCCTTCTTTGCCACAGTTCAGTCCTGATGATGTTGAGAAAATCTAAGAATAACAAGAATTAAGCTTCTTTCGTCTTCTTACGTTGAAGCTGATGTTCTCGTGATGTATAAATGGTGCTGTACGTTACCATGCCAATACTTTTAACGAACAGGGTTTTAATGCCAAGGAAACCTTTGATTACGAAACCGGCAAGGATGACTTTGACTTCTGGAATGCCAGAACCTGCGCTGTAATATGCGATCTTGGTCTGCTGTTTGGTAGGACCGTTGTCTTCCAGCTTTGATGAGGAGATGGCTGGCGTTGTGGGTTTTGACATGGACTGCGAAGGTGGTGCCCGGGCAACAACTTTTTCAGCCGACCATACGACCATCAGAGCCGCAGTTAATGACAAGAGTAGCTAGTACATAATCAATCATCAACAAAGAGGAGAAAAAAGGGGTGGGAGCGTTAGTCAACGCTATCCCTTGTTTGTTTGACACCATAAGAGCGAAGGGGGTGGATTGGCGACAAGAACTACTTACACCAAGAGCAGTGTACATGAGCATAGCAACATGGTAGGAGCCACTTTCAGTCTTAGTGTGGAAGACTTCGGGCCATGTCCGCCATTCTGAGCAAGCTTCATATTTTACAGTATAATATTTATGTGTATGAAGATGCATGAGATCATGTTCAAACCTGGAGATTTGGGAATCCGTGTGTGTGCCGCGTGATCATCATTATTACGCACCTTCTTTTCCCCAGCAACAGAATTTGCTATTGTACCTCCAGTTGGTCGTACAATATCCCTGTTTGAGATCGGACATCCATTCCTGGACAACGTCAATGAACCAAGCAATAAACGCCACTACTGCTCCCGTCAATATGACGAGGATCCACGCTTGCGAGGCGTCCTTGGCCTTGTCCCAACGCCCGCGCCAGCCAGGTGCTTCCCGCAGCTTACGCACACGGACGCCTTCTTTGATGATTTCGTGGATCCAATCTAATAGGAACAACAGAGCATTCGAAAGAAAAAGGTTTTGTGTTGTATGGGTTGGTAAGCATTAAATCGCCGACTCAAAAAAGGCTAATGATGATGATATGTGCCTGGAGCGAACGTTTTTACCGATTGTAGAATAAGATTCGTACCACACTCGAAGACCAGTGTTTTCTTTAAGCAGTCCTTGACGGTCCTCGTCATATGAGCCTAAGCGCTTGTTGAACAGCTTGAAGCGGTTCTGGTGGCGCTCATCTCGCAGACTGGGTGTGCTAGGGAACCCAGGGCTGATGAGTGTAGGTGGGGCAGAAATGTTGCTGATGGCACGGATGTCACCGGAAGATGATAGCGTAGGAAATTCTTGGACGCTGTTGTAGTTTGACTGTCGTCTACGCTCTAGCAACGAAGACCGCTCGGTCGTCATTGGGGGCAAGGTGTATGTATCGGCGGTGGTGACGAGGAAGAAGAAGAAGAGAAAGAGTGAGAACGAAAGAAAGAAAGACAGAAGAAAAGTGCTTGTGAAGACGGAGAAAAAAGGGAAGACCGACTGTTGAAATAATGAAAGAAGCAATCATTTTTTATCTCTCCGGAAGAGATAGCTTTTATATACACGCTCACGCTCACGCACACCAACCTACTCACGCACATCTACTGACATGCTGATGCTAGCAATGGTCACGGGAGTAATTTTGCTCTTTTCCGCAACCCCCAAATGCATTTCGATGATGAAATAGCAAGAACTCTAATCGGATCTTTTGAAACACAGCGGTAGCATATATCCCATAACCTGTTTGTTTCTCTCGCAGAAAAGTACGACGCTTGTCGATCCATATACACCCTAATGATGGTCGGATAACATGCAACCACTTGCTGATGCGGATGTAAAGATGTCGACTTCCATCCATCCATCCATCAGAATTAGATATCAGGTATGTCTCCATCGAATCTAGTGTGCTCATCCTTCCGTTTCCCCTGATAATGACACAAGGCCCACCGTGCTTGCTGTATATATTCCCCACATATAATATAAAGTCCTGTGAGCTCCATATAAAGCTAACATGTTGCTGAACTCGCATTTTGGGGGGATTGAATATGAAGAGCCCGCCTTTCATGTACCTGACCAAATACACAGTCTCGCCGGTGAGCAGCAGAAGCGAGCTCTTGCAGGGCCAGGGACCATGGCGCAGACCCCAATATACAGTCTTTAAAAGGTCCCCCACCTACTCTGTCTATGTAGGGGCTACTAATGCTACTAGCAGCAATAGTGCACCATTATCTTTGTTTATGTTTTTATTCGGGCGAGAAAAGCAACAAATACAATGCCAAAAGTAGTAGCACAACTACGTCGACTCCATCGGTTGATTCCCTTTCCCTCCTGATAACTCATCATTTTCGTAACTGTGCTGTGCATGCATGTTAGATGTTGTTTGTTATCTTTCTTTTGTCACTTCAACATAATCGTGATGTATCAGCACTCATAAATTAGTGGAGTTATGCAATCTGGCTATAAGTATAGGCGGAACCGACTCCTTACATCTTGGCAAAAAAAAACGTCTTTACATATCCCTTTTTTTCCCCAGCAATCTCATGGCAACAAGTGCATGAAAGGAAGCATCTCCAGGGTCCCCGCAGTTTACCTTTTGTTCTTCTTGTAATAGTCCAAAGCTCGTTGCTTGTAACTTGCAATCGTGACAAGGCTGCATGCAATCCAACCTTGTCTGTTGACTTTTTGTGATACAAAAGCCCATTTTGAATAGGACTGACAGCCAGCCATCCAAACTCGTGCACATATGATATCCGGCCACGCTTTCTTTCGCTTCAGATACTACTACAAGCTACAAAATGTATTATGTGGGGATATGTAATCGTATTGACAGTGGTCGTAACATCTTCTCCTATTTTCTTAAAAGAAACAAGTGATCCAACGTGGTCAAACCTTGCTGCTGCTTCATCGGCAGGTGGCAACTGACTCCTCTTTTCCTCGTCCACGTGACGAACAAGCTACACACACTTTTGTATGTATTGTTTCGTAAAAATCGTTCAGAGATAGACGCACAGACCTGTTCGTTGTTATCACATATATTCTTGGTAAATGTCGATGATGTTGTTCCGCAGGATATGAAACAGGACGACTTCTGAAACCTGGTTCGTAGATTAAACAACAATGACTTGTGGCGGAGCACATAATATTGTAAGCATAAAGAAAAAACTGTGGTAGATGACGATGGCAGCCTTCCTTCCACCTCATACATAAGAGATAATATGAAACACAGGAATCAGTGGTGAAAACGAATTTTCGCAGCATCTTTGGTTGTTTTCTGAATGTTACGTTCTTTTTGAGATGCTTTAATGAGTATTCTCGATTACAAGTATATAATATCACCAAGTACACAATAATAGAAGGAATACATACACGCTACTACAGACCTATCCCCCTTTGACCACACAGAAGGGAAATAGGGTTTCAGGCTAGAATTCTGGGTTAGGGGATGTCTAGCACACACACTACTTGCGGAATGCAGCAAATGATCCAAGTCCTCCATAATCTGTACTGCACTAATTTCTCTAATATTCTTTTGCTATCATGATGACGGCTAATATGAAACGAGAAAGGGGCTAACATTATCGCGCCCTCGTCGTCATGAAAAACTAATATTTTCTGCATACCTTATTCGTCAATCCGATATGTGCACCCCTGTGCTCATACTTTCGAAAACAGTTAAATGAATATCATAGATCATTTCGCCCAACTGCTCATGCAAAACTTGTGGCACGTTTTTTTGGCTCCGTATGTATCGATCGCTACCCTCCCCATACATCCACCCCACACACTACGCGCGTGGAACTTTTGCACCGACTCAGGTTATGGGAGGTACTCAAGTGCGCTTTTACTTCATACAAAGCAAGATTTGTGAAAAACGTGTAATCGAACGAGAAACCGCGTATAGCTGTATGATGCTTTCTTCTGTATCACTGTGGAGGCAGAGCAGGATCAGCAAATAATGATTATGACAACCAGGCCCCAATGCTTCGTGATCATCGGACATGCTTTCATTCCAATGATGACAATATAGCACTGATACATCTTAAGCCATGTCACTGATCATTATTCTCTTTTAACCCACCCACTACCCGACTACACACAGGCATCGTCGGACCTTGTATTGCATATGTTTATTTGCTGCTGTAATTCTTTCCAGTGCAACAACAATGATGCGCAATTGCTGTACTCGGTCCCAAGAGGAAGAGCTATTTTCATCAAGCACCTGTAGCCAACAGCATAAAATGAGACCCCATTAGTGTATATATTCATTGTCTACGTAGATATGCCCCCATATAGTATAGTGTTCTCCGAAGCCTTCCTGAAAGCTCGTGCTCGGCTATAGAAGTACCTTTCCAAAGCCGTCCATGAGTGCGACAGAGTATAAGCTAAATTCGATTCTTCAGAAAGTCACCCGTACCCGTCAAAAAAGAGTCGAGACCTTAGCAACTGGCATTTTTATCTGCTTTTGCTTGCACAATGTTCCTCATCGACCTCTTACGGATTAAACACTAAATAGATAAATGGTAGGATCACCTTTATAAACAGAACATCTTTCTCTTCTATTATTATACGTTACGAAACACTGCATAATCACGCAATTATACGCGGCATATCATTTTCTGTATGCACATCTGAGTTGTACGTACAGTATTGTGTATTACCACACCACTCTCAGAAGAGCTAACATATATTTAGTAGGACTGAAATTTGTGAGATACAACAAGAAAATAAAGGGCCGGGTGTATTATGCTAATAATGGCACGGGCCTTTGCCGCTTTCGCAGCTTCGAAATTACCTCCGCTTCGCTTCGTGCCACAAGTCACGGATCTGCGGCTCGGCAGCTCGTCGAAAAGTAGATCGCACACTAAGTACTGTAGCATATACGATATCAATACTGCAGCTTCTTTATTCAATCATGGTAGTGGTTGACTAAAATTTAGTATAAGTATCGGTGCTACATTTGTCTAATACGCAGATTAAATATGTATATACGAGCACAGCATCATGATCCTTGGCATTACTGCATTGTAAACTAGTAAGATTTCCATAATAAACTAACATCATTGCTGCTCGTTGCTGTGTAGATGAATGAGTATCACATGTGGAAGTATATGATACACATATACACAGACAAACCGATATTCGAGACACTTGCAGAAGAAACATGGTTACGATAAGGTTCACCCTGTCTTAGCTGGAGTGCGGGTATATACTACATTTCTTTCATTAATAAAGGTAGAATTCACCATTGGGGATGAGTCTAAAATTTTAGAAAGAGTTTCATCCCTGTTTGGAGGGAAAATAAGCTTAATTTTAAGCTTCCGTGTGCATAAATAATTAAGCACACGTTTCTTTCCTTCCAAAAGAAGGCCACTTGTGTGGCATATTATGTAGTAGTAGTAAAGTCTCCTCCACGCGACAAGATCCGATCACCATTATTATTTTGTATGATGTGTGATATTTTACTGCTATGCTGCTGATCCAATGACTGGTACAAATACGTACTGATGCTCGTTTCTATCATTAACGTATCAGAGTGAAGGTGCTACCCTATATTGGTGATATGCGCCAACATTATTTCCTCAGGAAAACATAAAGAACGAATTACTGGTAACAAAGTCTATATTAGCTCTTGAGGTTAAGCTGCGATAAAAACGTGCCGATCTTTTCCCAATGATTCAGTTGATACTTGCTGTTCTTGTGAATTATAATACTTACGTGGGTACATATGCCAGGACAGATAACAAGCAAACAATAACAGTACACTTAACGCCGCCTTCCATCATCTTCAGTCATTTATTTATAATTTGAGTTACAGGTGCTGTTTTCATTGCTTAGAAGCCCAACAAAATTACGGCGCAGGTAGTAAAAGGAACGTCGGGCTAAAAGGCAGTAGCAATAACATATAAATAAATAAGGTTTGCATTGCCTTCTTTTTTTATTTGCGCCATGATCGACAGAGTTAATCAAAAGCAAGGCGAAATAGAATCACACCCAAATACGTTGTCTTATGCTTTTAAGCAGTGCACTGCTGTTCATTGTAATAAGAAAGAGAAAGACGGGGTATATACTTTACTTCATTACTCTATACTTTTATTGAGGAAAAGACGATCTTCGAACAGAAAGTCGAATATAGAAATAAAATCTATATAACATTTGTAGGCTTGTTCACCAATTAATTGCCTTTTATGTGATAAATTAGGAAGAAAGCTGGGATAACCTTTACAAAAAAGTGTAAGAATTATAAATAGGGCGTATAATAGTGAGTACTAATAGCATCCATGAGCTCCTCAAATAAATCATTACCTCTTGATTCTGAATCTCGTGTCGTATGACATATTTCGTTTTCGAGATTTTTGCAACAATAGCTAGGTATCTTCTGTGAGGGATATACCCAGCGTATACTGCTTTATCATAGCTCGAATGTTGTTGTGTGCTCTTTCAGGTTATTAATTAGATCTCTTGGTTGTAAATTTGTTTGAACTGAGTGAATTATAGGGAACGAGAAATTCCATCCTCAATATCTTCACAAAACGTCCCTGTACATAACATCTTCGTTCTATTGGTGGATGTATATCTGTATGTTTAATGGTTAATCTTATACATCCCATATTAAAAAAAAACTTTTAGCAGTTGATATCAGCTATACCTCTTGAGATTGAAAACTGAGGTAGTCGTCCATAATTTGGTGGTAAGCACCTATTTTGTGCATCAAACTGCTACAGTCACTATGTGATAGAAGTCATTATCAAAAGAATCACAATAGACGATTGTTGATGCTGAGATCCACATTTGAATTACTTTCAGCCTGCATCATGTTTGCAAGCATTCTTGTAAAACCGGTACTCTCTGTGAAGAACAAAGTATAATTTTTTTTTTCATGGACCACATTACATAGTTAGTATAAGATTAATGGTAAGCTTACCGTGAGCCACGAGAAAGATTGGTAAGCTCCACTAGGTTAATAACTGTCGCATACATCCTGGTCGATCTTAGCGTTTCGGATTACAGGCTTATTGAAGCATTTGCGCCATTATCATGGGGCCCACTCTCGGATCCCAGGGCCGACGCTTACACAATGTCTTAACGATAGTTATAGCGGCCGGTGCTTGTATAGGTGTTGCTACTTCACAAACGGTCCATGCTCTTATTGCTTTTCGAATGATGCAAGCTCTAGGCGGGAGTGCCTTTTTTTAATATTGGTAACAGTGATTACATGTTTGTCTCTATAATTGTCATCAAGCCATTGACATCACCGATCAATGTTTTAATTTCAGGTAATGGCGTAATTATTGACATATCGGTACCTTCAACGTAAGAAGATCATAGTTCGCAGGCTAACAGGATATAGTTCCTATTATGGTATGGTTGGTACATTGTTGGTAGCCTCTGGTCTTATACTTGGTGGAGGAGTGATTGCCCAGCACCTTTCATGGCGGTACCAGTCCATATACATATGTAGTTTTCCCGAAATTATGACATAAAAATTGGTTTTTATACTTACTAGCGCAGAGTTATATTGTTTATCGCAGATAAATATTTTGGATTATGCTCGGTGTCATTGGCGTTGTCTTTATCATCTTCGTTGTATTTCTGCTTGAGACGCTACCCACATATTCCAATACTGTAGATGTTCCGAAAATGCAGCGGCAACCAGGCAATCAATACAACCACACGAGGGATCCCACCAGTACCTCGAGAACGAAACAAATGAATACTCCACTGATGCTGCTTCTCGGGGAAGCAGCACTAAAAAATTTTGAACACCTTTTTTCCTATTAGCTTGAAGTATAAACGGTGCAAGTCGTTTTAGGAAGCTACCCCCGTTCAGGAAACCGTTTCGTTACTTTATTTATGCCCGACATTTGCTTAGCTATGGTCATCTCTTGCATGTAGTTCGGAATCCATTCAAGCAATACATATTGTCAATGCTTCAGATATTTTCCAAGAATAATATCATATTGATGTGCAACAAGTCAGCTTGTGTATGCTCTCACAAAGTAATTTGAGTATTTTGGTCCGCTATTCTTGCTATAATTCACCTCAAACCCTTTTACATATCCCGGATACATATTGCATTTTAGACGTTTGCTGTCATCGAAACCATTTTTAGAAATTTTTACAGGCTGCGATGGATTCTGATGAACAGGAAAGCAGTAAAATGTTTGAGCAGCGTAGCACGCGTGAATTGAAACAACCCTGAAGTCTGTACGGCATAAATCTCTTGCGTTGTAGTGAAGTATTTTTCAGAAAGATTATGGTCGTCTTCTTCTTCACATATAAGTCCTAGGTATAATATCAAATTTATAGTAGCAGGCAGTGCTGATATACTACATATAAGCATCTTATGACTGAGCCTGGCTACTTACTGCGTGTAAGCATTTTTGTATCCGTCAATCACGTATACAAAATTTGAGCAGTAGCAAAGATGCAGGGTGCTGCATAAATTTGAGCAATTCATCTCTACAATTTTCCAACCATCAATCTCATTTTAGATTGGTATAGCAACAAAGTTAACAATAGTTTGAGTATTAGGAGGGATCAACTTATTGCCTGGTGAAGAACTGGGGCTGTCGGCGGTGAGTTACAGTAGCATATACACGTCAGAGAACAAGAGATTTGCAAAGTACATATGAGCACAGATTTGATGACATCGTATGTAACTCGTGAAAGTTTGATTCAGTTGGATCAGTTCACAAATCTAAAATGGTAGATATGCTCCGTACTTTTACATCGCATATATAAGTAAGGCGTATTTAACCAACATTATTGTTTCCATCAACTTACCAGCATTCGAGCATTGAGTATGGCACCGCTTGAGGTTATTGGGGCTGGTGATGGTCGTACCGGGACTGATAGCTTAAGAGTAACCCTCGATATGCTGGAGTTAGTATCTTTTAGCAAAATCCTTTAGGCTCTTAATTCGAGTACTTTCATAACGTATTCAATTGCGCATGTACAAAAATATATAAAACACAGCACCCGGATTTGACTGACATCACCGGAAGCTTTTAAAGAGGCATACAAGCACCCTGAGAACCCCGTGGATTAAAAATTCCTCTATGAAGGTCACACTGCTGGCGTTGCTTGGTATACTTACATTTATCTTTTTTTCTTTTGCTTTCAATAATCTCACGACAAGCACCATTATCAGAGCTAATACTGAATAAATATTTAACAACGATGAAATAAACCTTTTACCTCTATTTAATTAGCCCTACAGCCCACCTTGTTCGCCAGCTGATCGAAATTCTATCCTGACGCCAAAGTTATATTGACCAAGCGAGATGCTGACAGCTGGCCCAAGTCAGTTGTCAACACTATTCAAAAGCTTGTGGCAGACATACCCAGGATCCAACAGAGCTGATTATGCGAGAAAGACAGATGCTTAAAACTATATGGCTCGATGGTGCGTTCCAAGATATGGAAAAGCTCTTAACGAATTAGAAACAATGATGGCTTGCTACGAGGCCTACAATGTTTGGGGTATAGAAAATGTTCCAGCAGGTCGATTGCTGGTGCTCAATCTTAGTGATGACATTACCTGGGAAAATATGTCCTTTCTCAATTAACCTCGTGTCAACACCGCTGAGGCTATTACTGAGGAGTTTCCTAATTGTTTAAAGACAAACTTGGAAAGGTAGCATCTTCCACACGTAGTAGGCACCTACTGTAATCAATAAATTCATCATATTTGTTTGTATGAAATGCACTTGATGTGATAACGCTGTTTAACAATGTTGACAATCTAGATGCTAATATGTTGTTGGTAATTCTTTGGTTGAACAGAAGAAATGGTCTACTACTATACTGTACGTACAAAACAGGCTGGGTTGATGATGACAGTTTTGTATATTCTTCTAATATATGGCTGTAGAAACTTATGTGAAGTACTGCTGATTCCAGAAATGTCAAAAACAACGTCCCCGCGTTTTGTACACATCTACTGTAAACATTTAAGAAGTTTTTCCGACCTATCCGATATCATAAAAAAATCATGCAATCGTAATCCGGGACTTGAAAGTCTTTATACTTTCGCGATTCACACTGTAAATTACGACGTTGGTCTTTGACGACGAGCCCTTTAATTATGATCAGAAGTGAAGGGGATTTTTTTAGCTTTGTTGGATGCTGCACAAAGTAGAAAGGACCAAATCAATGCATTTCTGTCAGCATTAATCTTCGCGTTTTTAGACTGTTTGTCACCGTAGTGAACCATAATGGATATGAAGGGTGCCTCAGCCCTCGGATGAAAGACTGCCGACCGGGCGCATAATTTTGACTCTAATTGCCCAGCCAAACACATACACACATGTTGTCGGTTTGACGCGTAATGCTTTTCCCCATACTCTTCTTTAGCTGAACTTGCGCTTACTCTTTCTTTTCTTCCTTCAAAAACTAAAAGTTAAGCTAATGAATTCTACTTTAGCAACTGCATTTACTCGCGCAATTAACATCAAGTACCCCGTGGTTCAAGCACCTTGTGCTGGCCATACCAGTGCCGATCTCGTGGCAGCTGTCAGTAATGCCGGAGCGCTTGGTTCCCTTGGTGCTGCCATGATGCCGGTTGACGCAATGCGGTCGACAATTCGTGCCATCAAGGAGAAGACGACACAACCATTCTCGGTCAATCTATTCTGTCGTGCTGCACACACGCCCACTGCCGACGAACTTCACCAAGAATACCCAAACGCTGACGCTGTGCTCGACCAAATCCGCAACGACCTAAAGATTCCCACGCCAACCAAATATTTGCTACGTTCACCGCCACTGGATGAGCAAATATCCGTGATTCTAGAGGAGAAAGTGCCTGTGGTATCTTTTACGTTTGGTGTTTTGCCCGATAATGAGCTTCAGCGACTGTGGAGCGCAGGTGTGTACTTAATTGGTACCGCCACGTCTGTTAAGGAAGCAATGGTGTTGGCCGGATTGGACGAAGCTGACCCGACACGCAAGGCCGATGCTATTGTTGCGCAAGGATTAGAAGCTGGCGGTCATCGAGGCACATTTTTGTTTGATGAGCAGCAGCTGTCAACGCGCGAGTTGACCAAAGGTGTCTATGAAGCGTTCCAAAGACAGCAATCATCGACCAAAATTAGTGTACCCATTCTGGCAGCTGGAGGACTCAGCAGTGGTGCGGATGTAGCAGAGCTCTTGTACAAGTTCCACGCAGATGGTGCTGTCCTTGGTAGCTTGTTTATGCTCTCCAAGGAATCATCGACACCACCTGTCCATCGCCAGATCATGATCGAGTCGGATGCACAGACACGCTTGACACGTGGCCTTTCGGGACGCTATGCACGGGGTTACCCGAATGCGTTTATGGACAAGATGGACAAATTGAGCGATGCGGATATTCCTTCATATGATATACATTCTGCACGAACCAAGGATATTGTCGGATATGCAGCACCCAAGGGCATGTCGGATTACATGATGCTGTGGTCGGGTACAAATGCACGCTCTGCTGGCCAGTACACCGACCAAGGCACTTTGCCTGCAGCTACTCTTGTAGCCAAGCTTGCTGAAGATATATTCAAAGAGCAACAACAATAAAGGAAAGCGATGGAATATGTCTTATGGAAGAGCGAAAGAAAGGACATATCTACATTGGCTGTTTTTATTTATCTACATGTATTGAGAGATGCTCGTTTTTTCCTTTTACTTAGCCCACCCAAACGATCGTTGAACGGCTTCCTTCCAGCCAGCGTACATTTCCTGCCGCTTTTCATCCGTTATTCCTGAGGTAAACAATGTGCTATTTTCTGTATTGACTTTATCCATGTCATGCACATCTTTCCACATACCGACTGCAAGACCCGCTGCAATCGCCGAACCTAAAGCGGTCGTCTCGCGCATGGCTGGTCGATCCACATCAATGCCCAGTATATCCGATTGGATCTGCATTGCCAGGTCTGAATTTGACATGCCACCATCCACCTTGAGTGACTTGAGAGGCTTGCCAGATTCTTGGTTCATGGCATCTAGAATTGCCTTAGATTGGTAGCACGCAGCTTCGAGCGTGGCTCGGGCAATATGGTTGCGGTTGGTATATTGGGTGATACCACAAATCGTGCCGCGCGCATCGTCACGCCAGTACGGTGCAAACAAGCCCGTGAATGCCGTGACAAAATAAACGCCTGACGTATCCTCAACTTGGCTTGCCAGGTCATTGATCTCTTTAGCTTCTGAAATGATGTTCATGTTGTCACGTAACCACTGAATCGACGAGCCAGCGACAGCCACTGAGCCTTCGAGAGCATACACGGGTTTGTCGGATCCAAGTTGGTACGCGACGGTAGTCAATAGTCCATTTTTCGACAGTACAGGCTCTGAACCGATATTGAAAAGCATAAAGCAGCCGGTGCCATAGGTGTTTTTCGCTTCACCAACACTGAAGCACTTTTGGCCCACTAGGGCAGCTTGTTGGTCGCCCAAACAGCCGGCTATTGGAATACCTTCCAGCGCACCACTGGCAATGTTCCCATAAACTGAAGACGATGAGACGATTTTCGCAAGTTGAAGGCCCTGGAACCCAAAAAAGCTACACGCACAAGCAGGTGTCGCGAAAGTGTGTGAACATCAGCAAAACTTGAATTTTCCTTCTGGGATGTGTTGTGTCTCTCTTCTATTATCCAGCTTACTTTATAGCATCTTGGCTCCACTGCAAGGTGTGGATGTCCATCAGCATGGTTCTGCTTGCGTTCGTAACATCCGTCACCAATATGCCGCCTTTGGAACCGCCCGTCAGATGCTATGTGAAGTAATCTGTTTAGTTTGGACGATATTGCATACACTATGCCATACTCTCTCCTTCCACCCTCCCATTTCAAAAGCGCCGTTGGTACTCACGTATATCAGCCAAGTATCGACGGTGCTAAAACGCAGCCGCCCCTGGTCTAAAGCTTGTTTGACTGCAGGCACATGATCGAGCATCCACCTGAGCTTGACAGCCGAAAAGTAGGTGGTCAGGGGCAACCCGCAAATATGCTGCAATGCGTTTACGCCCTCTTTGGACGTTTCAGCAAGCTGGTGCACCGTGGCGGCGGTACGTCCATCGCTCCAAACAATGGCAGGGTACAGCGGCTCGCCCGTCTCGGCGTCCCAGGCGATTGTGGTCTCGCGCTGGTTCGTGATACCAACACCGGCTATATCGCTCGCATGGTATTTTCCGGTTGCCTCGAGTTTGCGTACAGCTTGCTCGACACAGCTTTGCACTGTTGCTAGCAAGTCGTGAGGATCGTGCTCTACCCAGCTATCAGATATCCATCAGTGAGCTTTCCTTTCCTTGGTGTTAGGGTCTCTCTATGTCTTTACCCAGGATGAGGATAGTGCTGCTCAAATTCCATTTGATGATAGGTGACGATGGAACCGAGATCGTCGAAGATAACAAAGCGCGTTGAGGTGGTGCCTTGATCAATAGCGCCCACGAGTTTTGTCATGATTGGTTGTTTATCGAGCTCCAAGAAAAGAGGTCTAGTCAGTAGAAAATGGAAAAAGAAGGGGAAGAAGATGGTGGAAAAAAAGGAACCCAAAATATATTCTAGGCAGGATCACTGATCACATGGACCAATCCTGCAGTAGGTGACACACTGCATTGCGCCAAACGCACCACTCCTGCTCTTGCCCACGCTTGCTTTGTGTGTCTGCCGCCCAAAAGCCGCGGGGAGATTCAACTCAAAATTCCCCTCATTTTGTCATTTTCACGGAGAAAAAATACCATGTCTGTACCGATGGTCCTTTATTATTTCTCCTATTGTTCGCTCCTCTCTCTCCTCTCCTTCCACCGAAACTGACGACCCAGAACTCGTCTTCCCCGCAAAAAAGCCAAGATTTGGAGTGGAATATTTTGTATATTTTGGGATAATGCGAATGAAAAATAGAGAAGTGGAGAGAATGAGATGGTATCTAGTGTACACAAAAAAAAGAAGTCATATATGATATTTATAATATGCTGTCAACAGGAGGCGTGGGGTTATGTTTTCGTCTAATACTCATGAACGGGTGTGCAAATCTCGGGTCGACAGTGGCTCGTAAAGTTGGCTTGTTCTGATTCGACTTGAAGCGTCGAGTGATGAACACCGTACCGATCGCAAACGATGCGTTGTCCACGCGCAAGGATCTCGTCGTAACTAAGCTCTGCATCGCGCGAAACGGTGATGTGAGCCGTCAATGAGCTTTTGCCCGGCGACAAGGTCCACACATGCAGATCATGCACGGCTACAACGCCGGGGATGTTCTCAAGGGATCGCTGGATGGCTTCAGGCTCAATATGGCCGGGTGTACCTTCCATCAGAACACCCAGCGAATCGCGAACAAGATGGTATGTGGTGTACAGGACGAGCAATGAAAAGACAAAGGTGCAGATTGGATCCACAATGGTCAAGTCTGGCTTGAAAAGCAAAACAATGGATGATATCAAAACGCCAATCGAGGCCAGTAAATCACCCACGACATGGAGTGCTGCAGCACGAAGATTGATGTTGGTCTCCTAAAATAAAACAAAAAAGATGTCTCATTAATATCTCGAGCGTCTAATCAACTGAGAAGAGCAAATGTAGAATACCTTGTGTGGAGTACTGTCGTTGTCGTGGTCATGGTCATGGTCATGGTCATGGCTGTGCGTTTCTTCCTCATCATCATGGCTATGGCTATGGCTGTGGCTGTGGCTGTCGTCACCGTGACTATGGCCATGATGATGGCCACCTAAAACATACGCCAAGCTACAAAATCCCATACAGAACGTATCTCAGGTCAGCAAATTCCAGTCCTACGAGTAAGCTGAAACGAGAAACAAAAAGCTTACATGATATTGACAACTACGCCAATGGAGGCTGTCAAACACATCTAACCGCCAATTTTTATAAAAAAAGACTCCGTTAACACCGAGATCCAGAAAAGCATAGTTTATGCAGCAACAAAAAACAAACTTACCAAACGTGCATTGATCTCTTGAGGAGATTTGATCCGCTCGATTGCCTCACGCACCAAAAATGCAGTCAGCACCCAGATAGTGAATACGGAAACCATGGCCGCGATCACCTCGGCACGGTGAAAACCAAAAGTATGGCCTGCATAAACCCAGCCCCGCGCGCGCGTGCGTGAATACCACAATAAATATTTTTTCATTGTCCTCCAGAAGCGCTATATGTAATTTTCCTCATTAGTCACTTACGTTTTGTAGGTGGCTTCTCTGCCAGGTAAATTGCAGCCAATGCAACAATGAAACTGGCTACATCCGACAGCAGATGGAAGGCATCGGACATTAACGCTGTAACGAGATAAAACCGACCCGAGATGTGTTTTTTTTTTGTCCAAAGAGTGTCTTAGTAATCTTATCCTCCACTCAGCCCTTCTTCTTTCTCAAATTAGAAAAAGAATAGTAATAAAATACCTAGCGAATTAGCAAAGTAACCGGCAATCAATTCGGTAGCAAAAAATAAAAGTGCCAATCCGGTAGCAAATAAAAGTTTCCTCTTGGTCGATCGAGCTACACTGCCGTCTCGATTCGAGACGTTGGCACACTTTTGGTTGACCATGGTGTATGAAACTACAGATCCCGTACGTCCTCGAGTGAACGAGACTGGATCTGTGGATAATACCAAAGGAGTAGTTTCATTGGCTTCGTCGGATCGCGTTGAATTATTACTCGGTGGCATTGTACTACTTTGCACGTTATCCTTTCGAGTTATTTGGAAAGGGAAAATAAAAAGACGAGAAAGATTAAAAACCTCGGCGAAATACGCTTGTCTTTTTTGTATAATTTATTGACGACGGGGTGCCAAAATGGTACGCCCGACCTGTAAACGATTCAGAAAGATGATAAGCGGATATAGATTCAACCGCATGCCGAGATTTGATTCGTGGAAAGGACTCGTCACATTCTGACAGAGCTTAAGATTTGTCCTTTTGTTTAGTGACAACAACAAAAACATAACCAGATATCATGTCGTTACTGAATCGCTTATGTTCCTTGGTCCCGAGCCGCATGACTTCTGCCATGCCAGCTCGTTTATCTGCTATCTCGACTACAACTTTACGACCTAGCTTGCTCAACAGCTTGCCCTCAACAACGTGAGCTTTCAAAGATTGCTTTCTTTCCAATTGGAAGAATAATTTTGACTTGCTAAAAAAATGTTTGAATTGTATAACACACACTAGTACCGGTGCTACACCAATGGGCGCTGTCAACCCCTTTGCCTCAACACAAATGCGTTTTGTCACGTACGGAAACACGTTCCAGCCTTCGAATCTGGTCCGTAAGAGACGCCATGGCTTCCTTTCTCGCATGGCAACAAAGAACGGACGTCGTGTTGTTGCCAGGCGACGTGCCAAGGGTAGAAAGAACCTGTCCCATTAAGAACGCAACAACAACAAAGAAATAATATAAACGCATATATACACCCCACATGCCTCTCCAGTCCTCCCGCCCCCTTTGAACACTGTAAATTGTCTTTTGTCATCCTATTTTTTTTTCTATCTTTATTCTATTCTATATATATACAAAAGGAATTACCATCTCTAGAAGAGGTTTGATTTTTGAAAAATACTATTAAAAGATATAGAATGGAACCATCATTACTACACAGTACTTTTTCTATCCATCAAGCAATGTCAGCCCTGGCAAGCGCATTGGTAACTACTTGTCGAATGGTATTCGATGGATCCCGCATTTCATCTGAGAGATAGCGACGGAATGAGCGTCCTTTCTGTCCGGCATACAGCATGGTCAATGGTTTGGTGAGGATGGTTAGAGGAGGTAGCCGTACACCGACCAATTGATAGACAGGTTTTGATGGTAAAGACTCGGCATAATCTAAATCCACATTAAAGTGTAAGTGATTGTTACGATGGTGCTTGAATCATGCTTTGTTCTTACCGATGTATTCTGAGATGATGGAAGCTGTAGATTTGATTTCATGTTCAGGGATTTGATATATATCTAAAGGAAGGAGGTTTTAGATGATGCAGTCCTTAATATTCACAACGCCATTATTCACTTACCACGATCCATATTCTGCAAGAACAGCGGATTATCCATGACTTTTTCAGACAACGCACCGTAAGAGAGAAATCAGCATCTTTTTAATATATACGCAATCGATAAACACTGCTATTCTAAGCAGCCCCTCCTTCTCGCTTCACAACAAAATTTTACCTTTTCTCCCAATCATGCATCCATCCACACGATCAAGAGCCATTGAAATTTTGTCAGTATTATCAAATCCACCATTGATAGTCATAGGTAACTCTGGAAACTTTTCTGAAAGCTCATACACACGATCGTACATCAAGGGAGGTATGGATCGGTTTTGTTTCGGTGACAATCCACGCAATAAGCATTTGCGAGCATGTACAATCAAATGTGGTAAAGGCCGAGAAGTGCTATTGACTGTGTGTACCTACATGTATGTTTTAAATTTTTAATCCTCCTGAACACCCTGTGATATCATGGAAACATTAACGAAGAGACACTTACAAAGTCATGTAGAAACTCAAACGAATCCAACTGATCCACACCAAGTCGGCACTTTACTGTAATGGGTATTGAGGCAGCAGCATTTTGCATGGCGCTCAAGACGTTAGCCACAACGTCGGGCGACTTCATCAAGATAGCTCCAAACTGGCCATGCTGTACAGCTTTACTTGGACATCCAACATTGATATTCACTTCCGCATAACCTTGGTCTTGTAAAATTTTTGCTGCTTGCGCCATGGTTTCAGGGTTGGACCCGCCGAGTTGCACAATGACGTTGGGTCGAGGTGGGCCGATGAATGCCTCCAAATGCGACTGATGATTAATGATGGCTTGATCGAAATGCATCTCGGTATAGTAGGCATAGCGTTCTCCTCCGGATATAATATGCAGTAATTCTAGAAAATGCTATCATTATTTTAAGTTAAAATGTGCCTTTTCCCCTTGCCAAGACGAAAGTAGATCTTTTTTTTGACAGCTCAGGCAACCGAGCATATATTCTGATATATATTTACAGGAGTTGAAATGTCCACCATGGGTGCTACGCTAATGGGGTATTTCAATCGTTGTTTCTGTCGTTGTTGCGGCATTGTCATTAAATATCGTCTGGTGAAAATTCGACCGGTGGTTAGAGAAAGGCCGTTGCGCAAAAACATTGCAAGATCGTCAACCATGTCGGGCTGTTCTGTTTTTATTTCCTATTTGCCACAATTCGAGGACGCACAGACCAAGTCACACACACGTACTTTCATTGTTGCCGTGATGCCGTCCACGTTTAACATTTTTATTTAGGAGTATTTGGTTTCAATGATTGCTGTAGTTCAATGCGTTGTTCTTGTGTTAACGGTGCATGTGAAAATGTGCACCGGTCTCCATTGGCGCAGTATCCGCGCAAATGATGGAACATACATGGCTTGATTTGTTGCACTTCCGAAGCACCAGGGGCCGCCTTGAGTTCCTCTAGCTGGTGCTTTGAAATCATTTCGTGCGAGAATAGGCATTCTTCACCGCTCGTACAGAAACCTTTTAGATGGTAATATTTACATGGTCCAGTAAGCGCATGCAGACGTCTCCGGAGCTCTGAGTTAAGTGGTTGATGAGAAAACGGACAGTTGGCTCCAGTGTCGCATTTTCCGGTTACGTGATAGAAGCGGCAAGGCTCCATGCTCAGATCCTACATCGCAATAAGCATGGTTTTCAAGTAGTTAGTCATATAATCATCCTTATACTTCCGTCGGTCATTGTTGGTGGCGTGTGTACATCTTACATCTCCCTGCTGGACTTACGTGAATAAAATTACATTCGTCGCCTTTGTTACATGATCCCACCTTGAAGTGACGACAAACCATCCTAAATGACTCGCCGTCATGTTGAAACCGGCACATTTTACCCTCTTTACATTTCCCGGCCTTGAAGAATCTACACGGAACACGCTTGTCAAGAGGTGCTGTTCCTTCTTTGCGTTTTTCCCGTCCTGGATGTCTTTTTAATCTTTGACAAGGTTGTGTCGTTGATGCCGTCGTCGTTGTACCGTTCGCAGTCTTAAATGATGATGCTGGTCGAGACTTTTGTTGGTATATCTCCTGAAGCAATTTTTGTCGCTTGGGATCTCGACCGAGAACTACGTTTATAAAAAAATCGTTCCAAGTTCCATTACCACCGCTTCCTCATATTGTATAAAATAACTCAAACATTCAAGTTGATAAAGCACGATTCATACCTTCATTTGCAATCATTGAGATATCAGCGGGTGTTTCACTCGCCATATTACCTGCACGAAGCTGGCTGGGTTTTACAAGATTGGACGATTGATCGAATTTTCGTTTATTGTTGATGTGATTTTGACGTCGATGCTGTTGTTCTTGTTGCTGTCTGTGCTGATGCTTGCTTTTCTTTTCTTCAGCGCCTTCGTGCGCTTTCAAAAGTGAGTCAAAGTCCATATCGTCATCGGGGCTTTTGGCTGGTGGCCTCTCTCCACTTTTTCGTTTGTGCTTTCTTTTCTTCCCCGCCTTTGGCTTTGATGAAGACTATGTTGCCATATTAATTAAATGTCAGTATTTTTGACAAATACATACATACACTGCTCGTTCCTTTCTCTCTTTCTTACCGCATTCGAGCCTTCTATTGTTGAGAGTCGCTGTGGTGGAGGTGTTGCCGATGACCTTGCTTGTGGATTCGATGCCAAGTTGTTTAAAAGGTTTTCTAGAAAGTCGTGATTCTTATTTAGTGAACCATTTTTGCCGTTAGGTTGTGTTGACATTGGCGGTGATCGTGTTGGCGTCGAATGTGCTGTGCTGGTTGTTGCAGAGGTCAGTGTTGGCGATCTTTCGTAATCCAGCTTAGTCGTGTGATTCATGAAAACACTGTGCTGACTACTCATCGTGCCAGTAGTAGTGTGATCATTATTAGGATATTCTTGAGATTGATTTGATTGTTGAGTAGCTGGTTCAGATCTTGTTGCAGAAGCACGAGAAACGGCAGTAGCAGTGGTATTAGACGTGTTAGTAGTGGAATTGTTTGACATCCAGGACGCACCAATTACAGACGATGATATTGATCGCGGTGGATCGGATGGTGTGGAAGCAGATCCATTCACTGTGCCGAAAAGACTAAGAAGGAAACTATTGTTCTCTGGTGACGGCATGGCCAAAACGTCAGAACAATGGCGTAAAGGAAAAAATATTGTTGGTTAATAAAGGTTCGAAAATTATTTGCTATTTCAAATATCGCAGTACTTCGTTTGAAGCCAGCATCACACTAAATAGACTCTTTATGCATCTGTGTATGCGCATATGCATCTAAGCTTATCTTCTGTGAATCAATGCAAACAAAGTTAGAGCACTTGATGGCATATAATTATTTTTTATGTAGAAAGGATGTGTGTATACAATTTATATATAGTAAGGGTCGTATAAAGAAGAGAAACAGTTGTTGAGAGGGAAGAAGGGAATAAGGAAACTATTCTTTTATGAGAAGGTGGCAGTAACTTCCTCTCCCTTATTATGGGCAAAGCCAATCTGCTCATTCGTGTAATCATAGACCATATAATAAGGGTTCGTAAAAGCAGTGCCAAGGAGCCAGTTGTTGGTATCCACTGTGACATGCTTGACGAAGCTGCGACACGTTTCGCTTCCTTCAGAAATGGGGAAAATCCAATCAATAGGCTTGAGAGATGCTGTGTTTTGGGAGCCAAAGGTAAACTGCAAATCGGGCACATCTTGCATGCTAGCGCATGGCAGCTCGTAAAACCCACTGTCCGTGTTAAACGTTGCGCCAATTTGCTCGTGCAAAGCCTTGGAACTTTGTTTAGGTGCATGGATATATCGAGAACTCGAATAGAATTGGGCATAGCTTCCCTCGGAAATGTCAATGTGTGTGTTTCCAAAAGTTACTGAATCAAAGCTCAGTTTCCAGAATCTTTCTTCGCCGCATTCTTCTGCTGATGGCAGTGGGACATACACGGGATCACCCTCAATCAAGTTGGGATCGATACCACCGATGATACAATAGGCAGCGTACTCGTCATTGTCGCGTTTCTTTTTGGTATCAGGATGGTAGCGACCTTGGTTACCAGTACGAACACCCATTTGTCCGGCATTACCACCGACTTGACTAACAATACTGCGTTTGGCAACTAGTGGAAGAAGTATAGAACTTATTTAGTACATACCATTTCGGGCACACGTTGCTGAAACTATTACTATTAATCAATGTAATGAACTCACGTCCTCGTCTGAATAACTCTAAACACGGAGTCATTGCGAATTTGAAAAAAGGTGAATAAATTGTCTGCATGTAAACAACGATAGTTAACAATAGTAAATACGTACGATCCAAAGCACGCTTTCGCAAATAATTCGTGACATTGAGGCCACCAGGACCGCCAAAACCGAGAGTGCCAACTACATCAAGATAGTTTTGTACAGTGCATCAGTATCACACGGACATGGAGATGAAGTAACTCGATAGAAAAGATACATACGATATCCATCGACATCATCGTAGCCTTCAATCTTATACCCAGCACCGAGGGAAAGGTCAGTGAAAGCGTCCATGTTATCGTTATATAAACCGATACTTTCCTATAAAAATAGTAGGAATGTATTTTCCGATCAACAGTTTAGGATACCATTTCTTATAAGAGATGAAAGCTAAATATTGAGAGGTTGGGACATAACGCACAGAGTAGAGATCAACGGTGGCACATTTTCCATCTTCATATTTGAGCTCAAGTGGTTTGTGATTGAGTGCTAGGGCAGTCTCCGATTCGCTTGGATCATACAGCTTTTGACCTTCACAATTTTGACTAGTGCACTATTATTGAATAAAAGAAGGTGCATTTCACTCCAATTAATAACGTCGTAGACTCTCCAAGGGAGACGATTAGTAAGAGCGTAGTGTAGACTATGCTATCATTACATACCTTGGTAGATGGAACCCAAGCTAAACCATTGCCGGTGTCCAAGGTGACCTCAAAGAGTTCAGGTGGCTCACCTATTATTCAAGGAAAAGATATGACGGTCAATAGGTGTAAATTATATCACCAAGAATGGGTCACCATAGTCAAGATCTCTTAAATATGCTAATAGCAATCACATACCAACTTCAATAAAGTTAGTGAGCTATGATAACGCAATTGATCGGATAATATATATTTAGTCCATAGCAAATATACGTTGCCATCATCGTTTTTGTATCTAACCGTACCAGACCATCGCGGTAGCCCATAGGGACCACGATCACCATTTTATCGTCATTGCCACGACGGAGAATTGGGTCTACCGTGAATGCTTGCACTTGTGGTGCTAATGACAGCGCAGAGAGCGCAACAAGAGTTAGACTTATAATGGAGAGCTGCATGTGAAGGAAAAACGCTCTAGAATAGTGTAGAGTAGAAGAGGCAGCATGGAAGGATGGAAAAAAGGGCACCCTTTTATATATTTTTCCTTTTTTCCTTTCAAACTTTTACAAGCTCTTTTGCTTGTTGATAGGTACGAGTCGCCCATTGTTTTACATTTGAAAAGTACCGGGAACAAGCTCCTACTGGTAGAAACAAGTGGTAGTGCATACATCAATCACTAAACTTCTAAGAGGTAATAGTGTAACAAAACAGCCCCAGCCCGATTTTCGGCTTAGCTACAGAAGATGTAGTATGTAGTAGCAACAAACTAGTCATTGGCGCAGCTTATTTCCTATTACAGAGGTATGTTTAACAGAGATGCGGATCCTAAAGAAAAGCTTAAACAGAAGAAAACCGTGGAAAAGATTACTTGAAGAGCATGGTGTAAAAGAAGTAATATGAAGTTGGACTGTATTTTATATTAAAGCGCATTGAAGTGGATGTAAGACAATAAGCGTAGTAGTAGCCATACCATTTACATAATCGCTAAAGGGTGCTGTATATTTCATTTTTTGCAACTACATCCACAAAGTGTAATTAAAATAAATAAGCTCCATGATAATCGTTTGACGGACCCAGATTCTCGGGACTGCGGCCTTCTTTGTATCGTCCTCGTGTCTTTTGAAGCAGAGCCACATCAGCGGCGCAATCCATATTCGTCATGGGCTTAAAAACCGCTGAATTTATAGTTTACGGATGCTCTTTGAAGGAAGCATATGACCCCATGTGTATATCCTTCTTCCATACAACTATATCCGAAAAGAAACAGTCTTATATTGCATAGAACCCGTGGACTTCTTATCTTTGATTTTACAGTATCGGCATAGCAAAAGATATTCTGAGCAAGCATTTTAGACTGTGCATAAAACTAGCTTTAAGTATTTTGCTGTTTATTATACGTTCTTTGAAAGCGATCAGTACTAGTGAAAGATCTTTTATAAATGTCAATGAGAGATATATGATATACGCGACGAAAATTAGTATTCTGTGAGAATAACCGGAGAATGAAAGAAAAACTGTGTGTAAAATAACGTTTACAGTACTCCACCGGCATCAAAGAAGGGAACGAATTCCCAGTTACGTACGAAAAGTGCGGCTTGGAATGCCGTCCTAAAACAACGTGGCTAAAGTTCCCGACAGAATACAGGCGAAAGCCATTGTGAGGAGCTGGACCTTCGAATCCATCATCCGTGATGCAATTGCAGTAGCGTCGCTTGTTTTAGTCGTTGTTGAAGAAGAAGAAGAAGAAGAAGAAGAGCTTGGGGCGGCAGAACTGATGCTAGCACTTGTTGACATGGTGGCTGTAGGTGCAGCACTTGAGGATCTAAACACACGTAGCACGACGAGTATAAAATATCCAAACAAATCGCATTAATATGTACAGTATTGGACAATCACACACAATTTAATGAAGAAAACGGAATGCGCCAAGTGTGCTTTTAGACGTTGTCGCGTTTGCATGGTGTCCAACAATAACAAAAAGAAGATCCCGTGACACTTACGGCGCGTTGGCTCCAGCGATTGCACAATAGTTTGAGACGAGTCCAGCCTGCGTTGCACGAGCAGGGTCGTTCGGGCAGTTATCCCAGCATGACAGCTTAGCAGTGTTCCACTGTATGAAAAAGAAACGGATTCTGACTTAAGCACCGTAACCGTATTTAAACTCTGAGAACAAATGTACTTACTTTGCACAAGCATGCAAAATCTATAACAATATATTCGTACCAGAGCGGTTAACGTGTAAATAACTTGCTATATATATCCTTTTCTTTGCACATTGGAAAAGTAAAATGAATTTAACCATATTACCTTGATCTTTGCATGTTTTCAAGTAGTCCTGTTCGTTCTGTAAGCATTGAGTGAATCTATGTAAGGTAATACATGAGATAAAGAACTTTTCATCATCTCATTTTCGTCATTTGACTAGTTTCTTCATATCATCGGATGATTTTTAAAAGTTGTATTTCTACTTCTGAAAAGTAAAAGTGAAACTGTCATATGTAGTAGTAAAGTGTAACGTACACATTTGCAGCGGTACAACCAGCCGGAGCTTGTTGCGCCGCGGCTTGATTCGACACGACGGCCATGGTCATAAATAAACAACCCAAAACCAAAGTTAAATGACTCGATGTTGACGAGGAAGTAGTAGTAGCAAAGGCGAGTCTCATATTGATACGTTTGGTAAGATAGATAGTATTATATAAAGTAAAAAACAAGGTGATACATCTTTTTCTCTTTTCCCGGCTTTTTATATGAGCGGATCGTATAGAAAAAAAGGGGTAGAGGAGTGGGGGTAGCTGTAGGAGAAGATGATGATTTTTCATATACACACTCGCGTATTGTATACATGCATGTACGTACAAATACGAAGCTCAGTCTTAGGGGTGAGTAAGAAGGGTGCTTGAGTTTGTTGAATGACTGATAAAGGAGTAGCAGTGTAAACAAAGCATTCAATCAAACAGTGATGTTCCAATACAGAGGACATGCTGCCCTTACAGATACTACATACTTTCGTTGTTGTGGTTGCTACTGATACGAAAACGTAATCTAATGTTGCTCATTTTGCACTACTTCTTGCTTGTTGCTAATATCTTTGTTTGACAACACTAATTAGTACAACATATGATTCCTGTTAGCACCGCAGCAACTCCAGTAATGCTTTATGCTTTTAGGGAGAACTGACACATCAGGGAACATTATTACATACGTATGACCACATTATTATACAGGTAAGAATTAAGTAATGTCTTTACAGTGCCTTTGCTTCCAGTTAATCTATTTGAGATATCACACTCTACAAGAACAACTTGTCCAAAAGCTCCCGGCGTGTCTGGTGTCTTTATGGTCATTAAACTGATGCAGAATTCCTTGGTTTCGACATATGATGATGAATGCGCATATCAACAGCATACTGTTTTATTGCAGCACTAGCTACTACCCTACATGCTTTATCTGTTTGTATTATTTTTTAGGAAGTTCGAAATAGCCCGTACCAACCAAGTGCAAAGAAAATATGAAAGAAGTTACGTACTGTATTTTCATTTTTCTTGAGCCAGCATTGGAACTCACGGCGTCAACGTTCCTTGTAATAATTGTGCAGTAGATGTCACCGTTGCCCTATTGGTACATATCGAGTGTGTGGATGGATTACTATTTCCCTAGTACCAGCACCAACAGCACGTTTGATGAATATATCATATTGATAGCGATCAGTCTACTTCATGTCACCAAAGAGTGACGCTGCTTGTTTGGTTCCCGAACAAGGGGCAAATCTCTTGTCTCAATGCGCTGCTTAATTTCTGGATGATTTGATGCTGGGATAGATGGAATCTGGGACAAACTCACAAGCAGGCCCGGAAAGTCACATCTTTTAGACCGGATCTGCAGCTCTCTGTATCACCACCCACTTTTTTTCTCTTCTCTCACCTTTTGACCACATACTATGGACTCTATAGAAAGAGAAGTTACGAATCACATGGTTTCCACAGGCGACTCCTCGGCCGAGGGTTCTCAAGCAGCTGGAAACATTGTCCAAGGTATAGACAGTCTCATGCGCGCTTACTGTTTTTTGTTGCCACGAGGTTCTGACATGTTGCTTAGCCGTCAACAGTGCTTCAGTCCAAGCGAATTTGTTACAGCTGATCCAGTCTATGGAAGAGTATTTGACGAGTGACGATGACCATATCCGTGCAAAAGGTATTGAGCTTGATCGCGTCCTTTAACCGCAAACACGAAAAAGTAAAGTGATTAGATTTCAAGGAAAAAACTGATTGATCACGTATGTGTGGTGAAATTGCAACACGTACTTTTCTGTTTAAGCCACGGGTCTTCTTTCGCATACCTTACATAATTGCGACCAACATAGTATCAACGAAGCAGCAGGTAATACAACAACTCGAGCAATAACTCCTTTGGAAAAGGGTGAAGAATGTTGGTTCAACTAACATAATCGATGGATTGCATCTCGTTACTACCGTACACAGTTTCCGTGTTGGTGGATTTTTACTGCGATAGATTGACTGACCGAACGTGTGTTCCGAATCTTTTGGAAGGTTTGGTTGCGTTGACTGAAGCCGAAAACTTTAGTGGCACAAATGCGGTAACTATTGCTACAAGGTATATATTCAGCAAGGACTGATATGTTCTTAGTAAGACGGGAGTTTATCAACTATCTATGCTTGCTGAACGTCTGTGTACATGTACATTCATTTAGAATTTTCGAACGTGTCGAAATTCAACGCTTCCCACAGGCCGCTCGCAGTACAGCATTCCATATCTTGGAGAATTTGATGGATAGACATCTATCAGGTATAATTAATAGTACTAATAATCTACATGGAGATTTGTTATTGACCGTGTTTTTTCGATATTTAGCATTGAAGGCAATCAACAATGAATTTGTTTATGGATTTACGCAAGCCATGGATGGTGAAAAGGATCCAAGAAATTTGATGAGTGCATTCAAGCTTGTGCGATCGATTGTTCAACATTTTGATATTGGTGCTCATGTGGAGGTACATATTTTTGCTTTCTCTAAATGAAAAGAGGTGAACGTGGTGGATAATGTTACTAAACATTCTATAGGATATTTTTGAGGTGACGTTCTGCTACTTTCCTATTACATTCAAGCCTCCTCCGGATGACCCCTATGGAATCACGGCAGATGATTTGAAGCAGAGTCTTCGGTAAGAATATATCTATGAGATCTTACATGTAGAATTTACTAACAAAGTGTGTTGACATCTGCTATATTCAATTTAGTCAATGTATTTCCTCAACTGGTCTCTTTGCAAAGCTCGCAATTCCCTTAATTCTTGAAAAATTATCATCTACTTCTGGTAGTGCAAAGGTTCGTTGGTTTGGCCTTGCTAGGTCTATATGTACCTTTTGATCTACGTAAATTTGGTGCTGACAACTTGAAAAATAGAAAGATTCGATGGAAACACTTGCTGCCTGTGCACCTGTTTATGGAGCCAATGTATTACTTCCTGTCATCAATGAAATTGTTGACTCTTTGAAAGTAGAGGTAATTTTTTTTCTGAGATTGTGTGTGTACACGGGTGTTTGTCCATCTCTTTGGAAAACTTGCTCTTTCTTATAATGAATGTCATAATCATTATTTAGGTTTTCCACTCCACGGATCAAGCACTTGAGGATTCAGCTCTTGTAGCTATCGAAAGCGTGGTTTCTACATTGAGTGCAGGTTTTGCAAGTACTGCTGGTGAAACAATAGAAAAAACGTTGAAGCCTTTGGTTGTTGAATGTATCGCAAACTTGAAGGAACCGGAGCTGAAAAACGCCAAGCCAGCCGGACGTATTTTGCGAGCAGCTTCGTCAGCTTCTTGTATGTAATTATTCTGCTTTTTAACACCTGGGTTTTTGTTTGGAATGGTTCTCAATAGTTTCTGAAAAAATGGTGTAGATGCTGCTTGCACTTCGATCGTCAACGCCATACTACCGTTATTGCTACGTCAATACCGTGAAACTGAAATAACAACACGACGCAAGGCTATAATGGATGTCATTTTGGAATTTTTGGAGGCTAGCAAGAGCCTCTATGGTGCTGCTGATGGCGATGTTGATAGTAAGTAGAGCTACAAAAGAAGGAGCTTCACCATATTTACCTGATCACCTTCTGTATAATTTTAGTGGATCGAGCTGAAGTCTCGCCCTTGGTCACATACAAAGATCGCTTTTTCGGCATCTTCGAATCTGCCATCACTGCAACCAACGAGTATAACGGTCTTCGGCTTTCTGGTCTGAAAGGATTGGAGTTGATGGTTTTATCCAGGAACTATCTATCACAAAATGAAGTAATTTTTGTGGTGTTAAAGTTTGTGGCGATGCATAAATGAAACAGATTACTAATTAAACTTTTAGCGAGGAATAGCCATTCAATCGTTCAACAAGATTCTGCTCGAGGAAACCGACGATGAATTAAGGTAGTGTAACTCTTTGTAATCATGCACTTTTTTAATTACTGAAACGACTATTTTGTGAATAATCACAGAGCAGCAGCCTTGGCTTCATTAAAAGCTATTTCTCAGTTTGACACAAAGTACATCGTCGAAGAGACGGTACCGTCACTCATGAAATGCCTGCCTAATTTAGCTGAGGAGAAGACACAGATTGGATACAAACAAATCTTGGTCGCATTGAAAGCCTTATGCCCTGAACCATCCCTATTCAAAGCAGTCATCCCACCACTGTTACAAAAGTTTGATACTGTTTGCGCTACAGGTAAGTTTATACGAAAGAGATAAAGAACCACGAAAATATTTGTTAATTATTTTTTTTTTTTAAAAGACAAAGATTCCGCATATCCTTGTGCAATTCTTCGAACTCTGTTGGCCATTTTGGAGGTCAAAGCTGCTGAGAAGCACGACGACGTTGCACCGTGCGTTGATTCAATTGTTCTTCATTTAACTGGAGCAGCAATCAATGCATCTTTGGCCTCATCAAAGGAAGAAATGGTATTGTCAAAAGATGTACTTGAAAACGTCGCCTTGGTGATCATGGTTGTCGTTGAGAGCCTCAAATCAAAGTAAGTAAACGAAATTTCACGTATACGACACATGTGAGATGTGATCTGACATAATATCGTAGTGCACAGAAAGCTTTTATCGACCGCATGTTCCAGCTTTATCTTCATGTCGATCTTTCGCAAGTTAACATTCAGGCATCCGGTTTCGAACCATTAAAGGTAAACTGAGCCTTTCTTCTTAAGTCGAAGTACTTAGGAACTAATTATTACTACTTAATATATATGGGAAATAGGATGAATCGTCGAGTGCCCAAAAAGCAACGACACAGCTCTTTGCTGCAGCAATCGCTTCTTGCCGAAGAGATGTATGTATTCAACATGATAATCTTTATAATATGCCGTTATTAAAATTACTAATTCATTCTTTCTAGGTGTCTTTCCCTGTTTCTAGCACAGAAGATTTTATAACACAATTGGTCGATATCACCCTGAAATCAACAGACCAAATTCAGCAGATTTCACTTGTGCGAATTATCGGCTCATTGATTAACAAATGGCGTGATGGTAATAGACATTCGCATAGTTGTTGTGGTAGGCAAGGTAATAGGACTAAAGTTATAATTTAACTTAGCTGCTGCTGCTGCTAAGTTTGTTGAAGCTCTGGCCGCCAGATTGGAAGGAATCATTTCCCAGAATGACGGTAGCTATTCCAATGCTTTGGACATTTATCTATGGGTAAGTTGAAAACAACGTTACTGCAACGACCCTCGATTTCAGTTCCGTTTATATTTTACTTTCTTTCACACTTTTTGTGCTTATTGATATACATAGATCGCCAAAGCGCTGGTATTACGATCTCATGCCTTGGGCTACAAAATGACTGACACTGTTATTGGATGGTGTGCCAATGCAAAGTTGGGCAAACAAGCATCACAAGGCTTTGATATCATCATCGGTGATGATGAGCTAGCCCTTAACAAGGCAGCATTTGCAGTAATGACGGTATGAAATTAAATGCCATGTAATCATTACTCAATACTAATGTGTTTTATGTTTAGATTCTATATAAGCAACGCTTCTTTACGGACTCTCTACCAAAACTTGTGGATGGCTTCCGTAACTCTTCTAGTGGTATGCTGTGGATCCATGATTGTATTGGCTTAATTTTAGTGACGACGATGATAATAATTGCTTATCTGTGTGTTCTTATATTTTCCATACAGATATTAAACACAACTACCTCATTGCCCTTTCTTATCTTCTCAAGAATGTTCCAAAGCAAATTCTCCTGAACGAATTACCACCAGTGCGTTACATGATCTTTTTACGACGCATGATAATCGTTTTAGGCTTTACTAATCATTAAGAAAAAATGTTTAGCTTGTTCCATTGCTTATCCAATCACTCTCGCTACCTGACACGACACTCAAGGTCTCAACATTGGATACGTTCCGACTCGCAATTGCTGAAGCCCCAGATGCTATCACACCTCATGTACGATCTATTATCCCCGCACTATTAGAACTATTAGACACCAGCAATCGACAGAACCCAATGGAAGTGCGGATTGCTGTCCTCAAATGTCTTGCACAATTTCCTTCCAATCTCACCAACGATGTACTGCAACCACACGCACGTTTTGTTACCAAACAACTCGTCAAACCACTGGACGATAAGAAACGACTTGTCCGGAAAGAAGCTGTCGAATGTAGAGCTAGATGGTAAATATTACAATCGTTATTACTGCATTACTCATAAAGAGTCGAGAATAGAATAACTCGCTAACGTTTTCCATTCTTATTTGACCTTTAGGTATACTGTTCTTTCATAGAAAAATAGTAGTAGCTAGGACTCTAGGACATTACAATTCCATTGTGAAACGTTGCATATACTCTTCTCTTTTTATTTGATTGAACCTGTATTTTTATTGTAAGTTACTGGGCAATGTTCCTAGAAAAGCATGTGTGTTCAATATGATAGCTCATTTTCATCAATTCAATTTTCTCAAATCAAAGAATCAAAAATTACTATCTTCACTGAAAGACACGGTGCATTGTAATTATATATTGTCGCATATGTACACTGTATTATACGTTTGAATATATGTTGCTCCTTACAAAAACCGACTAAGTGCATATTAATGCTAGTGGGATGCACGAAAGAATGGCTCAAAGGATACAACCATATTACTGATGAAGTACAGCTGCGGCCACAGGAATTATAGAGTATGTTGCCGTAAAAATATGGCGCATCATTATCATTGATAAGCTGATTACATACGAGCTTATATCATGAAAGCCCACATGCATCGTGCATGGCTGTTGCGCCGCTGTGAGGAGCGCAAGGCCGACCAGTGTACACCAGTGTAAATCTGATTAGAACGAATGTACGGATCAATTGTGATAGAATAACTCTATTCAGATTGGATTCCTCTCATATCAAGTTATCCACGATATATGCTATGGCAAACACGCTATGTTGTATGCGATATTCTTGAGCGCTTTTGAATTTCATTCGTGCAATACCGGCATTATCTTTAAAGGAACCCTAGTTAGCATCCGTCTAGGAGCTAATATGAATGTTCCTAGTTGTTCATACGCCAAAAGGTTATGCGTGCACTGTTTACATACAAAAAAGAACAAGCTTATTCTTGTATAAACGATATGGCAAGTTTAATGTGCAGAAATTTCTATTTACAAAGGATGATGTACTCTTTTATACAAAAAAAGTCAAGGGATTGATGATGTGTAGGTAGCAGATTAGAGGGAGGAGGTAAGAAAAATAAAATATGGGATATGACAAGTGTGCGTGTGTTTGTGAGAGAGATGACAGATGGAAAGTTTTTTTTAGGACGAAGATGCAACGGCGATAGGTGCTGCTGGACTGCGTGTCGATGCAGCTGCGACAGTAGCTTGTCGTTGTTGTTCTTTCTTCTTCTTTGCTGCCACGAAAGCTGCGCGCATCTTGAAATAGTCCTGGTGCATACCGCACTCGGTCTTTTCTTTGCCGCTCCATCGGCCTGATCGTTCGTCTTCTTCACTAGCAGGCTTCTTAGTCGAGTGCCAGTCGCCGATGGATCGGTAACCCTGGTCGACGAGGCTGTTGTAAGGCACCTCATTGGCGCGGATATAAGTCCAGACTTGTTTAAAGTCCCAGAAAGCGAGTGGGTTGAGTTTGATAAGACCAGTCGAATCAACTTCGAGTACAGGGATCTCGCCACGGTCACCCTTTTGACTGCGGCGGCGGCCAGTGATGACGGATTTGACTTGATGCTGCTCGTATGCGCGTTGTGCTGGCTCGACCTTGACGAGAAAGTCGTATGTTGCTTCGTCGGTCTCCCACAGACGTTCACCGTGCTCTGCTTCGAACTCTTTAGCGGTTTCAGCGTTGGTAGGTCTGTAAATATTGAACTTCACGTCGTATGTTTCTTCGCAGCGGTGAACGAGCTCAATGGTTTCATCAAAATGGTAAAGTGTGTCCAAGAAGATAAGTGGAATCAAATGCTGTTGGTCGCGGTCGATGCTGATTTTGTTGATGATATCGAGCGAAACTAGACCTAGAAAGAGTTGATAATCCATGTGTTGTATTTAATAACAAGTTCTAACGTTTACTTTATTGTAATATATATGTATATATACCTGTCAGGCCCAAGGCGGTTGTCTGATGTAAGTTGGGCAAGTGATCAATAGCCCATTCGATTATTTCGCGAGGGTCCAAAGTGCCCAAATACTCGTTCAATTTCTTAAGAACTTCAGGTGTGAGGTCGGCTGAAGACTCGATACGTGCAATGTTGGTGCTGACAGGCATATTTTCGACGATGAAATATTTTATTCACTTGTAATAAAAAGTGAGGAGTAGAGGATGATTGTGTATTAAACCTGCGGGGGAAAGTTGTGTCCGTTGTTTATATATGGCTCCAGTCGGGATGGCGTGCTTTGGCCTCTTTTCTTGTTCCCAAAATGGAAGTCGCGATCTGACATCGGCCAATCGTATCCTCTTGCAATGGTGTTATTGCGCTCACCACGCACGCCAGGACGTTTTCTTCATCTTGTTGGCCAACTGAGAATTAAATCAAGGGCGATCGCGTTCCACGCAATGAGGTATATATTACAAATCCTTTCTTTTGCTTTAACAGCAACTAGGTTTTCGGGAAGAAAACAGAGTAGGTGGATCACTAAGCGCAGCCAAGATCAACAACACCATCCATTCCTATCGCTACCCATACTTTAGACTTATTGCATAATTTGAACGGTAGCTCACGCCTTACAGCTCATGAGGTCGGCATCCATTAGAAATCGACCCGATTTTATCTTATCGCCTGCACATCAAATCTTCTATATTAATAAAAAATTAAGCGCATAGGTGTGTATAATAACTGTACGCGGAAATTATTTTTCCTCGCGCTTCCCACTGAATAGGATTAATAATATCTGTACCCCACCGATGATTAGTAACTGACCACTGCTGTCACTGGATACTATGCCAATGCTCTTGACTACTGTTGCTAATTGCTTGTCTCTTTCAATTCAACAGAATTATCTGCGGTACAATCAGTCATATGAAATACATACCACACCGTCTACACTAAGCAAAGGAGGCAATAGCTGGAGGAAATTCACAGCGTCCCCCAATGAAGTTCCGGCATCCTTAAGCTCTTAACATCATTTCTTCAATTGTGCTATCTACTGGTTATGCAGGATTGATCATAATTCACTGTGTTGGCTTCTCAATTGTTTTAAAATACCGCAGTCCAGACGCCCATGCGCACATCCGAACCACGTTGTTTTTCTCAGTTGTTTATAATTTATAATTCATGTCTAAAGACACACCGAAGAATCCACCTATTAAGCCTGTCGCTGAGGAACGGCTTCGAGAGCGATACCAACGAAGATTGAGCACGCCTGGATCTTTAGCACCCAATCTACGATCGAGACAAATTCATTTATTGACATGGGCCATTGCCATCCGTAAGGGGTTTCGTTTAAATTTTTAGGATAGCGAGAAAATTGAATGTTTTTTTGTTGTTAACGATGACTGTTGTTTCATTTAGCGTTAAGCGGTTACGTCGTATTGTTTGCTGACTTTGGACCTGAGGATCATTGCTTTTCCCCGGTAAGGCAGAACTTTTATGCCATTTGCCTTCCTACTTTTAAACAGCACGTCAAACATAACTAACTAGAAACCTTGTTGTTTTTGGTCCAGCTGCGTCGCTGGTTCAATGCTAAACGAAGCCAATTCTGGACATTGTCAGATAAAGAAAAAGAGGACCTGAAAAACCAAGGACGGTTGAAGTAGATCGACCTCGCTGCTACTACTCCAGTTATTAAATGATGTTGTTGTAGTCGCCTTCTACTATTAGTAATTATGAGAAAAGCGACGATTCTTACTGCCCTGAAAAATCCGCTTTCTCAATTGTACATAAAAAACATTCTATATCATGTATTACAGTTAAAAAACGTTCAAACGATATCGGCTTGCAATACATACGAAACCGATTTGGTTTCATTTTATTGACTTTTGTTCCAAACGATCACCAATCAATTCCAAACGTTGCCAATAATCCAGGCCGCTCTCCAAGTTCCGATGCCATGTTTCCAACATCTATATAAAGGGGAGGACGTGGCCCGTTCATGGATTAGCTGCATCTTACTATCACCCCTCTCTTCTGTATATCAAAACATGTCTACCGCCTCCCGTTTCTTCAAAATCTGGTATAAGCCTGAGATCATCCCTATCTACGTTACTGTTGGCGGTGCCGTGGGTCTTGCAGGCTGGTACCTGACCCGTCTTGCTCGCGGTCCAGATGTTGTCTGGGACAGAGTGTAAGCACATTAACCAAAAAGAAGAAACTCAATTTGCCAAAAAGACGGTTCAATATGCTCATGTCCGTTTTTCAATAGTAACAACCCCTACCCTTGGCAGGGCATTGATCAGGGAACCCAAGTGAAGCTTATGTCGGTCAACCAGCAGTTCGACAAGAAATATTCCCGTGACCGTCTGTAAACAACTTCGTCCACTCCATTCCATCCGACATCAACTTTTGCTGTGCAAAAGCTGTTTCTTTTGCATTTCATTATTGTTCTATCTTGCTGCATCCTTAAACCTTTTATATTTTTAAGTCAACCGAGTAATAAAAAAATATTAATATATTATATATAACCGAAAACTGTCTGATTGAGTGAAAGAAGCACTACTGAATACAATGGTGTAAGTACACAGATAACGAAAACTATAAGAGGAAGAAGAGTTACATCACAAAATGGGAGAGTGAAAGTGAAGAGGTGGAGTCAAGATGGGGGGATGTGATTGGGCACAAAAAAGTGTGTGCGAGTTATATATAATGAAACATATCTAGCAAAGGAATAGCAGATGAGAGAGATAAGGAAAGAATAGCAGTAAGAGTTTAAGAGAGGGTGCTGTTTTTTAAAGTGAAAGGACTAGTAGAAAAAGAGTAGTAATGATTTTGCTAGATAGTTATATATACGGAGAGGTGGGGGTGGGGCTACTATATATAATATGCGTGTTGTGGCTTGCTATGTGCAATGAGATGTGAAGAGCGGTCATTTTCTATGCAGTCTCCTTGGATTGTTGTGGTTGAGGTGCAGTTGCAGTAGACGATGATGGTGTGTGTGGAGAATCATCTTGATGTACCATGCTTTTGGATAGGTACACGTATTCGTCCTTTTCTTTATCGTCCGCCAAATTCGGTGATACTTGCTCGTGGTTATGCGTTGGCGAAGCCGGTGCTTGTTGCTGCTGCTGGTGTTCTTGATGCGTTTGTTGCTGCTGTTCGGTCATCGAAGGCTGGTGGTCGTCGTCATGATGATGATGATGATGGTTGCTATTGTTGTGGGCGTCATCATATTCATCGTGCTTTTCAGCATCTGTCATTGTTTCGTCCTCATCATGATCATGCTTAATGTACACCTCATTTTCCCTTTTGCTGTCCTCGTGCTCTTCATCCCCTTCTGCACTGCAATCCATTGGTGTACCAGCGCTTGTCATTTGCTCTTCATCTTCATCATCTTCGTCGCCGTCGTTGTCACTATGATGATCCTGATGTCGACCTTCCTCTCCACCCGTTGCTTCTGTTGCATTTGGCGCCGTCTCATCTTCCAACTGTGACTCGGTGGGCGTTGATGGACCGTGCGAAACCTCTATACCTTGCATAGGCGTGCCTGCATTTTCAACTTGCTGTTGCTCCCGAATCTGTTTTTCGTGCTCCAGACGTTGGAGATCAACTAAATCCATCACGAATGATCGAACATCTGGATCATTATCCATTGCCAGGTGGTAAAGAGCTTGGTCAAGGGTATAGCCAGGCTGGATATCATGTTCACCAATCATATCAGAGAGCACGAGTTCTGTTAGCTCTTGACGGTAAGCATCTGCAAAACCGATTCGATTAGCAGCCGACAGAAGACTATTGGTGGAAAAGAACCACCCACTGATAATTGCTAACTATTAATTACCGTGGATCTGAATAGCACGAATAGTGCGCGAGGTTGCTATGCGCACATTAACTACGGGATCATCAGCCAACGGTACAAGTCTTGGGAGGAAGAAAGATGCAAAATCAGCAGCGCAAATCCCGGCTTCTAGCAAAACTCTGCAGATCTGTACAAATCTAGAAATCCATTGCGATAAGAATGTTGTCAGTTAGTGCGGCGCAGCAAAAAGATATATTGCATTCCAGGTGTGTGTACATACATTAATCGACCGCGGTACGAGCTGGATCGTACAAACTCGTCCAACTTCTCCATAACGTGATTCAACAGCGCCAGAGCAAATTCACGACGGCTATCAATACTGTCTTCATTCTCTTGGTCTGCTTGTGACAATGTTTCACCATCTTCATCTACAGCACGCTTTACAATATCCAGAATGATAGGGAACTAAAACGAAGAGTAGTGATTGTTAATAAAAGAGGATACTTTCACGAACATCAGTCAGTTCTTTCAAAATGATTCCTTACAGATTCCACGCCAGTCTCTCGAACAGCTGCAAATTCATCTTGACAAGCTCGAATTGCCAGAGGCAGAATATGTTCAACCACGCGCGCGGCGTCAAAAAGTAGGGCGATATCGCGCAACTGACCAGCCAATATGTCGCGCAAACGCCAGTTTGTCATGACACCATCCCAAACTTCCGTCAAAATAGGTATATACTCGTTACGGGAGCTGACTGCCAAGGTCCCAAGGAATTCTGCCAGATGCTCCAACACACCTTGCTTGACGTCGTCTAAATCCATTAAATAAAGCGCAAAAATCTGGACAAGGTCTCGTTCTGTGCGTTCTGGCCCGATGATTCGCGCAATTTCGTGCAAAGAATATGCGAAAGTACGTCGTACTTTGATTTGATAATCCTTTGTGAGGTTAAGATAGGTGTCCTTCAGATGCGAATCCCAATAATCTGCGCCAGCAGTGAGAACAACAGCAGGAAAGTTGTAGGCACATATGATCGCACGATCCGTTTCCAGTTTATACATCTGGTTTGGAGATGCGCTTGGACCCAATGACAAGAAAAACTCGAGCAATGGCTCTGGCACCTACATAAAAATCGTAGTCAATATCTAAAGCCCGATGTTGTTTTCTATGTGTGTCCCGCGATGCCGAGTCTGTCTTTCGCTAAGATTTACCTTGCCAGGCTTTCCCGTTGTTTCCCAATCCTCTGGCAGGAACTTCGCTATTAATTCACCAATTATTTCCGCCAGCGTGTTTCGTACATTTCGTGAAACGTCATTTTTGAATAATTTCACACCTTCCACAGCAATACGGTTCTTAACATCATCAGGGAGGACACCGCATAGTAATGGTAGAGTAAGAACGCACGAGCGGCGGACGTGCCAAATGGTGTCGCGCGAATAATTAAGATAAAGAGGCATCTGTACACATGTGATAGATGACTTGAGGTTGGTTATCATGTACAAATAGTAGGCATTGCCGCGATTTTTTTTAGAACAAACTAGATGTGCCTTACCAATCGATCCATAGCAACTTGAGGATCCACCACGGTTGCTAGACTACCAATAGCTGCTGCTGCCTCTTTCCGTACATAGAACATCCCGTCATTTGCCATGCTTTCAACCAAAGGCAAACAACGCTTTGTGCAGCGTTCCGGTCCCAGCACGTTAGCCAATGCAGAAATGAGCTATTGCATAATAAATGTCAGTCATTTTTCTTGGAGAAAGACTACTGGATATACAGCACATACCGAAAGACACATCATTTTTGCAAGATTAACTTCGCCCTGATCGATTTCGTCAGCTGATGGATGATGGTTCATATATCCTGACGCCTCGTCATATACACCATCCTGGTTCCCTGAACCATCCTGAGACTGATCACTGTCCGACTGTCGCGACGACTTGTTCACAATTGCCATTAGACCCAGTACCACGCCTTCGAAAATCTCAACATCCAACAGCTTTTTGTGCAGCCCCTCGTCTTCAGTTCTCTTTGCTGAAGCAAGCTCAGTTGCCACGGATACAATGCATTGCTGGGCCAAAGAAGCCAGACTCGAATTTTGATCCAAGAGAAACTCGATCAAGAGCGGGGCGAACACGTGCTGAGGAATGTGCAAGGCTGATCCCCTGTCGTTATCCGTGGCTGACTTTGACCCATCATGAACAGATTCAGATTGCCTTCGGCTCCCACTCGGTGAAGAAGAACTGTCGCTGGCTGCATCTTCCGCATCAATCGTGGAATATGAGGTTGTGGATGATACCTTTTGGTCTTCAATGTCAATATCCTCGCCTTCATCATGAACTTGTTCCATATCATTAAGTTCTTGCTGCTGAAGATTTTCCTTCGTTCCATCATCGTCACTACCACCTATCTGACGCTCTGTTGATTCTTCGGTAGGTGTATCAACAGCCGGTGCCGGAACAGAGATTGTGTCCAGCTCTTCGTGTTGCGAATGGAGTGACGACGACGGCGCTGGAGCAGGTGCATTCTGGGCATCGTCTTCAACATTTGTTTGCTGTTGTGTGGATGGCGACCTTTGTTCTTGTGTGGCTGAGTCAAGGAGGGGCGGTGCATTCTGTATCCCAAGCCAGTTAACCATTGTACTTTTTCCCATCCTTCCTTCCAACTCATACATCGCTGCCATTGATTCCTCATACTTACTGTATAATAGTACATCATTATTTTGTCAAATTCGCTGATAATTGTCTCACGCACCGTATCGTCCGGATCAGTACATATTTTCAACACCATAGGAAGCACATAATTTACAGCTTCAGATACGCTAATTTCGTAAATTGTATTTGACAGTTCCTTTGCGACAAGTAATCTATATGCATAAAGACAAGTAGCTGCTGTGTTTAGTTATTCTGAATAACTTCCAAAGCAAAACCGTTTTGTGTTTACCTGTGAATTATCATGTCACTTTTGTTAAACATGTAAATACGTTCCATAGGTGTCAACGAGTCGTCCATTATTAGTTCATCTTCAAGATCATCGGCAGAGACTTCTACAAAGCGCAAGATGAAGGTTTAAAGTGTAAATATCTTGACCCAGGAAGAACCACTGTTGAAGAGAAACGAACCTTCTGACATGACTTGTAGTAATGAATCTGTACTAAATCCTTCGGCAGGTGTAGGCTCCGGGTATTCATCTTGACCTTGGTATTCTTCTTGATGTTGCTCATCATCATAATCTTTGCTTTGCTCTGTCACTTTGACGGTTTCGTTCGGTTCCTTATCATCGTCCTTTGGGTGAGAGTCCGTGCTGTTGTTGCTATAATGGGTATTGCTGCTATTCTCTAGTTCTCGAGTCTCAGGAATTGATATGCCGTTATATGCTGGCGATTCATGCTGTGTTATTGACGGTGTATCTTCGGTGTCGTCGTCGTCGTTGCTACCATTGTTTACAGTCACTTTTATATCCTTTGGCGACTCTGCTAATTCTGGAACCTTTGGTGCTGTTGCTTTCGTTAACGTCGACTTTTCGTCTTCAGCCATAGTCGTTCCAAAGACAGTATTGCCCGCATTGAAATCGTCGTGCTCGTCTGTAAAATCGAAGCCGAGTTCTTTATATATATAATGACAAAAAAACCGGGTCAGATACGCACCGATAACGACGCAAAAAATGGCCCTCGTTGTTTCAGGTTTGAAGGAGAAAGAACAAAAAAAATGTTTTCGTTGCGCTCCATCCAATCCTCCCGAATGAATGCCGATTGCATAGTAAGATAGCAAGTATTAGTTAAGGGTATATGGACAATTACCAGCCATTGCGATTATTGAGCGCTACGTTGATAATATAGAGTCGATACAGCAAAGAAAGAGAAAAAGAGATTGTGTGTGTGTTGCAGTATATGTTTTTATCTTCGAATTCGTCAATACTAGTGAAGGAGAGAGGTGTCGAAGAATACGATCAGCATTCGTCTTTGTAAGCGTCGAATGAGGGCAACACAGAAAAGAAAATAAATGTACAAAGTTTTCAACAGAGATGAACGCAAGCTCGTGGTAGAAGAAAAGGGAAAGCGGCACCTACTAGTGAGCGAGCGAGGGAGAAAGTTAAGAGCCCTCACACCCACTCACTCAAAGCTCTCACCATTGTGACTGCTCATAAGTTTTGATCCCCATCGTATATGGATGGGCGTTCCACATCGTAGGTTACGGTTGTCCATCGCTCTTGACTTTAGTCAGGCAATGGCCCAGTCTATTGCCTACGTGGATGGGTTGTCCGGTGAAATGATATGTCGCCTGCTAATATGTACAAGGTAGCCCATTCCATCGATAGACAATTGATCGGAGGGTGCGCGCACCCATGATCTCCGCTTTGTGTGCTTGTGCATTGACCGATTGAATCCTCCACTCCTTTTATTTTTGTGTACTGTTTAACTCCTTGCTTATTACATATACTACTAATAAATATAGATATTGCTAAATGGAGCTGTATGTACTGAATTTTTTCTCCCAATTAAAATCGTAGTAAAATCAGCATCCATTTTACGTTTCTGTACTTGCGCTGTTGGCTGTGCCATTTTAAATCACGCTTTTGACACATTGCGCTTCGTCTGCTGTTCCTTAATCATATATCTTGTTACGCTTCTAAACACGAGTGACGCTCACAGGCAATCCTTAGAACTTTTTACAGTACAATTTGACTTTATTTTTCTGAATGAATTAGACAAACCAAGTTCATGCCTTGATTCTTCAGATTCCTCACAATCTTCCCAAAAAAGGAAGTCCTGTAATCTTCCTAGTAATCAATCTTCGTCAATTTGAGCGTGTCTTACTCACTTCCATCTTTATGATGGTGGTAGCATCAATGGTCTGAGGTCCTGATCGACAATGCTGCCTTTGGTTTTGGCATGTTTGCAAGTGTGCCCCAGCTTCACAGGTCGACAGGCCTACACTAACATAGCCTTGTAGCACTGCAGCAGGCACCTTCGGTGTGCATTCACGCTAGTTGCTGCCATTGACAGGTATTCTGCTATTGCAAGTGGTTTGGCAATGCGGAAACGGGTGGAACTACCTTGTCACACTGTGCATACAACCTTCTTTTCTTTCTTTGCATTTCGGCTCAAACCCGTTACCAGCCCGCATGTGCTTACTTGTGGAAGTACCGACAACAAGAAAGATAAAATTTACACTTATGTCATGTGTGTATGTATGCTCTTCTTTTAGCTTTCCGAGAAGCTACACTTCACCTCATCTTTTGCCTTCTTTTTCTTCTTCATTTTACCGACGCGAGATGCAAACGCGCATTACGTACTTTTCTTCATGTATGTACTTTCTCCAGATGCTCCTTAAGAGTAGGTTTTCCCCAGGGACTTTCTCGACTTTCTTGGCTTGTTCTTCGAGAAGGAGAAAGATCGTCCCTTCGACTACTCTCATCGCGTATAATAACCCGTGTAAAGGAGCCACCTGACTTGCGCAATAATAAGATACAATACGTACTGCCTACTACAGATATCATGATCTTTTGTTTCTAGATCAAGAGTTAGCAATGCCACGTAGGAGTTAATACGCCGTTGACATAGTAACAGATGTACAGTATCTTTCTTCTTTCACCAAGAAGCACCAGGTATAAGCATATCCTACAGCTACTATCTATACTGTGCACAGTTACGCTGCATCACATGAATGTTTTTTTACCCGACGAGCAAAGGCATTTTGTACTACCGTATACAAGTACCATGGCCCACTTGTCGTAGTATAGAACCAAGTTACTCGCTATGTATACATGGTAGCATGCTTTTGGAGACTATACTTCAGTCAAAATAACGGTCAATAATGTTGTGAACCGCAGGCTGCAAAGGATTGGTGAGTCTGATATAGGACGCGTCTTACGCGTTTGCCTGCGTCTCCGACACGCTGCGTGTACAATGAAGCACGCACGAAATTTTAAGTTTGTGTTGCTGTCTGCTCTTTATTCACTTTGAAGATGGTAAAAGACCCAGCACGAAAGATTCGCAAAGTCATGCAAAGACATTTACCACCGGATATGGTCTTAGATGCTTCTGTAGAGCATTTGGTTGGTATTGGTATTTTTTTAGCCCATCGTGTTTTAGTTTTTGTTTTACACTTAGCTGATCTGCAGTTCTTATAACACACAGATCTATATGAATTATATCATGTTTATTGAGCGATTGGCAGAAGAATCAAACAAGGCTGCTCAAACTAACAAGAAAAATAAAATAACAATCGACGAAATCATGGAGGTTGTCGAGGTAAAAACATACTCCTTTTCATCGGTTAGCGAAGGGGACAGGCTTAAGGAAGGAGAGGAAGAAGTTCTTTCTAACGTACTGGGATGTTTCACCTTAGAACGTAATGCAAGAATTTCGTGGTTAGAAGGGCAAAGAAACAAGGATAAGCATGCAGCGACGATACCCTAAAGCAAAACCCATCATGTGTACATATCATTTTGCGTATATATAATTAATCTATAAAATCGCCTCTAGATCCGCAATATCCTATGTTCCTGCTTCAAAGTCTACATGTTTTTTAGGAAGACGAAATAACCTTAGCAATTCTTTTCGGCGTATGTACGTGTCTGTGTGGAAGCTCGAGATTAGAAGATCTATCCGTACATAATTTGTTCTGTCGGCACGATAGATTATTCTGGACCTTTTTCTGAACAGGGAAAAAAAGGTACATCTCCTTACGTTGCGTCCACCATACCTCTTTTGTTGCTTCTGATGATATTTTGTATATCTTCGTCAGTTTGGGAATAGCATGGAGGTACTCCTATACTTAGTATACTATTATTCTTTCCTAACATTTCTTTTCAGCAATTGTGTCATATTCAGCAGCTGCTAGTCTGTGATGGATAAGACGTGCATGCATCAATTAAGGACCATGCGCTGCACTACTAGTGTTTGATTAAAAAGACAAGATCATGGGGCGATCAAATGGTATGCACGTAGGATGTAGTATCTCATGAATTGACAGCAGTAACAGCAGGAACAACAATAGTGACATACCTGATAGCTGTACGTACCATATGTAGTTAGATATGTGAGACCACTGTAGTTAATGTACCTTATTTTGTACCATCATTCAATCTCCTTTTCCTGAAGAAATATACGCACGTGTGTTGAGAGCAGCACAGAAACAGGAACACCAACGGTATGGATATATTTATTCCGCTAGGAAAAGCGAAAAAGAAGAAATGGCCGGACACCCAGGGAACGAGGAAAGAAAGCGAAAAAAGGGGAGAGAGGAGAAGAGTGGGATTAGGAAAATCCTTTTGGTTAGCTCTAGTGGAGCTCTAGTGGAGAGAGGACGACACAAAGTAAACGTAAATTTCAATCTATCCAACGCGCGAATCACAGAGCTATCATCTTTGGAGCAACAAATGCGGTTAAATTATATGTGTTTTCAATTATAATGCATGCTACCTTACGCAACAACACCACCTCTGATAGTACTAATACTATATACTGCTACTGCTGCTGCTGTTTTTGTTGTTGTTGTTGTTGTTGTTGTTGTTGTCCTGCTCTTGTTACTCCTCATCGCCAACCTCATCGTCATCAAACTTTACTTAGCTGTGCTTCTTCCTTTAGAACAAGTAATGGTTTGATTCCTGCCGTCACCTTCTGTCTATCATACATTACATTCCCGATATGCCGGACTTGCTATATACCTCAGCGCAGTAATTCTTTTGTCCCGTTTTTCTCTGTTACTGTTTTATATGTTGCCAGGGAGAAAATGATGCTCAATTTTTATATTCAGTACATAAAGGAACAAGTGCTCGCCAGTGAGGAGAAGTTTAACTTTTTTTTGTTTACCGCGTTTTAAGTTGTCCATAAACAATAAAAATAAAGACGACCTACTTTTGTTTCTTCTTATTCTGTTTGCTTTTTCTTTTTTTCTTGTGTCCCGGTCACTCCTTCACTTTTCATTCTTTGTAGTTTATAACAATAAGAGTAAAATCCCAAGAGGTACTCTCCTTTTGATCACTCTCTTTATCCACAAACGGCCGCTCTTTTTTCTGCAACTACTTCATTCTTATTTCTCAACTTCCTACTTGTTCTTCTTTTGTCGCTCCTTCCACAAAGCACCATGGCAGCTAAAGCAGAACACGACGCTATCGCCCATATTACGTTATTAGTGATGGTCCAATGGATAAGCATAGCTGCCATCGTTCTCAACGCCATCGCACTGAACGTCGCCAGTAGCTCCAGCCAGGGCCTCATTGCGTCAAATCCTGGCCCACAAGATTATTTGCTGGTCGTCCTGGGAGCAATTTCGCTACTTGGCGCTTCGCTTTTACTATGTCTTCACCTCCACGTATTTCTCCAATTGATGGATAATCGTCCGTTCGCACCATCCAAAACAATCTTGGCGTCAGAAATGACAACTGGCGTCATTCTCATTGCTCTGTGGGCTTCAGCAACATCCATCATTTTGACCAATTACCATGGTGAGTATAGTAGTCCTGGTTGTGAACTTCATAAGATAAAACGAAGCGAATAAGCCTAAAACCGTCATTGCCTTTGTTATCATGTAGTTTCATCTCCTTGCCGTTTGGATGGTACAGAATTCGTACAACTGTACGGCCAAGCATGCGACTTACTCAATTACTCGATCGTTCTCGGTATGTGCTGTCAAAGACCTTGTGCTACATTATCTTTTCGTGACGCAACCAATTATGAAGAATGCGACTAACACGAAAACCCAAAGCATTTGCCGCTGTTGGTGGCTGGCTGCTGGTCATCCTAGCTACACTGTTTACGCTGACACGATCGTCAATGCATGCATCTGTATTTACCGTTGAAAACCCTTATTTTACAAAACAATCAGCGAGCGCCTTTGCCCTTTGCGCCGACAGCAAGTCATCGACCATGCAATCCATCGCGCCATATCAAAAACCAAAGTTCCCATCAGCAGCAATCGTGCCGTCATCAGCAACTAAGAAGATCGACAACAGCATGGATACCTCGGACTCAATTCGTGCCATCTACAATCTAAGTTACAATGTACATCATCGGCAACAGTATGACAGTAAGCAACACCAGAAATCAAATGGAAAGTCGCTACGCGGAGATGCCAAGAGCTGGTGCTCAGATGATTCAGCTGCAACTACTGCAGCAGGACACGACGATTTAGAAGTTGGGGCCAAAGCATCTATGGAGTCTATCTCATTTGACGATTTGCCACGTATCCAGGTCGGCATGTCTCGTATGAACCTATCGTTCTTCGCAGAGACGGAACAAGGACAAGATAAAAAGACGTCCAGCAGCTCATTAAAACCTTAACTGATTCATCTACTACATCTTTTCCTCCTCCTCCTTACTTCTGTAACGTGTTAACGAGTATCCTTCTTGTTTACATAATTTGGCTGCAAGACGGCCAAGCAGTTATCCATACAGTCATCGTACCATCCATCATATTTTGCTTTTTTACAGCATAAAGATATCCTTTATATGTTTATTTCGTTTAAGACTTTTTTCTTTTGTTTAACGTAAACTTCCATTTCGACGCACGCAACAAACTCCATTCCTTTCCTTTTTCTACCGTATCAAAAACCATTAATGCTCACGCACAAACTAGATATTCGTAAATTTCATTTAACAAGTAATAAAGAGTTTTTTTACATGTGGTTTTTTTCTTCAAATTTACGAATACTATTTATTAGCGATGATTTATTCACCCGGATGTTAGGTGAAAAAAATGCATGAAAAATCCAGAAAAACCCGTCAGCGGTGTAACCAAGCGTGTGACTGTTGGCTCACTCCAACCTGCGAGGGAAAGAGGTAAACACGCTCCGCGAAGCTCAATACACCCGATTTCCTTTCATTATATACGTTTCTCAATGGCTGGCGCTTCTGCTTTTGGATTCCACCCTCACTTTGCTGGTTTCTGGCACCGATTTGCCGGAAAGACCCTTGGCGCTAGCATGTGGTTCTGGATGATGTACCGTGCTAAGCAGGACGGTCCTGTTTTGCTGGTAATATATCTGAATTTACTACAAAACAGCCGTTTGCTTTTGAGTGACTTTCGGTTTATTGACACTGAATAATTGTGTAGGGCTTGCAACATCCTTGGGATCACCACCACGATGACGGTCATGGCGAAGAACACCACTAAAATGTTTTAACAGCATTAAGAAAACCTCCATTGACGAATTGTTAGCACACACACACACACAACGTAAATGCACAACCCTGATCACCGAAATGAACGGATTTCTTTACACCTTTCCCCACCCAACAACCCACCAAAGTTTTTTTTTTGTTCTTTTGGGTATATCACGTTTCTTAATAGATTTGCTTACATGCAATTTGTTTTAAAGATATCTTTAAACATTGGACGAGCTTGAACGCAATATGGATTAGTTTTATTTCAGCATGGTGTACATACAAAGGCCTCAAGTAATTTTTGAACGGTTGTGAGGGGGCGAATAGTTTTGATGATACAGATATGGGTATATACAAGGAAAAAATGGTCATTTTGGGTTGGCGGGTAGAGAAAGATGAATGAGGGATAGATAAAGTTGGTGGGATGAGGTTTCCTAGTTTGCTTTCTCTTTGTTGGTAGCGGTGTAGCTGGTCTGTGATTGCTCTTTGATCCATTCAGAAAGAGTTCTTTCAAGCGACTCAAAGGTCATCGCGGATACTTTGACTACCCAATCCTTCATTTCGGTTGTATCGAGTTGCACGAGTGCCCAGCCATTCGAAACAGCAAGTTCCCATGCTTTGCTAAACACGTCGAGAATATACGGTGCATGTTTTTCGATCCACAGTGTCAAGTAAACGTAAAGTTGCTTACTCAGCAGCCATGTGTGATTCGCAGATTGCTGGATGCTGCGAATGGATGCTGCGAGAGTATGGTGACCATGAAGCTGGACGGCAACCCATATTCTCGACGAAACAGATTGTGCAAACATCCACACGGCGATAATAGGGTCGGATACAGTGTCGGATACGAACCTGTAATACGCAATGATAGTTGGTTGGACAAAAAAGTAAGCGCTGATCAAGGCAGGGCGTATTTGCCGTATGTAAAATGCCCATAACATTGTTGTTAGACGTTTGTATGCCTTTGCCAATGATGGCATGATCTCGTTCGTAAAGTAGGCGATGCACGGCATCAAGAGCTCGACGTTGTTGGTGAAGAAACCTGCTTGTTCTTCGATCAGCCAGACGACGTTCGAAAAAAATACGGTTCTCATTTTTTGTAACCGCGTTTGAAAGCCATGCGACTCAATTACTGAAGCAATAAAATCAACAGTCGTAATGATCCCGCATCGCGCGTTTCGTAATAAGGGTAAGGCAACCTGTTCCAGGGCTCTAGCCACTACCCATTTCATCTGCATGCTGGTCCATGATGCACTGCGGCTCACCCAGTCGTACATCCGCGTCGCCTTGATGAAACTCCATATTGTTGGAAGGGCTATGGTTGCGAGCCAAGTGAGATCGTTTTTAATGGATCGCAGCACTTGTTGACTGCCATAGTAGAGCAAGACACCCAGTCGGTAGAACCGATAAACTGTCCATACTGTGGGTTTCCAGACAACCGCGGTCCAGACATTTGCCATATCCGAAGCCAACTGTTTCCAGTCATGTTGCTTAGCAAAACGTTGCCAAGCATCACCGAATTGGATCGAAATCTTGTGGGTCCATCGATAAAAGTGGACTATCCCGATAAACAAATGGTCGATGCAATGGATGGTCGCGGGTATGGCTGTGTACAATGCATACTGTTGAGTCTCATAACAGACATGCACGCCGCGTGTCGTCCACCATTGCTCGCACTGTGCGTATTTTGCTGGTAGCCAGACTGTCACTTTGTCAAAAAGCCAGGCGTCAATCATAGGTGCTGATTTTTCAATAAACCAAAGCGTCCAAAAGACTGAGCCGCGAATGCAATCTAGTAAAGCACGCGCAACAATATATACTGCTGCTAATGGCATTGCCAGCACATAATGTACAATAGATAGCTGTTGTTTTTGGGTTGTTGGTTTCTCGGTTTGTTTTTGTTCTCGCTGTTGTTCAGCGATCTGCTCGTCGTAACTTTCGTCGAAGCTTTTCGTGAGATTTGTGTTTACGTTGCCATGCTGGGATCGCTGCTGCTGCTGCTGCTGCTGTGGCTGCTGTTGGTTCAAAGTCGTGCCTTTGACATGGTTAGCTCGGGATTGGGTCTTTTGAATCTGCCGCATTCGCCATGCAGGGTAATCTCGAGAGATCCTCCAAAGGAAGAAAAATAGAGTGACGAGAAGAAGACCTCGCCAGGAGAAAAGTGAAGTGAGGATGTAATTTAGCAAAATCATAATGATAATAGAAAGGAGTGCATATAAGAAGAGAAAAGAAAGTAATAGAAGGTGTCAAGTCCAAGAATTGCTTGGCAGACTCCACGCTGAAACGTTTCGATTTTAATGCACAAACAAGCTTAAATTCGTGTTCCCTTTGTGTCCAACCAATTTTGTAAGCTGTGATTCAGCAATATTAACTTGAGTTGTAGTTCTAAATAACAATGATAATATTATTATTAATCTTCGTTCCAAATTGTCGCGTATGTACAGAGAAATAAAAGGGACTGAATGCATTGTAGTTGGTCTTGTATTTTTAAGGTGTTCCATGAGGGCGTCGAGATGGTGTCGCTGATAGACGTCGTCTTGATCGCTTAAATCTTGTTTCTCGACGCAGACGTCTACAAAATAAGAAAGATAGAGGTTATAATTCGGCTTGCGCTGTAATCGTAATGTGTGTATTTACCTCATGTTACGCTCCTGAGCAATCAGCAACTTCTCCAATTCTTCATTCGATAGTACTTCCATCTGTGGTGCCCAACTTGCTGCGTCTTCTATGTTTCTGAATCCGTTTAAGAGAGGTTCGGCAAGCTCTTCGTGTAGCGACTACATTGCGACAGCGATAGATGGATCAGAATACAGATACTTAATAGTCTTTTATATAAAGAAAGCTAACCTCGTCAACCCATCGCCTCTTGTGTCTGTAAAGCTGTTCCCGAATAGCATGAGCAATGATGGGAACATATTCGCCGCCCAGTCCAGCTTCAGCCGCCAGTTGTTTGCTAAATACTTCAGGTGCATTGTCCGACGTATTGTTTAAATCCCATTCAAAACGATCTCGCAGATTAATTTTGCCAATTTGTAAATCAAGCTAGATAATAGACAATAGCGAACTTAGCATGAATATGTTTTTGTTCGTTTTTGTATATTATTAAAGCACATACATTGATCACCACTCGGATGCTCTCTGAAGGTAGCTCAACTTCATGTACTGCTTCAAAATCCATCACTTGAGTTCGTATTGATTCAGCAATAAGCGGTACAAACTTGACAACTGGAAGCTCTAGATCTTCACATAGCAACTCTGCGAACTTTTCCGGTGACAAAAATTGCTCTGATAAAAGCCAAAAAAAAAGAGAGGGTTAGTAACACAGTCCATTGTCTGATCCTTGTAATCCATCGACGAAAATGCAGAGCACGATCGCTCTCCTTACCGTTCATATTCCATAAGAACGCGTCCCGCAATTTCACCTCGTCCAAATCAATATCTAACCGAATTGGCACCAGTACTTCCTCCATCTTAGATGCCCTTTCAAGTTCTTTCTCTGGAGGATAGATATGGTTCTTTTTACGCAACACTTTACGAAGTTCTGCTTGTGGTGGACCTTGACTCCCTGGCGTTGACGTCCGTCCAGCAGCGGCAGTGGCTGCAGCAGCAACAGCCGATCGTGTCCGCATGCCCGATGATGGTGTTCCTTCGTCTGAATCCTCCCCATCGTCGAAATCATCGTCGGATTCAGGAGCAAATCGTGGTTTTTTGTTTGTAAGGTAGCTGCTGGGCAATAACAACGCGTTGTCTTCAGATTGCTTTAATCGTGCGGGGTATGTCGAAAAAACGCCTTGTATATTGTGCGAGAAGCCTCTATTGACCATTTGTGACGGAAACATTGGGTGAGGATATGAAACGCGCCCTTGCATGTGCGGTGGTGGATAGTGATGCATTGGATACTGCTGTTGCTGCTGCATTGGTGGAAAGTGCTGTTGTTGCTGTTGTGGAGGTGGTAATGGCTGCTGTTGTTGCATGTACGGCATCGGAACAAATGGTTGTTGATAATGTTGAAATTGTTGTTGCTGTGGATGTGCCATTGGCATACCACCAGCACTTGTTGGGTAAGACCCATTAGGTTGCAACGACGGTTGGTAAGGAATGGACATTGTGTTTAAACAGAAAAAGAAAGCGCGCGAAGTGAAAAAAAAAACGTCAGCGGCAATTTTAACTTCTTCAAATGCCGCGGAACCAATTTTCACTCTTTCTTGAGAGCGTATAAAAGAAAAAGGAACCACCGACGCATCCTCGGTTTCTCATGAAGCGGTCCACGAACGAGGTTGACTCGTCCTTTGACGGATCTGAGGCGCAGTACGTGTCGTATGTTTGAACGAATTTGATTTTGCTGGCAAATGCGTTTAATGTTGCTGTCATTCCCCGAGGATCGCCCTGATCAATTTGAAATGCATTCTTTTTTCCTTTCGTAGCAGACTCTCTAACGATGTAAGGAATGGTATTGTTGCATTACATAGCAATAATATGGACTATATGCAAGCCAGCGGTGCCGACTGGAATCAGGTAAATGTGTTTACTACAGCGCGTTGAAGAAAAAGAAGTAGTAGTACGTTTGGGCTCGTTCGTTGGATCGCGACAAACTGACTTTTTTCGCTTGTCTTGAGTACAGTTGCGCTTGACGGATCTCGAGTCGTCAAACATACAGTTGCAGATACAGGTCCGTCCTCCCTTTAGTTCTTAAAAATTATAACTTTGTTGCATATGTATTGACAGTGCAAACTTTTCTCTCTTTTAGTGCCTGCGGCGGATAAGTACAACAATTCCTATATTGATGCATGATCAGCAACAAGCAGTATTGGGATCCCTCTTGCAAATATTTCGCGAAACTACGAGCGAAGAAATAAAGGCATGCTACATCACTTTTATTTATGGTTTTTGCCGGGCGATCTTTTAACAATCTATAAAACTTGTTTAGGGGATTGTTATGTCACTTGTTCAAAAGTTCATGGTCGTACCTCAAGTCAATGGCCCACTATTGTTCAAGGACCTGGTTCTTCGGGTACAAAAAGAGAAGTGACTCTTATCTCACGATAGCGATTACTTTTATGCATACTAAATCACTGTTTGTACACAGCTATCGTCAAGCTCAACCTCAGTGCGCACTTTGTTATACAATTGCATTTACGACTTTCTCAAGGCAAGTTATTTGAAAAGACTAGAGCGATGCCACTTGTATTTTGGTGGGATATTAGCTAAATAACTTATTGGATGGGCATAATTAACTATTTCGTAGGCACGACAACTTTCGATTACTGTGGAGAACCATAAATCACTGACTCTTCTTTATGAAAAAGCTGTACTGGAGTTTGAGGAGCCAGACTATCGCGTGCGAGCTGCGTGCATTCGTCTATATTCACTGCTACCATTTGTCTTTAAAGCCTATGCAGGCTTTCAGATCAGCGTTCTTGAAAATTTGAGTGAGATGAAAGTTCAGAAGCTTATAAGTCGATTTGTCCGTGATAATGATCCACGTGTTCGAAAAGTAAGCAGCAAATACTTGAAGGACCTCTCTGTGTGTGTCACTCTACTTTGAAACGACAATGGACTTGTAATTAACTGAAGCGATCCGGTAACTTAGAGTGCGCTTGACTCATTGGTTGATATGCATTTACGTGGATCGCCACTCTATGACTCTCTCTACTCTTTGGCTGTCGTCTCATTGCGCGACGATTTTGAAGAAGTTCGACTTGGAGGTCTTAATCTCATATGGTATTTCTATTCGAACTCTCTATATCATGAATTACAAATATGATAACACAGAAAATATGCTAATTGTACATCAAACACGCAATTATCAGGGCAGTGAGTTCATTGAATCCCGATATTCTATTATGGTTGCCCAAGGACGGTCCATATGAGACTGTTCGCTTGATCGATGATGCTTTCTCGAAAATTTGCGACCTGGTCAACGATGTATCTGTTGTAATTCGGACAAAGGCGTGTGTGATCATGTCGTCATATCAACATGTCAATGCAGATATCTTATCACAAACATTCAGCAAGCAAATCATGTCACGATTAAGACGCAGGTTCGACCGCAAGAGACAACGCAAACATGAAGTGAGTATCCATACTCTATAGTTCATGTATGTATGTCATTTTTACACATTTGTTTTGTACTTTTTGCAGATTATTCCCGTAGCAGAAGGGGATATGGATGTGGAAACGGAGGAATTCCGCATCATGGATTCTGGTGCCTGCGGTGCTTTTGTACATGGTCTTGAGGACGAATTTCAAGAAGTACGCAATGCATCCATCGGTATGTGACTAGCTGTTTGAATTGGCAGTTTGTAAAGAAGTGATCATAATCATTCGGCTTTTTTACGTATTAGATTCCATTTGCGAACTTTGCATGTATAATGGGCATCTTGTGAACAAGGCTGTGGATGCTCTCGTTGGTAAGTAGTTATGAGCTAATAACTGCTAGCCATCCTTTTATGTTTCTAATGATCGACTTCTTATTATATCAGATATGTTTAACGATGAGATCCCCCAAGTGCGTATCAATGCGATCAACAGTTTGCGCAAAATCGGTACCCGCTGGCCTTTGAAATTTGATATAGAGCAATTGGAAATTTCCGCCGGTACTCTAGACGATTTTGATCAGACAACACGATTCACAACGCATGACCTTCTGGCGTAAGTTTGTAAAAAAAGGAAAGAAAAAGAAGGTACTTTGAAAGCTAAAAAGTTGATTCGTAGTGTTGTTGAAATTGAAAACGAAGAGTCGCTCTTGCTTTTAATGACCGAGCTAATGGAAAATATCAAACGATATCCTCAAGACTTATTATCAATATATCGTTGTATACGTGAAGTTGGTAAAAGACACCCAGCTATAGTTGGTAAGTTGCTACTTGAGGGCAGCAGATCGTATCCGTTATACAACATACGTTTTTGGTACGAGGTCTAATCACGTGCAATAGCTAAATGCCGCAAAAGCTTGTTTGACATTGATAATCGCTATTTGACCAAAGAACCTAGCATTGAAAGTCCTGTTTGTAAGTGTCTATATATAAGTGGAGTCGCTGCTGACCATAATGTACTTTTTAACTTACAAGGAATTGGATAGATACCGCCCGCGTAATACTACTTGTAAATGCTGTAGTATCACAGCCTTCATTAGCCACGGATCTACCATCATATATGTTCCAACACTTTGCTTATTATCGAAGAAAATACCCAGATTGTGTCCAAGACATACGGGTAACAAATAATTGGCGTAACAATTTTAATCACTACACAGCCAGAATACAAATCTAACTTCTTTCTTCTTTTTTTCCAGGTGCTCCATGAAAATGGGTTGATGAAGAGCCCGGAATATGCCAGCATTGATGGATTTGTTTCTGAGACAGGTAACGCCTACCATGTTCTTTTATTTCAATAATTATTGCTAGGCATATGATTAATCACTATTGGCGATAAGTTGCAAAGATGAGTCTGAGAGATATCTCGGAATACACAACAACGACATCACATTTATTACAAATCGTAAAACGCCAAGCCGAACGATGGGAATATTCTGCAGCATTAGCGACGATACAAGATGCTATCAAGTGAGTCGTTTTCCCTTATCATCCTGGAATGTGAGAGTTATTTAGCTTACCTCATCCTCTTATAAAAAGGAACTATAAATATATCTGTACACTACGGCCGTCCGGGAATGTGCGCTTAGCAATTACATACCTTGAATGCTACGAATTGGTATTGAGGGTAAGATACTGCTCGTTTTATATACATGTATGTACACGTGAAACATTATACTAACCGTAAGGGGATCAGATAAAACAAAACTTTGGGACGCCATCATTTGCATCAACAGCACAAATCGCTGCCACCAACCTACTTCAAGCGTCTTATATCATGCAATACAGCTTTATCGGTCTCTCGGCATGGAACATGCAAGCTATAATCTACTTTCGAATCCTCGTCAGCATCGTGTGGACGTTTGGTATAATCAAAGACATGCCAGTGTAAGTGATTATAAGCACCCGAATATGCTTGCTCAAGATCTTCTCTGATTCTTCTTTTTTTTTATAACAAAAACGACATAGTACCAGTTCAGCCTTCAAACTTCAAAGTATTTTCATTGCTTTTGTTAATCGTATCGATCAAATGAGTCGGTAGGTTGAATAGTGAAAAACATGTCTGGAAAATTGTGGAAAAGGTAGAATTCTTTACTAAATGTGCGAGTTAGACATTTGGATAAGGAAATCTACCAAATGCTATCTATTGGCGATCTTAGAAGTATCCTCGTTAAAATAAGCACGGACCCTACTGCTGCAAAATGGGTTGGATTGCACTCGTTTCTGACGGTAAGCATCCTTTTTGACGTATACTCCCTTAGATAGACATGAATTGACATTGGGTTGTTCTTGTATGTATCTTAGGGCTTCCTCCCTATGGAATTGGATATAGATACTGCCGTGAAACACACAAGCGCAGAAATCACTAATCCGCAACCTAACCCGGACAAACCGCTCAAATTCAAATCCAACATACGGGTCAACTTGGACGTTGAAGCAATTATATACAACTCCAGCGATATCTACGATATTGCCATCGAGGTAAATTTGACATCATGGATGTTCTCTTTGGTAATGATAAAGCCTAGACATTAACGGGTTTTCATTGTTGTTATTGCTACTCTTAGATCACCAATCCGGATCAAAGTAGTCAAGTATATTGGCCAGTATCAAACGATTTTATACCAACCACACCCTTCTGCTACAAACTAAAAGCCAAGGTTGAACTACACTATTCGGGCTGGACAGGTAAAAGAACCACAAAGATATCTAGCGCCTTGATTTGGTTTTACAGAAATTGACGACTGGCTTTCTTTACTTCGCAGAACCTTGTAATATTACTTTGCGAATAGTTCGATCATTTGAACCAGATTTAGCAGGTTTGGATGGTTACATAATGAAGTATCCTAATGCCGAATCATCCAACACACACTTTGCACAACACTCTCAAGATGTCGTATCCATTCCTATTAGCGATCCAGTACTTTACAACATCCATCCTTATTCCAAAAAAGCTCAAGCATCCTCTGGAAAACCAGTATTCGCATAAACCAACTCACTGTCTTTTTTTCATTCCCTCAGTCTCACCACTGATATCATGTAAATAATGTCACACCGCTCGAATCATATAAGCACATACACTGCACACACATGTGCCAAACAACAAACAGAACTAAATTGAAATACTGCACTTTATGCAAGCTCTCTATTTCTTGCGCTTGTTTTTACTGGCTTTATTGTTGTCTTGTTTGATAAAACCACAGTCTACTAAAGCGGCCCTTGCCGAATTGTTGATATGCTTGAAGCGATCCGCACCGAGTTGAATGCCTAATAATAGTATAATTCAATATATGACTTGCCTACTGGATAATATCTCACAATGTTACACATAACTGGCAGTCGTTATACATACCACCAAACCACCGGCTGACGACTACAACTGCATTCTTGACATCTGTGATTTGCAACAAGTGCATCATGCGACCTAATATATGCATATCCATATTGCAATTAGATCCATATTGCTCCAATATTAACGAAAGAAAGGGAAAAAGATAGCAACACTCACCGCCTGCAGCCGTTTCGCCATCATCGTCGTTATCTTGAAGTATGTGCCCATCGGGTAACTCAATTCGGTACGCCATCATATTGTGAGTAGCCTTGGCAATCTTTTTATCCTCCAAAAGCTTTGCCACGACGGCCCGTACTTGTTCAACATTATGCACCTTGGCGACGTGTGCCACGAAAGTCGACTTTCTATCGACAATCGCATCTGGAGAAGTATATATGGGTGGTGCTGCAGCCGCAATATCGTTCATCCTACTCTCCTTTGCGTTATCTTCTTGTACTGGATCCTTTTTTTTACAGGAAAACCAAACCGCAATATAAGCCAACTATATGTATGGGCACTTTTTTCATGCCCCAACTGTCACCCGTGCAATTCTTATACCAAACCCTATCTTCATTCATACCTTTTTTTCGGGTTGGTCTTCGAGCTTTTGAAGCTCCAGTTGCTTGCATAGTGCCTCTTCATCGGGTTTTTCAACTTCATTTTCCAAGTAATCGCGTAACCAGCTGATCCACGCGAACAATACCACCTCCCCCGGTTGAAACATGGCTTGGAATTCGTTGTCAATCTTGTCCAGCATGGTATTATCGATGCGGTGGGTGCCGCAGTATACCGAAGAAACTTCGTAAATGGGTGGATCATTGCTGGGGTATGTGGGAGGTAAAAAGAAGCGCACAACGACTATTCTCGGTGACTTTAAAGTTTCGTCATCGTCGTCGAGGTTGATTGTCACAATATATGCGTCGTCCGACGATTCGTTTTCTTTCTTAACAACGTCCGGCCCGTAAATGGCTTCTAAGGCCATATACTCTTCTTCCTGTAAGTCTTTATTGTTCTCGGACATAATAGAGTTTAGTGGACCGAATTTGGCTGTCAATACATCCGAATCATCCCTCTTTATCTATTTATATACAGAAAGCTCCTCCCAAAGTCACGCAAAAAACCGATATATCAGTTTTTATGGTTAAAGGACATCACGATGCTCTTGGACCTCCAATATCATTACTCATTGTGCCATCCAGATATCGCTGGGTCAAGAACGCGTCTTTTTTGCCATTACATTCGATGAAAATTTCACGCCAGGGCTCCTTCCAAGCAACCGAATAAGTCACTGAAGGATCATCCACGGTCACTACAGATTTCAGCCAATTCAGGAACTGGTCCGTGAAATTCATACACACGGATGGATCCTATAAAGGTTTTTAGCTTCGTTAGTATATGTATCTGCTTTTTGTATATGGTATACCCATGATAGAACATGACACATATGTACATACCCACATGTTCGGTTTTCCCCGCACTTTGCGAGGAATCTCAAGAGTTTTTAAAGTCTCAAGATGACTAATGACTCCATTATCGTCGCGAAAACCGCATACCACTCTAGGTACTCCAACAAGGAAAGATTGTGCCCAGAATTTGAGTAGCTTGTATCTAATAAATAAAGGAAAAGAGTGAGTTACATAAGCGGATGAAGTTTGTCTATGATGTGTTAAGTTGCTAGCATTTACTTTTCAAAGGATATCTGCTGCCTTTCGACATCAATGCGTCTTGATGTTTTAAGCTCAATGTATTGCTTCAAAGGATTTCGTTCTTCCTTGGACGGTTTCAATCCTATAGATATGCAAGTTCAGCATCCAAGATAAACCACAGGAGCGACAACCGAGCTTTTAACATTTCTCACCTTCAATACAATCCACCTCGGCGCCCATAATAATAGAGTTTCCGCCAAGTCTAGTCCGTACGATCACGCAATATTGTACATTGGTATTCGGTGGTTCCATGTCTTCGTTTACTATGGGAGCCTCCCCTTTTGGATCTGTTGATGTGCACATTGCTTCAAATTGATATCCCCAATAGCTCATAAGCCGCTGTCGATCATCCGTCGTTGCTTCGCGCTGGCGTTTTTGCTCTGTCTGTTGTTCCTCGATATAAATCGTACCCTATAAATGCATAGAATGGTTACTTGCTGAATCTACGTTTATTTTTGGATGATGACATAAGAGTTACCTTTGATCGCGTCACTCGCAATTCCCAAGGCTCGTTACGCGAAAAAGGTGTACAGAAGAGCTTGGTCATAATACCTCGCCAAGTTACCTTGAAAAGCGAGTATGGTTCAGCATTCCATTAATACATATTTTCTCTATCCGTTGTATTCCTCTTCTTACAATATCAGCTTGTGTGTCATCAACAGTACTTTTTGATTTGGCGTCAGTCAAAGCATCCAAAAGCGTATCAATATGTTCCGGTATAGTTTCGTCGCGTTGAACAAAACGATCATAGTTGTACGAAAGCGAAGGAGTCGTGGAAGTTAATCGCGGTGCTGCATAATATTTCTAAGATTGTTACAAATGAGTGTACGTATAGCAATATCGTTCAAAACGAATTCTAGTTAATAAGTTACGTACAAGCTCTCTGTCGTCGAACCAAACCCTGCGATCAGCATCGATGCTGTAAGAATTGACCTCAATAGGTTGTCTGTACTCAGGGCAGCGTCCACTGTATCGATGAGCTGGTAATACGCGAAAACTGTTTTGCTCAGCTTCACCATTCCGGTGAAAACGTTTGGCTGCCGAGTTTATGACGTCTTCGTAAAGATGCTTTCTTTTCGACATTATGATTTTTGTTGCCACGAGGTTTATGAGGGAAAGTGAAAGAAAAAACAGGTTCGAGCCTTTTCTCAGTTTCTTAGTAGCGCACTTCAATGCAGTGTATCCCCGCATAGCAGCGTTTGCTCTACACACGGAAAGGTCATTCTACTTCGCTCCAAATACCCTGAGTTTGCTTAACATTAGCTATGTAGCAGCTCTTTAAACCACAAAGCAGCATGTTTGCCCTCATGTAACAATCATAATGATGGAACAAAGCTACTCTTACAACGCTATCCAAGCAACGAAATCGACCGCCAGGTCATCACACCTACAGTATATCACAAGCGATGAATAACAGGCCCAAGCTATCATTAAAAAAGGATTGCGTGTTACTCCACCAACATGCTCCCTTCGTTCCTTCGATTACTAATGACTCGTTGAACGTATATATTGAATATCGTATGTGGTGACGATTTTAGGGGGAAAATGGCTGGCGCAGGTCGAGAATGTTTTATTGAGCATGGAATGTATTTTTACAATACATACTGGATCTGTTTTTGCTTTTTGTACAGGTAATGATATAACATCTAGAAACCAACAGGGCTCGTTCGTTCGGTCTTCTTGGTGAATTTTGGTACTTTGTGAAGCGACTTGCGGTGACCTCGTGCGTATCTGCTAAAGACGGTATACTTGTCGCGAGGGTGCATTTCGGATTCTTTAGGAAGTGCCAAGGCCTTATCTAAAGCTTTGCAACGAACGCCGGAATCTGCTACGGTAGCGATGACATCGTCGACAGCCTTGAGTCTCTTGCGTACGTTGGCTTTACGAGTGCCGGACATGCGAAAAGGGTTCTTCCTAAAAATAACTATTGTTAATATGGTCTTGCGATCTATAGCATATGCATATTCATTTTGGAAGCGAGAATCTAAGTACCAAAGGAGACCACCTTGAGCTACAAGTGACTGACGAAATGCGCCAAACATTATTAATATAGCATATACAAGAGCGGAACCCACTACCCCCCTCGCACAGCATTATACATACGACCCTTTCTTCCTTGGAAAGGTTGAGTTGGTGGCTTGGCTCCTATTTCCCGCTTTGCCCATTTAACTAATTTGACAGAACCGATTTCGGGCTCTTTTAGATTTTTCCTGCAAAACTTGAAAATATGAGCGACACGATCACGGCAGAAACGACCTTGCCCTTCGGAAAGCAACTGGCTGCCAATGGTACATTCTTGAATTCCATGGAACGCTCGCTACTGTTTTCTGAGGCGCACTAATCGTTGAACTTGTAAACATATAGAAAAGAAAACTCGCGACAAAGCCGTCAGTGCATTACGTCGTTACATTTCCAGCAGTCCTGAGCTTTCTCGTGTAGATCTTTTGAAATTATGGAAGGGCTTATTTTATTGTAAGAATACAGTAAAAGACCGTTATACGAATGGTCTTGATTGTGTGTGGCGATGAGGCTTTTGTCTGTATATTTAACGTTTTACTCTTGCATATTAATCTAGGTTATTGGATGTCTGACAAGCCTTTGGTACAACAAGACCTCTCTGAAAAACTGGGATCTCTTGTATTAGACATACCAGCTGATAATGCCATTCCGTTCCTCGAAGCATTTTGGGAAACACATTGCTCAGAGTGGCACGGTTTGGATAGAATAAGGTAATTGATGCAATTTTAGTTTATCTAACAATTTTACCAAATGGCTAAAGGATTATGAATTGATAACACAGATTGGACAAGTACTACATGCTGTTACGGCGCGTTATTTTTTACTCGTTTTTGTTTTTGGCAAACCATGATTGGAATGAGGAGAATGTGGAAGAGTATACTACCATGCTTTTAAATGGTCCCCTACAGTAAGTTTTTGATCCCAACTGACTTTTACACTTAATGCAGTTAAGAACTTGTTCGATGGCTCACATAGATGTTTTGCCAACTTTAGTCCAACAGACCGAAAAAAGCCTGATTCCATCCGATACCATATTTTTGACGTTTATTTCGAAGAGCTCGATAAGGTGATGGAACTGCAACGGGAACAAGGAGAAGAGGTTCATTTGAGCATGGAATCAATTGAGCGACCCATTCAAGTTGCAGCGACTGAATCTATCAACAAGGTCGTAAGGACAAAGGCCAAGGCCACACTAGCTGCATGGGAAGAAGTTAAAAAGGCAGAAGAAGAAAGTGGAGATCAAGATATGGACGAAGACGAAGAATAGATTCCAAAGCTCTCCTTGTATATAATAATCACATCATCTATCGACCAAAAGATAAAATATTCATGCATAGCATTTGTATTACCATAATATAATATTCTTTTTGAAAAAACAATTTTAAAATGACTTTTTGATTGAGAAATATACTGTTGTGTGATATGGAAATCATGCAGATGGAGTAAAGAAAGGAACTATTTAATCATCATCCCAGTGGCCCTGCTGCTTGGGGGGCTTGGGTCCTCCTGCAGGTTTGGACATAATAATCTAATGAGAGAAAAAGTAACATGACATATCAGCATCTGTACATTCTTGTAGCTAACAAGCAAAAACAAAACTCTATTAGAAAGACGTACCTGGTCTACGCGCAAAACTGTTATTGCTGTATCAGCGGCAAGTTTGATTGCCAAGTGCTTGGCAGGGAAGGAGTCGTAGACGCCAATCTTGGCTGCATCTGCAGTGCCGTCGTTGTCATTCTAAATAGCAATATATCGTCGTGATCAGTTTACAATCATTCACTATGAAATATGTATAGATCAATGGCAAATACCTCAACATCAACACCAACACTAAGGCCAGAGTCGCCCTCTTGGTAATGAGCAGCGTACAAACGGGACAAGACAGCAGTGGCATCCATACCAGCGTTTTCACACAAAGTGCGAGGTACCACTTCAAGTGCCTCAGCGAACTTCTTGATGGCGTGCTGATTCAAACCAGGAGTCTTGGAGGCAACAATTTGCAAACGCTTGTTCAATTCCATTTCAACAGCACCGGCACCAGGTAACAAACGAGGATCACGGGTAGCAGCCTTGATCACGTTGACACCATCGTCAATAGCGCGTTCGATATCATCCATGTGGTTTTGTGTTGCGCCACGGATCACCACAGTGGTGGTACGCGAGCGGTCCAATTCTTCTTGACGGAACACAGTAACACGGTCGCTACCGATTTCGACAGTTTCAACAACATCACAGTAGCCCATTTCTTCTGCCATAGGAGCACCCAAACGTGCTAATGCGGTAGCGCCAACAACGCGGCACAACCGACGAAGGTCAAACTTGGACAAGACCTTGACAGACAAGATACCGAAACGGTTCAAATAATGTTGTGCCAGTTCGCCGATACCATTACCGGTAACAACGACCTTGACACCAGCATCGGACAGTTCTTGGAAAATCTAAAGAAAGGAAATCCAGTTTTAGCCCACATCCTAAACTCAATCACATTTTAACACTATGCCTGCTTCTTAAATATCTAGAGCCTTACCTTTTCCATATGCTTCTCTTCATCTTTGCTAAAGTTTAGCATTTCCTGTGCATTGTGAATAAGAACGGTACCCTTAGTTTCCGTTTGAGCGATATCCAAGGGACAAGTGAAAACAGCAACCTTGGCCTTAGTGGCGCTCTGGATAGGGCCTATAATAACCGAGAAAAAAACATCAAAGTTCGTAAGGTACACAAATTGCGTATCCTTCCTCTCTCACGCACACACTAAAAATGTTGATCAAAACGCTTACCTTCTGGCTCACGACCGAAAACCATGCCTCGCACGACCTTTGATTCATAGATGCTGGAACCCATCACCTTCACAACTCGAATGTTATCCACGTTGAAATCAGTAGGGTTCTTGGGCATCACATTTTGTGCGGCTTCAACAACAAGTTCACTCAACAAATCTTCGTGACCATATTGCTTTGATCCAATGGCTGCCTTGACACTTTTAAGCAATTCGTCTTTTGACTTCAAATCTTCAACTTTAGCCACGGACAAGTCTAAAAATGTAAAACGAAAACGCGCAATTCCCCCCTTTTATGTTAGAATGCAACTCGCTTTTTCCTGGAGCAATGACATCCAACTTCATAAACATTACCTTGAATAATCTCAAGAGCTCTATCTCTTGCAAGTTCATAACCTTGAATAACCTCAGAAGGGTGAAGGCCGAGACGCAACAAGTGTTCCGCCTTCTTCAACAATTCACCGGCGAAGACGATGACAAGATTGGTATTATCGCCTAACTCGGATTCTTGTTGCTGAGATGCCATGACAAGTAGCTTTGCGGCAGGATGTACAACGTCCAATTCACGAATGATGGTTGCAGCATCGTTGGTAACGAAAAGTTTTTCGAGATGATTGATGATCATTTTGTTACGACCTGTTGATGGAGAGGGGAGATGTTTAGTTTTCTTTACACTTCAGATGATGCTTGATCTATCGAATAGAGGCAAGAGTGGGATCTTATATGTACCATTAGGACCCATCGAGGTGCGTACAACTTCGGCAAGTTCGTGAGTTGCCTCAATGTTGCGCAATACTGCCTCATCAACGCCTTGTTGGAACTGTCAAAAATAACAAAAACAATTTGACTCGACATCAGTCAAAGTTCTTTTATATGTTTGTGTACTAGTCCGTGTCAATTGCTCATGCTTGTCTTACCTTATAGCCCTCCTTAAAGAGTTGAGGAAGTGTGCTTTTGGGTATGCGTAGAGCCATGACAGTTTTCGTAGATTGACACGCGTCAAAAAAAAAAAACGAGTTAGGTTCAAAAATTCGGACGCCTTTTTCTTTCTTACTGCGAGCTGTACACGTGCCTCCGCCCCGGTTTTCAAAGTCCCGCTCACTGATCAGTTGAAGGCAAGCATGCAGGGCGTAGGAGCTTTATCATTGAATACAGATGTTTTCTTGGAAGAGTTGCGCAGTATTACATACTTATTGGTGGCAAAGTGGTAGTAGTACTATAAGCATTGTAATGCAGTGTACACAATAGCTTTGTCAAGGAACTCGTTTTATCGAAGAAGAATTGAGGGAAGGGACAGGAGGGATAAGTAGCAGGAGACAGGTAGTATCTATTATTTATATAACAAGAGTATATGCTGCTATACATCATTTTGCTGTTGATAGAATGATTGTAGATATAAAGTCAAGGATTTATACAAGTACTCAAATATTCTATTAAGCCTGCGGGGTTCTAGACATCAGGTTATTGGTTGACCACATACAACCACTCGTCGGAACGCGTTTCTTTTGCTTCAGCAGCACTTTACATAACACGACGACAGAAATGGCATCAACTGCCGAATGGACCGTACTGGAGAAACTACTTCTAGCTCAGGCTGTCTATAAGTTTGGCGAAGATAACTGGTTCCAGATCGCACGCAATCTTAAGCAGCACAGCATGTTGGATCGACAACCCGAGTTTTTCAATCAAAAAGTAGTCCTTTTTCCTTTCATGTTGGGCAGAAACAAAGCAAATTTGTTTATTAATCCCACACTGAAACTTCTTGATTAGAATTGCTCACTACAATACTACTTATTGATTGAAGATCTTGAAAATGAAAAGTAAGATATCAACCATTTTACTTCCTCTTCCTCCTCCCGCACCCTTTAATTACGATACTCATGTATATGTAGACGACAGACAAAGTCGAGTGCCAGTGCTACGGCACAGGACATGCCACCAGTGGTCAAGTTAGCCAAACAGCTTTATATTCAACGTATCGATGAATTAAAAAGGGCGATCAAACAAGACGATGTGAAATTCATGCAATTGATTGGTGAAATTGAAGAGATTCGTGCTGGCAAATGGGACGCGAAACTAGGGTCCCAAGTCGAAGAGATTGAAGAAACTACTATTACTCCACAAGAAACTACGGCTACTGTACAACAAGCAGAATTTCAGCAACAACAACAACAGCAGCAGCAAGAATCATTATCATCCTCAGAAAAGTCAGAGAAAGGAAAAGAAGATGAACCGAAAGCAGAAGTGAAAGAAACTTCATCACAAGCAGTATCTCCCACGTCAGAAGCAGCAACCCCTACCATGACTACATCCTCCGTAACTTCTACCACACCTACTACTACAATGGCACCAGCTACCAGCACTATAGATGTACAATATACCCCAGCCCGAACATCTGCTGAAACAACCGCCCAATCACTTACGCAAAGCGCAGATATTATGGAAGTAGTATCAGAAATACCACCGTCATCCCAACCAAAAGCTGAAGCCTCTACAGTAGAAGCAATGAGTACAACACCCCCACAGCAAGTGGTACAGACACCAACGCCTGAGCAAGAAAAAGTACCGACACCTGTAGAAAAGGTGGAACCGATGGAGGTTGATACACGAGAACCCGAGGCTACCATGGTACCTTCAGTAGTTGAGGAAACGGCAGCGCCTGCACAAGCACTCCAGCATGAGCCACATGTCACAGCACAGCCTACAGTTTCGCCGCCGTTGCCCCAGCATCAAAGTGATACGACAGGTCAACAAAAACCAACTACACCTGCAATGAGCGCTTCACCACAATCAGACACCAGCTACCAATCCGCCCTGGAAGCCACACCCGCCGCGACACTTGTCCAACCTGCAACACTCGACGAAAGTACAGTAACCACTGACCAGCAAGCCGCTTTACCGCCAGGAGAGCCAGCGGCAGCACTCCCCTCTGAAGGCGAAAAACGTAAGCTCGAGGATTTTGAAATGACTGAAAACTATAATGATGAACAACAAGCAACCAAACGCCAACGTCTTGAGCAGCCTTCTAAGGGTAAAAAAAAACATAATTAGCAATGCTACTGGATATTAGTTGGAAAATTCACGCATGAAACTTTGCATAATATATTAGAATCAACAGCCGAATATCAAGACAACGAAGGCTCTCAGGAACAACTTGGATCCGCAGCTGCCACATCCTTGTCCGCAGATGAAGAACGTATAAAGACAGAACCATCATCAGGTGAGCTTTTGGCTTCTTTCCAACAACCTTTCTTTGGAGGCGGTTGTGGGATAATGAAGGAAGAGGGAGGGGGGACAGACGATTTATTAAAAATCAATGTGATATCTAATCATGACTTTTGTTGCTGTAGAGCCCAAATCTCCTGAGGCGATGAATTTGAAATCACCCGAAGGCCCTTTATCGGTAATGAGTGGGGCGGATGCTGAAGGAACAGAAAGTGTTACCGGCAGCGAAAGCAATGCACCGACCCCCACATCTTCTTCTGATAAACGCAAGAGCAAAGATGAACAACGGCAGCAAAAGTCTTGGCAAAAGAACATCAATCTCCTGTGGCGCGAAATAGCGAATCACAAGAATGGAGCCATGTTCATGAACCCAATCAAGGAAGCAACTGCACCTCTGTACTACGAAGTCGTCAAGCATCCTGTTGACCTCAAGACCATCAAGAACAGAATCAGAGATGGGGTAACGTGAGCCCATGAGAACAAAAGTTAGAGGCTAGCTGTGGTTGATGTAAATGGGACAATGTATTTACACTATTATTATTTCATTCTACTAGGCGATAAAAACCACTGTTGAATTTGAACGGGACATCGTCTTGATGCTGACCAACTCTTTAATGTACAACAAAGAGGGCACCGAGATATACCAGATGGCATTGGAGATGCTTGAAGATGTGAACGAACAATTGAAACTGTTCAAAACCGCAGATAGTAATTCGTCAACAACGACAACGCATACTCGAAAGGCATCCACAGTAGCTAAAGATCGACGAAAGAGCGTAGCCGAGTAGTGATGATGACGATATTAAATAAAAGATCGTGTGCACAATGATAAAAACAAAATCTTGTTTCATCATGATTAGATCTTGATTATAATATGGCAGGATAGCATGCCGCACAACTTTAATGTTTGTTGTGCATGCGATTTCACAGCTGTCAATCGGTACGTATGTAGATATTAATATCTCATTTGATCTAACACATATCATGAGGATCATATTCCAGATCTGGCTCTGATGCTGCACATTACGCAGCTCACATGTCTTTATTTTGTGCGCAACGGCAACGCGTAATGTGAAAAAAAAAGAAGAACGACAATGAATAAGAGGTCTGTATGATCTTGATACGGTGTGTGTATGTGTATGTGTGTGCTTGTATTGTATGGCTTATGAGGAAAAAGATTGATTGCGGAAGAACAAGGCATAAGGACAACGATGGTTACTAATAAGAGATGATTCTCATCGGTATGATGAGGACATGTTGTGATGATGGTGATGGTGATGGTGTGGGATTGTTGGTTGTGGTTGTGATTGCTCTTGTTGTTGTTGTTGCCGCTGCTGCTGCTGCTGTTGTTGCTGTTGTTGTTGTTCTAGCTGTGCCTTTTTCCTCGTCAGCTTTGCATAATCTATAAGGACAACAAGAATGCATGTTCAATGTTTTGTCATTATCCTACAAACTGCGCATCCAGAACCAATGCTTGCTGTTGAAGACGTACGTAACCCGCATGCATTGCAAAGCGTCCGAGCACCATCTGGGCCTCTTCGCCATTCTGGTGTTTCCGAAATATTACATGAATGACATCGTCCTTGGAACGTTGCACTTTTCTATTAAATCGATGATGAACAGGAATCGGAACAGTGAGCCTATACACTATATCATTGATGGAGAAGATTAAACTTACACCGCGTCGTCGTTGCCGTAATTTGGTTAGAGACAAAGTTCCTGTATGCCAAGCTGCAGTCGTTGTTGGGGGCGATGATACTGTTGTGGTAGGCCTATCGGACTGGTGATAATGGTAGTGACGACAAGCGAGCATTAAGCGGGATCAGAACAGGTCAAAGAAAAGAAATGGAAATGATTGCTCTCATGATTGAAAAGCTTAATTTTTACCCGAATAGGATGCTCCAACTGTGGTCGTGCAGTTTGCTGTTTCCTCAGCCGCAATAATGCATTAAGCACCTCATTCGCCCGACCAATCATGTCATCCAACCATGGCTTTGGATCGTCGTCATCCGTCCACTGGCTTCTGCGCTGGCCAATACTTTTGCACAAGTAGTGGCAATGCTCGATGATCTGTAGACAGAGCACAAAGGTCGTGCATGATGAGTTTTAAAAATAAAATTTACTACGATAGGGGCTGGTTTGATTAGGTTGCGCGCGGCATTATTTGTCACCGCTAATTATTTCTCATACTTGATCAACGTCGTGGTAAACGGGAGGGCTAAATCTGGAGCGGGCGACGGGTGTGGAGGACGATGACGATGTGGATGGTGGCGAAGAACGACTGCTGGAAGACGCTGGTGTGATGACGGGTTGGAAGGGCGTGTTATGAGAGAGGGGTAACCACGGCGATGGTTGCTGTGGGTGTTGCTGTGGTATTGACGGTAACGGCGGCTGTGGTGATGGTGATGGTGGTGGTGGTATCTGTGGCTGCCAGGAACGGGCGGGCAGGAAATCATCGATCACGGATATAGGAGGAAGATGCAATCCTTCTTCACTGTTGCAATGGATTGAAAATGGGGCAGATAGTATAAAGAGAAGCAGGTCCAAATGTGAGCTGGGCAACAGTCTGAAGGAATCCAATGTTGTTGGACGTGTCTGTTCTTTCTTTTACCTCTGCGATGCTGGACACATATTGGACGACAGGATGAGAACAGGGCAGCACTAGAAGAACAGAAAAGAGAGCAGCAAAAGAGGGAGAAAAAGAAGAAGAGAGAAGAGGGAAAAGAAGATGTTTATATTTTTTTTTTCCGGGATTCTTATCCGGCCATTCGAAGGAGGAGGCGCGTGTGTGTGATTTGGCGTGTGACAAAATCAACGACATTGCAAACGGCCCTTTCTTGTTCTGGATTATTGCCTCTTCAACTCCCTCTGTTTTTCTTGTTCCGTGCTGGTGGTGATGGATGGATGGAGGGGGGGGAGACGAGGAGGCGCAAAACCTCATCCATCCCGCACCGACCTTCACATGTAACGCCCATTCCTCCGGTGTAACCTCTGCTGTTTGATGGACAAGCTACCCATCATCGCAGAGCCATCTTCTGTTCTCAGAAGAGAGTCAGCCAGAGAAAAAAGGTCATGTTGACAAGCGTCTTTGCAAAGAAGTGACCGTGTCACTGACTTGTCCAAGACAGCAACCACGTGGAGGACAAGAATGTTCAGCAATCTACAGTTTTTCCCATCAACTGTACAATTTCGATCTGGCTACAGATTCCTTCTGCGTGGTCTGATATCCCTCTCTTTGTCCCATACTTTTCCCCTCCAGCCCAAAAAGCAAGAAGGTTGAAACCTAACTTGTGTGTCATACAAACAAACACTCTCCAACAATGCTAGTCAGCAGAAAATGCTCACGACCGCTTGTTTGTTCTGCTGCTGCTGCTGCTGCTGCTGCTACAGCTGTTAATCTGAGCATATCGCTCTTGTCTTGAATTTGGTCAAACAAGGTGTTTGGGATTCATTCGGGCTCAGACAGTTAAGCTACTGCTCCCTGTGCTCAGAGTATATCGAGATCTTGTTTGTACATTTTAGATTGTGCAACGTCCTGTCTAGCCTCACGTCCCCCCCCCCAACCCTTGTCTCTCTGCTCATCCAACCACCTCCCTCTCCACGGGGCCCCCACTCTGTTTCAGAAGCTTGTTGAGCAAGCCCTTATCACAATGTATCTTGTACATATCTAGATCATCAACCCAAATTGTAGATGCACACCATGGCTAGCTTTCTCTCTTCTTTTCATTTATGGCAACACCCCATCCTATGTCTACAGATTCAACTTAGTGATGGTGGTGGCTGGAGCGTGTGAGCTATGGAACAGAAGAGGAATGGGTCATATAGCGTACACAAACGAGATAAGAAAGATATCAGGAAAGGCTTCAAACAAGGGACACTGCAGCCGGCAATGTCGTCAGCTTTATTACGTAAACTCCCCGTCTGACGATCCGTTGTTGTGGTTGTTTGCTCTGGGTCATTAGGCATTGTCGTGGTAACTCTAATTCCCCGTCCTCAATCGCTTACTTAGCAGCCAACCACGCCCTCTATCCTTCGATAGCAGATGACATCGTATAACAAAAAGGAACACAAGAGAATTTTGCTATATTTAACACTTGTCGACTCTATTAAGCAAATTTCGCCGATATTTCTTTTTGGCACCTTCAGGGTCATCACACCCATCTCACAAAAATTGGTGCATGTCCATTTTTGTGAACTTCCGGGCTCTTTTTTTCTGATTACAACCTCAGATTTTTTTCCCAACCAATTTGTTTTGCCCTCTTTTCTGGTTTCCTTAGTAAGTAATGCCACTTGGCGTGATATGTGAAATGGGAGTCGTCAGTAGAACCACTCGCGTGTTGAAACGTGCCCCAACCTTGGCCCGTGCTCGTAGTAGTAGTACCTCATGTTTTCTTCTCCGATTTTGGCGGGCTCAGGAAACACTGTTTGGGGGGGTGGAAAGAGAAAAGATGGTTACAGAGCCTCCATGTGCTGGGTTGCACCTAATACCTAAACATGTTTACGCTTACTTCAAAGGTCCAAGGAAAGAGGGAAAAAAGGTGTGTGTGTTTTTCTTCGAAGCCACGAAAGATAATTTCCCGCTTAGTAGGTTAGAAATAGTCTATTCCTGGTGGGCAGAGAAGAGGAGACTTGGAATTGTCCGGGCAAAGTCAAATATGTGCAAGAGTTTGCTTGTTTACGGCTGTTTTCTCTTTTAGCGAAACATCCCCGTAAAATAGAGAGATAGACAGAGAGAATCAAAGTATACCAGTGCCTGCTACTTCTTGGCACTACTTGCAGGACCGTAATAGACGATATCTTGCTAAATCTCGAAAAGCGTTCTATATTTCCTCAATTTCTGAAGGACGAGTATCTGACAAATTGACACGCTCTGTCTTTTTCTTCCTTTCTATGGGTGGGCCTAGTTGTATTATACTCAGCCTTCCTCAAATCTCCGATAATAGTACCTGTGGATGTTCAGGCACCATGGCCGATCGCTTGCATCTAAACACTCGCACAAAACCTATTACCACACACGTGCATTCTTGTGATCTCACCGGCATCTACGTGCATATTATTCAAGATGCAAGATAGACGCTCAATTTTTTTGTTCCGTTGGGAATTGCGAGAGTGCAGTTGTTGTGCTGCCTGCTGCTGATGATGACACACGCGCGAGACAAATTGGTATCACTCACATATACACATACGTTTATGGTACGTTGTGGAACACATACACCATCGTCCTAATTTTGGCATGAGCCTTCTTCTTCTTTTCTACCAAAATCGATTTACTAAGAAGCTGCCAAGCTGCTTGGATGCGTTTGTTTCCACACGCATTCCAGTTTGGGAAATTCCGTCAACATTAGAAAGGTACCCAAAAATTGTATTCTCTCGTTGGGACCAACTACTGCTTAGATCAGTACGATATGTCGTACATCATCTTAGGTTTTTGACAAAGAAAAAAAGTTGTCGTCTTCTCAATTATATATAAGAAAAGGGTTGGTATTACTAACGCTGCTCGTACATATCACTATAAGATGTACTTCAAAAAACTTTAAAAATTATCCAGCACCACCATCATCTTACAAGAAGGTTTAGTTGTCTTTTGTCTTCTTCTCACATCTAATATGTACTGAATGACAAGTGACTCGCCGCAATGTCCTTGGACTCCTGTTGCTTTGTCATTTCATTTACCAAACGCACGGGCTCGTAAACAAACCTTCCCACGTAAGTAAAGGTACTAAAAATATCATTGTCAATCAGACGGTCAGTTACGTGTTTGCAATTACTTACCAACATTGATGATGTATACCTGCTTGAGTAAGCATCTTCTGACTTTTTTCTTGTTTACATATGATATATGTTATTCGAACTGGGAAAACAAAGTTTAGTTCTGCAACGCCGGTTCGATTCCATTTAGAATCGCTGCTGTTGTCGTCTTCTGGAGCACAAACGCATTTCACCAATGTCGTACATTTGGCGCTTTTCCTTGCTGTTTGTCTGATGCAAAAGATGATGGTTGTAGTCACTAATGAATGATACATGACAGACGACACATCTATCAATGGTACGCCGAAGGTACTCGACTAAAGTGTACATTGCTGCTATTAATCGTGCGTAGGAAAATGTTAGTAAGATCTTTTTTTTTGTCGTTTACACAAACTAGAAGGGAGAAAATGTCCGGGACTGTCGCCGTATGCTGTTATGGATTGTTACTGGTATACTATCAGTAGTGATCATTGTGGTAGCTCAGCATCAATAAAGGCCATCACTACTGCGTGATAGTAATACATGGCAAGAGTTACTGATCATTCTATCGATAAAAATATTGATGACCTAATAGTCAAAAACCTTCGACACTAGCGAGGTTCCCAGCATTGATTGTAGTTTGGCAGCTGGAGCATTGCTTGTATCGCCTTCCATCTCTATTGGATTGAACAACCCAACGATAACTATTCTGCGAGCAGTCCCTGATGGTGTGATCCCCTCCTGTGTCTTGTTCAGCCTACTGTTGTTGCTGATGGCATCAGGATCCATTGTATCACAAAATAGTATAAATTTATGTATACAGCCTCTCCATGAGTATGGGTGACACAGTAATGATACACATACTCGGGTCTGCCATATTACATTTTTGCTTTCATTTCACATTTCGCACCTCACAAAGTAAAGATGGGTCATTAACCTTGAAGAAACGCGTATCTATTTTCAGATCATAGATGCAATAAAAGGGAACGACTTTCCTTTTTCCTCACGAGTTGCTTAATTTGTATGTAGCAGTCCAATTTTTTAATGCAAAGCGTTGTGTGGCATAACAACCGATGCATCCGTTGCTCATGGACCACGTACATGATTGCTGGATACCATCGTTAAGGTCATATCACCATGCATGTTGCGCAGAGCCGAATGCCCATTATAAGAGCCAAACTTTGGCTGTTGATCGATAGAGTTTTTCTTCCCCTCTCCCAAACAAAGTTCTGTTTTATCTTTTTCACATTCAGCTTAGTAGTAGTGTGGCGATAACACTTGCTACGCACATAAGCAATAATCAAATTTGCCAAGTATAAAAAGTTGGGTGCTACACAGCGAAACGTGACTGCAGGTAATAAAGAGTTAGACCAAGAGTCTCCAACTAGACCATTGGGCTTCTTCCGGCGCCGATACGCACTATGTACCCCATTCAGCGTCTCGGCGAAAGCGTGGTGGAAAAAGAAAATGTCATTGATCGGCATTCATGTTGCGCTGAGCTTCATGTTTATTTTGAAATCCCGTGGTCTTCTCGCTTCTTCGCTTCTCCGACAAGGCTTATCAGCAAAAGCGTATCCTATCACAGCCGACACCCAGAACCGATCTGGAAAAGAAAGTTATCTCGAATGAACGTGCGCAAAGAGCACAAGAGCCGAGAGCAGCCGAATTAGAAAACGTGATAGTACAGTAAGAAACGGCAAATGTTAAAATACCGTGAGACTTACAGATTGCCCGCCAAGTGGAGTTCAATCGAGTGAAATGACACATCTCGACACAGCACAGACCTAGAGAGAGAGTGCGAAAATATAATCCGCTAGCGCACTTGCCATAACCAGTAGTCGGCATACTTTTTCTTACTTTCTTTTGATTCGTTAGCGCGGTGACTCGTTCGATTCACTTTCTTTTTCCGTTTCTTGGCTCTTCCCGCCTTTTTTTCTTCCTCGTGTGAAATGATCGATAACAACGGCAGTGGGCCTTCTACTACTATCACCACTACTACTACCGCTACTGTTACTGATCCCTCGAACAACAATACTTCTCTTCTATTCGACACAACCAACCTGTCCGCCCCTGCAGAATTTCAGGACCCACACTGGGCTGGTTCGAATAGCAACAACCACGACATCAACAATAACAACAACAGCTGCAACGAAAATGAGCAAAACAAACGCAAACGAAATGGCTCACTTGATTCTGTAGAAGCCCTTGAACATTCAGTCGCTCCATCACAACGTAAGTAATCCAAACCTGTTGCTTTCTCCATCGCTGGCGCAATGGGACCTCTTTTCGTGGGAGCGGGGAGCACGATCAGCCTCCACCGTTTTTTCTTTGAACCAACCGGAGTTCTCAAGTGATAGCAGTGAATCAAAAAAGTTTCCCCGCAAACGGACCTACTTTGTCGTAAACCATGCGCTCATACACCTTTACTTATATGTATATATATATATATATGATAGGCGACCAACAAGAAGTCTTACTCGATGATTCGCTGTCCTTGGATGACCTTCGCAAACCCGGTCGCAAGCCATTGACGGAAAGCGTTTTTGACGTAATTATTACCAGGGAAAAAATCATCATCATGAGCTTGAAAGACTAAACTCTTTCCTTTTCTCCTCTCTCTCTTTCTCTCTATCTCTCTTTTCAACTTAGGATGATGACGAGGATCCGAAAGTCAAACGTAAGGTCCAGAACCGTGCTGCGCAACGAGCGTTCAGAGAACGAAAGGAACGCTATGTGCGTGAACTTGAAATAAAGATCCGCCAGATTCAGAACCAACATCTGCATACCACCGCTCAGCTGTCGCAAGAGAACCAATACTTGCGCGCCGTTATCCACCGCTTGAAAGCCGAGCTTTGTACGCTTAAAGGGTTGCCCCTGGAGAGCGGTGGCGATGTGATCCCGCCGTTGCCTGCATGGCAGCACGCAACATCAGCACAAACACCGTCAGCAGCACCACTTTCTAGCGATCTCGCACCATTTCTGACACTGGGAGGAGCAGGGGGCCCGCATTCACCGATCACACCGACTCTGTCTCGACCACGCCCTGTGGCGATTGCCCCCCGAGGCACGCCGCCATCCCCAGCAAAGCGTCCCATTGCAGCGGCCAAACGGCGGCCAGTTCCGACACTGCCACAAAAGCAAGAGACAAAAAAGTCGACCAACTCGGATCAGCGCAACGATCTCGTGCAAAAACAACACATTCATCAACATCAACTTCATCAATATCAGCATTCACCTCAACATCAAGTACCACAGCAACAATATTTACCAAACAACAACAACGCGTTTTCCTCCTCCTCTACACCATTTAGTGATAATAACAACAGCAGTGCAAGCTCACATCCTGCTCTTTATGTTCAATTCAGTCCAGAAGAGAAACCACAGGACGACTTTACCACCGCCACCGCCGTCCAAGGGCGCCGCTGCAACATCCCTTCTGCCGACGCTTACTTATCGTCCGACGTCAATTTGTTCACTGCCACTGGCAACAACGATTTGGCGTTGTTTAGCAACAACACGACACAACCAGGCAACCATGGCAGCGGTTGCAGCAGCAGCAGCAGCAGTAGCAGCCGTGCTGGCAGTCATGCTGGTAGCCATGGTGCCAGATCTCCTCCACCTCCAGCACAACAAAGACAACCTATCAGCAACAATGCAATCACAACGCCAACAGCCACCGCCCCAGCAGCAGCAGCAGCAGCAGCAGCACGACCTGTTGTTCCTCAGAAACAAGATACCACTGAGAAGAACGCTGTTGTACAAGAGGATGAGTCGCAACGTACACGCGTCCAAACCGTCTGGCGTCGTCTGAATCTGTATGGTCGCTTCTCAGACTTTGACTTTGACCAACTTTCTCGGGTTGCTCAAATGGCAGATCATCGTGATGGTGCACAGATGTCAATGGGTGGAGGTGTTCCTGTGATGGAGGACTGGGAGTTGGATAAGCTAATGCTTCAAATCGACTCTGATCATTTGTAATTTGTTGTTTTATTTTCCAATGTTTTATCTCCTGTCTTTTATACTCTTTTGTTTTGTTACATTAACCGTTAGAAACCAGATAATGAAGAAGGCCCCGCAGTGTACATAATCTATAATCTATTAAGCATTCATAATTTTATTTTTTGTTCTTCTGTAATCTTTCCAACAAATTGCCGTTTTATATATCATCGCGTTAGAAATTCCCGGTGGTTTTAAAACAAAGGAAGAGAGGGGTAAAAGGCAATGACATTCTTGGACCCAACCCCCACTTCCTTTTTTTTGATAATTCTTAATTCCATGTTTTTACTTCCATGTTCATCCACCATCCACTTTTCAGTAGACCACTCGTTCAGGTCACACTCTTGGGCTTTGTATGTCTATGTTGTCCTGGCATGTGGAACGCTTTAACCGGCCTAGGTGCTGGGGGTTCTATGAGCTCCAATGTAGGCCTCACTGATGCGGCCAATAGCGCATTATACGGGTGCTTTGCGATCGTTGGGTTCTTTGCAGGCTCTGTCACGAATACCGTGGGCGTCAAGACCACACTGACTGTAAGGATGAGAGGTTTTGCCCCATACAGCTAAGAGAGAGAGACTGATGGTGGGCCTATAGGTTGGATCTTTAGGATACGCTTTATACGCAAGTTCATTCTGGGTATACGACCGACTACAAATTGGTGGGTTTGTAATTGCAGCAGGCGCGATCCTCGGCTGCTGTGCCGGAATCTTCTGGTCTGCCCAGGGTGCCATCATGATGTCTTACCCTGAAGAGCACAACAAGGGCAAATACGTGGCCGTCTTCTGGGCTCTTTTCAATCTGGGCGGTATTGCCGGGTCCGTCATTGCGCTCGTACTGAATCTCGAAAACCAGGCTGGTGGTGGTGTGTCGACAGGCACGTATACGGTGTTTGTCATTATCATGCTCATCGGCGTCGGTTTATCTCTAGCGTTGTTGCCACCTTCACGCGTGGTTCGAGATGACGGCACTCGTATTGCTATAGCTTGTTCACCATGTTGGACAACGGAATTTAAAGGCGCCTTGTTGGTTTGGAAAGAGTGGCGTATGCTTGCATTGATACCAGCATTCCTTGCATCCAACTGGTTTTATGCGTACCAGTTCCGCATCAATGCCGTTTATTTCAATCCATCGACGCGTGCGCTAAACGATGCAATGTACTGGTGTCTCCAGATCATTGGTGCCTTATTGATTGGTGTTTTGCTTGACTACCGGGGCATGTCAAGGCGACGTCGTGGCCTGATTGGACTCGGTGTTTTGTTTGTGGTGCTCATGACCGTGTGGGCCGGTGGACTTGCCTTCCAGCTTACATTTGATAACGATTATGCGGATCCGATTCATTGGACGGCGTCTAGGTTCGCTGGCCCGTTTGTACTGTATATGTTTTATGGATTTGCCGATTCGCTATATCAGACATACATCTATTGGCTGATGGGTGCCATGTCCAACGACCCTGCGTTGCTTGCACGCTATGCCGGATTCTACAAGGCCATGCAGTCAGCTGGAGCAGCTGTTTCTTTTGGAATCGATGCAGCGGATATTCCGCTACGATGGGAATGCTTGATCTGCTGGCTTCTGGTATTTATTTCATTCCCACTTGCATTCCTCGTGGCAAACACGGTGTCCGAGAGCAACAAAGGACAGCAACAAGATAATGGCGATGATATCATTGATGACGATAAGAAGACATCTGAAACCATTGAGTGTATCAAGGAACCAGCGCAAGCAAAAACTTGATTATAATACCATACCATTTCACTTTATCCGTATCGTCATTTTTTTCACTATCCCTCCACATTTTTCTCCCTCCCCCACTCCTACCGGCATCTAGCAATATAAATGGTTCGCTGTTGTTTTTGTTTAAAAATAGAGAAATACTAATTGTACTAGTTTCTAATTATGGTAGTATGTATACATATTGTGATATATACAAGGTGTGTGGGTCTGGGTATAGATATGTACAAAAAAGGTTAACCAGCATAATCGATATTTTCTTTCATCGATCCATCATCAGCCGTGAAAAGATTACTTCGCGAATATGTTGATCATAATCATAGTGGTTTTCGTCATCACCATCATCTTGATCGTCGTCGTCTTCATCGTATCTGGCGGAATCATCACCACCGCCATTTTGGGAAGTTGATCTTTGGGAATTTGATCGCGTGTACCGGGAACGGGTATTGGAAGTAGATCGAGAAGTCCACGTGGCTATTGATTGAGCCAGTGATGCGACATCATCATCACGCGGGGACCGACTCGTTTGTACCGATGAGAGCGGATCACCGGAGGACTTTCTTCGCTGCAGTGGGTGATAGTGAGATGTAGATCCGCTTCCGCTCGAAACTGATGACGAGCCATCTTCTTGTCTACTGCCACTTGCGGCGGCTGCAGGGTTCTGAGGTGGATAACCGAGATGTTTTAGAATAACTGCTAAATGGGTCATGATCTCGCGAAACGTATCCTGATTTACGGGTACTCGACTGAACCGTGCTTGTTCATATCCATCCACATAGACTTGGCCTATTTGTCCATCAATCAAACCGCGTTGGATCAAAAAATGGATATACTTTCGAGTAGGAACATGTGAAGGTCGCGCAAAATCTAAGCTGATCTTCATGGCTGCTTGCTCTATGACATGCATGGTGAGAAAAAGTAATAACAGACTGCTTTCTAATGAGCTGGATGTGCCGTTTTGGAGTTACCTATAAACATTGGTGTTCTAGCAACTACTCGTTTGAAATCGACACCTTCGAATTGTGCATCACCTATGTAGTATTACGAGAAATTGTAAATTTTCCCCATCATCATTGGGTCTCAAAAGCATAAGCAACAAGCTGCCCTTGTTTTGCTCCCTCTCTCTCACCAGCCTTCCTCCACTAAAACGCGATTATTTACCTGGCTTGCCCCAGCCTACATGACCGATATCCTCAGGCCGAGGTTCTGCTGATTTTCGCACCTTCTTCACATCGTCAAATTGCCCTTGAATATGCGAATAGACTTTCTATCACCATCAAATAGAATTGATGAGTTACTGCTATCCAACGTATACATGTGTTTGCGCATGAAGCTGCAGGAGATCGAGTGTTTTTTTTATCACTAGTAATACCTTTGGTAAATCGTCTTTTTTTATGGGTATATATATCTTGGGTATATCTTGTAACGAAGCGCGCACTGTAAAGAAACGACTACAAGAGAACGCCAAAGATGCAATGGCCTTTTTCAGGAAATGTAAGAGGTACAAGGTTAGATTACCTGTTGTTTGTGTGCCTGAAACTTATGTGCGTGCGTACCAGGACAACGTAGCTTGCAGCAACGACAAAAAGATTGCGTAAATCGAATGGACCTGATTCAGTTCGGTCAAATAACGCTTGAACAATAACGTCGGCAGCAGATAACGCAATGCATACGGCTGTCAGGAAAATGAGAAAGAATAAAGAAGACGTATAGAAAAAGTGTCCATAACGGGTACTTTTCATTTGGAATTCGGCGAAATGGCGAATAAGAAAAGAGAGAGAGAGAGAGAGAGAAATGCTGGCGACAAAGACCAAAAGCTTTAATTTACATGGCTCGGTGATGGTGACTGTGGTAGGATAAAAATAATAACCCGTTAGCGTACTGTATTTTTCCTGTCACGCACCAGCCATACAACAACACATGAAATGATACTTACGTCTTCCGAGCTCGGGCCATTTCAGACCCACACCATTTGTCAAACATGGTGTTATAAGTTTATGTTGATCAAGTGTAGCCTGACACCATTAGTAATCACAAAAAAATACGATAAACAAGAGAGTATAAGAACTTTGGGAGGACTTAACTCTTTGAACAACGAGTCCCTTTGCTATTTCGGATGCCATCAACCTTTGTTGTACATGAAACAAGAGAAGGATGAAAAAAGAAGAGGAGAAGTAAGGCAGCCAACGGAAAGAGGACACACAACATAATAAATGTGGTGATGATGAGGAGAGGATTGAATGATAGGCATATTTGGAACGAATATAGTGAAGAAAGAAGAAGATGGATGCCGGTGATGAAGATGGATTTCTTTTCAACAGGGGTCTTTCAGTAGTTTATCGCATGATCTTGGGAAACCGGATGTCCCATCATTAATAATATATCATTGATCTATCACTGATGTATCAGATAGTATTACGTCAAGGATATATTCAGCAAGAAAGTTATTCATATGGCATACTATGTATATACAGAGTTCAGTAATGCTGGATGATGTTATTCTTCACTCCCCATTGGACAGACTTTGTTTCGCCTTGTTATTGGCGTAAGTAACAATGCCGCACTTTATTTTTTACAAGCAATTGGTCAGTTTTTCTATACCGCACTTTATTCTGAACTTGGCTAGGTCTCCACCGCCCGACTGTCCCGAAAAGGCGATGTTCTGGCTTTCATTTCTTTTATCCTCGTTTGGAACACCTTCAAGTTGTCCTCTCCATGAGCAGCTCGAAATCAAACACCAATAGCGACAACAACAATAACAACAATTCTGCAGTGTCCAATGTCGTAAACGATTTAGTACGTGCTGCTGTGGGCGGCGATACAAGTGCTGTACCAGATGACGATATCGACAAGTACGTTGCCGATTTAATTCTTAAAGAAGCCGAGGCCAAACGAAAAAAGTACGACAATGAAGGTGTGCGTGCGTATCAACCTGACTTTGGAGCGTAAGTTTCTTCCATTTTATTTTTGTGTTAAATAATATAAACATTGTGGATGTATTGGCTCGCATAAGCTATGCAAGACGATCAAAAATTGTTGTTGTTAATATTTCATATTAGAGCTCAACCCAACAATCTGCCAAAACCAAATAAACGATTCTTTTTTAACATGATAAAGGCAACCGATAGTTACAACCAATCACTTAAAGAACAAGAAGAAGAACTTGCTCGAGAAAAAGAGAGATACCTTCGACGAAGACGACGACATGGACATTGTGACGATGACGATTCGAGTGACGAGCGTAGAAAAAGGCGACGAAGGCACGACTACGATTCATCTCGGCGACAGCACCATCATTACCACCGTCATGACAGCGAGCGGGATGACGAGGTTGATGATAAATACTCGGACGATGATCGATCTTCTTCTTCTCGGATGCATCGAAAGGATCATAATCAATCAGCATCAAAGCATGGCAATTTTGATGATGGAGAAGAAGAAGGACGACGACCATCACATAAAGATGACAGCTCAAAAAAACAAAATGATAAACGACGATCAAAAGGCTCAGAGAAAGCTTCTATACCCGTTATCATTCGTGGACGGGGTCGAGCAACACAAGGCAGCAGTAGTAAGATGGACAAGTATTTTTCCAAGCAATATGATCCAGCGTTAGACATTGAACCTGATTTGGACAGGATGATTCTTGCCGAATTCAATGATAGCGATGACGACAGCAGCACGAAGAAGAGAAAGAAGAAGAAGAAGGATAAAAAGGAAAAGAAAAAGAGCAAAAAGAAAAAATCATCATCAAAAAGAAAGAAACGAGAGGAGACTGATAGCGGCGATGGTAGTAGTAGTGGTAGCGATGATGATTATGTTCGAGTAAAATCTCCTCCCCCTCCTAGACCTATAAGAGCTTGGGATGTGGGCAAATTTTGATTTTGCATATCTGGAAATTTGATATAATCACGCTATCTGTGTTTATTTATGTTCTTACACCGGCGATATGGTATTTCTCGCTCGATGGATGGCAACATGACTGGAAGGCACAGTAGTAATCCATTATAGCGAACCTGTGTTTTAACATGATGTTCCCATGGATACGCTATGGTGGTCTGGTTCATCCTTTTGCAGTTCTCGATTTCGATTGCTTCAATCGCCGAGAAGCGCAGGGCATCAATAAAGTAGCGAGAGTTACAATTGTTGATTACAGTAAAGTGCGGTAAAATTCTTAATAGTTAAATCCATCACTACAGCGTCCTTTATGTCATTGAGTACTACAAGCGATGGATGACAACTTTTCCAACGATCCAAGCATTGGCGAATGCCGATATTGAGGTACACATTCAATTTATCTGATTATTGTTCCACAGGATACTGTACAAATAACCTAAAAAGAACATGTATTTAGAAAGTAAACGAGCTATGGGCAGGATTAGGCTACTACTCTCGGGCACGTCGGTTATGGGAGGGTGCGCAAAAAGTGTGCAATGAATTCGATGGGTCTTTGCCAAACAATGCTGACGACTTGCAAAAACACATCCCTGGTGTTGGACGGTATACGGCTGGTGCTGTTGCATCTATTGTGTTCAACCAGTGTGCACCTGTCGTTGACGGTAACGTAATCCGTGTTATTGCTGGTCTGCGTGCCATTGGTGCCGATCCTAAGAAATCCAGCGCTGTCAAGTTGTTTTGGTAGGTCTTCGATTTTTATTATCCATAGCAGATGCTAGACTTGATTCTGTTACTTATGCGGACAAATACACTACAAGGAAAATTGCTGCGATATTGGTATTAAAGAAAAGGCCAGGCGATTTTAACCAGGCGTTGATGGAGCTAGGTGCAACTGTTTGCACTCCACAGAATCCTCAATGTGGATCTTGTCCTTTACAAAGCAACTGTTATGCTTTTACACAACGAGACGTCTATTCACGATTAAAAGCAGAGAAGTTCTGGGAACAAAAGAAGCGCAAACGGGAGGAAATGGAACATGGTAAGTTAATGTTTTTTTACCTTGCTTGTTTTACAACGCTCATTGATTTACACCACGATTGTCTTTAGAGTGCGCTCATTGCCCTGAAATACAAACAGTCTTGCGCGAAGACGAAGATTATGCTGTCACTAGTATGATATTGCATTCAGAAAACATAACATTTAGATTGAAATATGCTTCAATAGATATCCTGCAAAGCCAGAAAAGAAGAAGCCTCGAAATGAAGATTAGAATATTTTAAAAGAGAAAGTACGGGAAGATCAAGGGGACTAGCTGTGCATCTTTCTTTCTGACCTTTTTTTACATTGTTATTAGAATGCGCAGTCTATATCATCCAACTTGATTCTAAGTTCTTGATTTCCAAAAGGCCGGATACGGGATTATTGGCAGGGCTATGGGAATTTCCAAGCTTAGAATTGGGAAGTTTAACCACAACTTACAATGAACGAGCAGTCAAGGCAAGCGACTATCTATGCGAACGTTATGACCTGGACATCACTGCAAAGGGAGCAGTATCACAGAGACAGGATCTTGGAAACGTTGTGCATCTTTTTTCCCATATTCGCAAGGTGTATCATGTCGAATGGATCCATGTTTCGGAGGGAACTGTTGTGGATGACAAAGAACAAGTCAAGTGGGTCACCAGCGATGAGTTGAAAACTTCACCTATTCCTACAGGACTAAAAAAGGCTCTCATTTCGCTCCGAACAGAGAACACCATACCCCAATGTAGTAATGGAAAATAAATTTTCCGTTTTCCTTCCAAAAGAGGGCTTCTCGGAGGCCTCCAATTTTGGTAACGGCTTCTCCGATGGAAACGCCTCCGTGGTGGCTCGCTCGGATCGATATAAAAGGAAACTGTCACTTCATGACTAATAAAAGATTGAAAGAAAAATACACCTCTATTTTTCATCTATTTTATCTGCTTTTATCAAAAAATGAACAATATTCCACCATCAGCTATTATTCGCAATCGCGTTGTTATTCATGCAACACCTCGGGGTATGTACAGAAAAGGAAGTTTCTCGGCGCGTTGCGCCTTTATCTCGATCCGAGTAGAGAGGACTTTAAATTTTTGCAAAACTGTTTTGGGTTCTCTGTTCGGAGCGAAATGAGGGCAACCTTAACTGAAGGTTTATCTTGTTTGAGTGTGAAATTAAACGGGGAACCACTGTATATAATTGCTGGCAAATTGCCTATCATAAAGGATGTTGCCACTTTGCCATCTTGCAAAAAACGGAGTCTGCCTGTAGGTGAACTGAGTATATGTGGCGATGATGCGATCATCGAAATATAAACAGCCCATAATATCTGCATCTGCACAGATACATACTTTAAGAAGTGATGTGCTGCATAGACGCAACCATGCATAATGATACTCGTTTCCACATATACGACGCAGAATACAGAGAAGGTATTAGATTTCTTCTCCAAGAAATACATTAGCTGTCAGCACATTTAGAATAATAGTATCTATACTCAACATTTGTGTAATGGGCTGTCAAGTTAATAGGTAGCATCATCTGTAGTGTTACTTTTTCGTCAACTTTTTCAATATAAATATATAGCCAGATGTGCTCAATTGATGATCCTTGTGTGGCGTAATAAGGAAGGGCTGGGCTTGATTTAATGCATACGGTTTTTACTTCTGTATCATAGGAAGTTACAATGCAGTATGCTCTACAGATGGCGTTACATTTCCTAGCCCCTTTTTCCTTGCAGAGGTAGAATTAGAGTCAGTCTTTTAGTATAAAAGGTTCGTTTTTCTGCAGAACGCCTTTGCTCTATATCAAATATTTTTGTGATCCTCACTCATTGTAAGTCATCTTTTCTTAATTTCACTACTATGTACCTTTAAATCTATTCAACTAACCATAATTTATATGTACACGCTTATAGTAAACAAGACAAACATGGTTCAAGTTTTCTCTCTCCAACGCCTTTCTCTTTCCGTGGTTTTGGCCTCGATGCTGGCTTCCGTGCTGGTTTCTGCTGCTGACAGTAACACTTGCAACACTTATTGGGGGGAAGTTTGTAATCCTCGTGTATCAACTCAATGCTGCGGTGATACAAAATGCATGAAAGACAAATCATCTGGCGCTTATATATGCGGGCCAAAGCATACATAGAGTGATAGCTCATCCTTACTTTGGGTTTCTTTTGTTCCTTTTCTTTTTGGGATTCCCCTTTCCTTTATATTCCTGTTGAAGGATAGCTATAGTTTCTTTGCATACATCCCCACCCCGAGTCCTGACTCCGCTATCCGCATCTCAGCTCGCAACAAAATAAAGTCTTTGGCCAATCAGAGGGCCGTATAAGTATCCTTAAAGCAGCCAATGACAGCTTTGAATAAACTTTTACGTGTAACACTTTAAAATACTGGTGCATGACATTGCTGTAATTTCAACTTGATCGAGTAATATGCCATAGTAGTGTCTCTAGTTGAAAGAACCAAAATGCATAATATCAACGACAATATTGCAAGGGCTACAGGTGCAAGGACATAACTTTTATGCAATGCCATTTTTTAAACTAGGTCCTTTATTTAAAATGCGTAATGGATTTGCGCATAACTGATACACGGATTATCACTTACGTTTTGTTTGATCACTGATAAAATGTTTGGATGGTAGACTAAGTAGCATTATGCTCTGTCAAAAAGAAGCAGTGTTAAAGATAAAAGGATGTGTGCGATAAAAAGGAGTCCATTCTCTATTAACCAGTGGTCATTGATGAAACAAGCTGCTTGTAAGGTGCGGACAGGAACAAGACAAGACAAGAACAAAGAGACCGGAGGGAAATGTGCTAGGTGCTTTCAGAAGAGCAAGACAAGACAATAAGAAAACCTGAAGGTAGGAGACCATATGTTGAGAGAAGAGACGAGGAACAAGATATAGGCAAGGAAACAAGATATCTGACTGACGTTTTATTATTCAAAGACTTATGGTGTTTATATATCTTTTACTATGGAATTTAGTAATGCGAATAAACGGAAAGATTGGTATTAGGGTTGAAAATTGGGACGATGATGGTGGATGATATTGTTACTTGAGGATTTAATAAATGATCATCGAGGTTGAGGGTGATCAGTTAGTAGAGGTCGAGGAATGTTCATAACACTACTGACGATACTAGTGAAATCATGTGATTGATATGACCAAAAAGGTTATAAAAGTAGCATACTGCACGACTCATCGAGACGTTGGCTTTTCTTCCTAACTTCCAACGCGCTTGCCCCGCATCTTTTTTTTTCTTGGCCTTTTGTACGTATGCATTCATTTACATTCTGTCGTTGCAGTTGCTGTTTGATCGTCACGATTGATGATTCTTTATTCGCAACCTGGTCTAACATTCTTTTCGATTTTTTCTCTAAAGTTCTGTCTCTCTCTCTCTCTTTCTCTCGGGCACTGGCCGGCACAGTGTAGCGTCATGTGAGTTGTGCTTTTATGCTGTGAAGCTGTGTGAGAAGTTGTCATTCGTGTGAGAATTATCAATTCTCGTTATTGTAATCGGTTGCATAGCCCACTATTGAAGACCAGGGCTCTGGTTGAATTCTGCGTTGCCCGGCGGCGCCTTCACTTGGGTAAGTGCACCTGGCACGACGACAATTTCTTATCAACGACTAAACCCTTTCTGTATTACCGATATAGTGAGGATGACGTACCCTGTCAGCAGTGTGCGTAGAAGCTCGTAAGTACTCTTTGAGTATGGGAATTGATACGGGCACGACAAGTTATTTCCTTATTTGTTCGGGGCATGACAAGCTCTAATAATAGATATGATATGTTACACAGAGCAGCATAATAGCTGACACTCTTAGTGTTAATTATAGCAGATGGGTGGTGTCGTGCCCGTAAGAAGCACAGCGCGTATGTATTATGTAAGAAGGCAATTCGATGACATATGTAGGTGGGACGCGTCGTGCCCGTAAGAAGCATTGATTTCTTGTGCTTATTTATAAGTCTTCTGTTCAAACTTGCTCATAGATCACAGCCAGATTTTAATAAATCAAAGAATAATTCTGCAGTACAGTGTAAAATTACTTGATATAGGATATTCCATACTATTTCTACATAGAATATGAAAAAGTTTTATAAATATTTGCCCAGCAAACGTTTATACTATATAAATATGTACGTCAAGAAAACGTATGTTATCAAGCTGACAGCTGCATTTGGTATAAATTAATACCACTTTGAGAGACAAAAGAAATCTATGTAGAGGAAAATAGAGAAGATATTTATGATGGTTCAAAATGTAAAAAAGAGAGAGAAACCTTTCTATGTAGCGCTGTGAATGTGTGATATATTAAGTATAATGGAAGCGCTGCTGTACAAAAACGTGCCAAAGAATAAAACAAGGCAAGTTTCTACTAATACGTCTTCAAAGTTTCCTCCTTACGGGCACGACGCGTCCCACCTACATATGTCATCGAATTGCCTTCTTACATAATACATACGCGCTGTGCTTCTTACGGGCACGACACCACCCATCTGCTATAATCAACACTAAGAGTGTCAGCTATTATGCTGCTCTGTGTAACATATCATATCTATTATTAGAGCTTGTCGTGCCCCGAACAAATAAGGAAATAACTTGTCGTGCCCGTATCAATTCCCATACTCAAAGAGTACTTACGAGCTTTCTACGCACACTGCTGACAGGGTACGTCATCCTCACTATATCGGTAATACAGAAAGGGTTTAGTCGTTGATAAGAAATTGTCGTCGTGCCAGGTGCACTTACCCAAGTGAAGGCGCCGCCGGGCAACGCAGAATTCAACCAGAGCCCTGGTCTTCAATAGTGGGCTATGCAACCGATTACAATAACGAGAATTGATAATTCTCACACGAATGACAACTTCTCACACAGCTTCACAGCATAAAAGCACAACTCACATGACGCTACACTGTGCAGGCCAGTGCCCGAGAGAAAGAGAGAGAGAGAGAGACAGAACTTAAAAGAAGAATGTTAGACCAGGTTGCAAATAAAGAATCACCAATCGTGACGATCAAACAGCAACTGCAAAGACAGAATGTCAATGAAGTCATACGTACAAAAGGCCAAAAGCACAAAAAAAATGATGCGGGGCAAGCGCGTTGAAGTGAGGAAGAAAAGCCAACGTCTCGATGAGATCATATCAATCACATGATTTCACTAGTGTCGTCAACAGTGTTATGAACATTCCTCGACCTCTACAAGTGATCACCCTCAACCTCGATGATCACTTATTAAATCCCCAAGTAACAATATCATCCATCATCATCGTCCGAATTATCAACCCTAATACCAATCTTTCCGTTTATTCGCATTATTAAATTCCATAGTAAGAGATATATAAACACCATAAGTCTTTGAATAGTGAAACATCAGTCAGATATCTTGTTTCCTTGCCTATATCTTGTTCCTCGTCTCTTCTCTCAACATATGGTCTCCTACCTTCAGGTTTTCTTATTGTCTTGTCTTGTTCTTCTGAAAGCACCTAGCACATTTCCCTCCGGTCTCTTTGTTCTTGTCTTGTCTTGTTCCTGTCCGCACCTTAACAAGCAGCTTGTTTCATCAATGACCACTGGTTAATAGAGAATGGACTCCTTTTTATCGCACACATCCTTTTATCTTTAACACTGCTTCTTTTTGACAGAGCATAATGCTACTTAGTCTACCATCCAAACATTTTATCAGTGATCAAACAAAACGTAAGTGATAATCCGTGTATCAGTTATGCGCAAATCCATTACGCATTTTAAATAAAGGACCTAGTATAAAAAATGGTATTGCATAAAAGTTATGTCCTTGCACCTGTAGCCCTTTGTATCCCCTGCAATTGTTGTCATAGAATGAATATTGGTTCTTTCAACTAAAGACACTGCTATGGCATATTACTCGATCAAGTTAAAATTACAGCAATGTCATGCACCAGTATTTTGAAGTGTTACACGCAAAAGCTTATTCAGAGCTGTCATTGGCTGCTTTAAGGATTCTTATACAGCCTTCTGATCGGCAAAAATGTAAGCCCAGGAACTTCCGTTGTGCACTTTAGTAGGTTCTCGAAACGTCCTCAACGAGTTCAGTTGGTAACCAACTTTACCATCGTCAAGTTTCGACCACAACACCCTTCGTGGTGAGAGGGGCTCTACCGAACCTCCCTCCTTATATTCACTTCCTCTACAAACAACCACCAACAACGACGATGATAACTATGCAATTCACGTTTCTTATACACTCAATATGATAAAAGATAACGTTCTGTAATTGTGTATGCTGCTATGCTAACTTCAGAAAAAAAATCATCTTGTCACATTTTGGAATACGCCTGACACACAAGATGTTAATTATGGACAGCACTAGTACATATTCACTGTGTGAAGAACCACAAAGAAGCAGTGGAAGCCTGTGGATTAAAGATATTGTATATACCCCCATATAGTTCATTTCTTAACCTATCAAAGAGCGCGAAGGCAGGCGTTAAAAGGAACTTTTAACAAAAGATACCTCTTTGCCTTATGAGCTATTAGTTTAGCCTATTTAATTATAGTACACTATAACAAAGGACCAAATGCGCCAAAATAAAAGATATCAAATGTCTACTCGTCCCCAAATGACAAAATGCTGAGTAAACTCTCCATCGGCCAAATGGAATTTCGTGTCACGCAAAGTTGAAAAGGCTCGGTGCCGCAATCAATAGTGGAAACCCTGTATGTCTGTTTAATGGTATATCCTTTGAAACACAAACGTGCGTCAGTATCGTAGTTGATGGACCACTCACGCATCATACTGTATCATATGATCAAGTGTAAGCTTCTTCATCTGTTAAACTTTTCAGGTAACTCAGTACCAGTTGGAGGATGCATGCGCATGAGATAGGATTGTTTTTCTGTCTTTTTATCTTTATGATGATGTATTCATGCTCAAAAAGTAAAAGGGGTGGGTACTGCGATTATAGGAGGACTAGGGGCACTTGTTGGTGTTGTTAGGTTACGGAAGGAGCGGCACGTGCCCAATCTCCTCCACCCCCAATAGAGAGAAAATAGCGGAAGTTTTTTTAAAATCATGTGAGCATCCAAAAGGAAAAACAACCAAAAAAAGATAAACAAATTTTTTATCCGCTTTGAAAGTATACAAGTGATCTGTATTGTGCAGGTATTAATGACTGGCCATGAATGTCACTCATTTTTATTTGTTTCCGATTCACATTTTTTGTATGTTAAAACGGAAGAAGCAAAGAATCTGCCCGGGGAGAGAAGGGGGGATGCCGGGGCAAGTAAGTGAAGCTGCACTTTAAGGTGATGATTTTAGATCGGAACTTTAATAATTGAAGTAGCATATATTACACATATACTTTAGGACAAGAACACATCCATATGGAGACATAAACAAGCAGGTTGCAAACGACATATTCTCGGAGATGTCCGGAAGCCAGCGAGGAAGGGGTGGTCAGAGACGGAAACTGTGGTATTCTTGCCGGTGGCGTGGCAGACTTGAGCCATCAGTCGCCCATGGAAACGGTTGCGTGGAAACACTTCTTCCACTACCAACCCCGAGAGAGACCCACTAAGCGAGCAAACGGTGTCTTGTGTAAACCAAAGGGTAGAAATGGGATGGGGGGAGTTGGAGGGAGCGATGAAATTGGCCAAACAGGACACGGCGGGGAGGGAGATTGGGATCGCAACCTATTGTTTGACGGGGATTATCGCATTTGATTGGACGATAACACGAGTGATCCAAGATAAGCCCGGGAGATAAGCGTGAGCATGCAGATTGATTGGGCCAAGCGAGTTTTTATCTGTCTCTTGATCCTCTCTTCCTTTCTTTTTCCTCCATTCACTCACTCTCTCTCTCTCTCTCTCCCCACACCGTTGCCTTTGCTTCCTTCACCCCGCATTGCTTCTCCACAAACACTGTTGCTTTTAAGCTTTTTATCTAACACACACACTTACACACTTCCTCAAAGAACAGCTGAATGAACCCTAATAAAGGCGCTGATACTCGTTTCAATTCATATTTTCAATTTATTCGTCCTTCGAGACAACAAGAGCAGGAGTCTGCAAAGAGGAAAAAGAGCAATCATAGTAATAACTTGCACATCGACACCGACCCACTTGGTATCTCGTATGACCACAACAGTAGCGATCCTTCTAGCCAGCACCGCGATGAATACTATTCTGACATCTTCCGCAGTCTAAATTTCCCGCACGACAAGCCAAGAGTCTCCTCCTCAGCAGCACCAGCAAACGACGATAACGATAACCACCATCTCACTGATAATACTAGCAGCCATCATCATCACACACTCAGACGACCCTCTGCTCAGCAAGCACCCCCCTCACTATCCCCATCCCCGTCACCAAGCTCGTCCTGTTCTTCTGCCGCAGCATCGCCCACCTATGGCCCGTTATCACCGTCGCTTCGACGTGACATTCCACGCAGCAAGTGTCAAATCCGCAAGGGTTCCCTCACTTCGCCTACGGGAAGCGTCTCTGCAAAGTCGTGGGAACACATCAGGTCGCCAGCAGCTTCGTTCTTGGCCAGTTTCGCATCGCCCGTACTCCCGCCTGCCTATGAAGAAGATGGCGACGAGATTGACGACTATGTGCTCGACAAGATCATTGGGCACGGCGGCTTCTCGACTGTACGCAGCGGATACAGTATCTCGGATGGCCACAAGGTCGCTGTCAAGGTCATCAACAAGACCAAAATGAATGAGCAAGACCATGCACGGCTTGAGCGCGAGCTCGATATCTGGAAATCGCTCAATCACCCCAACCTGGTGCTCATTGAGAAAATACTGGAAACCGATCATGCCATGTACGTCGTCTGTACCTATTGTGGCGGCGGATCCTTATTGGATCGTGTCAACCAACAAGGTCCCTTGCCGGAAGAAGAGGCCCGTGCGATTATCATTCAGCTCTGCCATGCAGTGCAATACTTGCATCAGGATGCTAGAGTTTGCCACAAGGATCTCAAACTGGAGAACGTCCTCTTGGACGACTCCAATTGTGTGAAGGTGTGTGATTTTGGTTTGGCCATCTATCAAGCACCCCCCATGTTTCTGGACAACGAGGTCGCTGGCGGCTCGTTGGCTTATGCCGCTCCTGAACAGGTCCGATCGGTCAAGCCGCTGCCTTCTCCCGCAGCGGATCTTTGGTCGCTGGGAATCTTGCTCTATGTTTTGGTCACTGGCCGTCTGCCTTTCCAGGATTGCTATGATGTCCGTCTTCAGCAAAAGATTTTGCAAGGGGAATTTGAAATGCCCAGCTGTTTGTCTGAAGGCCTGCAGCAGCTTCTGCACGGCTTGCTTCAAGTCGATCCCCATAAACGATACACTGTCCGCCAAGTGCTGCACTCCTCTTGGTGCTCCCCGTGAATGATTATTCCCTTTCGTCCCACACTCCATCCTCTTCACACCACTTCCCCCACTCCCCACCCCAAAGAGCCATTCTTCCAAAGAGAAAAGCTATGGCCAACCTACCACGCTCTGACTCCCATTTTCTTCTTCTTCCTTCTCCTTCTTTTTCCCAAACGATTCCCCCATCTGTACATAGTAATTCCCCTATTCTAAAGATCTTCCACTGTGTGTTTATATCTTATGATACATATATTAAACAAAAACTGGCATTCTAATACTCATTGAAAATAAAATCTCATGCTTAATATCATCGAATGCGTTCTTCCGTTCACATTGTCTTGCTGTTGTAAAGAATGGCCGTTGCTGCAATACACACACGCATCCTCAAAGATGGCTACTTTTAGCCATCATTGTATGTATTGCATTATTGTCGTTACTCTTCGTGCATGGCAATGTAAATAATAACCACATATTCGCTGTGTATTATTTCAGACAACGTCGCCGCATAAAGTTTCCCATGCCTTCATCGGCACTGCAGGAGGTATTCTCTTGCAAGCTTTTGCTATTCATGTGGCACATGTTAACTATCATGTCTATGAAAATTGAAGAAAAATAAACAAATGCCATCGTTCTAACGCAGTGATCAAGGATATACAGATCATCACTGTCCAGTATATATAAATAAAGCTTTGATCATTTGAAAAAACGCTAGTTGCACATAAACCACTCCTTCATCTTACATTTACGATAATTTTACAGAGTCGAAACGATGACCCATTTGTTCTCGTTTCTCTTGTCGGTTATTATTGTCACATATTATGTTGCCACAGCAGTCGTATATGGCCAACAAACTCACTATTTTGAGTTTAATGTTACGCGTGAGATCATCGATCCAGATTGCTCCGGCTACGCGGGTGGCAAGCTTTTGGTGAATGGCCAACTACCTGGGCCCACATTAGCGGTTACGGCAGGCGATTATGTCAAGATATTAGTGCGCAACTTGCTTCCAGTAAGCGAAGCCGTTCAGTTCCTTGGGCTTGCAGCAAATGATGGACATCACTTGGGCCAAATAACGATCCATTACCACGGGATACACCAATACGGCAGTCCAGCTTCAGATGGTAGGCATAAAATCAACAAAAAAATCCATAGATGTTGAATTATATATAACATGCGTTTATAATTCTGTTCACCAACATTGAAAAGGCACACCGTTCCTTACTCAGGATCCAATCCCGCCTCAACAAAGTTACTTGTACGAATTCAAAGTGATTAATCAGGCGGGAACTTACTTCTACCACGCACATACTGCGACGTATTCTGAATCTGTTTTTGGCCCCTTCATTATCTACGAGTCCGTGCATGCCCGTCCACGGCCTCAATTTCGAGATACTGATAAGGGTGGTGATGTCGAACAAAAATTGATCGCGGGCCCATATTACTACGATGACGAACGTACTATTATCCTGAGCGAGTGGTGGCACCGGACCGCCGAAGACCTCAGCGCCTACGTTCTTGGCCCAAATTACACAGGAATACCACAAGCACCAAGCATTCTGCTGAATGGCCACACGCTCTATGATCCAACTCAGCAGCCTGTAGGATCTGACTGCTCTGGCTATTCAGTGATCTCTGTGGATCCCAAAAAGACCTATCGAATCCGTATCATTAGCGCAGCAATATTCCAAACTCTCGGATTAGCATTCGCTCACCATAATGTAACAATCATCGAAGTAGACGGCACCCTTGTTCAGCCATACGACGTTCCGTTCTTGGAGCTCTCAACTGCCCAACGGGTTTCAGTATTACTGCGACCCATCAAGACAAACTACCAACAACAAGGTGATTATGCGATCAGCACTGTCCGTCGCTGGATTGATTTAAATACAAATCGATCTTCCAATGGACTGGCAGTTTTACGCTATACGCCTACTACTACTACTACTACTACCACAATTTCATCGACAACATCGCAACTACGCCGTCAAGAACAACAGACAGTATTTTCAGTACCAGACGAACGATTCGCGTTTCCTCCAGAAGTAGCATACTGGCACTGGCCAGGGATTGCACCTATTTATCCAGTACCAGACTTTGTCGACCATCGAACAGAACCTTCAAGAACCATCGTTCTCAGAGTAACAACGGGTATGCTACCAAATGGCGCAACGCGATGGTTTGTCAATGGTGTATCCTTTACGGATCCTAAAGAAACCATCCTGACAACCATTTTGTCAGCAAGAACTACAGCAACAGCAGCTAGCGAGGGTAATAACAAGTCACTTTTACCACATCCCGATCAATTGACAGAGAATGGATATTATTCATATCGAGGCACGTATCCAATCAAGTATATGGAGGTGATTGATTTTGTGTTCCAGTTGACACATCTCCCAAATCGGCCATGCACTGGCCATCCTTGGCATACACATGGTCACACCTTTTGGGAGCTTGCGCACGGACCAGGACGATACAACGGCAGTAATGCAAACAATTACTATAGTGTCCCTCATCCGTATGGGCGTGATGTCTCTTTGGTATATCCTCTGGAGGACCCTGCTATTGAAGAAGAAGCTGCTGCATCAAGCGAGCCACGAGAATGTGGATGGGCAAGAGTCAGAATACTTGCTGATAACCCGGGCATATGTAAGTAGTAGCGGTAGTTGTCTTTTCTTTCCACCGTTTTGCACATGTGCTACCATTATCTATACCGCCTACTAATCATATGCCCTTTTTTTCAGGGAATGTACACTGTCATATTGAACCACATATGACGGCAGGAATGATGATTGCTTTAGAAGAAGCTCCCGATCTACTTCAGACGCTATATGGCTAAATGACTCTTGGTTTTCTCTTTTAATCTAAAGTTCCTCCCTCTTTTTTTTTTGCCTCCAAGTATAGCAACATTGTTAATAAAACATTGTAGAGCGAGCGTGTAATCAGTTTAATGCCAGCCGTCAATACGGCCGCTTATTTGTTCGTATTAATGCTAAAGAGTACGTAGCTCAGAAATAATGCTTGCTGGTTTATTAATAGCTATTCACAACGGGGTTCTCCCAATATATACAAAGCGATAAACTATGAATAGAGGCATCGGTGTTATATATCGACTCTACTTTAAGTTCGGCAACAACAGATATGTAAACATCACGAAAAAAAGAGCATGAGGATGGCTTGATAAAACGCAACATATTTCTTACTATAATGTCGTGCCCAGTTTTCCTTTCCTTACCTAATCAGCAGGAGAGACAATGTACCTCCGAAAGAGAAGTTCAAGTAACCTGAAAGATGCCGGTATACTTGCCAATTGCCAGAAACTACATGATAACAGATGACGTTGCTAGATGACTAATTGTTTGTGTATGCTTCTCCAAAATAAAAAAAGGGCACAGCACGACTTGCAAATCTGGGTACCACATTCGAGTCGTACAACCGGTAACTCGGCGTTGTTGTCCACCCTTGCCCTTACCCACGGCTGGTGCATGAATGTGATCTTTTTTTTTGTCCAAAGCGTATTATATAAAGGGGGATCGAGTTGAAGCAAGCAGTCTCTAGTCAATACATGTACAAGTACCAAACAGCTCTGTTAGGCTATAGTTACAGCGTGCAAGGCTTAGTGCGGTAACTGTTATAGAATGGTGATAAAAATAAGGCCGGTCGAAGAAGGAGCGCGGACCTGTGCATCATGTTGCTCGTTTTGATTACGAGTAATTGTCCAATCACGTCGCTCCAAGTGATGCGCGTACGTACGTATGCAAATGGGGGACTCTAATTTTATACATACTACTATCACAAGGTTGGCGCCCTTTTTATTTCTTTCTCTCTCTCTTTCTTCTTTGTTTGGACAAAGAAACTCTTTACCTTTTTGTTTAATCAAAAACACACAATGGCGTTCTTTCGCACAGTGTTTCTCTTGCTCGTGCTAGCGAATGCCGCGTTTCTCGGTTACGACCATTACAAAGGTGGCGACATTGCCGTGAGTTTGGTAGACCAAGCCAAACACCTCAATGTCCCTACCGTACAGTTGCACTTACAAAACGCCTGGACCGAGATTAAGTCCACGACACCCGAAAAAATTGCTGGCCACGTGAATTCTGCTTTTGACCAGTTGAAGGATTTCAACTCGCCTACTGACGTTGTCGACTACTTGCGTGCCAAAGCTTCTGGTGTTGTCTCTGGTGGAAGCAGCCAAGGGGCCATCCAAATGGAGGGCAACGTGTTTGTTTTGACGACTGGCAATTTCAACAAGGTCATTGATGGACAACGCCCTGCACTCATTGAGTTTTATGCACCCTGGTGCGGCCATTGCAAAAAGTTGGCTCCGATCTATGAAGAATTGGGTGACGCGTTCGCGAGTGCTCAGGATCAAGTGGTGATTGCCAAGGTCGATGCGGATGAACACCGTGACTTGGGTGGCAAGTTTGGTGTTCAGGGGTTCCCTACGTTGAAATGGTTCCCCAAGGGCGTGACAACGAGCGAGGGTGTCGAGGATTATCGTGGCGGCCGTGACTTGGACTCGTTGACCAAGTTTGTGCAGGAAAAGTCGGGCGTACGTCCTCGTATCAAGTCGACAAAGTCGGATGTTGTCGTATTGGACACCAAGAACTTTGATACAATCGTCAAGGATCCCAAGCAGAATGTCTTGGTCGAGTTCTACGCTCCCTGGTGTGGTCACTGCAAGAACTTGGGTAAGAACAATCAATCTTTAATTTTCTGAACACTTGTGCTAACTCAATTGCTTACTATATAATTAGCTCCTATTTATGAAAAGGTTGCCAATGCATTTGCTAATGAACCTAACGTGAGTTATTGCCCTTTCATGTTTCACAGATATTTCTCTGAAAGTGTCATAGAGCGCCAGATTACTGATAACTAACATGCTGTTGAAACAAAAAATGTACAGTGCAAGGTCGCCAAGATTGATGCCGATAGTGAACGTGAGATTGGCACTCAATATGATGTTTCTGGGTTCCCCACGATCAAGTTCTTCCCTGCTGGCGATGATAAGGAACCTGTCTTGTACGAAAGCGCTCGCTCCGAGGCTGGCTTTATTGAGTTCCTGAACAAAAAGTGCGGCACTCATCGTGTTGTTGGCGGTGGTCTTGATGCTACGGTATGTTTATTCTTACTAGCGCTATAAGCACGAAGTTTACTGCGCAATGATTGGGGACTTTCTGACAATATACGTGCGTTTCTGTTTTTTTAGGCTGGTCGTGTTTCTGACTTGGACAAGCTGGCAATCAAATTTGCATCGACGTCTGACAAGGGTGAACGCGAAAAGGTCAAGGCTGAGGCAGAGTCAATTGCAAAGGAACTGGGAACGCGTAATGCAAAGTTCTATCACGTCTTCATGAAGAAGATCTTGGAGAGCGGCGATTCTTTTGTAAAGACCGAATCCGCACGTGTTGATCGTATCATCAAATCCAACACTGTTGCAATGAACAAGGTCGACGACTTCACCATCCGTCGTAACATTCTTGCTGCTTTCGACAAGAAAGCCAAGCCTGTTACCAAGGATGAACTGTAAATAAACACACCCTCTCTCTTTAAAACCCACTTTTCTATAACTCTTCTTTCCGTTTTCAACACAACTCCACACGTGTATACACACACACACACACACACACACAACAACAACCCAACCCGTACCAAAAAGAAACCTATCCGCGAACATAACATATCACCATCATCCTTGATATAAAAAAATAAAATAACGCCTATTTTTTTGATATATGTAAGTGATGTTTGTGCGTTTCGCCAGCAGCTGTATATTAAGATTTGGAAAGAGAGTTTAGAGAATGACAACACACACACACACAGAGAGAGAGAGAGGGCGGGGGAGAATTAGGGCACCTAGTCAACGGAGTTGGGATGGGGAACGATAGCTGACATATGTTTACGCGTAGTTCAAGCGGAAAATGTCATTGAAGACATAGTACGAGTTACCCTCAGGAACCAGGTTGAAGCTTTGGGAGAACATTTGAGGGTTCTGCTCCTCATCAACCTATGTGGTTATCCAGCAAGAATATTGAAAAAGAGTTAGTTCAACTAAACGAGAAAGTTTGAGAGCGTGGAGAAAAAGGTAATCACAAGCCAGGATAGTTTACCAAAAGCTGACCGGTCACAGAAACGATGAGGCTGGCAACGGAAGGGTTGCTTGGCTGTGCGTCGATGGTGCTGATACGGTGAGCCACCTTTTGGAAGGGCAAAGACTGTATATCATTGCGCATTACAAAGGTTAGCAACTATTCCTTTGTCATTTTGCCCCCCCCACCCCCAATCTTTCAATCACTGAATCAGTCAAGCTTACCGCAAGCTTTTGGACAATGTTGCCAGCACCACTGAATTGTTGGCCCTCGAAGGTCAACATGGAGTGCTCTCTCTGTTTTATTCGTTTTTATAAATACGATTCAATCCTTGAGATGTTTTTTGTTTTGGATAACGCCTTTCTTCTCCCTAGACAAACACTTACGTAAAGGGGACCAAGTTGTTCTCGGTTGGAGTCAAAGGTCTCGTAGTAGAACTTTACGAATGCTTCGGCGACTTGGTTGAAATCACTCATGGCGTAGTAAGTAAATGGGAAAAGAGAAAGGGAAAGAACACGGTTCAGTCGGGGCTGAGAAAAAAAACTTTTTATTCGTGTCGTACGCAGCAGCAGCACCATGGCGAAGAAGCACCCAAACCCACAGCAACCACAGCTATTATTCTAGTTCAACGACTAATCTTTCAAACTCTTTCTGTAGACGGTCTCCATGTTGTTTCATGTCTTTGCCGATAAAGGTCAGGCGACTGTCCCTTGGCTCGTCATCATCCCATTTGCGGTCCTCCGTCACCACCAGGTCATCATCCACGCCTTGGACAACCACCTTGTAGTCACTGCCCTGCACAGCCAGCACGCCCTTGACGCGATACAGGGTATCATGCATCTTTTGCGCCTCCTGCCGGACAAACGCCAGCACCTCTTTCTGCTTAACAGGATTGCCACTCACTAAGAGCATGGTCTGTTCGATACTCGGATCATGTTGCTTTACAGGCAGGGCTTCCTGTTCCTGTTCTTGTCCATCTGCTGTTTGTTCAGTGGATGATGATGACGAAGACCTCAAGCCAAACAAGGATTGCACAGGTACTTGAGCATATTTGGTCTGCACCAAACGAGCCGATGGATTGTGTTGCCGAATGTAGTCTGTCAGCTTGGACAATGCCTCTTTGCTCGAGACGAGATCAATCTTGTTGAGCAAGATACAGTCTGTCGTTGTGATCTGTGCCAGCGGCTCGTTCTTGTACGTGTCTTGTCTTTCCGATGCAGCAGCAAGTCGGCTAAAGAAATGCTTTGCGTCGACGAGCGTGACAATGCCGTCGAGATAAAAGTTTTGCACGATTTCATCTTGGCCTTTGCCGTCGGCGCCGCGCTGGATCATAGTTTGGATTGGCTGCGGGTCAGCCAGCCCAGTGGACTCAAGGATCACATGTTGGATCCGTTTCTCGGGCTCAACGAGCTCGTTCCTATTGGCAATCTCACTCAGGGCACCTATCAGCTCACCGGACGACGAGCAACAGACACATCCCCTGACAATTGGACGATAAGTGTGTGGTAAGTTACGTTGTATGCTTATCGTTTCCCACACACACAGAGAGAGACACACGTAGAGAGGGCCGATCGCAGCCTATCCTTGTCAGCGCCCTCACTTGGCTAGCTCTCTCCAGACTATTGTGTTTTCACAGTTTTGAGTCGACGAACCAGCCAAATTCATAGAGGTTTTGGATGTCCTCGGTCTTGTCTTGATGGATAATTTCGTTTTCCTTTGAACGGAGATTTTTTTAAGCTCAAGTGCTTTTTTCATTTTGTGCCTCCGCCCAACAGACATCAAAAAGACTCTCTTACTATGCCAAACGCAGCAGCGAATTCGTTTTCAATGACGGCGATACGCTCAGGGATGCCGTTTGTCCTTGCGGCATCCAGTATATGGTTGAGCAGCGTAGTCTTCCCGGCGCCCAGGAAACCAGTCAGAATGGTGACGGGAACGCGAGGTGCCATGATAGCGTGTGGTGTGGGAAGAAAAAGTAAAAGAAACGCGAAAGAAAGAATCGTACCAGCACCAATTGAATGCCAGTTTGTTGTTGCGTCTTTTTTTTTTTTTTTTTTTTTGTTCCCGATGGCAGCGTTTTCTGTTGGGGGGCCGTGCACACAGCAACCACCGTTTGTCGCTCGAGGATCACATCGCCTTTATAAGGCTTTCATTGAGTAGATCTACAAGATGGCACTTTCATAGTGTGTTGTTGTTGTTGCTACAATTCCCAGATATGCATGATCGGAAGAACAAGGCGCATTATCTATCGCTTTTTGAAGAAATGAGCCGACATCTATGCCGTGTATGACGGCTCCGCTCCAAAGTCAAGCGAGGAGAAAGGGTGGGGGACGGTCATGCGGATAGGGCTGGTTAAAAACGAGTAAATTGAGCAAAGTGGATATGAGCGAGTGTGTAAGTGAGTGAGCCAAGTGAGTGAGCCAAGTGAGTGAGTGAGTGAGTGTGGACAAGCGAACAAGGAAGAAGAAAAGAGCGCACACCCCAATTCGTTTTCCAATATTCTTTCTTTCTTTCTTTCTTTCTTCTTCTTCTACTCCACTCCAACACCTCTTCCCTCTTCTTTCTCCTCTCCTCTCCCTTCCTCCTGCCGCCTCTTTATCTTCGTTTCGCTTCTCGTTTGTCTAGCCAACGTCCCCCGCCCCTAGATCGTTTATCTCTCTTTTTTTTTTTGCACGCGTTCGCGTATTCCGTATCTTCTTCCCTTTCCCAAACAAGAGCACAAGAAAACTCTCCCTGTCGTTCCTCTCTTTCCTCACTCACTCTCTGTTTCCATACCTCCCTCATTGCGCGTTATTTTTGAAATCTCTGCTATTAAAAATGTCGCAATCAGCAGCACAGGGATCCGACATTGCCGAGGTTAGCGAAAAATATACATATATATATATTCTATTGGACAAACACCAACGCGTGTTCTGGGTTATTTTCATGCGTAATCTGTTCTCTGTGTCTGTGTCTCACGAACCTATCACTAACGCCCTTTCCTGCAATATTGGAAAAATAGATGATGCATCGGCTCAAGACAAGACTGGCACTGGCCAACTTTAAGCGGCAACACGGGTACGAAAAGTACGACTTGCACACACTCGAATTGAGCCTTTTCCAAAGCACCGAGCCACGAAGGAAAAAGAGCAAGAGAAAAGATGATGACAATGACGACAACCACAACGACGCCGTTCCCAATTACTATCGTCCACGCTACTATTCCAACAGCAACAGCTGCATACATAACAATAGCCATTTACAGCTACAACAACAACAACAACTTACTCCAGTCGATGACGCTTCCTCACCCTCACCCCCGATAAGAGCGACGCGTAGTACGCCGTTGTATAGTATCCGAAGCCCTCTTTCGGCCAAGCGAAGTACATCGCCTAGATACCGCTTCCAGCAGCAACACCATCACAGCAACAGCAGTTACCGACCTATCAAAAAGTCTGCATCTACATCGACTGCTACTGCTAGACTTGCGGCAGCTTCTAGTAGTAGTAGTAGTAGTAGTAGTAGTAGTAGCAGTAGTACGACACTTATGCCAAGAGGTCGCCCACACAATAACATGAAAAACAATGATAGCCACAACGATGCTGCCATGGTGTTCTCCTCGGATGAGGAAGATGCGGCCAACTTGCTGGTCATGCTACACAACCACCATCATTCAATCTCATCCTCATCCTCATCAACAGCAGCAACAGCGACACGACCCAGCATGCCCGCATGATTTATGTATGCTTCTCCGAAGCCCGCTCATTCAAACGACACGCTCCCTCACACCCCTTGCTCCCCTTTTTGCACACACACACACACACACACACAGTTTTGTACAGTAAACTTCTTGTTATACCACCCCACTCCCTATCGTTCTTCTTGCATGAATCTCTCTTTTACAGTTCACACTCACATTTCCTTAACTAGTACAACTAGCACACCACACACCTTATTTGGCAGCATCCACCTCATTTTGTTTCTCTTTCTCTATGTTGTTGCAAGCAGTATGTAATCTACTATCACTAGTGCATCTCTACACGCTTCACCGTGTACTTTTTCTTATCATGTGTGAACTTGCCCATATTTTATTGTTCCATACACCACGTGTCCAAGTCACCGGGTTCTTCTTAATAATATTTCTTTACTTTTCAACTGTTCAATATACACATATAAACATTGCTCTTTCTTTCTTTAAAGATCCTATCATACATACATAGTGAGATAACCAGGACCACGGTCAAAACATGTAGTAGCTTAGTAATGCCATCTCGTTTTATTATCTGCCATGCTAAAAGCTCTTCCTCCTCCCGACGGGCGACGTATAGATCGGTGATAAGCTTCTAGAAAAGAAAGATCTCACGAGAAGCTTTATATGTTGTGTGCGCTTTTGCACAACTCAAGTTTTAATAACGCATGGATCTCGCCATTCAGATCAGAAGAAAAAATAAGGGGCACGCATCATTTCTGTCCTACATACAGTATACACATTACAGCAACGACGGCCTCTGCTATGTTCTCTATTTGTTAGCCCCGGCCTTGCATATCAGCAGCGCACACTTTGTAATATATGAACAGTGTGTTCCTGTATAATATATCGCCTTGAGTAGGTGATTGACATAAAGAGGGCAGTGAAGAATGGAATCGATGATCAGTAAGTCGTCCTATTTGAGTGTTTTTTTTGGGTGTAGCACACAGTCCGCCCAAGTGTCTGCATGTTCTTCGTCGGCGTCCTGAAGATCGTCGGCCTACTTTTTCCTCTTCTTCCTTTCTCTTCTTCTTATTCTCTCTCTCTCTCTCTCTCTCTCTCTCCCCACACTCTATTATATTTCTACCTGTATATACCCTTGAAAGGCCAATCAATCATGCCGGTCCCAGGCGCATACGAACCAGAGTTAGAATTTTCCGATCCGAACAGTGTCCGTGAGACGGCGCTGTTCTCGTTCAACCCACTCATATACCTTTATTTCATGCTGTCATTTCTGATCGTGCCCTATCCGATCTACCAAGTGATTGCCAAACGCTACGGCTGGGAAACAAACAACAAGACAATGGCACGACACTGGAGTGATCTCATGCTGGGCTTTTCCTACGGCACAATCTTGTTTGTCTTTGGAAACTATACTCGTGCCTATAGCTGGATCACCGTCATCGCCTTTTATCCGTCCCTTTTTGGATACGCGTTAATTGCAGAGCTTCCTTTCACAAAGACGTCCGTATACACATACAAATACCACAAGCTCTTTATGTAAGCTAATACTGCTCTTGTTTGGATTCAATAGATCATTGCCAAACATCAAGAATTGGCCGTTTGGCATGTGGGCCGTGTTCTTGACAGCCGTGGCGTAAGTGTTCTAGTGCGTGTGCATGGCTATACCTTTGGCTTAAATAAAAACAGCCACCTAAGCAACAACAAAAAACATTCTATAGGATCATCCTTGCATTTGCAGCGTTCCATATCTACTGGGCCGCCACGCTTCCCCTGCCGTTCGTCATTTACTATATCTGCGCGCTGCTGATCCCAATTTTTTTATTTACTGTTTCACTTGCACTGATCAAGGAGAACAATGAGAATTGGGCTCGTACATGGATCCACGGTTATCGCGTCCGATGGGCGACCCGTCGCTCTTCCAAGAAAAGCAATGGCAATGATGAAGAGCAGCCGCAACAGGATGAAGGCGTGAATCCAGAATCATCCACTTCCATAGACCCGGTTACACAGCAGCAGCCAAACGTACCCGAGTTGTATAACCCTTATACCCGTAAGCTCAACTTGCATCTGCACCACTGGCAGATCTTCTACATGTTAGCTTTTTTCACAAGGTAAAGAGATCACTGGACTATCGCTTGGATCTACTTGAACGCTGAAAATTATGAAGTCACTGGTGATTTGGCAGTAGTAGTAGTGTGATTAGCAGCTTTCCCTCCCCCCGCTCCTCCACCCCTTGATATGCAAATACTAACTCAAATGCTTTTGTACAGGTTCACGCATCCGGTGTCCCAAGTGGGAGCAGGGATTGTACTCGCTTGTTATATGGAAGGCATTAATGCATGTAAGTAATCCGTTGTCTTGAAAGTTTCTCTTTTTGCGAGCAAAGAGATCTACCTTTGAATTTATAACACTTGAACCTTCTTTAATTGTCGTGACGACAACAGATGGCTACGATCAACTTTTGAACGACTAGGTCTCTTTCTTTGGTGATAATATCTTTTCCGCCTTTGCATACCGATATGCGAAATGATGCGTTCCACTTTTAGTTTTTGTAACACACACCCCTTTTACTGTTTACTGAGTATACGACGTACTATTATTATCATATTGCTTCCCCTTGATTTTTGTTGTTATTTTAATTTCCTGCGATTAGTATTTTATTTTTGTTTCACCAAAGCATAAAATGGTCATTTCTGTATCCTGAAATCGATGATGTGAGCTGTATTATCTTGAGAAGCATGGGCGCCCACTTTCTCAAGTCATGTTTGCACTCATTATTCTCTTCTTATCATACAGCACACACTCCTCACTTTCAATTATTTTAAAATGATACAGGTACCCATCCGGTAAGCCGCGTAAACTTCGGCTGACTGATTCGCTGTTCTGGTAAAGAGCAAATAGACAATATCTTGTAACTGATGTTGTAGTCATCTTGGAGAATCTTGTCAAGAATGGAGTCTTGGTCGATTTGCGCAAAATTAATAAGAGTTATAACAAAAAAAGCAGAAAAATGGAAAAGCGCAAAGTTAGACAGCTATGATACACGCATTAACATTGATCTATGATATTTTGCTGCATTTTTAGCATTGCTAATGCTCTCAAGTCATATAAACGCTACGTAGTTTGCTGCTTGTTATAGTTTATAGTTTATTTTTTACAACGGGTTTGTGCCTAATCCACAACGAGGCTTTATTCATATTATAACTCGCCGTAATATTGTCAAGCGTTGCGGCAATTTTTTTGATCATAGGTAGAAGTTTCTGTGGTGCTATTCCATGACATCAAACTCGGTGCGATCTACAGTTGTCGTAAGGCAGGGAGTTTCTTTCAACTCTCCGTCTACCGAGTTATCGCTTACATGCAAAAACGAACCAAGTTTGGACAGTTGTTGCTGATGATATCTAGAATAGCATCGTCCGAGCAATTGCTGATCAACAGCGACCCCTCCCCCAGTCGTTGACCGCAGTGTTGTAGAAATGGCTAAAGTGCTTCACGAATTAGTGACTTATCTGCGATCAATAATTCTCGAGCGTGTGCTGGTTTTGTCGTCAATAGCAATCGAATGATTGCTTAATCTTGTACCACAAAGAAGTTGTCAATTTTGCAAAAATATATAGCAAATCGGCTAGTATTATCACTCGGATTGACCTTTTACTGCGACTTTCAACACCAATATTGTCAGCGTTTCTCCACATTACCCAAAATCCGAATGCTAAACGAGATCAGCTTGCTTGGATCGGTTATGTCAAGGAACAGTAGTTTCTAAAGATCGATATTTAAACGTGTTCCTGAAACGCACTTGTCTAGGTGAATCGTGCCACAGGAGAATCGAGTATAAGTTTTTGTGCTATTACTTTGCTCGAGACATCCAAGCACGTTAGTTTGGCTTTTTAAATAGGGTTCGGCAAAGATGTAGTGAGGTAACTCTATGGGGGAGCTTGGAAATATAAGTAACGCGTGTTTATTGGTTATTCTATATGCCCTTTTTGCAGCTAGCAGAGATGGGGTTGTCGCATGTTACGATATTGTGAAAAGAGCAAGAAAGAAGCTTGTAGATTCTGAAGTAAGTTACAATTGATGCTTTGATGAATATTAAAAACTAGGCACTTGCCATTCTAATAACAACATTGTATTATTTTATACGACAGATAGAAATACTATGCTCCTCGTCGGTTTCTATAATCAATTGATGTCAGATGAAACAGAGAATTGATGAAAGGCAGCCCACAGCCGACAAAGTGCCGTGCTAGTGTCATTGCTTCCATTAAGTGAGCTAACATCAACACATTAATCATAGTATGACAAGGCATCGGCTGTTATTATATGCTTATTTATTGGGCTGTTTTACAAGAAAGTGTTGTCATCAAGTAATACTACAGGTATCTTTTATATGTAACTGTCATCATATACTCTCCGTAAATATCCGACGCCACTAGTGCCTGAAGTGGATCAGCATGCATTCACGGACGAGATTACAGTGAAGCAACCTCTATGGAAAGTCGGACCAGTGTTGTTTAGCTTTCGGTTTTTACTGTGTGCACAAAGATGCCCATGTAGTGGCCATACCGATACATGTTGGCACCTTTTTAGATAAGAAATGACACGGCCGTTTGTGTATATATATTATATTCACATACTGGTGGATGCTGTTTATTTGCTGTTGCGTAAGATTGAAAAGTTGTCTGCTGCTTCGTTTGTGATAAAATTGTGTACTAAACAATGTGAATCAATCTATGTGAATGCATTGTATTCTATTATCATCTTTCGATGCATGATGCGTTTGATGCTTCAAAAGAACAGTTAGATACGTACACAAGCGCAAAGCATACGATAAAACGTTTAATGGAGAACACATGATGTCATCTCCTGATGTTGTACAGCAGCAGAAGGGTGTTTCAGTTGTTTTATCACAATAATGTATATCAAGAACTCGGATAATTGTATAGTAGTTTGACAACAGCTCATCGGCCCAAGTCGGTAATGGTTGTAGTGCCAAAATGCCACGAGTGTCATGAATTAATTCCTTGTATAAACGAGGACCGATTAAACTTGAAAGGCAGCAACATAATCTGGAAAGCGATTCGTCGTCCGTGATTGGGCCTAAATGTTCTTGGCAAGCGAGATTTTATTTTTTGACCCGATTGCTGATTAATAATAAAAAGAGTTAGAATGGGGGAGGAAAGAGCCACAGGGAAGCTGCAAGAAATAATTTCCCATTATAGAGCGTGGTAAAGTCTGAATGCGTGGGGTGTGATGTGGATTTTTAGGAATGAATTTTGACTTGGCGTAGCACAAGAAATGGACGAATGACGTCTTGACGTTGGGATGATGATGATGATGATCATCACAGGGAGTATGTGCGTGTATGCACATGCCAGGGCCGGGTGGTGATCTATGACTCGGCTCCTTCATACAATGTACTTGCAACGCTATACTAGCCTGTGTTGCTGCACATGCTCGCTACTCGAGTAGCTCGGTGAAACGTTGTGCGGGCTAAAATGGCTGTGATAAGACGTAAGAGACGCAACAGAGCAACCAGCAGGCTTCCTTATCAGTGCGCGCGCAAGAGCAGAATTAATAAAGAGAGAGAGAAAGTCCAAAGCCCGATAGGCACTAGCACCAATTGTGCCCACACCGGCAGAGGTATAAGTACCTTTGGTTTCAGATGACTTTTGGCTTTCTTTTTTCTTCTTTTTCTTCTTTGGGCTCCCTGCCCCCGCCATAAACATGCTCGTTACGCCTTCCGTCCCCAAACAAGTCCATATTCCTCCAGGATTCATCGGTATGTCTTGTACTTCTTCATCTTGCTGTGAAGAGGATAACCATGTCGGGTCATCCCCCGCACAGTCCTCCATTTCCCTTTTTGTTCTCTGACTTGGTTAAATGTCTCTCTCAAAGATTTCGCTTCGTCGTCGTTCGATGCCATCTTTTATCAGCGTGAGCGTCACCCATCGACCGCTGCTGACGACACTAGCGATAGCTATCACGACGAACCGCCCCAAATTCGACGACGTGCTTCGCATTTGCCAGACTTGCTACCGTTTATCGAACTGATTACCGCAAAATGCAACGTTGAACCTGTCCAATTGGTCATGGCACTGATATATGTGCAGCGGTTCAGAGCTTCACTTCCTCCCGGTACGTTTTTGAACAGCACTCATAGAAGCGTGCACGCACGGCAGTGTAACTCATAATGACGTTTCTTCTATTGTCGTTGACTCACACATTCCTTGTTATTACACAATTCATAGGTTACAAAGCGGAATCTGAAGCAGCTCACCGTATCTTTGCAGCTAGTCTCTTGGTGGCCAGCAAATACAGTGAGGACCGCTATTTGTCTACGAAACAACTTGTCCGTGCAACTGGCGATGTCTGGTCTATCAAGGAGATGACCCGAATGGAGCTCGCACTGCTGCGATTCTTGCAGTGGGACTTGCACATTGATACCGATGAGATCGCAACTTTTCTGCATGAACTCAATTTCGACGCTTCTATTGTCTTGAGTCCTCAACAGCCCACTGACAACGACGACGAGACCATCACCTCTACTACTACTACCACTACTACTTCTATCCATCCTCCAACATGTCCTGATGAAGCTTTGTAAAAAGAAACCCAAGACTCGTCGCCATTTTCCCCCTCTTCCAACTTGCGCTGTACATATATAGATATCCACCCCCCCATCAAACACTCTCTCCTTTGCTTGCTCCCTCCTTTGTCGATTTGTAAATAACGTTAGTCACTTTGAGTCCGTCCCTGAATTTTTGTCTTCGGAAAATATGATTTGCCGCCGGTTTTCTTTAACCATCAACCAGCGCATGCTGTTTTTTCCGGCAAAACAATTACTGTTTAACTACATGCAAAATGATTCGGAAACTGTTGCATGTGCATGCGTGTTAGTTTTTGTTTTTTCTTTTTCTCTTTGCATCAGTCGTCTTATGCCATTCTCAGCCTATCTGGAAGCAGCGAGCATTCCAGAATGGCGCAAGGCCTATATGGACTACAAAGGTCTTTGCGCTGCACTGGAGTTACTCCAGAAGGTACAATTTAACAGTATCAGTCGTAGAATAGATGTATGAAACCTTCCATTTTCTTTAGCCTGCATCTCGGCATCACTGATCAAGAAGTTTTGCCGTTCATTTTAGCAACGATCAAAACCCACCACCAAAGATACCGATGAATTGCTCCACCAAACGCCGTCGTCGCATATCGAAAGCCCTATCAGTTCACGACATTCCCATCATTCCCGTTTATCAGAAGCTGTTAGCAACGAACTATCTGACACTTTTGAACAGGAACGTGCTCAGTTGGGTGAGCATAATCAACTAGGTAACGACAAGATAAATAGAGAAGCACCTCTGCCCCACTCCAAAAAAATTGAAACTGAACACATCCTCTAGATCTTGCGTCATTTTACAATGTTGTTAGTCATGGAACAAAGCAAGAGCGGCTATTTTTTCACAAGCTGGATGAACAATTAGACCGTATAGCACGATTTTACAACGGTAAGCCAAGAGCAACGGACATTCATTGTGACAATTTGCTAGCATAAAGATACCTTGGAGAAAAGCTGACAACGATAGATTATTTTCTGTAGAGCGGGAAAATGAGATTAAATCCAAGCTGACAGCTTTAAGGATTCAAATGGAGCTTGTGGCGGATTACGGTCGCCTTATATCCGAAGAACAAGAAAGTAGAGAATTGAGAGAACAACAAGATCAACAACAAGAGGAAGACGGAGGCGCAGAAAGAGACGCTGAATATTGTAGCCTTCTAGCCAGGTGTAATCCGCTTCGCTGGTTTAAAAGACTACGTCGTTGTCGATCAATCTTGACAACAAGCACTACCACGAAAAAGCCACCTTTTTTGGCCAATTTATCTACTTTGCCGATACCCCTCCGATATGCAACGAAAAATGATCATTTTAGTTATCAAGTTGCTCGTGGTCGATTAAAGCGTGCGCTTACCGAGTTCTACCGTAGTATTGAGCTCCTCCAATCATACAAGGTATAGGAGAATAACAAAACGTCTTCATAATTGTATCTATACTACGGACTATTAGAGATTGGCTTAACTTTTTGTTTTAGGAAACAAACTTGCAGGGCTTTCAATCTATCCTTCGAAAGTTTGATAGGGTATGTTTAATTTTTGTGTGCTTCAATATTGACGACAGCACACTCTTCTTCGTCGTCATGTAAAAAGTATTCAAGTGCATGTGCTATGTTAGATTGCAGGATGGCAAGCAAACAAACATTATATGGAAAAAATCAAGCAATACCATTGGGCATCAACAAAAGACCTTGAGAAAGTCATGGAGGATACAATAAGTCTGTTTGCTAATGAATTCTCCAGAGGTAACCGAGCAAAAAGTGCACGCTGCCTGAAAACACTTGAGAAAAAACAAGAGGTAAGAGAAATGTTTACAGAATCAGGGTCAATGATAATGAGCACTGCTATCTTTTTAACTGATAATGTGCCGATATCTAGAGTCTCACTGCAACATCCTGGCGCGTCGGCTTCTACCTTGGTGCTGCGGTGTTTCTACTCTTATATGATATCAGTTTAGGTAGGAGACACATCGTTGCAGGGACATCTCCTTATTGTTATCTTCATGCAGCACCCGCAGCTAACAGTATCTAATCTCATCATTGTTGTATTTGTTATCTAAAATATAAGCGTTGGACCCTCATACCGCTCGACAAGTTCCATATATCCATACACATTTGCAAATTTACGCATGCTTTTCGGTTCCTATATTGTTCGTCCTTGGCATTTCTATAAACATGATGGTGTGGACCCGATGCAAAGTTAACTACAAATTTATCTTTGAGCTGAATCCAGGGGATAATTTGGATTATCGTCAATTTGCAGAAGTAAGCAGAAGACATTTTAATCATCTGACAGCTTTTTAAAGAACTTTTTAATATTAACTTGATTGCTCCCATTTAGCTTCCATGTTTTGTACTTTTGCTATTGACTCTGTTTATGTTTTTCGATTTTTCAAACATCTTGGAACCGTGGCTACCATCAGATTTCTGTCCAATGGCCTTGTTCATCGTTTTGCTGGCCATTCTGTTTTGTCCATTCAACGTATTGTATCGATCAGCACGTAAATGGCTTTGTCAGACTTTGGTAATAACACTTTGACTTTTGTCGAGGCTACTCTAATACATCCTTGCTATGTACTAGACAAAAGTGCTCACAATGAACTTTCTGCTTGCTAAACTTTTGTATAGGGCCGGATTGTCTTCAGTTACTTTTTCCCTGTGGAATTCCGAGACTTTTTTGTCGCTGATGAACTAAATAGCTTGTCGTATTCGTTTTGGACAATCAACTATTTTTTCTGCGCCTACGCGTATGACTGGAGTGGTCTTGGTTCGTAATAAGCTTCACAATTGAAAAGTAGCTCAGCAAACAAGAAGCAATATGTATATATTCTAACTTTTAAGAAAACCAGATAAAGGTTACCGTTGCCATGTTACCCATATGTGGATTACACCGTTTCTTGCCGCTTTAGCTCCATGGTGGCGGTTCTTACAATGTATTCGCCGCTATCAAGACTCTTCTGAGCGGGTTCATTTGGTCAATGCAGCAAAATATACCAGCACCATAGTAGCGACCTTTGCAACCGGATTGCGTCGCATGTACCGTATGTATATACTGTTGTGATGATATTACGCAAGGAATTTAGTTTTAAACTATACTGATACCTTGAAAAATGCATTTTGCTTATAGCATCTACAGGCACTGATCTCATTTGGATACTTGCGTCAATGATCAATTCATCATATACTTCCATTTGGGATATCAAGATGGATTGGGGGCTGTTACAGACACCCAGCCGACATTTCTTGCTACGAGATGATCTTGTCTATTACAGATGGGTAAGAGAGTAGTGAAATATTTAACAAGAAGGTATATAAGGAGCCAACGACATATTCACACTTTATTCTCTTAAAAAAAGGTATACTATGTGGCAGCGCCTCTCAATGTGGTATTACGATTTGCGTGGGCACTCAATACGGCCAGTCTCACACTACACAGCGATGTCCTTGGTTATCTGACCGCCTTGTTGGAAGCTTATCGCCGGTTGCAATGGAACTTTTTTCGGCTAGAAAACGAGCATTTCAACAATTGCGCCGATTATCGAGCTATTAACGAAATTCCTCTTCCATTCGCAACGACAGCTACAGTAGACGAAGAAAATGGGACAGCTCGTAGCCAGGAGATTCGGCTACCGTTAAGTGATGAAGAAGAGGACGAAACGGCAGCAGCACAGGCAACGCTAACGGACGCAGAGCGCAGTGCACAATCTCAGCCGCAGCATCCACCTTCACTGACAGCACAGCGTCGATCCTCTCTACCGATCGCTGCTCGCAGCCCAAAATTACCTAGAAGGTTACAGCATCAACAAATACAAAGGCAACATACCTGGGCCCATACCATCAATCCAGCAACACCAACGAGGACAGGCACATTTTACGGTCGTCGTGACTTTGAAAGTAAACGAGAAGGCCATAAGCAACAAGATGAGCCCTCATCACCATCTGAAAGTACCAGTCAGCAACAGCTACACCATGATGAAGATGATGATTTATTAGAGTAGAAGAAACTTCTTTATATTATTTACATGAGCTTAATAATGTATTTCTGCGAAATTTGGTCCATTGCTTTAAAGCATGAAGTATTTATATGTGTCCATAAACGCAATATAATAAATCGACCTCCCTATACTGTATACAGTAGCGTATCGGCAATGAAGCTTTCTTATATGCTTCAACCAACGATATACGAAGCACAAGTGTTTACTAACACTGATGTTGTCATGCATCATGTCTTGATGTTTGAACATGATATTTTAGTCTGCGCATTGAGGACGGACTTTGTTAGTATCAGGCTTGTATTTCATAGCAACATCACGCTGTATCATAAACACATGGAGGGTTGTTGTCGTTGTTAATGAATAATAAAGCCTAATACTATAAATAGAGGGTAACCAATTTTGGCAGTCTGAACGAAAATGACATGATAATGTGAGCTTCATGGCATGAAAATTTCCTCTCTTTGTTTCATGTTGATAACACTGGTTCGACAGTAAGTTTTCTATCAAGTATGACATTAATCGCGAGTATTAATCGACAAAAACGGGTTGGCAACAATTTTGATATGTATGTATTGGTAGTGGTGAGAGTAACGGTAACATAATGCAACAATGGCAAGGAATCACTGACGGACCGTAAGTTACATGACCTTCAGAGATCCCACTATCATTCAACCTTGTGCAAATGTGAAATTCCTTTTTAACTTGGTAAGAACGATAGGTTAACCAACAAGGGGAAAATGCAAGCAGAGCTTCTAGCTCATGAGTTGAGTAAATATAAGGTGAACTTAACAGAAAGCATTTACGAGGATGCACAGCCGCCACATATTGATAAGACTGACAAAAACCAGTTTTCTGCCATTTTTTCCAGCCCGTTGAGTCGCGCTTTTGATACAGCCAAGGCAATTCAAGCAGCATTATTAGAGCAACCATCATCGCCACCCGAGATCATCACTGATCCTCGACTCATCGAGTTGCATATGGGTACACTGGAAGAAGCGTCGTGGGCTGTCCCATACCAGATCGAGACCCGTGACACGCCATTTCCCGGTGGAGGAGAATCTCTCAATGACGTTCTTTCTCGTGCCTTATCAGCTTTAGAGTTACTATTGAGCAATACTGAAGGAGAAGGAGCAGAGCATCATGTATTGCTGGTGTCACATGGCATGTTTCTCACAGAACTTATCCATGCTCTTTGCATCTCCTACAACTCTGCCTGGGTTGATGTTGCATGGTCTAATACAGGGATCACGACAATCGAGCTAGACCACAAAGGTCTTCACTTCCTTCGGATTAATGATACGAATCACCTTCTCTATTGAAAATTTATATATGATGTAAAATGATAATAGTATGTACAATTTGTAATTTGATATGTCAGAAAAACAAGAAGCCAACTTTAGCCATTCATTCCTACTTGGCACCCATTTGCTTTTGTATTTTCTCAAGTAGATTATCCATCTGTCGGGCCATTTTGGGTTGACCTTTGCTATTCTTTGCTAACATCTGGCTACGTTCGCGTCGACGTTTGCTATAATACTGCTGTCGATCTTTGGCTTGTGCTGCAAAATCTCGATCTCGTTTTTCCCGTTCTTCTTGTGTCAACTTTCGTGTTTTGTTGCGTTCGTCGATATGTGATTTGAATGGGTTGGGTTTATATCTGTTCGCGTACACATCGATCTTCTTTTAGTATACAATTAAACACACTGTGCAAAAATCATAATCCTTACTGTTTTGGCTGATCGTCCATTTTTCGCTTCTTTGATGACCCCTTTCCTTCATCCTCACTCTCTTCATCGTCTTCCTGTTCCTCTTCCTCAGAAGACTCTTCATCCAAATAATGGACTTTGTCCTGTTCTTTCTCTTCATCAAAAGCGGACTGTGAGGGTTTTCCAGAATCGTAAGCTACAATGTTGCCATCGTCATCGATCGTGCGTTCGCCAAAGATCTATTGTTTAAGAAAATCAATAGCACTGTTAAATCTTCGGAATCTTAGATCGAGCCATAAATATAAAGTACCTCTTTGACATAATCAGGGGTATCGTCTTGTGGATTTTCTTTTTCGAGTGTTTTATAATACTGTTTTTTAACCGTTGCTTTGTGGATCAACTCATGCTTTCGTTTCCGAACTGTTTACCGAATAGAGCGAATTAACGACACGATCAAAACAAAACGATAGAAATATACGCAAATGTTGGTATTATAGGAGGGTAAGCTTTACCTTTACGCTCGAGTGGGTTTAACGGACGACCGCCTCGCTTTGTAAATTTGGGTGGCATTGCTTCTTCCTCTGTTTTTCTTCTGCTGTGTTACTAGAAAAAGAAGGGATTCAAGTTACCAAGCACTATAAAATGTAGAATGGTGGCAAAGCCACCCCGCTCACCGTAAATTCATGCATATTCTGTTTTTTTGCGAGCTTAAAAGATGAGAATCACCTGGTTCGTCTTTTGCTGATTGATAAACATCCTTGTTCGTCTCAATATGAGCAACACATATGCCCTATGACTCACAGGCTAACCTCTTTTCATCATAAATGCTATCAAGCTACTATTATGGCTTTAGAATGGGTATCACACAAGATGCATTCGAAACGACGATGCTCATCCTGCTTTAATCACCTCCTATATTGTGAGCAATAGCTAGTATACATGAAAAGCGCCATGTCTCGTTACAAAGCAAAGTGATAGAGTCTAGTCATACCAACATAACTAAGCAGTATACCAAAACCCCCTTGATTGGCACGTGCGGGCGGTCCTTATTTCTGTCGCACAGTACACAATTATGCCCCTTCCATTAAACATTAATGGTGATCCTACTACGTCGTACCAGCTTGTACTGACTGTAAAGCCGACGAACGAACACACGCCTTACCCCAGTTTTGTCACATACCGTCTTTTTCCCGTCTTGTTCACTTTTTTTTTCTCTCTTTCCTACATGACAATCTCACGTCTTTCAATATTCATATTACTTGCAGCAGCAATAGCTGCAGTATCACTTGCGAATCGCGACAACAATGAAGACAACAGCACAGGCCCAGTTCGCGATGTAGTAACGGCAGTAACGGCAGCAGCAGAAGAAGCCGTAATAACAAATACAGCAGCAGAAACAGCTACGAACACGACTGCAACCACAGACGGATCGCTTGCCATGATTGTTCTGCTAAGTGCCGGATCGCTTGCATTTTCCTTCTTTCGACTGGTCGGACTCAGCATTTACAATGTCATTACCACCTTATTATTGCCAGTTTATTACGTACTAGCGTTTTTTTGGCGCAACATGGTGTCTAGGCCATTTGAGCTGCTTCTCAATATTGGTCATGCGCTGTATCCAGTCGCCATGTATTGTCTTGCAGCCATATGTTGCGGGACGTTAATTGGTGGGTGTGCAGGATTTGCAGCCGAGGCGATCGCATCATTCACAATATCAACCACGTGGGGCCGGTCCCGTACAACTGCTGGGTCAAGTCAACGACAACAGCACAAACTGGCTATGCCGCATCATCAACATTACCATCCTAACCAGTATCTTTACGATACCGAAGATGATGACATATCAACAAGAGCAAGCTTTACTAGTGAAATTTCCTCACAATGGGATCCATCGTTCTTTGGCGAGCAACAACAATCACCATTACCACGACAGCAGCATCTGGGTATAGCCAAGGATAAAGAACGAGTAGACAGCTGGCGCCAATCCTTGGACTCTCGGGAGTCAGCATCATCACCTCGCGTCCCTTCATCGTCAACAATGATGTACATGTCACCTTTGGATAACAGCACGGCACAACAACGACCGCGCCCATCACCCCTAAGACATTCAATGGACCATCACCCACAAGAGCCCATGGATGACTGGGCTTGGGATGATGATGACGACGACGACGACAAGGCCGGTGACAACAGCAATGGTATCAGTGATAGCGATGGCATCGACGAGTTTCCAAGGCTGCGACGTCGATCGGTAGTACGGTGAAAGAGAGACTAGCGAATGAAGAAGTTCGGGCTGATATTATTCACGCGTTTCGAAACTCTAAAACAATAAACAAACTGACATTTTGTACATAGCAAATTGAGCATTCCAAAATATTTCTACTTACTATATCGGTTTATATGTATGCGAATTTATTTGTCCTATATTACCGGAGATGGGATTCTTTCTGGTTCAAGCATGAAGTACATGTATGCAGTGATATAAGGGTTAGAACGAGTTGTTATTGCTACTTATCATTTTACAGTGAGCGCAGAAGATACAGAGAGGGAGGAAGAGCGAGCGAACGAGTGAGTGAGTGAGTGAGTGCGTGCGTATGTGAGAGCGAGAAAGATATGTACAGAGATGCAGATGAAAGGTATTTTGGCAATTTTTTTTTGTTTGTTCATGGTTTTTAATGGTAAGGAGACACGGATGAAGAGAAAGGGAGAGGGGGGGATAAGGAAAATCGGGGGATATATGATGATTAATGACGGAAGTGTGGTGATCTACCACCTCGACGGGCAACAGGACGCGATCGAGAACGCGCTCGTTGAGATGCTTCCATGCAATCATCATCCGACCTAGTACGTTTGGTCTTGTAGAAAGCAAACACATCCTCAATCGCATTTTCATCTTCGTCAGGCACTTCGTCCGTATCATCTGTCGAAGGCGACGCTGCTCCAGGGTATCGAATCAGCGCTGGCGCCTGTCCCGTCAAATCCATCTGTTCCTCGATCCACTCCATTCCCACATTGTAGCACGATTTCCCAAAACGAACACCACTCGGCGCACGCTGATCGAGGTAAAAGCGCAACTGCGCCAGATCGCTTTCGTATTCTTTGAGCTGGCGACGACGACGGCATCGTGACACGTAGAGACCAAACATTAGGAACTCCATTGGTCTAAAGACTTTTTTCCTGCCGTTGACGTGTGTAAAAATCATCGTCGAAGGTTCCTTGGCTAGTGCAACGATTGTGTTCAACGCATGGGTTACACTCCGCTTCATGTCCTGACTTAGTACAACTTCGCTGTCGCCCAAGAAAGCTACAAGCTTGAGCCTCGAGGCTGCATAAACTGCGGGATTCGGGTTGTGGATCATGAGCACCAGAAATGCAATGTGTTGAAAGATGTATGATCGAACATCGGCGAACAGCACTGATAAATCGGAGCGGTATTGCTCGTAGACGGCAGTACAGTATTTTGCGACGGGTGTGATGTTGGCCTTGAGCTTTTCGGCGGAAGTGAGCGGGACACCGAGTTGCACACGTGAGAAGATTTCAATCTGGAAAGGAAAGGATAAACATCAACACAGTCAGATTAGCGTTTCTGGATGCCAAACAATGCAAGGAAAGTAGCGTCTTTGTTGTGTTTTGTTAAAGCAACGACAACGCCCTTGCTCTCTGTCACTCACCTCGGAATCCGTGTCCAAGTTGGTATATTCAACTATTAAGTATAACAGAATTTTAAGCAAAATGTTTGACACGCACGCACATCTATCACCCTTCTTCTGCCGCTGCCACACACTCACAGCCCCAAAAAGATCCAAGAAAAGACTTACCACACACAAGCTGGGTATGATCAAATTGATCGCGAGTTTCGTCATCCAAATACTCCCGGCCATCATCCTCTAAAGATATCGAATTCCATTACAGCCAAAGTTAATTAAAAAATTGACCGCAGTTGTCAAGACCCGTTAAAACTTGCCACTATATTGTACGTACCTGCAGTGTTGTTGCAATAGTACCTGTCCACTGCGGTTCCGCCACTGAGATCCGAGTATGGGATTTCATTGTTCATGAATCTAGTATACCAAAAATATCATTCAAATTAAAAAGGTGTGTGTGTGCGTGTGCCTTGAAAGGAGATAAATCAAGAGTAGCACATACCGTGAGATCGAAGTAAGACGTTGCTTTCCATCGATACAAACACGCAGAACTTTTCCATCCGCAGCCTTTCGTACAGCAAGAACAACAGGTGGTATATAATAGTTGTTCATCACCGAATCAATCAAAGCGCACATTTTCGGTTGGGTCCACACCACTTCACGTTGATAAGGAGCATCCTAAGAATGACACAATTACAAACAAACAAGACATGCATACTGGTTAGATCAAATACAGCAATCCTTTTTCTTCAGCCTATCTCGACAGAATGTCGAGAGCAGCTCTTCCTTCTTTTTTAATCTATTGATCAAGTTACCAGACAAATGATTCCGCTTCCAAGGAGATCTACAAGGGAAATAAAACCAGCAAAATGAGTAACATTCAAGAAAACACCAAGTGATTATAGAGAGTGCCTAATTACCATTGATTTTCCAAAGCTCCAGTACCCTTGTGTTGGGTCTTTCGAGCGCTTGGTTTGTCATGATTAAAAGTGAAGAAGAAAGGCAAGTGGAAAAAAAGAGTTTGTCCCGACAGCCTATTTACCAGAAACCAATTTGGCAAGAGCTGTCGAACAAGTCCAGCGGACTCGCTAAATCACCAATTTCCATTCCAGCGGACTCGCCAAAAGAACTTTGTAAAATTAAAGGATAGCTATTGTCGGACACATTGTCAAAGTTGACAGACTTTGATAGACTCGCTCTTGTGAGTCCGCTATTGCTAGTCAGCAATAGCTAGTCCGCGAGTGGTAGATTGTCGAACTTGGGGGTTAGCTATCATGGCTGCGGTCAAACATCTCCTCTTGTGATAAAAGTGAGTTGTTGATGGGTAGAAATGAAAGAGATCAAATAAAAAAGGTATAGATAAGATCATAAAGTAGATGGTTTTTTATTGAAAATTCACGATCCTTTATATGCTGTCTGAGATGCTGTCCAGCGTCCTTTAGATAAATTGAAGGACGAATAACGCACATGCCGATATTGAATCTTTCCAAAAGATGAAGAAGGGTGAAAGAGGTGGAGATGCATGTAATGACGACGGATGTTGCCTTTCGAGTGCTAAGAGTCACCTTTACCTTAATCAGTGTCCTCCTTAATGCAGTGTTACCTTGGTCTCTCTTAAGATGTGGTCCGAATTCTTTGACAGGTTTCAGCTGGATAAGCTCAGATATGTGGCTCGAGAGGAAGCGTTGACTAATTACGAGGATAGAACATTGTGGTGCATACAACGCTCACCGCTATTTGTAGATACGCCATGACCAACCCCTTTCACTCGACAGCTTTCCTGTAAAGTATACTTCTTCTTGTGTGCACTAACATCCAGTTGGACAATCACTACTACGAACTGATGGCGCCATTGGACACCAGAAAGCATGATAAAGGCGGAGACAAACCAGTATCATATTTTGATGAACGACAGTAAATCTCTACATAGTTGATAATACATAGTAGATAATCAGTATATACAAAGTCGCTCACGTACTCAAGCTGCTCTACATTAGTGTATTTGCTATGCTATGCTCGTCGAAAACCATATAAACCATTATGGTTACCGATAGCTCGTATATTATCGCCTAAAGCAAAAGCTCCTGTTACACAAATCTATGAGCCGCTGCTCTTGCATAAAACTACTTTGTCGCACCATACCTACGAGAGCAATAATATATATATATAAATATATATAATCTGTAAGCGAAGGAGTTTATCTAAAGCCGAGGAATTGTGACACATAGACACGTCGGAGAAAAGAGAGAGGGGAAAAGGGAGAATATTAAACGACTGCTCTATGTTCAGCTTCTATGCAGCAACAACGCTTTTGGGCCAAGAATTTGCTCCTGCAAAAAGAAAAGCCAGTGTGTGCGCCATATGTCTAATAAGTGCGGAGTTATATATAAACAAGAGGTGAGTATGGAAATTTCCGCCTGACAAGCTTCTTCGAGCTACTTGGGGAAACACGTCACACCACTAGCAGGCTTAAAACTTGCCAAAAATAGCTCACGCGTGAATATATTTCGCGTCAAATGCGCGCGGTCGCGTTTTTAGAAAAATATATACGCTTTTACATAAACCCGCCATGGACGAACATGTTGCTCATTTCGAGGTTTTATTTACTGCACAAAAGCTCAAAAAATTCAAGACATGGCAAGATGGTATGTTCCATTCTTACTCGGGATCTTCAACGTTTTCTTGTATACTCTTTGTTCTCTGACAGTGGGAACTCTTCCTTTGTTCTTTATATAAACCTAGGTACAATGAAGTACTACAGCTTTAACAAAAAGGTAACTAAACATAGCAATAACATTAACAGAAAAAGAGAGAGAAGAAAGCATAGAACATTCTGAATATTAATATATGACACTTACATTAAGCTCGTGTTAACGGACGAAAAGGGGTACAATATCGACAGGTATGTGTAAAGAAGCTACGACGCATATACAAAGTATCCACTGATAGCAACTTGCTACCTCCTTAAGAAAATTCTCCAAAACGGGCTCCCCTAGCGTAGGCGATGAAGTCGAGTTCGATGGACATATCGTTACGGTCGAGTCATTTACGAGCCAAGAGCCTTATGTTGCTCAGAATGTCGTTGCTGCGGCGGCTGCGGCTCGTGCCGCTGCTGGATCAGCAATACCAGCAGCTCCTACAGTTCACATTCCGATGACGCCACCGCTAGTAGCGCAACAACATAGTCTTAATCAACAGGTACATCAACACACACACACACACACAAAGAGAAAGAGAGTATGCAGGTACATGACGTTGTGTTACCAGAGATGTAATGATGCTAAAGGCTAGTGTACACAAATTTGGGGAAATAGGCTTCAAATGATCCACCACTAAACAATAATTACCGGTCCGCTCGGAAACGTCTCCGTACACTTGCCGGCTCAAACTTTAATGTTTCAACACGGTCAAGAGGCACTGTTGCGCCATTACACGAAATCGATTTACCACCTACATCAGCACGTAGTGCTGCAGTAGTGCCTCCGCAACAACAACAACAACAGACTGTTCCGGTTTCTGTTGTCAACAATGGCGTTGAAAATCGTTTGGTAGAGGAGGAGCAATTGACATTGAAGATACAGCAAGCTGCACTACTCAGTCGAAGCAATCAAATCAACAGCACCGTAATAACACATGCACTTCGTCAACCACCTCGTGAAAGCCGACCGTCAGCAATGGATGTACAACAAGAGGGTATATCTATGTCTCCCTCTCGACCGGCAGATGATGAAAGGACTAATCGCGCACCATCAATCAAACGTATGGGTAAGCGTCCAATGCAGTCCTTACCAATTGAAATGCAGGAGGAAAACGAATCTATGGAAGTAGATAATACTATCAGTGAATCCACAACTTCATTACATACAGTCGTCAGCCACCATCAATCCAGTAACAGTAGTGCAAACATTCCTGCTTCAACAACACCAATAAACACCATCCAAAATCAACAACAACCACCTTTGCAGCGCCGAGTTCGTATGGGTCTATCCAAGCGCACGAATAATGCTTTGCATAGCGATTATTTACATACCACTGATGATACCACTACATCCACAACAGCAACAACTATATCAGCTTCCTCCTCGGCGTACTTCTCATCCAGACAAACTGGGGATACAAATGGAAATAACAATCAAACTACCAGGTAAATCTTAAATACTGGTCTACGTTTTATACAACTTCAACGGTTTGGCTTACTGATAGCACCTATATCTAGCTTGTTTGTTAAAGCATCTGCCATTGAAGACCCTGGCGAAAGCTCCACCACGAATAATACCAATGCGTCTTCTTCGTACGTATCTGCATTTCATTTCATTATGTTTCGTTCCTACTGATATTGATAGTGATGTTTTCTAACGACTATTATCAATACGGATTTCTGTCATTTATGTAGGCATGCTCCCAAGCCGTTCAAAGTTCCACTTGTCGATGGAGCGACTGTGCCACCAGTTGTGCTCCAATTCCCCTCGAGTGAAAAAGCGCTAGCTCTCGGCAAATCTCGAAACATACCTAAACGTACAAAGACAGTGCCATCTAGCTTTGTAAGTTTTTCTTATCAACTCTTTGGTTCTCGTTCTCTTTTGTTTATCCCATTTCATGTGCAAAGATCAACTCGCTCATATTCGTTTGTGAATTGGAATGTAGCGCAACTCTACTCAATATCGAGAGGTTTTCCAAAAAATTATACACGAGCATTTGCAGGTAATAAGGTTATTAATTTCAAAAGTGGGGTATGGAGCGCACAACACTGGTTTTAGTAAGCAACTATACATAAACTTTACTACCTTTTATTAATAACTTACCGATATAGATTCTGCTGCTCAACTATAGCATGGTTTACTATATGTTTTACAAATCTTTGAGACTAAAGCAAAACGACTCCGAGCGCAACTTTCGTTCCAAAGGCATTGGATTTTATGCTTCGTGTGAGCTGCAAAGGTGAGTAGTGCTGTCAAGAATTTTTTTATTGAAAATGTATCATCCATGCACTTAAAAACAACAATTAGGGGAGATGGTCGGATGAGCATGCAAGATCGTTATCGCCTTCAGTTACGAAATCGAGAGCATCATTCAAAATATAGCAAAGGTATGTTTATAATTGGTTTTTCTGAAAATGGCCCAATATATCATCTGCAAAAGATTAGCTACTTAGCATGATCGACGTGTATATCTATATTCTGTTACAATAAACAAACGAATCATTTATCCAACACTCTTTTTGCATCCCTTCTCCCCTATCTCTGTCCTCCACCGTATTTGGTATATTTATTTATTAGATGATATTTGGGTAATCTCCAAGAACCCAACATTTGATCCACATACGACGTTTCTTTCTCGAAGCACTTATTACGGACCATTTTCGGATGGATACTTGGAGGTAATGGGATCATAATTAAAAGGCAGCATGATAGAGTTTGTTATAATTTATTGACTAGTATGTGTATATGTACAGGTAGAATGTCTAACAGCGCGGGATGCTCGAGTGGCTACCTCTCTACAGGATGGAAGATCAACTGTCTATGCACTCCGAACCATTTCAGCCAGTACTGAGTTCTTGATGCTTGGTAAATAAATTCGTCGTAGATGCAGTGGCAGCTATTCATATATGCATATTGGAAACTTAAAAAAACGTCTTTTTTAACTTCTTACGGTATAATTATGTTCAAACTAGATTCTTTGCAGGAGAAGCTGGATAAACTGCCACTATTGCCTTTCATACTCTGTGATGACAAGAAAAGAAACAGAAAAAAGAAGGATCAAGAGAAGAGTTTGCTGACGACGCCAGTGAAGAGCCCCGATTATATCATGCTCACATCAGAGGACAATATTAGTATTGAGCATAAGTTGCAAGAAACGATCGAGAGGTATCATTTGAACGAAGATCAGCAGAGGTAAAGTGTTGTCCTGCTCGTTGGCCCTGCCTGAGGAATTTATAGCTAGCAAGATTATGTTGCGCCCTCGCTAAAAATTTGTGATGATTATAGTGTACTGCGCCAGGTTGCAAAATCCGTCATAGTTGCGCCCAACTGGAACGATGAACCTGATTCTCCTATCACGCTAGTACATGGTAAGTAATGGAAAACGTCTTTACTTTGCATCCAAGCTTACACATTAGCTAATTAACCCTTTTTCTCAATTCATAAAATGCATAACAGGCGTTTTCGGCTCTGGTAAAAGGTCAGTAACTCTCGTGAGAATTCTATTTGTTTGTATAATATATATCATATATCATTTGGGCCAGCGGCTAACGTTATCGTTACTTTGTTTATATATTTGTTTGTACCAGCTATTTGGCTGCTGTGCTTATAATCTTTCTACGGGATGTCATCGATACAGTCAATGCTATGCGAGAACCAGATGATTTGATCTATTTCAGAATATTGATCTATTCCATGACGGTAAGGTTATTGATTTCTGACTATCGTACTAAAGATAATTACTCTACTAAACGTTATTGACATACAGAACGTGGCTGTTGATCGAATCCTCATCGTACGTATTCATAAAAATCGCGTGGATGATGATGAAACTATATACTCACTTGACATACCTTTAATTTTTTATCTTTGCCCAGTCTTTGGAAAAACTCGGATACGATTCATTTATCCGGATTGGAAGGTATTATAAAAAAGGCACAGAACATCGGACCCAGTCTATTCGAATCTCTACGCTGTTACTGATTCTATTATTTAAACTAGTCTAAAAAAAATTGCAAAAAGTATTCTTCCGTATACCATCCGTGCAAAGATGTCCAGCAACGAAGGTAAAAATTCGACAATATTTCGGGTTTTCTTATACATTCAGATCACCAAGTTATGTATCTTGTACGCGTACAATAGAATTAAAGGAACTAGAACAAATGCTTGAGGATCCACAAAACTCTGAAGAAGACATTGAGTTGATCGCCTCCACTATCCAAAAGTTCCGCAAATCCGGGAACACGATGCAATTACAAAGCATGGATGTTGTTGGTAAATTATCTATGACTATCGTTTGGGGTACTTGTAGTTGAATAACTCTTCCAAGCAGTCAAAAATATACATTTTTTTCCATCTCACTCTTTTTACGATAGGAACAACGTGCATGGCCTCGACATTTGATATCTTTGGCAACACATGTTTTTCGCTGGCTTTGGTCGATGAAGCGTCGCAGTTAACTGAGCCTTTATCCATGCTTCCTCTTGTTCGGTTTACGTGCAGTAGACTGATTATGATCGGAGATCCACTACAGGTAACGGGAGCATCCTTTATCTTGTTAATATTTTAGTTATAATAAAAGAGGGATCCAAGAAATTTTAATCTCACAGGCGATGAAATATAATAACGTAGTTACCACCCACTGTGACGACAAGTGCTGAAGAAGAAAAAATTGGCCAAGGATTGGACAAGACACTCTTTGATCGTTTAACAGAGGTAATTTATAATCATTTGTTGTGCACTTTTAGTCATGTACAACGCCGAGGAGAATACTATCACTAGGTTCTTACAGCTAGAACATTTACTGAAACTTTGACCTATGGCAATTTGATTTTTCTAATAGTTGGGTCACCAGTCAATAATGCTGCGCACACAATACAGAGTAAATCAAAATCGTAGCATCATTATAGAATAGGGATCTGACATTTTCCTTTGATATTACTTTTAGTGTCATCCTCGTATATCTTGCATTAGCAATCAGCTGTTTTACAGTCGGCAACTGCAGGATGGTGTTAGCGAAGAGGATCGAAAACCATTGATAGAGGGGCTACCAAACCTAATGTTTGTCGACGTTGGAGGACAGGTATCTATACAAAAAAATCTGGCATCATTAAAATATGAGAGTGGGATAACATAAAGTCTAGAACTTATTCTTAACTAATTGCGATATTAGGAGCAAAGAAATGCGCGAAACAACTCATTCTGGAACGAGACAGAGGCATCAATAGCTACCCATATCATCGAAGGTCTTTTGGATCTTGATGTGTCTCCAAGTGATATTGGTATTATTTCATTATGTAAGCCACGCGTGTGTGTGAGTTTTGTGGTTACGGAATAAGAAAAATCTGAAAGTTTACTAACAACTATTTGTCGATGCACAGATAAAGAACAAGCAGACAAGCTAATGGGATTTGTTGGCAATAACCGACCGGACAAGAAGCAAACAGTACAGGTAATACTCAGAAGGAAAGGAGTGATATATAACAATATAAATATGTAAAAAAAATATTCTAAAAAATGTACATGTATAGATATCCACCGTGGATGCGTTTCAGGTATAGGAATGAAGAAATCGATCACGGAAAAAAGAAAGACACAGCGAGGGTGCAGCAGAGCGGTATTTAATAACTATGGTACTTTGTTAGGGAGGTGAAAAAGAAGTGATTATCCTATCGACGGTGCGAACCACCAACAGTACTTTCATCGACAATTACCCTCGCGTTAATGTCGCCCTGACTCGAGCAAGACGTCATTTGATTATCTTGGGAAAACAGAACCTTCTCTTGGGAAACAATCTTTGGGCAAATATCGTTATGCAATGTCAAGGTATATTAAGTAATCAACATGAAGCTATATTACACATATACATTTTTTGCTAAAATTATTGGGGTTTTTATTTATTTATTTATTTTTACATATTAGACAATAGCGTAACAGGCCATGATTGTGCACGCTTACTGAAACGCCTACAGCACGCAAAGGACTCCTCCAACAACCTGTAATTGTGTATATAAAAAAGAGCGCTGCATTCTCCTCTAATGATACATAAAAAAATTAGTAAAAAAGGGCTATAGCAATTAAAAAAAAAGTTACAAAAATCATAATAACCACAGTACATACATGCGTTTATTTTATTGGTATCACGCACTATTGTACTATGTCTCTTCATCAAATTCATACTTCTCATCCATCGTACTATATGGTCCACGCAATTCACAGAAAGCTTTGATATTATCCCTACTGTTCCGACTTTGGCGTTGTTGATGATGCATAGGTGGCCGGGCTGGTGTTTGTAGATGAGGTCCGTTCCCTTTGGTAAGCTTGCGCATGGCAACAAAGTCGCTAACATTCGCACCTGCAGAGAAACCACCACGTCCACGAGCAATACTGATGCTTGGACCAGCCAGCTTCCAATCGTTACCCGAAGACGCTAAAGGCTGCATAGAGCTTGAAACGATGCTGCTTCGTTCTTGTTGTTGCTGTTGATGTGGAATATTTTGAACATTAGAAGCGGTCGTGGGCCTGCTGCTCCTCTTTTTCAAATAGCAGCCGGTTGCCGTCAAGAACTGCTCAAAAGACGAAGCTGTTTGTATAAATGGTTCTGGACTCTTATAAGCGACAGTTGCTCGCTGGTTGTTGTTGATATCATGTCGTGGATGGAAAGCAGTAGTGCGATATTCTAGAGATGTCGATAGTGGTGATGCTCGTGGGTTGCCGTTTTGGTGCTGTGTCTGCATTGATGTCGAGGCTTGCCCACAGCGTGAAATCAGCTTTCCCTTTCCTGCAGGAGCAGGTGAAATAGGAATACTAGGCGATTGGAAGGTATTGGCGATCATAGTTGTAGTTGTTGTACTTTGATCAGCAGATGGGGGATAGTGAGAGGGAGTATTTCTTGGCACGAAAAATAACGTATCACTAGTACGAAGAGATGTTGCTGTTGAGGGTATATTTAGTGGCGAAGCCAGTTTTCGAGGAGCAAAGAGCTTTCCTTGTGTTGTTGTCATTGTTTTTGCCGAGTAATCGCTACATGCTGAGGGGCTGATTGGCAACAAACGCGCTCCATCCGGCGAGCTTCTGTATGCTGCACCATCAGAATCAGCAGCGACGACGGGTTCCTCTTTTTGATTTTCTTCTGAAAATATATTATATTTCATTTCCTCGATATCATCATGCTCGTGCTGCTTATTGTCGGTGACATCTGTCAAGTCGTCCAATCGTCGTCGCTTTCCGGCATATTCATTAACTCTTCGTATGCCTGCAAGTGCGTCGATATACATTGAAGCTTTCCTTTCTACATCCTTCTTTGCTGCTTCTGCTTTAGTCGCTTTTGGAATGTTATCGTGCCACTGAACATCATGGTCGGATATGAACAAACCGTTGTTGTTTGCTCCATCACTGTTTGGTGCATGGTCAAATTCGTCGTCGCTGGTTATGCTACTGCTGATAGGCATTTCGCAACCATCTTTATTTTGTTCGTCGTATTCAAGGAGTGCACCGAGGTCATACCCAAGTTGCTGCGTGTAAGATGTCGATGGTGAAGAGATTAATGGCGAATCAACATTTTCATGGTCATCATGTTGTTTTCTGCTTGTCGCTGTCGTTCCTGAGAAGCTTGGCTCCTGTGATAGCCATCGTTGTAGAGGCTCTTTTTCAAAGAATTTGGCTTCCAAGTCAGCCCAAACCTGTTATATTTCTTACTCTCATTAGCGGCTATGGCTAGAGGGATCTTTGTGTAATGATCAAGAAGTTGTATGCAATGGAAAGTATATATTGGTTACCGGTCCATTTTCGCCAGGAATTTCAATATCTGCGCTGGGCGATTCGTCATACGGTTTCAGATCCAATTGAGCAAGCTGATCGAAAACAACCTGAACAACACTGACGCGTTGTGCATCGTCACTGTGTATACCATGCGTTAAATTGGTAAGTAAAAGAGGTACAGCGATAATGACTGGCAGCAGCAGCAGCAGTAAAATCATGCAATATTGATTCATTGCAACACCCAAAAACGCACAGACATAGATGATACTTGCATAAAATCAGCTGTTTGCTTCATCGACACGTCATCGATTCGAGGCACCTTCATTATGGGTAGCATTCGTGCTCTGTTTTGAAGCGTCCATTTCGGTAATACACGTGTATTCAGAGGAATAACTGGGGGTTCCAACATGTATAAGGATCGAGCAAATTCAATGTCTTGATCATTGTTGCAATTCTCTCGAGGCCAAGATATATCCATATTGAATTGTCTTTCCATATCAACAAGGCGGTCGTATGCTGATTTGCTGACCTGCCAGCCGCCCTTTTGCTTAATCCACTCGTCTAATAAAACAGCGTGGTTATCGTCGTTGTAGATTTCTGTCGTCCATGCGGGTGGTGTTTTGTCGCTGTTAGCCATATTTGATCCGTGTTGATTTTGATCGTTGATGATTTCTCGGCATGCGTCTCGGAATAATCGCTCGCGAAACGAAGCGACGTCATCTATGATAGCAGCGTTGATGTTACATGCAAGAAAGACAAATTGAAAACAGTGGGTAAATGCGTTAGTTTGGTTTTAAAACAAAATGTTCTGGTTATAGCTCTAGTAGAAAAAGCAGCATCGTACCAAAATGGGAAGCTTCTTTTGCGGGTTGTGATATTGATGGACAGTGGTCATCATGCCGTATTCTTTCCATTGATCGTTTGAACACTTCTTGATCATTCATAAGATCATACAAGTAGCTCTGCATATCGCTTTGCCAATCTTCAATAGGTTGGCTTGGCAGGTTCATTTTTTGTGTTTTTGCGGATTTTGTTAAAAAAGAATGAATGAAAGAGAGAGAGAGAGAGAAAGAAAGTGATAAACTTGAAGCCCATTCATTGGTCGCCAGAATAGTAGTCCACTTTTGAAAACGAATTGCTTTTTCTCACCATAAAAGAAGTTACAATATACTGCTGTACAGTAGATGATGCCTTCTATACATAGTAGCTCTTTATCATTTATATGAAAACTTAATAAGGTTGCCTCCCTGTGCCGACACATATATCGCCCATTTAGATTGATCTTTTTATGAGAGGCACCAGGCCAATATAAGCTGAGCTGTTTAGCGTACTCTTCTTGTTGCTTATTCTGGCGTCATACTTGTTATGACGTCGGAAAAACAATCTTTTCAATGCTTTCCTACATAAACATCACTACTCGAAAAATAATAATTAAATTAGGCTGACGGGTCACAACAGTCGTTGTCGCATAATGTCCGTAGATAGAGAAAAGACCACGGCCAAATAGAGCGATATAACTGCACAGCCAGTACTCTAGCAGTCATCTTCAGACGTAGCGGTGCGTATTATTTCTGAAACAAGAAAACCACGTTGCTCTGAGAAGGTACTTCTATGCATGGTAAGCCTCATGTAGGTAAACTGCTGGGCTCAGCGGAGATATTTTTATAAAGTACAGTTGAAGAAGAGAGAAGGGCTTCTTTGCGATCCCTTAAGACGGAGATGAGAGCCAAAGCACTGTACGATTGTACAGCCGATGACGTTGGCGAACTCTCATTCAAAGAAGGCGATACTCTAGTGGATGTAACGGAATCGAAAGAGGATGGCTGGTATGAAGGCCGTGTCCAAGGAACGTCCGTCCGGGGATTATTCCCATTCAACTACGCAGAGTTCATTCCCGAGCAACAACAACAGCAGCCACAACCACGGCAACAACCATTAACACCATCCAAAGCCATTCCACTCAGCAGTACCTCGGACTCCTCCAGGACGTTATTTAGCTCCAGCGTTTCGCCACCCAACTCCACCCTCTCTTCGACATGGTCAGTCATCTCCACAAAGGAATCGTCCACATCGTCACAAGATACTAGTATCGAGGCCGACGCTCCCACCTTGCGCACAGACAAAGTTCTGGATGCCTTTGAAAGAGCCATGATGCAGCAGCCTACTTTGGTCAAAAACACAGGCACAGTAGGGAAATTGGCAAGTGAAGCGCAAAAGCCATCAGTTGCCCCAAAACCGACCCAGTTGATAAAGAAAAAACCATCGCTAGGCAGCAAAAAGAACACTTCGCTGGCAATGGAACGTCTTCCAACTCAACCTCCTGTCATTCCACTAACCCATGCTGCCTTGCCTTTGGCGGCTTCACGTGTACGATCACTATCCACTTCCGCAACTGCAGCTGGGGCAGACAATGCAGCACCTGTCAAGTTACCGTCATTGTACAGCAAACAGAATAATGCGGCAGACAAGATCGATAACAAAACAATTGATAGCAGTGTTTCCCGTAAAGCAATGCCGATCATCCGACCAAAGCCCTATACTATCAAGTCGAGTGCACCTCATGATAACCGACCAATGTTGAAAAAGGAGCAGCCCGAGCGCGTAATCTTTGACAATCCTGCTGCAAACGAGAACGAAGAGGATGTAGAGGACGTGGATGGATACCAGCTAGTCAGACCGTCGCAAATTCGACAACGACAAGGATCTATGACCACACCAAAAGCAATGCCAACGCTTGCACGAGTCAATTACAGGCAGCAACTACCATCCATGACGTCTGGAACTTCAAAGCAATCCATTTTCAACAACAACAACAACAACAACAACAATGCAGCAAATAAGAATCAGCCAACGTCATTGCCATCCACCTTAAAATCGTCATCATCATCGCCATCGGATAACAAATTCGAGGGGATATCAGCAGCAAACAATCCGGCACCTCGCCTGCCTTCAAGACCGGTTTCGAAGGCTGGCCGACGCTCGCGATCGTCCAAAACAACAGCGTGGACATCTCCGGACCCAGTAACGACAACAAGCGCAAAACTGTCGCCCGACACCAAACCGAAGCCAACACAGCTTGCTACCATAGTAAATAGCTCGCCATCGCAACGGTCTAAAGGTCGCAGTGTCTCTAATCCGCCGCCAATTCAACCCAAGCCTTTCATATCAAAATTTAATAACAGTAAACCAGATGTTCCCAACCAGAGTAAACCGGACGGGATCCAAAAGCCCCCACCCGCCCCTGCCACAGCCTCAAAAACCACCCCTGCTGTCCCTCTACGACAAGTCGCTGCACGACGCGAACAGTGGCAGCGATTACCCGACAACAACAAAACCAGCGATAACGATAATGATGATAATGAAAGTACGAATGTTAAGCCCTCCGAAATCTTGATGCGAACGCGATCCAAATCCAATGGCTGGACGCAACCAACCCAGAAGAACGCCCCGCCTGTTCTGCCAGCTCGAAATATTGCACCCAAAGTCGAAGCAGCAGTGGGAATAGCAGCAGCGAAAAAGACGCCCCCACCTCCACCACCCTCTCGACCAGTGCAGAGTGGTCCAAAGGTTCCAGCCCGATACGAAGAGTTATTCAGCGCCATCCACGATGAAGGGTATGTTGACGGGCCAACAGCCAAGGTCATCTGGAAACGGAGCAAAGTGACGGACGAAGCACTAGCAAAAATATGGCAACAGTGCGATCCTCAGGGTAGCGGTCTGCTGGACAAGAACGCGTTTATCCAAGGCATGCGTGAAATAGATGCATTATTAGGTCAACAACCATCAAAGTAGTAATGTTAGGCAAAACGAAAGGAAAAAGAAGCAGCAACGTTGCATGTAATATATTTGTAAAATGTCTAGAAAAAAAAAGATACTATCGCTTCTTTGTCTTTACTTGAATGAACAGTTTGACAGGTCGATTGAATGCTTTTGAGATCTGAGCTCGAGCATCGGAAACCACGCGGTTGATGACTGCCCCATTTGCTCCAACTACAATTCGTTGCTGACTCTCGCGTTCCACATACACGTTCTGATCGATACGTAAGACGCCGTCCTCCGTCTCAGTCCATCCAACATTTTCCTTCAATAATAGTACCAGAACCATCGTTAATAAATCGGAATAACTGTCGTCTTTCAATTATTAGTCGTCTTAGTAATTACCTGCTTCAGCATGTATGGTATGTATTGATGTAGCCGTTTAAAAAACTCGACGCGTATAAGTTCCTCTGCTCTCTTTAAAGCAGGCATATCCGATTTCTGTTCTGGTGGGTATATCCATGGTTTCGGTTTCGACGCATCAAGTAGCTCTTTCTAATCAATCAAACCATACTTTAGTGCCATGAAATAAAATACGGTACTCTCTAAAATACAATTACCTTCAATATATCCAGTCCCTCTCCATCCAATGCTGATACGTATAATGTTTTGGAAATTACAGGACAGCCAGATTCGTACTTTGTGGACACTTCAGCCAGTTCGTTTTCGTCATAATCAATCAAATCCATCTAAAAATAGAATACTGTTGTTAGCGACCATCCAGTATAATCGCTTAGAGACCGTACTCCAGCCGCCCATACCTTGTTAAATATTAAAGTCGTTGGAATGTTTAAATCACGTAGTCGATCAAGGATAAGCATATCAGCCTTCTTCTCATGACTTGACAAAGCCCAATGGCCATCCACAAGTAAAATCACTGTGTATAATTGTTATATTAGCCCAGCGTCTCGGTGCCTGACTTAAAATCCCCAAAGTTCTAGGATGCTTACCATGATCAGCCTCATCCAAAGATCTCCACGAGGTCGTTACCAATGTTCTATTCATTTTGGCATGTCGATTGTCGGGAACGACACCAGGCGTATCCAAAAACACCTATAGCATCAATAGGCCCTTAAGAAGCATGTCCTTTCTAAGCAGAAACATCTTTCTCCATACGAGACTCCCAACTTACCACTTGGTGGTTTGCTTCTGTCAGAACAGCTAAAACACGATCGCGGGTTGTATGCGCCTTTCCGGAAACCACAGATACATCCTCACCAACAATTGCATTGACAAGTGTTGATTTACCAGCGTTAGCAGCACCGAGGACAGCAACGCGAAGTAAATGAGGATTCTCTGGTTGCTTTATTGTACGAGACACTTTAACCATTCGTTCTGCCAAACCAGCTGGCTGTCGTGGGGTCAACTGTTCAAGTACACGCGGTCGTCCGAGGCCGACATGGTGCTGCTGCTTCATGCCTTCTTTAGACATATCTTCTACGATTTTCCGTCGTTCAGCTGTTCTTTTTGCGAGACCTGCTGTCATCCATCCTGATGGTGACGGCGACAGTTTGGTTGGTTGCTCTTCGTCTTTGAACTTTAGCTCTGTTTTCCGTTTGCCCACGGGTCGTGGTATTTTGCTGTTGGCTTTTGGTCGAATGAGATCGAGAGGAACCCCGGCCCTTCGCTTTGCTCGAGACATAATAGCATACGATCGTACATGACGGATCGCTTTGAAAGACTTGTTAGTAGAGGTATCTAATAGAGAATTATAGCACAGATATGTATAGTACCTAGTCCTTGCACACTCATTCGTGATAAACATGAGCAGTGCATGGTGACAACAAAAAAAACTGCAATAATGTGTCCGAAAAAAGAAAAAAAAACTTTGACTTAAGGTGGTTTGCTGAGGTTCATTTGGTGCTGGAGTGAATTATAATGAAATTGAATTGGATAAATACTAATAAATATATATTTTTTCTGTGATAAAAAAACATGCATACAATGTAAAAGAGGATTAGGGTATATTTGAAGAAGAAAGGTTATGGGTCTACGTAAATCGGTGTTTATTGTTGGAGGCTAGCGTTCTTGCTTTGTCGTTTGCCTTGGACATTTTGACGGCCACTTGGTTTCCCTCGTCATCGACACGGATATATTTATCGCCATCGACATATCCACGGCTTGTGCTGGTTGGCGGTATAGGTGATTTGCCACCTGCTCTGCTTGTGGATAGACTTGGTGATCGACCGCCTCCTCGTAAAGTAACACGACCCGATGGTGAATCGCTGCGCATTGAGGATGCCTCGCTGTCCACAGAGTCGTTGGTTCGGTCGCTTGGATGTGAGCGCGCTGCTGCGTTGCTTTCACTATGTCCATGATCTACAATGCAGTATATAAGTTTCACTTGTTTTTGCATGATACACACATATGAATACCGATAAAACTTACTCTTTAAGAATGTCGACAGTTCAAGCCATCCACCACCGACCCGCACCATGACGGTTTTGCTAGGCAAGATTCGACAGTAAACAAGTCGAGGCTGCTCCTCACCAAACCAATACTTGCCAACTTCGCCATGCACCATCTTGACTTTCATACGATAAGGACTTTCATTGACAATCTTTCCAAGGTGTACATCGAGCTCGTTCTTGGGGTCGGCAACATAGGGTCGGTTACGGGACGCTGAGCTTGTAGGTGTGCGCGAGCGTGGCGATCGATTAATGTTCTCCACAGCCAAGTTAGATGACCGGAAGCTGGCACGACGTGTGCCTGCTCGTTGCTTTGTAGGTGATGGAGTGGCGCGCTGTCGCTGCGTCCGTTTGTTGTCTTGGCTCTTGTTGGTAGGTGACGTTGATTTTGCCATAGCGAGCTTTGTGTAGAATTCGTGGTCGAGTTGGTTGATACACGTTTGCAATTCTTTCTCGCGGGCTGCTGCCTCGGATTGTACTTTAGCCCATTTTTCCAGTATCTTGTCGAGCTTATCCACAACACGCTCGTTGTCGACAAACTGCTTGCGTGCTTCTGACTTGGCGGTTTCCACCAGCTCTGCTATCTTGGGCTCTTGCTCCTTATATCCTGACACCAATCTTCGACGTAGGCGTTGCAAATCCGACTTATTGAATTTGCTTTGGACAACTTGGGCATGTCTGGGTGCGCAGCTGTCAATAAGTCGTGACAGCTCCGAAATCTGCTCGTCCATCTTGTCAATGATACCGACAAAAAGTGTGATGTTGCCTTCCATCTCAGCTTCTTTCTGTCGTTCTTGGACCAGCTTATGCAAATCGTCCACGGCAACAGTTAGTTCTTGGCGTTGTCGTTTGAATTTCCCGTCCTTGTCAGAAACGCTTGCTAGCAAAGTGTCGAGGTCGCGCAGTTTCTTGACAAGCGCATTCTCCAAGTCGTCCTGAATCTCCTTGAGCTCCTGCTGCTCGATCGATATACTCTTTCCGGAAAGCTGGAGTGTATTAACGCGGTGTCTGAGGTCGCTGACATATCGCATCGCTTCAGAAAGCTTGCCGCTTGCGTGCTGTCGCTGCTGTGTCTCTTGTAACTTGACTTTGGTCTCTTCTGCCGAGCCCTTGATTCGTAGCCATTCACGCTTGATGGCATCTTGCCGCCGATCCACTGAGCGGTTGATACTGGCGATGCGTGTACCACCGACGCGATCCCGCAATAAGCTTCCTTTGACCTTGCTCCCCACAGCGTAGAAATCCTGGACACAGTCTTCCATAGCCTTGAATCGACGTTCAAACTCGTTGAGATCGGGCAAGAGGGATCCTTTAGTGCGAGCAATCCGAGCACTGCGAGAGAATCGAGCCACAGTAGCCTTGAAGTCGTTGAGAGATGCCATGTTATCAGATTCGCTCTCTGCATGTCTGTATACGGATTTGAGCACAGCAACATACTCGTCTTCGATTGTCATCTTCTGTTCTAGATCCACAAGTGCCTTTCCAAGAGGTCGCTTCATTCGCTCTACCTCAGAACGCAAAAAGCTATAGGTATCGACCATGATATCTGACTGCTCGGACAGAACGCCACTCTCAAGATTGGCCTTGCAACGACCGTGTATCTGGCGAATATTCGCCAAGGCAGCCGCATATGTTTGGATAACGCCCTGGATTGCTGTAGGTTTCTTTTCGGCGATGGTAGGATTGGAATTTGCTTGCTGCTTGAGAAAAGCGGTTTGTTCTTCGCACGTCGAGCACTGGCGCTTGAGCTCCTCCGTAAACGTGCTCAGAAGATGGGCTTTTTCAAGGTCGAACTTGCGCGTTGACAAGGAAGATTTTAGCGACGACACCTTTGCACCTGCTAACTCGCACTCTTCCACAAAGGCCGCACTATTGGCTGGATCGTCTCTGCCTTCTGATCGCGCACAAGCCTGCAGCTCGTCCAAATCACGGGTGGCGGCATGCAAGCGCTTGTCCAACGAGGCAAGAAGACTGGCTTCGCTATCACTGCTGCTAGTGCGACTCTTGATACTGCTGCTCGTTGTATTGCTGCTGTAGTTCCTGGCACTGTGCTTCTCTTCCAAGTCTCGACCTACCGTCGATAAACTTCGCTGTAACTTATCAAGCATATCATACCGTTCTACCCATCGATCTGTTCTTGTCACAAGCGCTGCAAGCGTAGATTGCTCTGCCTGGACTGCACGCCACTCTTCCTGCACTTGGCTGTGTAGATCATCAAGCTCATCGCCCAAACCTTCTTGCGTTTTGATAAAATCGTAGTAGCCACACAGGTCCTCGTAGGCATCTTTGCACTCGTCCATTTGATTTTGTGCATTTTTGTGTGATGCGAGAACGGCTTGTCGCTGTGCCACTCGATCTTTGGCAGTCAAGACTTGGACATTTTGACAGGCATCCTTGTACATGGTTTGAACGGTTGCCATCATGTTTCGCGCGACGCTAGCATTATCACTGTAGGTGTTCCGAAGACGGTTGATGTTGACCGTATCGTAAAGACCCGTCAGCAAGGCACGAATTACGAGGATCATGTCGCCAGCTGTATCGAGCTGTGACTTGGCCGCCTCCATAGGAACCTTGACCAGATCGTCACCCTCAGTGAATGTGGGTGTTTCGGATTGCAGCTTGCGGTACTCGTTAGCATCCAAAGAATCCACGCGCTTCTGCCACTGGAGAATCTGTTCATCAGTGAGCGTAGCTGGATCAATCTCGTCGATGTTGGCTTGCAGGGAAGTGAGCGAGCCAACTAGTTTCTCTGCAAGGTGATGCTTTTCCGTCGGCTCCAAGACATCCGTCAGCATGATTGCAACATGATGTGTCTCATCACGGAGCTGGTGCCACTTGTCGCTAACCCGTTTCTGGACTGCAGCAATCGAATCGAACTCCTCTGCGAGCGCCCGTTCCTCTTCTTCGGTAGCCTTGGTGTCATCAAAGGCATTGACGCATTGCTCGAATCGGTTCTCAAGAGATGTAAAAATATTGTCCTTGACTTTGGTCATGGCGCGCTCGGTACCGCGTACGGCACTGATGGCCTGCTGTAGCTCCTCCATAGTGAGCACACGCTCGCAACCGATGTTGAGTAGCTTGTTGTTCTGTTGCAACGCAGAATCGTGACTTTCAATCCATCGCTCGCATGCTTCTGCATGGCGATTATACAAGTGCAGCTGAACCTGGAAACGTGAAATGGTCTCTTTTGACTCGAGTTGGAACTCCATGCTCGCCACCAGCTCCTCCAAGCGGCTTGTGCGAGTCGCAATGGTGTCACGAATGACTTCATTGACAGCTTCGTCTTGAATTCGGGTTTCGACCTTGATTCTGTCATCTTTGAAGGAACGGACGGGATAGCGTATTTGGCGGACCAAGTTGTCCTGGACGTCAGCAACGCTGGCCTTGAATTGGTCGAGACGATCGCCGTTAACCTCCTTAAGGAACTCTTCCCTGATCAGCTCTGCAGTTTGTTCTAGTTGGTCCGTGCGCAAAATAAATGCAGAAACCAAACAATGCTGTGTGACCACCTCGGTGGCAAACGTGAACTGGCTAGACATTTGTGCCTCGGCCTTTTCGAGCGCTTGCATCCGACTGAAAGTCGATTCTGGAAGAGGTCCTTTCTGTTCATCCTGCAGCACCTTGAATTGAGCATGGAGCGGTGCTACTTGCTGATTGTGAAACGCTTTATACTTGGACACAAGATGTGCATACTGATTGCGGAGGCGCTGCTCGTCGTCTTCGCGGATCTGCATGTCTGGCGTCCATCGCGCGTCACCTCGTACAAACGTCTCCAAATCATGCTCATGTTTGGCTAGCTGGTCCATTGCGTTATCCATGGCTTGTTGCCAATCGATGCGCCGCTTGACAGATGCCAGTTCGTCTTGTCGTGCAGTCAAGTTCTCGCCGAGCCGTTGCTGGATATGCTTAAGCGAATCCATGCGCGCGTCAATGTCAGCAGGGATAACTGTCGTCGAGCGGTTGCACTTTGTCAACGCCTTGCCCAAATCACGATACGTTACTTCAACACCCTGGAGATCGCTCTTGACAAATTGGCCTTGGCTCTTTTCCAAAGCGGCCAGCTCTTCACGCCATTGACAGACACGATCGCCTAAATTGCTTGCATCAGAATTGGCGGTATCGCGCTGTTTCATCACTTCGCGAAGCTGCTCGTTCATGTCCTTGAGCCGCATGGATGCTGCATTGTATTGTGATTCCCACTCGAGACGCTTCAACGCCGCATCAAACGCGGATGTCTGGTCAGATAGGACGGATTGAAGCTCTTCCATATCCTGCAAGACCTCATCGAGCCGCTGTTCGATGGCTGCAACATCTACACCGAGCTGCCCTTCTTGATCCTGGTACTGTGATGATAGTTGGGCAATATTGTCACAAAGGCCGCGGACGTTGGTGTTTTCAAACTGTTTGATGTCGGACGTGAGCTGGATGTGCTTTTCCCTCCTTTCGACAAAGTCACTTTCGGCGACGTCGGCCAGGGCATCCAAGTGCTGCTGCTTGAGCCGATGCATGTGCTCGGCGATCCACTGGTGCAGCTCAGAAATCTCTGCATCGTACAAATTCACCAACTGCTTTAATTTTCCAGTGCTCTGATGCACACCGTAGAGATGATCGATTTCTTGTTCGACTTGCTTCAAATCGCTCATCTTGCCTTGTACCAGCGCATCTATCTGCGCATTTATCCGGACATGGTAATCCTGCGGATTGATAACCTCAAAGTCCCACTGCAGTCGTTCGCCGAAGCCCTGGGGATCCACGGATTCACCAACGGAAGTTTCATATACAGATCGTGCAAGGCGCTTGAAGCTGTGCACCTTTCCATCTTCGAGCTCTTGCTTTCGTCTCTCAAGCTCGTCTCGTACATGTTGCCCCTGATCCCGAGCTTTGTCGGCTTGCGCCAACCAATGGCTAATTGATGGTCGTTGGTCAGCTGCACTGGCGGCATAGGTAAGCAGATTGTTCAGTTCTTGTTGCTTTGCATGAAGCTCGTCTTGCTTCGTATTGATGGCGCTAGTCATTTCTTCGCTCGCTTCTGAAACCAGTTCGGCTTGCAAGTCGTTGACATAATTGACCTGGCTCGCAATATCGGCGACTCGGTCTCGCAAGGTGTGTACGTTAGATTGGACATCTCCCTCCTTTGTATCGGATCCCATGGAAGCGGCTGCTTCTTCTCGACCAGGATCAAATTTCGCCTTCTTGACAGTGAAGGTCCATATATCTCGTGCAGCAGCAATGATCGTTTCTTCAACCTTGTTCCATGCTGTCATCCAGTCGACGTGCTTGCGACAAAGTTTCAGCTCACGCTCGCGCTGTTCGAGCAGGATCTGCAGCTGAGTATGACTCTGCTCTAAACCTTCGATCGCGTTGATCAGCATGCTTCGATCAATCGCTACAGCGTTGGTCGCATCAATTTCGTCCTCCACAACACGCATGCGCTCGAGCAATTTCGGATAGTCGCTCTCTTCGATCTGATGAACACGTGCAGTAGTGCCTTTGCGCTCATTTTCAAGCCGCTCTAGCTCTCCAATATCCGACTCCTCGTCCATGGCTTCCACAAGTGCAAATGGATGCGACTTTTTCATATTGCGTATCCGTTCGTCGAACCATGCCGTCATGCGAGCCGTCTCGTCGTACACGAGCTTAGCACGCTCTTGCAAGGACATATTTTGACGATGGCCAACAAGAAGCTCCTCTAAGCTCTCAACGATTTCAATAAGCTCCAAGCCGTAGTCGTCGATTGTTTTACAGATCCTTGCGTTTGCTTCATCATTTTGAACGGCATCCACCTCGGGAGCCTCCTGAGGGTACGGGATCTTTGTTGCAGCAACTTCAGACATCCAGTATGCTGAACTTTCCTTGAACATTTGCACGCGATCTCCCGGTAGATTTTCTTGTGAATCCATTTCCCGACGCAACTTTTCGCCTTGGCCTTTGAGATGGTCAAACTGAGCAACAACATCGACTGTGACGAGATGCTGTTCCACGACCTTTCGACAAAACGCGGAGCGCTTCATCAAATCAGCAAAGCTCTGCTCGAATGCCGTCTGGCGCTTTTCCAGATGATCGGGCAGTGTGCTGTTGTCATGCAAATCCTCCATTTCTTGGAACGCGTCCAACACTTGAGCGTATTGTCGTTGATCGAACTCGGCAATGCGTTTCTCCAGTCCGACCAGCGTCTGAATGACCTTGTCCGCCTTCTTCTTGCTGTTTGCATCTTCGTCATCATCGTCATTGTCATTCGAAGGTGTCCATCGGGCAATACCACCCAAGAACACAGATACCTCCTTGTTCGTCACGGCAATCCAGTCGTCCGCCTTGCTGAAAAGCTCGTGCCATTTGACGTGTAGCATCAGCATATTGACCATCGCTGAGCGCTTGCTTAACGCGACAGTCAGCTTGCTCAGCATGTTGAGTGTCTCCAAAGTGATTTCAATGGTCGACGCGTCTGCCGGACTCAGCTTTTGGTCACGCCCGACAGCTGTCAGTTTTTTGACGTGGGTGCGTAAACGTGTCATGTCATCTAACTCAAATCGTTCCACTTCACGCTTAAGCTGGTCATGCTCCCTGTGTAACCGTGCGGCGTTATTGTCGAGCCAAACAAAGTCTGTGCTCAGCGGATCAAATGCTTTGCGTTCTTGGAGCGTGGCGATGCGTATTTCGATCCAGTTGCGTATCCGACCGGCTTCAATGAACCATACACGTACTTGATCAACCCAATCGCTTACTTTGCGATAGCGCTGCTGGACCTGCTCGAATCGATCGACAAACCCGGCCTGGTCCTCGCCTTCTTCTTCAAACAAGTCATAGTACTCTTCGCGAGTGCCGTTCATTTTGCTGCGTACCATGCTGACACGGTTCTCGAGATCCAGGATAGAGTCGTCGGTCATGGCTTTTTGCTTCTCGTCCATTGTTTTCTGGATATTCATAAGCTCTTGGTCCAAGCCCGCTAGAACCTTTCCAAATGCCATCCCGCGCTTGAATAAGCTGAAGCGTCGCTTGGTCTTGCGCATGTTGGTTTCCAGCATCTGGTATCTTTGCTCCACTACAGCATGACGTTGTGATACTGCTTGCCGTACTGCCGGGGAAAGTTCTCGAAGGTACGCACGATATTCTTTCCAGCTTGCGGTATCGAACGACTGTATCCGTGAGGATGCATTAAAAACAGCTTTGTTGTACGCATCGAGTGTTGTGGCAGATTCAGCAGATCCATCCAGCGGATGCAGCAGTCGTCCTTGATCATTTTTGGGCGGTACGCTGGCCAGCATGTCCATGAGCTTGCTTATTTCAAATTCGACAGCAACAGCCTGCTGCTCATACTCGGCAACACGTTCTTCGGTTTCGATGAGATCATTTTCGAGTCGCAGCAAATCTGATTTTGTGCTCTGCAATAGGTCGACAAGCTCTTTCCACTCTTTCACTAGCACGTCGTAGAGTCGGTCGACTTGGCCTCGTTGTAGATCAGTGAGTCGGATCATTAGTGACTCTTCAGCGTTCTCGGGTGGCGACATGAGTGAATCGCGTGCTTCTTTTGCGGTATCCAAGTACTCTGCTTCGGATTCGATTTGTTCTTCAATGATCTCGAGCGCATCGACGTACTCGGTGACTGATGACGAGCTAGTGAACTCTTCTGGTATTTCATCAATAGTGCGTGTGTTGGTGCGAATGAAAGAAATGACCGTTTCGTGGATGGTAATGAGCTGGTCAAGCACGGGATGCACGCCTCGCGGTAAATGACCAGTAAGTTGCTGCATCAGACGGTTATTCAGGTCAGCTTTGATTCTGGCCTTGTCTTCTTCGCCGAGTGTTGACTCGCGCTGATGTGCTGGTTTCCGTTTATGCCGCCGTGCTGATGGCATAGGCACTGGTACTGGTGCTTCGAGTGGTGTTTTTGTGGCGACTTCAATTGGTTTGATGTGGAATTCGTGCTGCTTTTTATCTTGCTGTTGTGACAGTGTTTCTGTTGAGAGCTCTTCAGGCTCATCATCCATTGATGGTGGTGTGTCGCATATCACTGATCCGATCTCGTCGTCGTCGTGATCTTCTTCGTCTTCGGGTACGTCGCCTACAGCCATTGCAATGGCAGCGCGCCGCTTTGTACGCTTGTCCCGTTTTGCAGCTGGTGGATCGTCTTTCTGTGTTTTTGACATGGCCTTGTAGTACTCACTGACATACATCATGACGCTTGGTTCATGTGGATATTCAACGTCAATGAGGTCATCTGGATCCAAATAGGAGGGTATATTGAGTTTTGTGTCTGCAGTGTCAAATGCAAGCTCAAGGAACTCGCGCCATGCTTGCTTTTCAGATATATCGGCATTGTTGATACGGGTAGTCAGTAGATCAGGCATCAGCACTGGATCATGGCGATGGAGGAGCAGGCAAAATGCTAGGCCGGTGCGCCAAGATCGCGAGAAGTCTTGGATGGTGGGTATAATGTTGGCAGCAATGTAATCTTCCAGCTGTATCCGCACCCAATATAGCAGTGCAACTTTTGCTTCGCTTGTCGTATGGCTGCCTTTTTCAGTCATGTTGTGGTGATGTGATTTGCGGCCGCTTGGCCGTGGAGTAGCAGGTGCTGTTAGCTCGGTTGTGCTGTCCGTTTCGGTCGATGCAACCGACATTGCGTCTTTGTTGTTGCTGTTGTGTAGGTGTTCTCTTTCCGAGAGAAGCTATCATTTTAATTGAAATGCGTTATGCATAAACATTCAATTTCAACATTCTGAGCTCGCAAAACTGGGGGAGAAGAGGGAAAGAGAGAGAGAACTTACTGAAAGCGATGTCATGAAATCTTCACCATGGTCGCCAAGTACTGCTTGGATCTGATATTTGAGCATGATGAAAAAGACCAACGCCAGGGTCTTCTTTACGTCGCCGTTCACAATAGCCTCATTGCCGATATCAGGCATGGCATCCGCACCAAGCTGTGTTTCCAGAAATTTAAATGCCTGTGCTACGTTTGCGAGCTGATGGATGCGCATGTTCATACGTTCTGGTTTGGGCGCAGCTTGCCCAGAAACGACAGACAAAAGCTTCAACAGTCGTTTGCCGTCTTTGAGGTCTGTTTCGATGCGGTCGATACGGTCGCCCACTGCTGCAAGCTGTGAATTCACCCAGCGGGTGAGCGTGCGTTTTTCGACGTCCTGGTAGTCAGCGCCGAGATTGCGTACGAAATCGTCATCGCTAATTGTGTTTTGTCGTGCGCGTTGTTTGACGGTTGTTCGGATGGTCGGTGCCGCCGGATCCCGAAAGGACATTGTCCCTGTCCGCTGTTTCAGGGCAGAGGTGGTGCCTCCTGCTGCTGCTGCTGCTGCTGCTGCTGTTACCATGGCTGCGTTTATTGACGGAGGTGGAGTCGAGGGTGATGGGGATGTTCTGGCTGACGATGAACTGCTGGTCATGATGGCGGATGGAGGTGTGCTGGTCGAAACAGCATATGAAGACAGGAGGAGGGGGAGTGGTAGGTTTTGTCGTAGCAATAAAAAGATAGAGCCAGGCTTTGCGACGTTTCTATGGAAGGTAATAAGAGAAAAGGAAAATGTATCTTGACTCTCTCAAGTATCTCTTGTGGCCTGTCTCTTCTACTTTGTGTGTACCTTTGGGGGGGGGAGGGTATAATATGCTACGAAATTCAGTAGAGCGGAAAGCAGCGACAGAAAAGAGAAGAGGGCGGGTGGCTATGGTGGGTTGCTGCATTTCGCCCAAAGGGCAGGGAGTGTGAGCGAGTGTGCTACACCAATGATTCCCTAAAGCGGTAGATCATTGGTCCTATCATATCCTCCTTGCTTCTAATCTCCCAGCACATGAGGGAGAGGAGATGTTCTGCCTCAACACCCCCAAGCATGCTGTCAATTTTAATATGGTTTAACCGGTAGCACATCCCTTTGAAAGGAACTTGGCGCTTGCCACACTTGCGCTCCTCTTACTTGCTGTTCCTCGCACTCCCCCACCCTCTCTCGCTCGCTCCACTTGACATAAACCCGTAGCAACCCGCTTGCCATGGTAGCAAACCAAGATCGTCCTTGTTACACGGGAAAAATGTTTACATTTATTCTGATAGAGCCCGCACGCTGTTTCCGACAACCAACACCGCCGGCGCAACAATCGCCTGCTCTTGCACGAGGGCATCCATATTGGCCACACTGCCGAGTATAACCCGCTCCTGAGGACAGTTGGCATTCTCTATCCATGCTACAGGGCAGTCGCTCGGGTAATGTTTCTGCTCACACAAGATCGTTTTCAGATCAGCAGCACGGCCCACAGCCATGAGAACGACCAGCGTTCTGGATGATCCGTAGTCGGGCAGGTCGGGCATGGAGCCCTTTGTTCCACGACCGGTGGTGACGATCACTTGGTCCGACACGCCCCGCATCGTCACCGGTATGCCAGCCGCCATGGGGCCCGAAAAGGCGCTTGAGATGCCGGGCACCAGCTCTGGCTCATACCCTCTTTCTCTGAACCACAGAATTTCCTCGCCGCCTCGTCCAAATACAAGTGGATCGCCAATCTTGAGCCGCACCACCCGCTGTCCCTTCTTCAATCCTTCTAGACACCATTCTAGCAATTCGTCCTGTGCTGGATCCGACTTGCCTTGCGTCTTGCGTGCTATCCGCAACTCGCCTTCGACCAGATCGAGCATGGGCTGTGGGATCAACCGGTCGCTGACAACCAAGTCTGCCTCCTTTAAGCATCTCTGTGCTTTGACTGTGATAAGTTCTGGATCGCCTGGGCCAGCACCGATCAGGGCAATCGATGGGGTTGCTGGTGGGAACACGTCGCTCACAGCAGGTATTTCGTTCTTTTCGAAATAGGTGCGCAAACTAGCATAAAATGCATCATGATCCTGCACCGTGGTCAGACGTGCCATCTGCTGTAGGCCCCATTTTTCGCACACGCGCGTCACCCATCCCATGCGTTTTTCAGAGTTCTCGATAGCAGGCTCCCACTCGCGTACTTTGGCACGAAGCTCGCCCATATGCTTGACAATGGCGCCCATGTTGGCCGGGAGTGCCTCGCTGACGGTAGTTCGAATCATGTTGGCGAGTTTGGGTCCTTGGCCGTTGGTCGACACGGCAATTTGAACGGGGCCGTCGCGGTGCTGGCTCATAAAATAGAAATCGCACATAGGTGGCACGTCGGCGACGTTAACAGGAATACGCCGTTCGCGGCAGAGGTGTCCGATACGAAGTGATTCATCGTGATCGTCAAGTGCTGTAAGTACCATGTCAACCTTATCGAGATCGGCATCTTGAAAAGGTCGATCGATCCATGTAACTTCTTTGGTATTGATTCGGTACTGGACTTCATCGTTTAGTCCCTCTGCAGGAGCAACGATGGTGACTCGGGCATCGGCGATCTTTGCAGATTGTATACGCTGGGCAGCAACATTGCCGCCGCCAACAATGAGTACATTCTTGTCGGCAATACGGTAGGCGACGACAAGCGATCCGCCACCTTCGATCGGAGGATAGTTGCTCATATTGGGTGTGGCACAAGTAGTTGGTAAAGGAATGAATTACGGGACTAGCTGTGAGTGAATTCAGAGATAAAGCATTAATTTGGAGATGGATCTTGAGTTTGATGATCTTTTCTGTTGATAAGGGTCCTTCCATCCTAGTGAAACTGTACTACATTCGCTATCAGAGCTGAAGGACCGAATGAGAACTGCTTTATTTATGATCAAGGCTATTTGATATTTATATGAATTGTGTATGTGTGATGGTTTAGGGGTAGTTGCTATATATAGTGGTTATGTTTATACAAATAAATCTGTCACAATCGTCTCAAAGATATCATACGCCATGCAAACACTACAGGTCAGATATAGCCCACTTGAACTCTTGCTCCCATGAACTAAAATCTTGTTGTGTCTTGACCTTACTACTGCTGGTATCAATGGCATCGCGCACGTTTCGAAACACTTGGCTTCTACGACCTTTGTTTTACACTTGAATCAGCCCAACCATATGATACATAAAAACATATATTAGACATCTAGATAACTCGTATGTAGCCCACAATGCAGAGACTATAGCACGTGCCTATACAGGCAAGACATTACTGTTTTCTTCCCGGTATTCTATCTGAGAAACATTGCGGCCCACTCAAGCCTGGTGTCCGTTCCAATGGGTGTCTCACATTCACCAGAATTGATCATACATACAGTATGTTCTTGTTAAACAATGAAGCCAAGGGCTTTCATATGATAGAGCCATGTAGGGAAATATTTAAAAAAGAATGGAGAGAAAAGCTATAGACATATGCAATGTAGTATATGTCACTTGCACAGCGCTAAAATATTTAATGACAGAGTGATGACATGATATTGCATCAATATTGACAATTACATCTTTCGATTGCTGCATCTATGCGATTTTCCTGTACTGCAGAACATTTGACACTGTCCCAAAAGCAAAATGGTGAGATAGCCGAGCTATACGAGAGCTACATATCGCTTTGCAAACACGCACGAGACACAAAGGAAAGCTAGTGTTACTTAATAGCAAGATGGCTGGTATATGCACAGGTAAGCTTCTACTGTAGACTTCAAAGGCAAATGTGCAGCTTGGATTTCAAATACAGTATTCCACTATCTTCCCCCCCCCACCTACTGCATGACGTCTACTGAGTCATGTAAAGATATAGCACAAGCCAGACAACAAACTCCCCTCACCTTCCCCTCAACGGCACGACAGGACGGAGCCTAATATTTATCGCACTGAACGAACTGTGCTCAAGCTTGCAACATGTTGGACATATCTACAGCAAGCGAGGATCTTGGAAAGCCCGGGCAGCAAGTCTACCAGATTATTAACACAAATGAGCAGTAGAATAACAGATGATGTTTCCGCTATACAGTAGTAACCATCATATATCGAAGGAGTTTGTGATCAAGCAACAGGCAAGCAAACACTATGATGTTCAAAGATGATCTAACAAGGAGCACAGAAGCTGTGCGTTGTGAAGGACAAGAAAGGAGGGTGTCGTTTCGGTAACCATGTGTCATCATTTTTGTATAAGTCCTGCTAAAAAAAAAGTGCATACATACAGTATTAAAACCGACCGCAGGCTGATCAATTGTAGATATCACCCCTCATATTTCATATATTGGATTTTTCCCTAAACATTCGCGGTCCAAGTTTGCGCGGTTTGAAGTTCCAGTTTTGCGCTTGGGGAAAATTCAGGTTCGCGGATGGATGTTTTTTACTTCGCCCGAGGTTTATTTCGCATTTGCGTCTCATCGTTATCATCTTCGCGTCCCATTATTATCACCTTTGCGTCTCATTGTTATCATCTTTGCGGCTATATAGGCGTTTGATCCACCTACATTACCCGGATATAAAAATTTTTATAGAAACAATAAAGTAACACTGAAGTCCGTGTTGCATCACATGCTTGTTTTGAAATAACTGCTAGAGAGCCACCTTTAAGCTTTGGAAGTTGAAAACTGCTTTTTGTTTAGACATTATGTATCTTGCGTATACACCAATGTCATGCTCCAACGAAAAAAAAACCTTAGAGACGGAAGAGATTGAGTATAGTTCTGAACTTCCACTCGATCACGACAGTTGTGGCGACAACAAAATTACAGAAAAGCAGGCAACTGAAGAGGAGGAAATAGAAGCGATGGAAGAAGTCATCGAAACTCAAGATGCATACCAGGTTGTATGCACTGAATTTGGTGGGAGCTGAAGGAATTCGCTCCCTTGTTTTGATGACAAGATCGGCTAATAACTACTCTGAAAAGGTAAAAAGAGAAGTGAGAACACTACAACTTTTCATACCACCATACAAGTATTAATATGTTATTCAAACATGAAGTACTGAAAAACGATGTGGATATCGACATTATAGTGGATAAAAAAAGCACAAATTGCAAACGTTCCGGTACATAATGATGAAGCAAAGAAGCGACGAGGAAGGCCTAGAAAAAATCCTCCAAAAGAAGTGAAAAAACCAAAGAGGTAGTTTAGATCAAAATAACTTTATTCGGTGAATATTGAAACCGTTGTAGCTTACTCTATATACATGTGCATATATGTAAGACTTCTTTGCAGGAAGGTATAGGAAGTATACAGATGAAGATATCGTTGGTCTTATCGATTTAATTCAAAATGTAACTTTGAATTATGCAGAAGCCGGTCGCATGTTGCGCATACCAGAACGTACAGCACAACAGTACTTTGCCCGTTTTAGAGATGGTGAGCCGTATTTGCCAAGCCAGCGTGGTAAATCACTAGGCCCACCATTAAAATTGACAAAAGGAACACACCATGGCCCTTCAAAATCTTTATGAAGATACTCCCACTGTGACTATCAAAGAAGCTCAACAAATGATCTACGAAAACTACAAATTGACCATCACACAAAGCGACCTACAGAAACATTTGGTTATTCATTGCGGTTTGACAATGAAAAAACTGGAAAAGGTGTCAGAAGCTCGTAATTCCAAAGATACCATCACCGAACGAATGAATTGCGTATTACATGTTGAAAAAGAGAATATCGATTTCGGTGCTTGTGTTTTTTATCGATGAAGCCGGATTCAACTTCCACATGCAACGTACTTTCGGTCGGTCGATTCGGGGTACTCCTGCAAAGGCAAGAGTGTCCAATAACCGTGGTGTAAATCTCACGATACTGGGGGAAACTGCTGCCGAAGGCGTGGTGAATTTGTCTTTGCGAAGACCTCAATTGGTTACTGGATCGAAAAAAAAAGAAAGCTTGAAAACGGAGAAGAACGAATCACGGCGAAAGTCGGTACCAGGACACAACATTTTATTGACTTTATCGAAATTGTTATGGACAACTTGGACATGAATAATATGAAGGGAAAGACGCTGGTAATGAATAATAATGCTCGGATTCATCATTAGAAGGCTGTTAAGGAGCCTTTTGAAAGTAAAGGATTCAAAGCACTTTATCTCCCCCCGTTTTCACCATTTTTGACCCCATCGAGCTATTTTGGTCAAAATTGAAGGCAGGTGTTCGACGCGAGCTATCGACGAAAGATGATACATTAACACCGCGTATTGTTCAATCTGCCAAACTGGTTACTCCCCGGGATTGCCAAGGATGAATCTCGCACTCAAAGTCATTTTTTCTACGATGTATCTTAGAAGAAAAGATGTTGTAGATTATGCATTTCGTACAATAATGTAAGCCATGGTTATTACTTTAATTAGTTTCTGTTGTGTTATAACAGCATGCTTTGCTTTTCATTATCAACCATATAACATAATATGTAGTCTAGCAATTCAGATGAATGAATAATAATGGGACGCGAAGATGATAATAATGAGACGCAAATGTGAAAAAAACCTCGCGCGAAGTAAAAAACATCCTGATTTTCCCCCAAGCGCAAAATTGGACCGCGAATATTTAGGAAAAATTTAATATGTTGGATAAGCCTTGGGGGGAAATGATTCATAATAACGCGGTGAGTATGGATTATGCGTAGCTTGAATGAAATGAAAGAGCTTATTGGCCACTCTTTTTGTTTCAAATAAAAAAAGTCGCAGCGCTGAATATCTCTTCTTTTTACGCACTCAAAAAACGAATCCTTCCTCATTCTGTTTCTTGTCAAAAATGGAAGAATATTTCGAACGTTGTCAAATACAAAAACAACCTGCTTCATTATCCGATTATTTTTAAAGACACATGAACGATGGCTCCTTGAACTTAGATGAGAACATCTTCGTCACCAGTGCGGTTGATTTAAAACAAAAGTGGACCCAAATGTTCTCAAGAGCAAGTCAAAAATATGCATCCGTTAAAATAAGTGAAGTAGTATTATTTTCGAGACGGTACTTGGCATTTTGTGCTTATTACTATAAATACACATTTTATTTAAATTATTGTGCTAATTGGTTGATAAATACTATAGAAGCATCAATTGGAATGATCTTGTGTTAAACATGGTTAAAGTACGTTTGACAACGTGGGTTTTTGCGAGCATTCTTTTTTTGCAGGTGGATACTGATACATGAATATTTGTTAGATATACGCGAAAACCGTGGTCGATACTCAGACTATAAAGAAGATGGAAAGTCATTTGACTTTTCAAGAACAAACTTCACAGCACTGTGTTGAATTGTACAAAGCTGCGGTTGTAAGCTGTTGTCTGTTGTCTGTGGGGTATATGTAAGAGGAAGGAGGCTGATAAATAATAACTTGTCTATCTAGAAAAAAGTAATATCTCCTGTTTCAGAACCAAATTCCACCGCCGCTGCTCCTGCTTAGGCTGAAGCCTTTGTTATTGCTGCTGAATCCACTACTGATTTTAACCCAAGCCAAAGCAATGATACAAGGTAAGATGAAAAGAAAAAAAACTGTAAAACTGCTATATCCATAGAATAGTAAACCAACTAATTTTTGCTGATTTATATGTACAGTAAGCGCCCTTTTACAGATGAACAGGAGGTAAATAAATATCCAAACGGTCGGGCAACCACGAGAATTCAGATGATCATTTTACTAACGATGATGTTAATCGTAGGATGTCTCTGTTTCTCTGTCAAAACGCTATTGCACAAGTCCCTATCCAGAAAATAATGATGACGATTAATGATAGTTTATTTGACAACTTCCATTATGAAACAATAATCATCGAAGAGAAAGAAGTTACAACAGTGTGGGAACAATGGGATGCTTTTATTCACTCTTCTGCCCAAGGAAATGAAGATTTTAGTATATATTGGTAAGTAGAAGAAAATGGTGTTCTTTTTCTAATTTAATCCACTTTATTTTAGTACTCATAATCTAATATAAAAACGTTCAGTCCAGAAAGGAATGGTGTTATTGAGTGTGAAAACGGCGTTCATCGGCGCAAACAACTTCCTGAGGATCTTTACAATACAGTTGACCCCCTTTAATGTCAACCCTCAAGTACACCTGAAAGTGTTGACGCTAACGGGGGTTGACGTTAAAGGGGGTGGCACAAAGTTTAACCGTATAATAAAAATATTAAACCAGCGCACCCCGACACAATGTATGTATGCAACAGAGTCGTTCCTAACAATGTATTTTCAACCAATAATGAAATAACCTCTTTTGATTGGATATGTTTGACCTCAATAAGAAGTCAACCCTGGCCAAGGTGTTGACATTGACCTTATGTAAAAGTTGAAATTTATCTCTGCTAAAATGTGAGGTTCTCAGAAAAAGGTTGACCATATCGGGGGTTGACATTAAAGGGGTTGACATTGAAGGGGGTCCACTGTACTTTACAATCCGAACTTAAAGAACAATTCCAACATGATCAAGACATTTCTGAAGAATTGCAACGATACATTGATGATGTTTTAGACTCGGTAAGCTGGACCTGGGTTACTCGAAGAGAGAGGATCGAGAGGAATATTGATAAGTATTATTAACAAGGCATATTTTTTTTCATGTAGCCTGATTTACAAAGTATGAAGAAGGCTATAGTTTCTAACATTCATGATACCAGCCCACGTTCTATATTTTTAAGAAATATGATTGAAATTTGGCAAGTTTTTTTTCTTCATATATTAGTGTTGTATCCAGAGTAGGGGTCGCAATTGGACGGGTCGGGTTGGGTCAAGAAAACACTGACCCGACCCGACCCGTTCAACCCGACGGGTCAAAACTCGGGTTGACGGGTCAAGACTGATTTTGATGTAGTGATGAAGGAAGTGTCAATCAACCTGAACTTGAGCACTGGAAGTGCAAAACTCCATATATACACAGCTCCCCAAGATGATGGCACGCAAATTCCTAGAAGTGCTAGCAACATCCACGTTTTGTGTGATTATTCTTAAAAGGTAAAGGGATTTGTGCCATAACAAAAGAAATCGTTTGCGCTCACATGCATTAAAGAAAGCATAATGGTTAAAGTGTGGTTAAAAATCGACTTTTTTTAAATGCCCCTAATCCTTTTCCCTTTTCCCTTTTCTTTCATTTCTTCCTTCTTCTTTCATTTTTCTTTTCTTAATTCCTTCTACGTCTTTTGTCAAATCTCGTCTCTCATTGCCACTCTCTATTGTCTATTCTCATTGTACTATTGCTACTTCTTTACTAATATTACATATATTGCTTATAGCTTACTTATCTTACACTTTTGAATATAAAATATGATCCCACAATGAAAAAGAATATAAGTACGTTTTATGTTACAGTTCTATAGCAGACATATTGACAACTACATCTTTAATATAATGATCCTTCCCAACAAGAAGATTGACAAGTACCTCATAGATATCATATGTATACACGGGTCACAACGGGTCAACGGGTTGGGTCAAGGGTTAGATGGGTTGACCCATGTGTCAGAAAAGCATCAACCCGACCCGTTGACCCGTCCTCAACCCGCGGGTCGGTTTTGACCCATAGGTCAGATTGCGACCCCTAATCCAGAGGATTGGGACATCAAATAAGTTCCACAAAGACAATTTCTTTATATGAATAACTAGTAATAAGAATATTTGGAACTCTCTCTTTCTCTCATAATAAAAACTTGACTGTTAAGAGTCTCACGAATTATCTCGTCCCATTTCCAATCCTTGACAAAACAATTAGGTATGCCTATTACAATTAATTAAACATAAATGGTTATATCTACCTCCTGTTTAGTGCTGATGTCTATGATCCAACTACCCCAAATCTTAGTTCAAGTGAAGCAATATGTTATGATGGAGGATGACATGGAGAATACAAATGGAGTTTGAATTCTGACAAATAAGAATGTCCTCTGTATTTAGAAACTCTAATAACTAAAATAACTAATGAAATCCAAAAACATTTTCTATCTCTTTTAAGATTTCTATTATATTTTCGATATTTCTAACATCATGTGTTTTAATAAATAATAATATGTTTATACAGTTTTTTAACAATAACTGTCATTTTTGAAGTTGATACTAACTTCTTTTCTATCTTTAACAAACTTATTATTTATATAATAATTATTTTCATTTATTCTTTTTATCATCTCTAATTAGTCATTACTTTTTTAATTCTGATTCTTCAATTCAACATTGTTTATCTTTATTATATTACTGTTGCTATTATAAATAATCCCTTTATAAAAAAGGTATGACATATAGAAGAATTTGTTTTTTATCAATATCACTATCAAGTTAATTCTTTTATTTATATCAATTTAATATTTATGTTCAAAATTTGTTATTTATTATTTCAAATATGAATATTTTAACATTATTATAATATATAATATTAAATTCTTTTATATTTTTAAAAATAAATCATTATTTTTTATATTTAATCTATTTCATTCATTTTTACTTTAATATTAAAATCCAATGTTATAAATGAATGTATATGATAGATAATCTATATTTTGTTTCTTTTATATATTACAACAGTGGCTGCTTGTTATAGTGATATGCCTAGTGAGACCTAAGCCCCATCACTAGGGATCCGCACGGTTCGGTTCGGTTCGGTTCTTAAAGGAAACCGAACCGAACCGTCTAAAGCAAGAACCGAACCGACTAGAACCGACGAGAACCGTAGAACCGAAGAATCGAACCGAAGAACCGAACCCATCATGTATATAAAAAAGGCAAGATTCGGTATCTTTAAATGAAAGCTGATGTGTGTGTTCAAATGTCGCGGTATACTTGAATACTGCAGTAAAAAAGAATAATTTATTATTGTACATTGAACAGCGATCTCAAAATGAATAAGAGAAACAGAATGTAAACATTCTCATACGATGTGGGTCATTGCATGGTTAAAAGATTGAAGCACAGTTTTTACAAAAAAAAGTGGAGCTTATAGTACTTACTTAGAGCGACTTAGTATTACTAGTACAATATGTTATCGTAACATTGGAGGAATTGAACCACAACCGGCAGTACATACAGCTGCTGTGTCTCTACGTGTGTATAGTGTATAGTGTCTCATAAAAGGCAAAGGGTGAATGGGTAAGATAATTCTGTTATGAGCCCCAGAATGCGCAATCTCAAACGGAATGCACAAACTTGATAAAACTGATCGAGAAGCCATGATAAGTCTAGTTAAGTAGTACGTCATGGAGAAAAATGCATTGTGGGTAGCAAAGTAGAGGAACAAGTAATGATGTGCGTCATGGGCGGAGAAAGCAAGCTGCCGTCAGAAGAAGTGTTTTTTTTATTTTTTTCTCTTATCTTCTTTACTATTTTTTACTCCCTTCTGCTTTTGCAGGTTTTGTTAAGTTTTTCAATAAAGTATGGCTTGCAAATACACTACTTCGTGGTCTTTTCGGAATAACATTGTTCGTAACTTCCATTATAGCCTACTTTATACTAATTACCAAAATCGCTGATTGCAATCTTCTGCCTCTCGGTTCTTCGGTTCTACTTATACAGAACCGGTTCGGTTCCGGTTCGGTTCTTGACAGGAACCGAACCGTATTTTCTCGGTTTCGGTTCGGTTCGGTTCCGGTTCTACGGTTCTGATACGGATCCCTAATTGGAAGACAACAAAAAAGAACATGTTAAAAAAATATCTATCCATTTCATATGCGGCATTTGAAAAGTATCGGGGATTTAAATTAAAAAATTGACAGTAGTTTTTGCTGGAGGTATGGTTTAAGGTGGCATGCACCATAGTAAAGGAGAGAGGAAGCAGTATATGAGCAATTTATTGAAAACAATGGTGGTTGAAAACGACTTACATGCTCAGTTATATAGACTTATTAGAAGAACGATGTGTAGACTAGACTCTGAGATATAAACCAGTGCAAAATTAACTGATCTTTTTTCCTTTTCTGATAAATAAAATCATACTATTGGTCCGCTCGATATAATGATATTTCTGATGGTTGATATCATATATCACTATAGCGAATTAGTAATAATTCACTGCTTAATTAGTTTTGGACCTCAAAAACCCATCACTATATCGAAATATCACTATATCGAATATCACTATAACGAGTGGCTACTGAATATTATGGTCTATCCATCTCATGTTGTAATTTTAATAAGTGAAAAAACATGTAGTTATTTTAAGAACATTTTCATTTATACAATAATTTTTAACTCTATTTGTGAAGGTAATTTACCTATAATGGAACCTTTACCAATATAGAAGCCAATGATAGAATCTGGTCTCTACCTCAATGATGCTGAAAATGCCCTTATGCTTCATCCCTGGTGAGACAAAGTTACATTCTATGACCAATCAACTCAACAAAGCAGAAACAAAACACATAGAGGTTTATTATAGTGATGCGATTCATTATTTGAATGACAGGGAATTAATCAATAACAAAAAACTATAGTGGATTTAGTAGATTTTATAAACAGTTATCTAATATGATGATGAAGTAATTATTATATATTAATCACTAAAGAAAATATTTTTTATGAATTAAAAAAATTATGGAATAAATATGTTTATAAGAATTAAATGCCATATGGATTGAACAACGTGTCTTTTTTAGATCAAAAAGGGCATCGCCTCTTGAACTTGGAATTTTTAGATATTATTCTTTCTTCAGATTGAAATGGAAATGGTAGATTTCCAATATTTAAGAGATGCAGATTGATTCCCACAGTGACAGCCATGATCCCATGAAGTTGCTTCATTAGAGACATCCAATGCTCTAGGAAGATTCATCCATAACTATAGATTTTAATATAAATTTATATATGAAAAATAAAGTTAAATATAAAAAAATATATGAAAGTTTTGTGATTTTATAATTTAATTTAATCTTAAAATAAAAATATAAAATATAATGTAGTTTTTTTATAATCATATATTTTTGTTTATTTTTAATTATTTTTTTAAATTTTTAATGATAAAAAAACAATGTCATATTATAAATAGTTATAATAATTAAATAATAATAAAGATAGATAAATAAGTTTTTATGGAATAAAAATTCTAGTGGAATGGTAATGAGCACCTTCCTAACATGAGGAACTTGTGTACGATATATTCTTGATTATGATATATAGAGGTATGAGTTGCTTAGGGTGTGTAAGATCATACAATGTTTCATATTTAAAATAAAAGTTTCATTAAATATATATATATATAAATAATAATTATTAATTATTAATTAATTTTCTGGGTAAGCTAAAACTGATGGTATCATAGAAAAGTGGGATTAGATCATATCAAGTCAATGTTTGGTGTATTATGCATATTGGCCGATATTGGTGATATGTACAAATTTGAATCATTTGAAAACATGTCGAAAGTACATGGTCATATAATTCGTGCTCATGGTAAAGATTCTGATGAAACAATGGCGACTACAAAAGAGAATGCCATAATAAACTAATCGATGCATATGTGGTCCAAAATATAATTTAGGTAGAAAACTACAGCACTGGGTATTATATTCACTGAGAAAATTCACGTACTTATTTATGAAGCTATCAAGTGTAGATTGTCTGGTTTTATTCAAAAAGAAAACAGATAAAATTCTTCCATTCATCTACTTCTTTATAGATTATATCATAAGTGCAACTTGACCTGTGTGTAATGTACTTGTCAAAGACCAAGAGCCAATTTTGTCACTTAGTCAATCTTGGAATTGATATGAAAGTTTATAACAACAAGTACCTCATCTTCCCCTTCTTTCGACATCTCCAGATTATGCATAATCTTTCTTCTGGTCTTCTGAGCCATTTCTCGTCATATTTCCCTACATCATTTGCAAAATCATATAGCGTCACCTCTCCAATTCTTTTTATATAATTTTATTCTTAATATTCTCATATTGTCACATCATCCCCATCAATGTACACAGAAATTGGCGCCAAATAATATTCTTTCTGTTTGTCCATCCTATACTTGCAACTGAAAATGTTGCAGTTTTCAAAATTAGATGGATAAAATGGTATAAAGTGATTAGTTCTTTACATAAACAGAGCGGCTGTTTGTCTTTCTGTCGGTTAGCACTCCCTCTTCCTTGTATTGATCATTTACTCAAATCAATTCTTTTCCTCCTTTGAGTTTGTAAGCTTGCATTTTATTCTCTTTTGTCCATTTCCTGTTTATTCATTATGTTACGCTTCAAAACATAATAACAGCCTGCTTCTATATTTCGGCTTGGATAGAGAATAGGAAGCTGTTATCTTTAAGAACCTGGAAAAAATTAAACTGCCCTCACCTTATCCCACTGCAAAAAATTACTATTATCCTTACGATGATACCTTATTGAAACCCTGATGATATCATATTGAGTTTTGGAGTACCAATAAGAAGGAATATCTGAGTTATACATCAGGGTATCAAAATGTTGAGTTGTCGAAAATCAACGTTTTGATTTTTAAGATATCAACGTTTAAATTTTGAAGGTATCATAATGGTATCAACAACTATAGCTTCCAATAGAATCGCTAGTATTCAACAGGCGTTTCTGGTTATATCCAATTAGATTGCTGTTTTTAAGCTGATGACTCTGATAATATCCAATAGTAGTAAGCAAGGTATAAAAATATCTGATTGGGAAAGAGAGGTTTATTTGGTATATAATGATACTATAATACAGCACTATACTATATACTACATACTATATGGATACTATATGATTCCATGCGATCTAGAATACACCACTTCTCATGTTCTACTTACCGCCATATTAATATTACAACTTGAGATAAAAATATAATGGTTAGAATACTTGACAGCAGCAAGATTTAAATGGAGCTCGACAGATGACGGGCAATAGTGAAAAGCGATACTATAAGATAATGACAATCAGTTATATGTAGTGGAAAAAGCGCAGAGCATAAATGAAATGCCATCTTACACTTTGTGGTCGTGATTGTTAACAAATCTTTATAATTATGTACCGTTCATATGCCGAGCACATTAAACTCATTTAACGGTATCATTGGCGCTCTTGATGATATGCTTACTGTCGCCCATGCACATATCTGTATTTTCAAAAAGGCATCTGGATCATTGATGTTGAAATATCCATCACCAACGCTGGCTGCCAACTTGGTAAAGTGCTTTTGCTTGATAGAGAGCAAAAACGATTGGATATATCTATAACAACCAAACATACAACAAATTAAACTGAACCGTCGTGTCGCCTAGTATACGTTTTCCAATTCCAATCAGCGATTTACTAAAAGCACGGTAGCTTATTGCGAAGCGCTTCAAATATGCTTAGTTGCTAATGTACATACATGTCTGAACTAATAATAAAGAAGAAACTTAAATTCTAATCAATAAACCACACACAGACTCCCCCGCATGGCTTTGCCCTCCAGCATACATAGATTTTGACTTGCGCTGTTGAATCTATTTATAATAACTATCTTTTTCTTCAATCGATAAGCTCAAAAGAGATTTAATATATGCTATCCAATATTCAAAATGTATCTCAGTGGATACCGATGTCGTCCCGTTATTACAAGTACAAAGCATCACCCGCTGTTCTAGTTTAATAGGTTTGCGATTCATCTAAAGCGGTCAAGTGTTTACAATCGACTATCGTATAGATATACTTTTTAGTACGAGCTCAATATACCAACACTAACAGCTGTATAGATGCTTTTTTGATATTGGGTCATTTATTATGCTCTATACCCTGTATCTATCCATTGACCTTCACAACAAGCGCTACCATTTTTTCCAGCCCAGCATTTTAAACTGTGTGCCGGTGGGAGCATCCTGCACCGCGCTCTCTTCCTTCTTTCACTCTGTCTTTCCTTACTTTAAACGTGGAGCAACCATGGTCGATCAGGACCCTCCCAACGTGGAACCTGGTCATGGTTCCAAACAAAAGAGTCCTACTCCTGTGGTAATTACTGCTTGTTCCTGATTCATCTATTTTAACAATAAAGAAACAGTACTGAATCGTGGTTATACTTTTTCTCTCGTTATTTCCTTTCCCTTTTTTCATAGAAAACAGGTCCTGGGAGACGGTCAACAAAGAAACAAGAAAAGATCTTAGATCGGCCCAGAACATTGTTTGATACGGACGGAAATATCAGCTCACAGAATATTCTGGATCCTGAAGCCAGCCCTGCTCGATCGACGCGCAATGCCCGAAAGCAGTTGGCAACCGATGACTACGACGACAACAGCAATGGATTGTTACCTCCTATTAAACGACAAAAACTCTACGATCATCGACCTATGCGTGGACGCGGGCGAGGACGACCGCCGAAACGAACAAAGCAGAAACTTTTGGAACAAAACCCAGCAACGCCTTTAGACCAAGTGCGTAACGGTGTGTTGAGTGACAAGGCTAAAGAACTACAGACTATTTACGAACAACATGCCAATAACCTCAGGGAGCTATATCATCTCGAGGTCAATCAAAACATGTTGGACTACAACCCTAGTGCGTTTGCGCCTGGTAGTTTCCTTGACGAGCGTTTCAACAAGGTATAGCTACATAGTTTTTTTCCCTCTAACTCAATTGTGTGTATATGTATACTGAAGATCCATCATTAATAGTTTGCCCAACCGTATGACTTATGGGAAAGAGCGGCTGTATATTTGGGGAGGAATGATTTGGTCCATATGCTACAGGATGTGTTTGCTGAAAGCAGTACAGCAGTGGCGTCATCCTCAGCGGCGAAAAAGGGCGTTCAAATTTATACCGGCAGCGAAGTTCGACGTTTCATTCGACAATACCCAACACTAAACGATTACTTATCGACTTTTGTGTCTATCGATGATAACGAGGATATTACGCCAGAAGAGGCTGATGCCGTTGTGGAAAAGGAGGCAGGTATACGCGAACGGATTAATGCACTCAACGCGCGAGGCGGGTTTTCGACCCGTCTACAAACAATCGCCAACCGACGACCTCAGTTCGAACGTAACAGAAACGATAGCGTGCACGATGCAGTCGTTGCACAGGCAGTGACTACATCCAAACTCTTTGCAAGCAACTCAAAACATCGACGGAATGCGGCTCGGAAATGTGCTAAAGCGATCGAACGACATTGGGAACTTATTCGGACACATGACGAACGGTTGCAAAAGAATGAGGAGCGGAGGATGATGCGGCTGGCGAAACGTACTGCGCAACATGTAATGAAAAAATGGAAGGTCGTGGAGCGCGTGTGCGAGGCTCGATACAAGGAAATCCTGAAAGAAGAGCAAGCACAAGAAGGTCGTCGGCACCTGCAAAAGATCCTTGAGCATTCTGAGCAAATGCTCGGTGTACGCATGGAAGAGCTCACGTCACGCAAAGCGGCAGCGGCATCAGCAGACGAATCGCCAACTCCCCCACCAGTAATATCTTCCTCGTCTTCAGTAATAACGTCTCGAACTAACGAGCCGGATGCGCCAACGCCAGACAAAGTTACGGCAGCAGCGGCACCCACAACATCTGCATCAACTGTATCGGATGAAGAATTTTCGGCAGACGAAGCGGGAGAAGACGACGATCACGTGATTTTTGATGATGAAGGGGAGAGTGAGGACGATGACGACGAGTTACGGGAGCTCGAAGCAGATCAGGATTTGGACGTCGAAGAGCTGATTAAAAAGTACAATTACCGGTTGGAAAGCGAAGATGAAGAAGAAGAGAAGGAGGAGAAGGAACAACAAGAAAATGTACGGGAAGAAGGGGAAAACGAATCCGACGTGGAAATGACGGAAAAAGAAACACCTGCAGCAGGTTCTGCATATGAAAAGGTGGAGAAAGACGATGTCAATGTTGTGGAGCTCGAAACTCTAGAGTCGGAAGTAGAGGAACAGGAACAACAACAGACACCGGAGGATGTAATGGACGAAGATAAAGAGGCTGTAGAAGTGGAGCAGCAACAGCGGCATACACAGGAGGAGGAGGAGGGTGTCGACGACGATGACGATGATCAGACTGTCACGGTGTACGGCTCAGACATGACCGATGTTGAAGAAGAGGACGGAGAACGCCGGAAGAGAACCAAAAACTCGAACCAAAAAAATTCGCAAAACGTTGTGGCAACGGCATCGGATGCGACGACGAGCACTGCAGTTTCCCAGCAACCTACTGCGCAGCCAACCGGGACGACGTTATCCACAACAAAAGTGGACACTCAAATCCCGTTTCTCCTACGTGGCACGCTGCGTGAATATCAGCATGTCGGTTTGGACTGGCTGGCGAGTTTGTATATCAACGGCCTCAATGGCATCTTGGCAGACGAGATGGGTCTTGGCAAAACAATTCAGACGATCTCGCTGCTTGCATATCTGGCATGCGAAATGGGAATTTGGGGGCCTCATCTTATCGTGGTGCCAACAAGCGTGATTTTGAACTGGGAGATGGAATTCAAGCGCTGGCTGCCGGGTTTCAAGATTCTTACGTACTATGGTACTCCGAAAGAGCGCAAGGAAAAGCGATCTGGCTGGTCCAAGGAGAATGCGTTTCATGTATGCATCACGTCATATCAGCTGGTGATACAGGATCAGAATGTGTTTAGACGCAAGGCATGGCAGTATTTGGTTCTTGACGAGGCACACCACATCAAGAACTTTCGGTCGCAGCGTTGGCAAGTCCTGCTCAACTTCAACTCTGCCCGCCGACTGCTGTTGACAGGCACGCCACTGCAGAACAATCTCATGGAACTATGGTCGCTGCTCTACTTTTTGATGCCTAACGGCGTTTCCGAGTCCATGCCCATTGGATTCGCAAGCCAAAAGGAGTTTCAAGAATGGTTCTCCCATCCGGTGGACCGCATGATAGAAGGACAGCAAGGGATGGACGCTGATTCACGGGCAGCGATCCAGAAACTACACATAGTGTTGCGGCCGTACCTTTTGCGACGACTCAAAGCTGATGTGGAGAAGCAGTTGCCTGAGAAGCACGAGCACGTGGTCTATTGTCGTCTATCTAAGAGACAACGCTATCTGTACGATGACTTCATGAGTCGCGCAAAGACCAAGGAGACTTTGGCAAGCGGCAATTTCCTCAGTATCATCAATTGCCTTATGCAACTCCGCAAGGTGTGTAACCACCCGGATCTCTTTGAGGAGCGGCCGATCACTACAAGTTTCGCAATGGATGACCAAGTCCAGTGGTCAGGACAACTTCTTGAATCGCGTATCCGCAAGCGCTTCAGTGTATATCCACCAGATTTGAACAGCGTCAACCTGGTTATTTCTCGCAACGAAGACATGTCGATGGCTGTGGCAGAAGCATATAATCGACTGGATGCAGCCAAGAGTTTCGTTCGCGCTATTGCCAAGCATCAAACCTATATTGACATTGCAGAAGCGCGTGGCATTACGTCGAGTCGCTACCAAGATCTCAGAAGCTACGGTGGACGCTATGGCTACCACGATCTAAAGAAATACCAAAAATACCGGCAGTTGGAGCAGCATTGCGACGCAGTCGATCGTTGGGAATCCATCATGTCCATCAACAAGTTTCGGTGCGTGCGGAGACCCATTTTGGGCGCTAGTCTGATTGACATGTGTCTGACAGCCACACAAGGATACAAACGAGTGTACTTCCCATCGGCAAGCCATGACGAGCGCAGCTATCTTGATCGAAGCGACATCATCCGTAGTCTCGTATTAGGCTACAAGGAACGGGTCGACTGCAACCTGGACATTATTGAACGCTATGGATTTGTCACCCCAGGGGCTGTGATCCAGCACTCGACCACGGCTGTACCTGAGCTTGTGCCGTCGGATGCACCCATGCAAGTGCAGGCCAGACTGCGACAAGCGCTGAATAACGACATATTCCATCCCATCCAGTCACGACTCTCTATAGCATTCCCTGATAAGCGGCTGCTGCAGTATGATTGTGGCAAGCTGCAAAAGCTAGACGCATTGCTAAGGCAGCTTGCAGCTGGTGGACATCGTGCGTTGATATTTACTCAGATGACGCGCGTACTGGACGTTCTGGAGGTTTTTCTGAATATGCATGGTCACCGGTACCTGCGACTCGATGGCGCAACCAAGATCGAGCAGCGCCAGGTGCTGACGGAACAGTTCAATAGCGACAAACGTATCCTGGCTTTTATTCTTTCCACCCGCAGTGGTGGTCTTGGGATCAACCTAACAGGCGCAGACACAGTCATCTTTTATGACTCTGACTGGAATCCGTCGATGGTAACTATTGTAATTGTATTTATTAGACTTGGGCTTCTACACGCACCCCCACCCCCCTTGCTCTCGATCTTTCCATTTCCACCTAATCCCCAGCCCTCCCTTTTTCATACTTCCGCACCCGATTGATTCTGATAACCTCACCTTGATTCCAGGATAAACAATGCCAAGACCGCACACATCGTATTGGACAGACACGCGATGTACACATATACCGTTTTGTCACAGAATATACCATTGAGGAAAACATCTTCAAAAAGGCCAACCAAAAAAGGTAAACTATTATTCTATTCTTCTTTGTTTCCTTGGCTGCTGCTTTTGGTGAAGCATCATCCATCCATCTATCCGTCCAGGCGGTGTCGTTATTAACTGCTCGATGCATCATCACTAGACTCTTGGACAATGTGGTGATCCAAGAGGGTGGCTTTACGGACGACTACTTTCAAAAGATGGACTGGTGGCGCGATTTGCCTGAGGTGACTGGAAAAGAGACCAATGCAGTAACGCCGACCATGGACATTGAACAAGCACTACTGCAAGCAGAAGAGGACGAAAACGACGCACGTGCAGCAATCACGGCGCGCAACGAGATGGATATGGATGAGCGAGAGTTCAATGAGACGCGTCAGTCGCGTAGCCCTTCAGACTCACCTAAGCCCTCGACATCGGCTGTTGTCACACCTGCAGCTGTCAGCGGGGCAGATGACGAGGAGGGTCTTGACGAGCCGATGGCTGTAGTGGAAGAAGAAGAAGAAGAAGCAGCAGCAGCAGCAGCAGCAGAGGAAGAAGAAGAGGGCAACGACGAAGAAGAAATGCAACTAGCAGTCGGACACGTCGACCAGTACATGCTACGCTTCTGGGAGAGAGAAATGTTTGGCCGTTTCCTTGGCTTTGGCGGCTTGCCCGATCAAGAAGAACTTGAAAGCTAAAAAAAAAAGCACACAAAAAGATACAAGTCACCCTTATTCTAACTGTACACTGCCCCGATCACACATATAACAGCACACATACACATACACATCTTAACCTACATATTCTCGCACCTTACCACTAGCACTACCATCCCTCTCTTCCCCACACCACGCATACATACGCATATATTGCAACAGTTTTTTGTAAATATATACCTTTTTTTTCCTCAATTGAGAGGACGAGGATGTTCTTTGGATGGGATAGGGGAAGCAAGCATGCCAAATTTAAAGGGCGCGGGGGTTGGTTTGAGTGGGGAGAGCTGGAGTTATCAAAAGAGAGAAGGGACGATAGTGTCCACGTCATGCACTTGAATGGTCTGTGTGCACGAATTTTTTACCAATTGTGGATGCACACCGGCTGTGCAGAATAATAGAGGGGAGCAGCAGTGTGCGAGTGGTCGAGAGTCAAAGAACAGAAACGCAGCACTGTTTTTTCGCGCGATTATCATCACAAGACATCAGATTTTTGTCTATAATAGACCATTGTGAATAGAGTGCAATACTCTCGCCCCTCGCCCCTCGCGATCAGCTCCTTAATAACCTTGATCGACGCCTATAATGTACGCTTAATCACTGTGAGTGAGGGAGAGCGCCATACCCTCAGACATAAACTAGGTGTATCTGAAAAAAACGTTCTCGAAGTGTGTTACATCAGACGATCGACAACGGTTCGAGACAAAAAGTAGTGGAACAGCGTGGTGAGCAACCAAAAACAATGTCCGATTGTCGTGAGCACAACACGAACAAAGAAAATTAGATAGGATCCAGTGACCCGCTTATTATCATTAGTAGTAGTATTATTACATACTATAACTCTGATATTACCATTGCTGTATTCTCTGAATATTAAACGTCTGGTTCATCATTTTCTGAGCAATAAGCTTAATCCCTAGTGCATAAGGTTCCTTCTCTTGCTCTGCCCGCAGTAAATGCAGCATTTGGGGGAGGAGAAAGAGAGAGAGAGAGAGAGAGAGAGAGAGAGAGAAAGGTCACATGAGATCTACGGGTCGAGAAGCTCTTTCTCTCTCTGTCTGGCTGTCTGTCTGTCTAGTAGCGAGCTTAAAAAATGCCATAGTAGGTATAGTAGGTGGGTCAACAATCTCCGTTAAGAAATCATCACATTTGCATGCAGCGTCATGTCAAAATAGAAACCAAGGGGGTGTGACGAATAGCAGACGAAAGGAAAGAAAGGGTGTGAGCTGAAAGAATCAGAGTGAGTGGGTGGGTGAGCGACTGTTTTTTTGAAGGGGGTTGAGATGCTGTCTGTGGTGGTGGTGGTGGTGGTGGTGGTGGTGGTCGGAGAACAGTGTGCAAAAGGAGAAATACAATATAATTAAACGGCACCACCCACACACACACCCACAGTGAGCTGCCTATAACAACAAAAATCACAAAGTTGCTCCACTGTCTATCGAGATCAAGATCCCTCTGCCAAATCTTCGATCGCGAGTCAGCCCAGTGGTGCCAACTTTTGCACATGTGGGAAAACACGCACGTCCCGGTGAGCTGGGTGCTCACCTATTGCTCCCACCTATCTACTGCAAACAAACTAGGTCATCTGCACAGACATTTTCGGCCGTCGAATTCAGATTTGGTAACACCTTGGGGGTGGAGCAGGCACGTAGACAGGCAGACAGGCAGGCAGATAGCACAGCGATGACATGTATTTTTGTATAACATTATGTACTGTTTGTAAAGGGCAAGTACGCTTGACGATCAAATAGGCCTTGGACCGGAAAACAGTATAAAAGGGGCAAAGTGCTTTGCTTTTTTTCTCTCTCTTTTCTTCACTACTGTCTCTTCTTCTCTTCTTATCGTTACTACTACTACTGCTTTTCTCTTCTTCTGTGCCTTCTCCCTGACCTTCACAGCAGCATCCTGTCACAGTAACAATGCCGTCGGAAAAATTTAAACGCTCGACTTCGTTTCGCCACGCCGCAAAGAGCTTCTTTGGTAACTTCAGCGCCGTGTCCCCGTATTCATTTGGTAAGAATGAGTGAGCGCACAGACTTGGGGGAGCGATGAGTGTTGTTGCGCGCGTCAACAGTACCACTAACTCCAACATCTACTGCCCTCCACTACACTACTCTATAGGACTGTCATTGTCTCCCAATACATTCACTCTACTCGAAGACAAGTATGTCATTAGCTGCTCTTTCCATCTTTGTCTGTATGCTTCATACATAAAACTCATACACACCTTTTGTTTGTGTTTATAGCGACGCTGCCTCACAAGCTGACCGACGCTCGGCTCATAATGCTTTGGAACGTCAACGCCGAGAAAACCTGAACGTCAAGTTCCAGGAACTTGCTCATGCTTTGCCATCCTTGCAAACTGTCCGACGTCCAAGCAAGACCATGATTGTTGCAAAGTCGCTCGAGTTTGGTAATTAACCATTTAAGTTTCTTTGCATAAACTTGCAGCCCCAAACCTCTTGGACCTTGTGTATGACTGGAATTCGAAGCTAAACAACAGAAACTACTGCTATCACTACACCACTATAGTTGCCAACAGCCTTAGTCGCGAGTCCAACTACCAAAACGAAATCACTGATCTGCGCAAACAAAACGAACGACTTCGAAAGCAAGCCTCGACCCTTTCTTCCGGTCAGCCCAAACGACGCAGTCCATTGTCTACGCCACCTCAAACAAACGCATCGTCACCTTCGTCGTTGCCTTCGCCACCTATCACGCAAAAACCACTACAGCAGCAACCAGTAACCACTACTGCTACGACTGCTGCTACGACGCAACACGTTCTAGCACCCCAATACGCACAAGAACAGGGAAAGAAGCCCACTCGGCAGCAACTAGAGAAGGATATACTTTTCTATCAAAATCAACAACAAAAACAGCAAGAGCATGAGCAACAACAACAACAGTATCAGGTAGAGGATCCACTTATCTCTGCTGCTGCCGACTACCAAAGCTGGATTGCAGCTACCACCATGCCCGAAAGAGATTACTGTCTCTACGACAGTGATCCCGCCTTGATGGCGCCATCATTTATGTATCAGCGCGATCCGTTGTTGACAACGGTGCCGCCTCCTTATTACTACGAACAAGCTATGTCTATGAATCCAGCCATGATCTTTACCTCTACAGCACCAGCACACGCACCGCCAGTAGCACCAGCATCCATGGAAGCCTATCATCACTCTATTGTGAGCGGCGGCCCTGCAGGCAATATCCTCGTCTGAAAGTGAAGGCAGAAAACAAAACAAAAAGAACCCTCTTTTCTTCTTTATTATACCATACTTCAGTTGTAAATACTTCTTTTTCTTTAACTTTGCGCGCCACTTTACTCTTTCTTTCTGTCACGAGTAGCTAGTAAATCCGTGTACTTACCACTTTATAGTCACTTATAATTATGCCCCCTCCCCCACCTTTTGCCTTTTTGATCTCTTTCTCTCTCTCTAGCTACATCATTCGCTTATAATAATAACATATGCGTGCAACGCACGCTTATGATCACGTTTAACCTAGTTGCCGATCATTGACTTTTTTGATATGTCGATCGTTCCCAATTATTGACATCCCAGGTCTCTCTTTTTCTTCGTTTTCATCTCAGTTAAAGCGGAAACATCAACCCCAACCACCCCCAAGACTGGTTTCATCATAACACAGAGCTCAGGGACCGGGATGACAAGAAGTAACAAGCCCGCCTTTTGGGGGGAAGTATTCGAAAGACCTCTTGTCTGCCAAACACGACCCATGACTCCTCATTGATGATCCTTGCCTAGTCGGGAAACGATCGAAATTCGGATGGTATCTGTATCACAGACACACCAGATAGCCAGTGTACGTGCGTTTCCTTTCATTTGTGATTGTGTGTGTGTGTGTGTAATGAGAGAAGAAAAATGTGCTTTTTTATTGTTACATGACACGAGGACGGGATGTAATGACGTTTTGGTTGTTGACAAGCAAAATTTTTAGTCAAAGAGACCGAAGCCCATATCCTCATCGGATTCTTCCTTTTCTTCTTCCTTGGCCTCTTCAGCAGCCTCCTCAGCGGCACCAGCACCACCGGCGGCGGCACCACCAGCAGCAGCAGCACCACCAGTGGGGACGGAAGCAAGCTTCTCCTTGCCTTCCTCAATGACCTAAATTGCAACAATGAAAGGAAATAGGACAAGGCGTCAGTTTCTGCAAGGTGTCCACTCTTTCTTTCCGTTTCGTGTTGTTTCCGAGTTTGTTGGAGCTATAACAACAGGGAGGAAAATGTCCCAATCGCGCGAGAATGTCAAGGAAGAACTCAATTGTAGCGAAATTTACCTCCTGGACAGTCTTGCCCTCAAGAGCCTTGATCAAAGAGCTAACACGGTCGGCTTCGACCTCAACACCAACGGAACCGAGAACGGATTTGATGTCTTCAGCGGTAGGGGCAGCGTTGCCACCGGCGACGAGCAAAAGGTAAGCGGCCAAGTACTTCATTTCGAATGTAGAGTGAGAGAGAAGGAAAAAAAAATCTTATGGCTGGCTCACAAATTTTTTTCAATCCGGGCGGACAGCCGAAAAACGCGTCACCTCGTCAAAGAAAAAAAAAACGCCACCCAGCTAATTATGTTAACCGGAGGAAGAAGTACTACTGCGGCAGTGAAAGATTTGTTGACAGCCACAGGGACATTCTACTTCTTTTTTGAGCTTTAATATATAGGTGCAAAAACATGTGATGTTTCTTGTCTCTAGATCTTTCTAAGCTGATCTTGGGCGAGAAAATCACGTATCGCTCTATCAGCCTTATTGTGAGAGAACTGACACTCGTCGTCTCTCTTCAAATCAAGAACTTGAAGGCCGATAAATCTTTTTTCCTCTCGACCTGATCCCGCGAAAAGTTTTTTGCATATTGCTGAAAGAGCTACTTGAAGCCAATCCATAGGATGATCTTGTATGGACAATACGCTATGACTATGATAATTTATTGAATGAGTAATCGACTGGATGAAACAAGACACTATATGTTTTTTATGCGCTCAAAAAATTGGACTAGCAGGGTCACTTTGGCTAAATGACTAGAAAGTAGGGACCCTAGCGACCGCCCTGACTCTACCTTTACAATATCACAGCTTATTGTGGTTTTTTGCTCAAGAAAAAAAACAGGGACCTTGATGCACCCGCATTTTATTGAAGCACAGTGCAATGTGTCAGCGGGTCAGTAGGCTGTATGAGATGCACATAAAGCACCAGCTTTATCTATCAGATCGTAAGTTTTCGTTTGCATCGGGCCGTTTTGCAATACTGCCATGTAGCGTTGTGTTTTGCTGTTAAAAAGTCGTCTGCTACTCTATCTATTCTTCTATCTCCTTTTGTCAACATGACGAGACAAGCAGCCACCACTCATCGTCATAATGTTAACGATATGTATGGCACATCTGGGAAAGATCGGACATACAGTTTACTATAATGCCTCAAATGCGAGGACTGCTGTAATGAACATTATGCATAAAGTGCATGATATAATCCCGAGCTATTCTTCGTTGCTCGCGTAAATATATGATGCACTCGCTGACCTCCATTGCTCCGAGAAGCCTGCACATGTGCAATACCAACAAGCTGTAATATGTAGTTTGCTCGGAGCTAGGGCAAAGAAGAGCACACGTGTTGTATCGACAAGCTGTATATAATCTATATGTAGCTAGGGCAAAAAGGATAATTGCATTATGCAAAACGGAGGAAACATCGCTTGTCAAAAGAGCACAGCAGCAGTACATGTGGAGCAAGATCATTCTTGTGATATATATGTATTGTACCAAACCAAGTGGGTGAGTTGGTAGTAGCCTTTTGAACAAAAGGTACTTTGGCTGTAAGTATCGTGTAAGAGAAGTTATCTGAAGAAAATAATGGTTGCGAGAACACCGCAATCGTCTAATTCCGCTACGCTGTATTTTTTATGGCAAGTGAGATTATACTATGTTCTTTTCGTGTAACAAGAAGCTTTGTTGCGGGCTTCCCCCGTGTGTTCCTCCCCCGAGACTCTCCTAACAAAACAACAGACGCAACGGACTTGTTTGTGCATGAACAAAAGAGGTCATCACTTTAATTTTCCTTTCCCTTTACATGTCGTACAGCCCCATTCCCGACCCTCGAAACAACCACACACACGCTTCTGTATATGCATACTTTTGGGTCTCTAATATACGAGTGTATTTACGTTAGCTTATCGAGAAAAGTTGTCGTAATAGTACTCCTCTCAATAAGTATCACATAAGACGTAAGCACCAATAACTCCTCATTCAACCCTCTTCCCCTCCTTCCGCGCCTAATGGAAAAGGAGAGGCTGAGAAAATAGAAAGTAAACTCTAAAAAGCCAAACTGATATAGTGCATACATGAGTAAACGGCGGTAAAGATAGGGGGAGCTGTCATGTGTTTGACTGACTAAAGACAATACACAGCAATTATATCGCCGGGATCATGTCAGTTCATCCGATTGCATATGTATCTACATATTCTTTATTAGATGTATGTACCAAAAATGTTTGATAATGCGTATCATATGCATGGCTGGGTCCTGCCAGCAGGTTTTTTAGTATGAGCTTGTTTTTTTTTTCTTGAATAAAAAGTGCATATGCGTGGTCATTATAAAAAGAATCAATAAGGATGAAGAATGCTCATCGGGCCTTGCACTACATTGCGTACTTTTATGAAATGTATGATGCTGTACAGTATAGAAAAATGTGTGTGTGATCCGATTTCTCGGAAACGCTCACTAACAAACTGAGAAGTTTTGAACGTGCGAAAATGAGATACATATACTAAATTACCTTTCCTCGATCAGTAAGCTATGTGCTATGATCAATATGAGCTCCAACCAGAAAAGCTGGAGAGAGTACAGCCTAGCCGAGTGTTTTGGATCACTCGACAACTGCTGTGTACAAATGTACTTTCTTTGTTTTCTTGTAGTTGTGGTGTAAACCTTCAAGGACGATCAACCTGATTTGAATTCAGGGTGCTTCGACAACGTTGTTTATATTGTTGCTTTGCTACTACTACTTGTAGTAGTATTCGTCATACAGACATGTTGTCCAGACCATCATTTTTGTGTTGATGGAGTATAACAATAGCGTTGCCAACTTTACACTTTACAAATATCTTTTGCAGGATGCCCTTGAACAATCCTTGGCAGCTAGGTATACATATATTGTTTCCTTGTTTTCTCAGGGCTGGTCAAGCACACATTCACATATATACGTCATTATACTGATCTTTAATTACTAGGAGGTTCGTAAAGATATATGATAATACATTCCTATTCATCAATCGGTTAATCAAGATTCAAAGTTGTCTATTCATGTTACTGGTTTTAATCATCACAGCACATACAGTATTACAGTAAAATAATGTCTGATGCTAATCTCTAAAATGGATTGGCTGTGTCTCTTCGGTTGTGTATAACAGAACAGGACATATAACTGGACGACACATAGCGAGAATCAACAGGCAGCTGCATATAGTATTACACTTTCTACCATACTTTTCTTATCAAAAGCTGGAAAGAATAAGGGGAACGCTGAGCGGGACAGGACGAGGGGTAAAGATGCGAGTTTTTCAGGAGTCGAAGAAGCTTACTCTTGTTTAAAATTCTAACTGCCACCAGACTGCTCGTGAAATTGTAGAGACAGTTGCTGCGCATACAAGCAGGAGAACGGCAAAGGAAACAAGCAGAAGCACATACGATATAACATTGAAGCATATCGTCATCAGCCTACTTACGTTTGCGTGCAAAACAAATTATCTAAACCACTATTGATAATATGTACACGACATACATCACCTTTAACAGATTTGTCAGTTGTTTTATTGGGGTCAAACGTGAGTATATATATGTGTGACGGTACTATTACGCCCGCCATGTATCATCGCAGGATTTTACCTTTAGCAAAACTGAAAGTGGGCAAGCTTTGCATTAATGTATCATAAAATAACATTGATGATTACAACTTAAAAGAAGAAGGATACAGACACCTTCAATAAGACAAAATTGACAGTTACTGTATACAGTCGATCCGCTGGAAACTGACTAGAACCCGGGCAGAGTGAAATTTTGGGGTCGGCGTGGTTTCTTTTTAAACTTGCTGTCTTTTAGAGTGTAAGCAAATAGTATGCATAGTATAATGAACTATTATCTAAATTACAAAGGTATGGTAGTCAGCGATTGAAACACTACCGAAACCGACAACAGTATTGCAAAAAGCTCTTTTCACGACTTCCCGTTCAGAATCAGCACCGCGGCTGTAAATGGATGTGGATATTTTGAACTGCTTTGATATGGTGAATCCTGGTCAAATCCACTATAGAATGCGATTCTATCTCTGCGTGGTATGTACAATGCTGCTACTCGTGTTAAGAAGAGTACTTTAGCCACAAGATGACATCTACAGTACTAAATTGAAAACTCCTGGGCGTTTTTACGTAAATACGAGCACTCAATGACGAGAAAGGTTAATCCTTGGTTTTTATTCATTCTTTACTGGCTATTAACCTCATTATCTCCCATTTTGTTTGAAATGAAAGTTTTTGCTTGCTATATATAGCAAACATAGTTCAACGTGGGTAACTTTTTTGTTTCACAGCTCTAAGCACTTCTCGTTACTCTTAATTACGACACAACGATTTATATGACTTGACTCAAATGGCACTATAATTGCTACTATTGCTATTCATGATAGTAGATAAATGGAGTTTTTACTAAAGTTTCGACTACAAAGATAAAGAAGAGCTTATTATTAACCGTTTATTGATATGTGATAAGAGATAGACATATTGCAGGATGCTAACGGTGATAATGTACCTCAAACACAAAAGTTTAAGTTTATTCTCTCAGAAGATGTGGCGCTGTTGTTCCACATCAAAGGTTATGTTACTGCGCAACAACACGATTGTTATTAAAAGGCTATTAAGATGGTGAGAATAGAAAGACATAATGTACCTTTTTCTTTTCTTTCTCTTTCTACAACAATTAGCCGATATTGCAAGACAAAAGTGATGGCGGCAGCTTCTTTATTCTCTAATCGCCAAAAGTAGAAAGTAGATGCTCGAACGTAACTAAAATTGGCATGTAATGTTACACATGGCAAGGCGCCTTTCCACCAGCCCCGCGAACCACAGCTGTTTTCTTCCTCTCCCTCTTCTTCTTATTTTTCGTTCTCCTCCTGTGCTGTCATCTCTACATACTCTCAATTGTTCGATATTTCAATGGCAGTAGCAGCAGCCCGTCCTTTTAATCCCAACGATTACCCGGTAGTCATTGGCATCGATTTCGGTTAGTAGCTCGATTAGCTTAACTTTTTTTATTCGCTTTTCATTCAACAAAGGGCAAAAAAAAAAGACAACCACCAACCGTGATTGCCAAGAACTTAGCACATCCCTTTGGGCCATCAAATTGATGACACCGGCACACTTCTAAACTGTTATATATATAAAATAAAAAATGAACAGGTACCACTTTCTCCGGATGTTCTTATGCTTTTATACAAAACGACGAAGTTGTGGACATTGTCAGATGGTAATTTACCGTGGTGATATATTAAAAAAAAGGGGGAAAAGGTCTGTGTGTCTGTGTTGACCATTTTTAAACTTATCTGTTAATTCTTGTACACATACTACAGGCCCAAGCAGAACAATAACGTTTATCCAAAGGTAATATACGTTTGAGAATAAGCTTTCAATCCATTAAGAGAATGTATACGCAACGGCTGAACAACGTTTTGTTGACATAGACACCTACACTTAACTTTTACCATGGCAACTCGAATCAAATGACACAATGGGGTAACGCAGCTCGACTTGAGATGCAACGGCCAACGGCTCGTAACTCGGTGCTGTTAAAGCAGTATAAGCTATATTTGGATGAAAATATTGCCAAAGACCTTCCTCCCCTTCCTAATGGCTTGACGATTGTCGATGCTATTGCCGATTATCTCGGTGCTTTCCACGATCACGTTGTTAACGAACTCAAGAAGGGTTTTGCCCGAAACTATGGACAGCATCAATTCCGATACGTAAGTTACAAGAAAAAACACATACCTGTGTATGGGAGGAGGATGAGGGGGGGGGTACACACACAATATAGGGAACGAAAAGGAGGAAGCAACGACCGACAGTTAGTAGCCGGACATGGGATAACATATACAACACAATGCATGCAGTGCTTGACGGTTCCCGCCATGTGGTCCGATAAGGCAAAGAGCACTATGCGTGACGCAGCCATCAAAGCAGGCTTGATCACTGAAAATGACCATCGCGACCGGCTCATGCTCATCTCAGAACCCGAAGCCGCAGCGTTGTACTGTGAGAAGAAGTGTGATCAGTTCAACCTCAGACATGGTGATCGATTCATGATTTGTGATGCTGGTGGTAAGAGATACATCGATTCTGCATAGTCAACTTTCATCTTTCCCTCTGTTTTAGCTCTTGGATGACTCACGTATATGTGTATAGGTGGTACTGTCGATTTGATTGTGTTTGAGATTGATGAGCGAACGGGCCGTAAGCTTCGAGAATGCACAAAAGGTCATGGTCAATCGTGTGGTTCCGTGTTTTTGGACCGACGTATGCGCAAGTTGCTGAAAAAGAAGTTCAAGGAATACCTGTCGTCGATCCCAGCATCTGCTTTTGAAACCATGATGGATACATTTGTCGATCTGATCAAGCCACAGTTCGACGGCGTAGAGGACCAATTTATCTCGCTGCCAGCCTCGATGAACTTGGACTCGCTCAACAACCCGGCAATCGGTTTGGAGGATGGCATGTTGTGCATCACGGCTGCTGAGCTGAAGCAGGAAGTATTCGAGCCGGTGATCCGTGAGGTGTTGGCACTGGTTGAAGATCAGCTTATCAAAGCACAGTCGTTGCAGGCTGTGTTCCTGGTCGGTGGTTTCGGTTCTTCCAATTATCTGTTTGAACGGGTGCAGCAGGAGTTTGCATCCCGTGTAGGATTGGTGGCTGTCCCTCCTCGTTGTGAGTTGGCTGTTGTGCGTGGCGCTGTATACTTTGGTCTGAACCCCCGAGTTGTCACTACGCGTATTCCCCGATATTGGTACGGTATCGACACGACCACCACCTTTGAAGAAGGCATCGATCCTCCAAGCTACAAAATCGTACGAGCGGATGGCAGTGTACGCTGTGATAACCGTTTCTCGGTCTACGTACGACGTGGGGAGCCCCTTGGTATGTTGTCTGCTTGTGCTTCTTGGACAAGGGTAATGGAACACGGGGTAGGAGCTGAAAATTAATTCATCACATCTTTTGTAGACATCGATAACTGCGTGTCGAAAGACTTTTTTGCGTACTACCCTCATCATACCACATGTACACTCTATGCTGCTGACACTGAGGAACAACCCCGTTATACAACTAGTCCTGGCGTGCGTAAGGTCGCCAACTTCACCATCCCTATGCCAACACTTCCAGGTGTCATGGAAGGCGAGAAGGTTGACTTGTCTATAAAAATGTACTTTGGTGAAGTCGAACTTCGAGTAGAAGGTAAGACCATTGTTGGCTTTTTCCAAGAGTCTCTGTGTATATATAAATATAAGACCATCAATACTGACCAACATCTTTTTCTCCCAATAGCCGTTATTCGTGGTAAAACATATGGCACGACATGCACGTTCGATACGGATTAAGATCGCACCATATCCATTTTTTTTAGAAAGAACACAGAAAAAAACGCACGACAACAAACAATCCGATATACACCCTTCCTACACAAACACCCACACTCTCTTCTCCTTTTACCAACCCAACTACTTTTCTCTTTTTATTGTACTACTTGTTTCTCGTGAAATACCAAAGGCTTCATTTTTTTTTCTGTCTGCTACCAAAAACTGTGACAGGCAGGCAATGTCTTTCTGTGCCTCGTGTAGATTAATTGATATGCTGGCGATTTATGTATATATACCGTGCGATGTGTATAGCAAGAGTTAGAAGTCGCATCAAACTTGTCGTATGCACTCACACCACTGTGCTAGTTTGTAGGAGCACTGAATAGGGCAAAAGAGCAGCATTTCATATGTCAGTAGCGTATACATCCATTCAGTATAACTGCTAACTGAGCGCTTGAGTGTGACGTCAGTTCAGCGCCGACAGACTCTCAGCAAAAAAACCAAAATTCAACCCGTTTCAAAACAACAATATCCTCACTGCCCTACCACCGTTATTAACTCCCCGCTCTTTTGCTATACCACCAAATGACCGCGCACGATAACAAGGATTGCCTCTACGAAGCCGGCAAGAACACCCTCATTGCCGGTTCGCTCGGTCTTGTTGTTTCTGCCATGCAGAACACCGTACAAAAGCACAAGGAAGGCGCCAAAGGTGTCTTTACGAGAACTGGTGGCACCGTCGCGCTCTTCGGTAAAGATTTGCAACCAATAATAACAACAGCAACGACAACAACAAAGTCAACACCAATCGAATAACGGAAATATCATGTATTACTTTTGGATCGATTCGACTAATTAATTGCATATTAATACTTAATATAGCTGCAATGGGTGGTATTTTCTCCATTACCGAATGTGCTGCAAAGAGCGTTCGTGGTGAAGACGATGCAGTGAACGCTGGTATTGCCGGTTGTGCTGCTGGTTTGGCCGCCGGTGTCAAGAGTAAGTCAAGTTTTTGCTACGTGAATAACTTGAGAAGAGGGTTTGAATTATTCCAATGGCATTTTCATTAAATTAATGAATCTTGTCACATAGCCCACTCGATCGCCAAAATGTGCGCTGCTTGTGCTGGTGTTGGTGCTACGATGTTTGCATACGAATACTCTGGTGAAATGAAGGGCGCTTTGTCAGGCAAGACGTTGCAGGAGCGAAAGGAAGTCAGAGATTCGTTTTTCAAGGGCTACAAGAAGGCTGAAGAAGAAGCATAAATTTCAAGTATCCATCCGATGTCTACATATACTCGCGTTTATCCAATTTGTTCTCTCTTGTCTCGCAAAATACAACACCATCATCACCACACACGCACATCACGATTGTTTTTACTAGACTTGCTGTGTTTTTTTTCCTCACAATCTTCTTCCAGCAAAACCAAAAAAAAGAATAATTATGAAAAGTGATTCTGTTTTCTTGTTCTATTTGTGGGTGTATGATTGTGTTTGGATTCACGTCAACCATTTTCGCAGGGACTGCATCATTTCTCGGCTAAAAGCAACCTCGGAAAACTTATCAGATGCAGCTGCACGTGCGTTGGATGCCATTTTTGTGAACTCGTCTTCGGGCAGCGACAGAGCTTTGTCGAGACAATCAGCAAACGAGTCGACAGAATCTGCAAGGAACCCTGTAGGTCTGCCATCGTAATCTGCCACAATGTCCAATTTAGGGCCTGCAGAATTATGCGCCACAGGGATCATTCCCGCTGCCTGGATTGGAAAAAGAAGGGGTGGGGTGGGTAATGATAATAAAATGAATCAGCAACGCGGTTACAAAGTGGAATCGACCACACAGTCTCGTGTCTTTTTGTCACCCGTGTTTCTTACCATATATTCTACAATGCCAATACCGAAATGCTCGTTCCACATTGTGTGTATTCCGATCTTGGCCTTGCCCAAACAATCCACCAGCGTGTCGAAAGAAGCATTCACTTCAAGCCGAACATGTTCCTTTTTTTGTATAGACGGTCAAATGTCAGTTATCTCTTGCTTGCCAGGCAACAACCCCTTTTCGACTGTTTACCTCAATATTTAACTCGAGTGCTAGTTTCCTAAGCTCGGCAATTCGTTTCTCATCACCTTCATTTCGGGCGCTTCCAATCAGTACAAGCTCTAGGTCCTTTTCCTGTCGCCACTTTGGATGTTTCTCGAATAACTTGGCCAATGCTTGCAACTGCATTGGATGATCCTTTTCTGGTCTATCGTAGACACCATCAGTTTACAGCTCGCTTTCTCTTTTCTATTATCTCCTCCTCTACATTATCCATCCGCCCCCGGGGGTAAGTGTGGGTAGATGGACACACGGAAGAGACAATCCATCAATACCTGAATTGGGCGACGCTGACTATTTTCGGTACACGGCACTGGAGACTGAACCCATTGAGACGCTCAGTATCGCATGGTGGATAAACAATCTCTGAATCGGTTTTCCAGAGTTTATCGATGTGGTCTTTCGTCCAAGTTGAATTGACCATGACAATCTCTGCAAACGAGCCACACCAGCCATACACCCTTGCAAACACGTGATAGTAACTGCATCATCCATTAGGAACGTTTTCTTTGGTAAAAAAAAACATAAAGAACGTGGGCGAATGCAAGATAATCTTACATCAATTTTCCGTAGGTCCATACAGTACTTTGGGCAAGTTGCGAGTTATTGTTGTGTTGTTGCCGTCGTTCATATACACGTTTCAACATATCCGAACTTTCCGGTATTGTCAGTAAATTTTTCCGCCACTACCACCAATCAGTCACTGACAACAAAATTCTGGTACCTGATCGTCGGATAATGTGTGTAGGTTGCAATTCTTACACGTGTCAAATAGTGTACCAATGGATATGTGAATGCATAACCCATCGTGTCTTTTTTTTTTTAAAAAAATACGTGAATACATATCGCGAAAGAATATGAGTTAGAGATGTTCGAAATGGTGTTAATTGGAAATTGAGCAAAGTGTAATACATACCGAAAAAGAGATCAGGAACAAGTTTGCTAATGGCTTCATAACCCATCACGATCGATGACAAACTTTGAAACAGTAACGTGAAGCGTGGATATCTTCACAGAATACAACCAGCTCGTCAATTAAAGGTCAATCTACTCGGTTAAACACGCCTTACCTGGAATCTTCAACAAGATAGCGTGTGCGCAAGTAAACTAAGGCGAGTGTTCGTGGATCCAGATCAATATTGAAACGATCCTAAACAACAAAGTGATAGATGCTTTATCAATAGTACTGGTACAAACTATTAGACAAATAATGGCGCTTACCTTTACTTTGTAAAGGATTTGTTGTTTCGAAGCATCCAAATCACCAGTATACACGGCACAAATAACGTGAGGGAACTCTTTTTGAACGTCGCGAATAGCTGTCCATAGAACTCGTTCACCTCCTCCGCCTGCATTACTAATTTTTGAAGAAACATATAGTACACAATCGCAAATAAGCTCTTTTCTAAAACACAAAAGTTTATGGGTAGGTATGGTTATTACCAGTACGGATGGAAAAAGCCGAGGAAAATGGGAAGTGAATCGCCAGCATCCGTTGTATGATCTCGTCCAAGATCTTGCAGTACGCGTTGGCGATTCACGTCAACACTGTTTAAAGTGCGTAATCGCAAGAATCGGTATATTAGCCATATGGATACCAGCGTAGTGGTTACCCAGAAAGACACGGCCATAATATGCCTAACGAGCCGTGTATATTAAGCAGAAGAGTTGATATGCGTTCAAATTCCGTAAAGCTTCGTTTTATTTTATGTTGCAGAAGGATCCTTGGTTACACAGGGTATGTTTATGCACGTTCATAGTACGGCAAACAAAGGACATATCCGTTGCTCTGCTCTGCTATGTCTACCGTCTGTGTCTAAGGTAGGACGTGGTAGCCAGGCAATACACGATATGCTTGTGTTTTTACTATCGCTGAATGTTACATGTATATTGTGAAAAAGGCTATCGATGTATGGTGAACCACACCTCCTTGGTACCTGTGACTGCGTGATTGCTCTTAACAACATGATGCTTAGCATGATACTAGTGTTTTCTCTCTAAATGGATTGATGCACATGAGAGCAAAAACCAAACATGGAGCAGGACAGGTTTGTTCATTCAGTTCTTTCTTTCGAATTCCTATACGAGGGCAGGTATAAACATAAAAGTACTTTAACCATTTTTGGTAAACTGGATTTTAATAGTACACCGTATAAATGCAAACGCAGCATTTTTCTTACGTCAACTTGGGTCTCTTTTCCTTTCTCTGTTTTCTGGCAATATAGAACAAAATGTACAGACGATTAGCAGCCATTGTAAACACAAGAAGAGCGTCACAATTGCGGCCACGATTACCGCTTTCTACGCGAGCTCCAGCAAATATCCATGCCAACAACAACAACAACAACAACCGTGTCGCCACTATCTGTAATATCTCACGTCGAAACTTAACAGCAGCAGCAGCCGCTCAACAAAAAAATAATATGGAAGAAGCCATGAACAACATCGAGGAGCTCTTTTCTGCTGCAAAGGACGAGGTTTGTTTGAGATAATCAAGTGGAGAGGTGCACACAACGTATAACTATGATGACCCTGGTGTAGTAGGACTGCGGGAAAACGTTTTACTAATACGTCTGTATCTGATCGGTATTCTACATTATCAGATGGAGTTTGCACACGAGTCGGTTGGCTCGGTTTATTACCATGAAGATCGGGTTACGGCTGAAATAGCAGTGGGTGAATGTTTGCAAGCATTTGACAAGTTTCTCACAGACTTGCCTACGGATGAAATGCGTGAAGAGGTACAAAGCAAGGTTGGAATGAAAATCAAGGAATTACAGATGGAATATGAATCGCTGCCCGAGGAAGGAGGTTAGGATGGTGCCGTTTGCACCAAAGCATTGCTCACTCCTCAACACAAGTCTGTCCCTGTGTGGGTGCATGTGTGAGTGTACATGGATACGAGGACTTGCTAGATAAACCTTCACCATATACTGTAAACAAAATAAATTACATCGAAAAGGTTATTAGAGGCACAACCAAAACTCAGGCGTGTCACTGCTTATATCCATCTGTGACCTACTGGAGTTGTGTGTGCTACTTTCGCTCATCCCAACTCCACCCTTCTCCCAGTTCTGCTATTATGCTATGCACTTCATAGTCCATCCCATTCATTGCTGCGTATGTTGACACGTCTTTTCTTCCAATATATACACTCATTAAATTTCCTCTCTTTCTTCGCAAAACCGTGTATGACTCGCATCTGACGACTTGCTTTTTTTATTTGCTGCTTTTAAATCCTAATTTCCCTTTGGCATTTGGCCGGCCTTGAGTAGTTGTTCTAACCTAGAGATCTCGTCAAGCGATGTCGCTTGCTTCAATGCCTCCTATTGTCACCAAAAATAAAGCGATACGAAATTAGCGGATTTCGCTGCTGTATTCAATCTCCCTAACTCTCAGTATCCACATATGTTTAATCACGCACCTTGATCTTCAATTGTTCTTCTTTAGAAAGGACCTTTTGCTTTTGAGCTGTGCTTAATCCTTCACCCACTTCAAAGGTATTGCTGCTCTTGGTATCTGTAATTGATTGACCCAAAGAGTTTTCTACGCCGTCTTCCATGAATAAGGCAGCTGCCTCTTCACGTTCCTTTATATGACAGAAACGCGTCGCCAAATCAGTACAGCGCGCATAGATTAAACTAACGGATGATGCGAAAACCGTCTCTCCTCTATAAAGACAAAAAGAGAGAGAGTCGTACTTACTCTTTGTTTGACCTTTTTGAAATCCAATACACGAAGTCGAGGAAGCTTGTGGATCAAATACGCACGATAATATTGTTTCTTTGTAACAGGGTTATCCAACAGACTCAAAAACGTCAGTCGTTTACACTTTGCTAGTGGTTCCAGATCGCCCAGTTCATGGATCGAGTTGTTTGTCATTATGGCGGTCGTCAAGTTGGGTACATATTCAGCGAGGTTTAACTCGATCTTGTTGATGCGGTTGTTGGCTAATAATAGATGCTGCAATCGCACCATGCGCGGGAAATTGCCCAAAACTCGCAGATCATTGTTGCTGAAATCGATCGTGTCATTCAAATCCTAACCAAATCATTCAATCTCGTATTAAAACGACACGTGTATTCCTTCTCACGATGAACCAAAAAGAAAAAGACGGGCGACAGACCTTGGTCACGCCCAAGTTTTCAATGGCAGGCAGTTGGAGATCTTAAAGAAAAAGAAGCAAAAAAACAGAGGATATCCGATCTGTGAGCGATTACTTTCTTTCTTATACACAAAATTTTCTACTAACCTCGCAGCACTAATTCTCTTTGATTAAGCGAGTTCAAACGAGAAACAGACCCGTTAATTACGTCAGTCGTCAGCTTCATTTGCAATGTATATTTTGTACTGAACAAGCAGGTAAAGTAGGTTGGTAACCCAGACACGCTCGCTTTCGGAAAGTCAAATCAAATGCCACCACCACTGCTACTCAAATTTATTAAATGCTGGACACCGTATGCCCAGTAAATGTTTGGTCTTTACTGATGCGAAGGCGTATATTCTTAAGTGATTAATGAGAAGCGGTACCACGGAAAGCACACGATCAGGGACGGGATTATGCTTGAAAATTATGTACACATTCAAAAAGAGTCATACTATACAGTAGCATCCACAATGAGTTCGTCATTTCCGGGATCGGAATGTATATGCGAGCTTCATTTTGACTTCTTAGGTGCTCAGTGTTGTAAATCCTTCTTTCTCAACTCCTCTCTCTTTATCCTTTCGCCTTGAAATTTCAGTTTATTTTTAGATGACGATACTGTTGGAAATGGCATTTTTAATTAGGCTCACTCTATGCTACTAGCCAGCCTTTAACAATAATGACAGAAGCGCGGTGCAAAGTCCAGCAGGCAGCACGAAACCGACAACATCATCTGCTGGCTTTCCGGGCCAGCCGACCATGGTAGCAAGGCTGTATCTGACGTACAAGAGAATGATCTATAGGGTGGCGGTAACGTCGGGGGCTACATTCCGAACACCGGACAGCGCGTTGTTGACAGTTACGAAGACAAGGACGAGCAGCAATTGATACTCACCTGGCAGTGGGGATTCTTGGATCTTGACGGTGAAGTTGACAGTGAAACAGCTGAAACTCCTGACATACAAGTGCACCCAGCAGAAAACAAATCTTATAAATACACTTTTCACCCCTTCCCTTCAAGAGATTTAGATTTTCAAATGTATTTCCAAGTAAAGTAATTAATTTTTCGCCTATTTTCGCCTGGCGAAAAATCAACACTACCAAGCCTGGCTTACTTTTTCGAGCTCTTGCTCACTTCAGCTTTCTTTTACTTCCTGGTTTTTTTTTCTTTGGATCTCTCACTGTAGCTCTTTTTCGTCACCAATAGCTTACGATACTTCTTTGAATCGTGAATGCTGTTATGTTGCTTAAGAAGTATTAACCAATACGGAGCAAAGAAATGTATTTCACCTACGACACGGATCGGATATCTTACGGTGAAAACAGGCAATCAGAAGCGTTTGCAAAAGTTTCACCCGTGCAAGATGAACATCATCGACCTACATTGGTTATCCGCGCACCCGATATGATGTGAGTTCTTGGTTCCAAAGCTATGGTTGGTTACTGCTCATTATCGTAATAAAGTAGGGCTTGGCTGGGTGAAAGCATTAAGATTAAAGAAACAGGAAAACAGGAGCTGGCGATCAGCAAAGCACCCAATTATAATGCAGGGTGAAGACACTAACAATGCACCATCATCACCTACTACTGAGATACACTACGTCAAATTTGGAGATGTCCTTCAACGAATATGCAAAGATTGTGACATCGACTATCTTTGGTACGACCGATGGTTTGTCAACAATGAGGATGAAGCAGAAAAGAATCAAAGAAATCAAGCAGATATATTCGAAATATAGCAATGCAAACTACGTCGTAGCACTCGTACCGGAATTGGCGATTGATAATACCAGCAGTAGAATTTATCGATGTCAACTTGACATTTATACATAGCACCAGAATAGGCTCTGACATAAACAGTGAACCTGGACTCAAAGATCATGCCAGACTTTCTCCAAGTGGCATTGGAGTCGGCAACCACCTATATATACGTGATATTTGTTTAGTACGGGTGATGACATTACTACAACAAAAGAGTTACAATACCTTTGCGGTTACCGCCCTCGCTGAGTTCTTGGAAGGCATTGAATGACTCTGATTCTTTGATTTTGTAGGACATAATGGGTCAAAAAGTGGAAGGGAGATCAAAGAAGAATGAAAACGGGAAATAGGATGGGAGGGGTACAGCTCGTTGTATGAAGACTAACATCTCCAACCACATCTGGCACGACGAGGCACACCTGCTGTGACGATATCACATTAGAAATATTTTCTGCACATTTGAATATTTTCTGAATACTTTTATGCATATTTGTGATTGAAACATTTAGCTATGATAGAAAACATGCTCAAAAGTTGTTCGCTCCGTGTCAATGATTTACAGGATCTCACGGGAAACATCACGCTATGATACTTTCATATATTGTGCGGTTAACATTTCCGAAGATTTCTTATACTTACTAATAACAGAAACTTACAACACATAAACCATAGGCGATGATTCTCCGTTTGGCTTTTTAGAGAAAAGGAATTGAGGGTATATGCTTGTAAGCATAAAAAGAAGCGATTGTAAAAAAATTAATTTGTAGATTTTATGATATATGATCCATCTATAGCGCATGATTATGTCAAGCTACATTGCAGGATTCAAAAGATTAACTCTGCTCATTGTCTGAATACATTAGGCAAAAGTCTTGCCGGTACATATAAATATGAGACCAAGTAACCTCATAGTGCGCTATGGTTATTAATGCTGCAACATGTTTAAATACGAATGCAGTTGTGCACACATGGAGTATATACTATGTATAATGCAAAGAATACAAGTTTTTGATGATCTGGGTGAGGGAAGTGATGATGATAGCTCTTGTATTGAAAGCGTGCAAATGTGTGAGTGCATACTGTCAGCATGGTGGTACAATGCACGCTACTAGAAAAGTGGCATTTAAGCAAGTTTACGACTTGCTTATCTTAACAAACCCGGTTATTACATGTAGTTCTTAATTTATGGGCGCTAGCAGCTGGAGTGACAATAGTCTATTTCGCTCTTTGTTTATTGTTTGTTGTTGAGGAGATGAAACTGGGGATGTGATGAATGGGTGAGGATGCGTATATTTTCCTAAAATAATCAGCAAGCTATAATTTTTTGCTGGCACGTGGTGCGCCTTTTGTCACTGTCGCAGAAACGTCATGTAGTTTTGAATGCAGCAGCGCACCTACAGTAATATGGTAATGGTAGAAGCAGCAATAGGAGCAGTATTAGTAAGATGGATATGTATGCGTGTGTGCATCTTTAAAAATATCCACCCCTAACTTGCTATATCCCAATTGACGAACACAGCGTATAACATGTTCGCTTCCCACTAATCTTTTTCCCTTCCATTTCGCCGTTCATAACATATGATGACGAACTCACCGATTTCATACATGCACCAGGCAAGTGTGGAAGCAACGGCATAAAACATGATACGTTGTTGCTCAGACATCTTGTCCAGGAAGGGATAAGGGTAGTGGCTGTTCATAGAGTGGCAGATGCATGACCAGACATAGTACGATATGCCGGATCCGTAAATGGCCGTAACATGGCGTGCAGAACGTCTAAACTCGGTATTGAAAATGAGGAAATCAATCCACAAAAATACGGCCGGATATAGATGCAATGTACAGTCTACAATTAATGGAATTGGTGGCATGTCCTTGGGAGTAATGAATGTCGGGTCTATTAAGCTCATTCCCCAATATAAGCAACAGACAAGGCCTTCCAGCTAAACAAAAAAAAACACGAGGACCATATGTTTCGTCAGCCCTACACGTAGGCGATACGTCTCACTTCTTTTTATCCCGCTCCGCCATTCACCCCCTCTCCTTCTTTCCCCTATTTTTTTTTTATTTTTATCCCACCGAAACTTACGGGCAGTGCAAGATTGAACACGAATTCATAAGCAGCTATAGTTTAATTGTGTTGTAAACGGCATCGGGCCGATTATTGCGATAAGTAAGGTATATTCTAAAGATGGAAGGATAAAAGGGAAAAAGGCTGGAGGACCAAAATAATGGTAAGAGCAATCTTTCTTATAACTTTTACCTTCAAAAACTCCTGGCATAAAACACATGAAGAGTCTAAACAGAAAAGCAATCGTTGCTGTACTTAACCCAAGGATTGTAAGGTACTAAAGTTATGCCTTTTTATCAACATTCATGTACAAAGCTGCCAAGCGTTCTTATGTGGTACCTGGAAATGGCCGCCAAATCCAATTGCATATGGATTTTCATATACCCAGTGTACGCAGTAAAGTGCCGAGAGATTCGATGCTAGGCCGATGGTATTAATCAAGACGCTCGCAGTGTGGTTTTTCATTATCCTTATTGTGTGATGGAATGGAATAGTAAGGGTTATAAGCAAATACGCAGAATACTTTATAGAAAAAATGGGAAACAGAAGAGAAGAAAAGGGAAATGAAAAGAAGCGACGACAAATTATGTTTCCGAAATTAATGCTGCTGATGTTGTTGAGCTCCAAAATAGTCACGGTATTACGGGGACAGTTTATCCCTCCTCCAGTTCCGCATCCATCAACCAATAAGATATCTCTAGAAAAAGACTTGATTGTCATGCATACGTCAACTTTTCCCCTTTACTTGAAAGTTCTATAGAGGTTACACCGCTATTACCACTACTGCTTACGTTATCAACAACAACAAACAATTACTGCTGCCAATCCATGCGCAGCTGCTACGTATAAGGAAGCAAACAAAACGACAAATAAATGACGCCATGGGGTTAAGCCATAATATCTCTGCAAAATCATGCATGACACGCAACTACTTTGTAAAAAGATCTACATCTTTTATGTTCCCTAGCACCACCTGGTCATCCTCCTTCGGCAGTACTTAGTGCACCAATAATGATGCTAGTTGGGATGCAAACCTTTATTAGCACAAACAGCCATGTAACTGCATTACAGAACCTGTACAACGTGTTTTGTAATGGCTTATGGATAACCTCTACACGTAACGTTGGTTTTCTTCTTCGCATAGTAGTAGCACCCTCCTCTTCAATCGACACGAGAATGCCCCGTCTTTTGTAATACTACTAGAAGTACAATCAAGGTACACTTTTACTGGTGCCGTTGTTGCTTGTTGCTTGTCGCTCCGTCATCAATACAGAAATAGCACAGGCGCCCACCATAATAATGAAATGGCTTTGAGCCGGTACTGTAGTGGCTCAAGTATATTATGCACCCAACGACGGGAATCAGGTGGTAGTATATGCTTGCATGATAACCAGGACGAAGTCACACATGCATCGAAGTCGTCAGCATATAAAAGTCATAATTGGCTCACATTACATTCATATGAATCTATTCAGCGCTTTATGTCAGGAATACACCAATACTGTATTGCTTCTCTAATCGTAACCAATATCACCAACAATGGCCTCTAAATTGCTCATTCCATTAACACACTACTATTTTATTTGGACCATAAAAAATATCTGTGGATGTTTCGAGTCCCACAATCAGCTAATGCAGCACATCAACAGTACTTACTACTGTATGTAATCCACTTCTATCCTTATTAAGCTCTTAGCAGATTTTAAGTTCAGTTCGAAGTGGCACAACGCACTAGAGAAGTAATGCTTGATTCTTTATATGAAGTGACTTCCATGTAGTCTTTTCGTAAGATTATCTACATTATAATTTATATTCGTTAACACGACACTCAACAACATCAAAAAGGTTGAAACCAGCAGATATGTTCATGTACAAAAAGACACATTATGATTCATTTTTAGTAAAATACACCCTCTTAAGATAAACCTTCCAACCTCTTCTGACGCCATTGCATTAATGAGCGTTGAGCGGTATTGACTGTGCTGTAGTACTATCCATCCAGACATACAATCGAAACGGTATGCACAATGGCGTAGATTGACAGCACCCATCTCTTACAGTTATATCACACATATTGCAAATTCACTGAATTTTTTCTTTGTACTATGCTGCAAGAATGCAACTACATAATCGTTTCGTTCACACCAACGAAAAGGGCCATAACCAATCTTCCGCCACTTAACGATAATACATATGCACATATACAATAGTATCGGTTAAAGTAAAGCAAATTACAGTGCACACATCTTGAAATTACTTTTCTGTACATAGATCTATTAATTGGGCTGTATGTATGTATATCATGTGGAATCCAACAACCCAGAGAAGTGTTTTATTGCCTACTACTTAAAAGAAGGGGTGTGAGCAATTTCGGTTAAACATCTTCTGCATAATAGATACTCGCTACACAACTAGAAAGTAAGCTATTTTTATGCATTGAATAGATAGAATCTTAAGATGCTGTAGGCTTCAAAGCTTATTGTATCGTTACACGCTAGCTTATGATATAAAATGCTGCTAAAACGGCTTCTCTTCAAAACGGCCCGAAAACGTATCTTCAGCGACCCGTTTGAGCGGCCCACCCGCCGAGGTTAAATGCCCGATATGAAATTTGGTGTCCTTTCAGGGGAGTGGTGAGGGGGCTTAGTATATAATACACTTGGTTCAAAAACCACACAACACACAATGGCGTTACCCAATCTATGGAAAATCTACTCTTCTTTTCGAACACGAGAAGAGGAACGGCAGTTTTCACGAAACGCATTTTTCAAATTTAGCGGATACATTCTGTCATGTATTGCCATGACTGTACTGGCATCGCGGTATACCAGCGGAAAGACAAAGTTGATTGCATGAGCAGCTCAAAGTCCAGGGAGCATATGGACATATGAACAGTCAGCCACTTCGCACGGTCACAATCCTTCCTACACACACGCGTATCAATCGAAGGGAAAGGACTCGCTTTTCTGCTTGGAACAACCAAACATATGGTCTTGTAAAGAAACTTCTTCTCTCCACACTTTGCATACTTCCTCCCTTCTCCCCTTCATCCTTCCCTTAAAGATAGAGTGTATATCCCATTAGGTTTAGCAATTCAGCTATTACTGTCCCAGCTATCACCAACTAAGAGAAATTTACACAGAGTGTAACAATTTTTTATTGTGTAAATTGTCAATCATATGACCGCGAGCAAATAAAAATCGTACTCTTTCATCACTTGGATAAAACAACATAATGCCAACTCGATGATGGTGAATGATTGCTCCGCACGAGAAGCGCGACCATCTCTAGATACTCTATTAGTACGTTGACTGACATGTTAACGGCACCCATGTGCATACAAGTCGGCGCTGCTGATCCTTAACCTGTTCCGGCAACCGCGGCTTTCTTTGCCTATCGCGATAGCTTTATTTTAAACGCGTTCATCATCCTGTTCCGAGATGAAGGTTTAGCGGGTTATGAAATGAAAAGCGAATCGCTTTGAGTATAATTAATTACTCGCGAGTGGATTATTAAAAAAGTGCCATGGAATCGAATGTCGCGACTCTGTGCGCTATATTTAGGCCATGGCAAAAGCACCATTTAAAAAAAGATGTATGGTGAAATATATGTGCAGCAAGGGCAGAGTGTGGAGAAGTGGATGGATATGACGAGAAGCGGCATGAATGGTTTACTAAAAGAACAAGCGAGAAAGTACCACTGCATTGTCGATCATTATTTGGCATGTAATATGGAATGCAGCGCTTGGGGTTTGCGTGTGTTTAGTGAGATTGATCGAGTGTGTACGTTTGTACCAGCTGAGCACAGAAAAGTAGCATCCTAGAAATTGAAGCGTGGTCGTTGTACTTGATTGGGTTGAGCCATACTACTATAAACTACGCGCTATATACTGTATACGCTAAACCTTTCTTCTTTTAACCCTTTTTTTTTCGGTCGCTGCTAGAAAGGTGACAAAACCTTGGTCGGTGTCATTGTGCAACCGCAAGCCTTTGGGTTTATTCCCAGCAGTGCTGCAAGAACGAGGTAGAGAGCGAGCAAAAAGAACAACCAATTTTTAATATATCTCGCGATTTGTAAAACCCTAATGCGGGGTTACAATTGTTTGGTGATAAAACTGGTAATTCAACGCACAAACATCTTCGAATCAAGATTCTCACTATCCAATTCCCTTCCTTTCTTCTTCCCTCCTTTTTTTCTAACTTCTTTTCTCCCCTCTTGCTCCTCCTCGTCCTCGTATCTCTAACCTACATCATCCAACCTTTTAGCCTCTTCGCCTGAAATACAACAAACGACCGCTTATTCGATCATGGTTGAACTTCAATTTACACCACCTGAAAACATACCTGCCATTGTCCAGGATCTTCGTCAGTCCTTCAATATCGGTCAGTTCTCATAACACGTTATATCAAAGTTTGAGCATGGCAAAAGACACAGGAGCTTATCAATGTAGCATCGTCTACATATATCTAGGCCTCACTAAGGATCTCAGTTTCCGTAAGCAACAGCTCGCCAACTTGATCAGCTTCTGTGAGGAGCAGACCGATGCCATCGTGCAAGCTTTGCAAAAGGATTTACACAAGCACCGCATGGAGACCAACGTCGGTGAGATTTCTGCTGTCGTCGACGAGTGCAAGTACATGATCAAGGTTCGATACTATCTCTCGTTTTAAACACATGTGTGTGTATCCTATCGCGTGTAACAATACATGAACTGACATGAACGTAATCACACGATAACACAAATTTTAAAAAAAAAAAGAATTTGGATCGTCTTGCAAAGTCCATCTATACCAAGAAACGTTTTCAAATGAACGCGATGGATAAGACCTACATTCGCAAGGAGCCCAAGGGTGTCGTTGCTGTCTTGGGTAAATACACATTCTTTGCTAGAAACATGATTTTATTCTAACACCACTGTATTATTACCTAGGCGCGTGGAACTACCCAGTAAATATTGTTTTATTTTACTCGATCAGTGCAGATCGCCATAATACGAATTCTACATGTTCAAAGAATAACAAGGCGGAATTTGTCAAAAATAGATTAACTTGCTCTTACTTCCTGTCGTTGGTGCTATTGCTGCCGGATGCTGTATTGTCATCAAGGTAAATAACGTTTACACTCAACATTTAAGAAACACCAGCAGCAACTCGACTGGAACAAGTCCGCCCGCACAATACTCACCCTTAATGCATATGTGCATGATAACGATGATGATACATTAGCCTTCTGAAGTCTCTGCAAACACTGCTGACCTCATCAGTCGCGTATTGCCTCAGTATCTCGATAAGCGTACGTACACTGTTGTCAATGGTGGTGTGCCTGAAACCACTGCGCTGCTAGGTAATTGATAAAAGCATTACATTTTCACTTGTTTCTTATTGCGTATTTGATCATAAAACTGACATAATTTTTTTTGTAGAACAACGATTCGGTCATATCTTCTACACCGGTAATGGTGCTGTCGGCAAAATCGTTATGACAGCTGCTGCAAAGCATCTAACACCCGTGACTCTAGAGCTGGGTGGCAAATCGTAAGCACACATCCTTTGAAAAATTGAAGGAGGAAGAAGCATATGAGAAAGGGAGTACTGACTGTTGGATCGATTTAGCCCCGCTATTGTCACACCTGACGCGGACTTTAACATTACGGCCCACAGACTCCTCTGGGGAAAGTTCTTTAATGCTGGCCAGGTACAGTAATATGACAGCATCCTACAAAAAAAAAAAAAAAAAAGTAATATGACAGCATCAATTCAAGAAGAACGATCAAAACCTTGATTCGCTGTCCCTCACTCCCTTTTATTTTTGACTTCCGCTCACCTGCTCGTCCAATATCTTCTCTAGACGTGTGTTGCACCTGACTATGTACTTGTGTCCAAAGAGCAGACTGAACGCCTTGTCGTAGCGTTCCGTAATGTTATCCGTGAATACTATTCGACGAATCCACAAAAGAGTGAATCCTACGGTCGTGTTGTCAACACCCGTCAATTCGATCGATTGAAGGCTATCCTTGAAAAATTGGATCCCAAGTCTATTGTCATTGGTGGTGAAACTGATCGGGATGAATTATACATTGCACCTACGGTCATCAGCCCTGTTTCAGTCAACGATGCTCATATCATGCAAGACGAAATCTTTGGTAAGCTTAATTTTTTACTTCCCCTATCTCCACCCCTTTCTGTCTCTTAGTGAATTCTTTCTTCTGGAGATACTAACATTATATTGGTTACGTATTAGGTCCTCTTCTGCCTATTGTTCCGGTCAAGGATATGCAAGAAGCAATCGATGTTGTGAACTCAAAGTAAGCCTTATCCATCTCAATATATCAAGCCCTTTTCTTCAATTAAAACCTACGTGTAATTAATATTATATCTATTTCCTCCTTCTTTTGATGCAGGGAACAACCCCTTGCATTGTACGTTTTCGCCAGCAGCGCTCAGAGCTACAATAACAGTAAGTATCCATCTTTTATTACATTCCCGCTCTTCTGATCGGCCATGTAAGTACCTCGACAAAAGTGTTCTGACGATATACCGTTATTTAAATCCATGTAGTTTTGAACCAGACCAATTCTGGTGGTGCCTTGGTCAATGACACATTGATGCATCTGCAAGAGCTTTCTTTACCATTCGGTGGCGTTGGTCCCTCCGGCATGGGTAAGACTTCCCCAAGCTCGAGCCTTTTGATTATCCGATTGCTCACGCAAAACCAAACTTTTTCTTGATGACCATTTTAGGAAGCTACCATGGTGACAAGTCGTTCGATACATTCACCCATGAGCGTTCCACAATGATCAAGTCAACTGCGTTTGAAAGCGTGATTGCTGCTAGATACCCGCCTTATACAGAAGACAAGGAAACCGTGCTCAATTTCCTTGTGTTTGGGTTCCCCAGCTCTGTTGGCGGTAAAATCAAGACCTTTTTCCGTGCTTGCTCTGCTTCGTTCCGTGTTCTTTTCCACAAGCAAAGCAACGCCTAAAGAACGCATTGAGGATAAGCTTATTGTGGCCCAATAGGTTATTAATCTTTTGGGGATTTTAACAAAGTGCTGGCTACAAATTGTACACCACTTTCTAATTTATTTTTACTGCTATACGCTCCTTTATTCCTAATTTTCTCTCTTGTCTTTTGCCTATCGCCTCTACAGAGAAAACCCCCTTCACTTTTAATTTCTCCACCCGCCTCCCCCTTCGCCGACATCTGCAAAGATATCACTCTTCTTTTTTCTCGTCCTTTTGCTACTATGGTCTTTCCCCCCTCCCTTACTAATTACTCATACACACTCTTATATGGATAAAATTTATTAACTGTTGCCATTTTATATATTAATAACTCTTCAGTAAAGAGGAAAAGTACTTTTATTAATACTACATTTTACATAACTCACACTATCGTCAATATAAACCGGCTACCTGGATTGGGGCATGTTTTCAATCTATTGTATCACGTATCACAGAAAAAACGACCACGTGCAAACCAACTAGGAGATTGCTGAGAAGATTTTATTGTTGTTGTTGTAGCTTTTATTGGATTTTTTCTATAACTTCGCGTCCCCCCATTTTTATTTCGCGGGGACCTCAATTTCATATTTTCAATTTCGCGTCCCATTAATTTTATTTTATCTTCGCGTCTACATTTGCGCTTCACTACTATTGTTCGTAGCATCGAAGCGTCCCAAACATTGCTTTATAAGGGTCGAAACTGACCTTGCCAGTTTCGTCGGAACCGAAACCTGACGACAATTCTGTGTTACTTTTGTAGTCTTTAATAATGCCATCGGATGTATTATTACATGTAGATTGATATTTAGCAATAGGATCATCTTCATCATGTATTCTATACATCTGTTACTTATAAATTACTAACAATATTACCTCCCTATTGCTGTTTTTCCTTCTGTTTTTCGAAATCTAAGCAAAATGTCATGCTTTTTGCTTCGGATATAAATATATATATATAACCGGTTATGGTCTACGGGGGTTTTCAGCGGCTCCTATGATTTCGCGAGAACTCACCGTCTCGTGTCCGCGTGTGTGCACGCAGGAATAGCAAGAAATACACAAGTCGCGGGTATAGCTTCGATAGACACTGCATTCTTTCGTTACTAGTGAAAGTAAAAGGGATATCTACCATTCCTTGTTTACTTGAATAGACGAAAAACCGGTCTGAAAAGACAAATAATGACAGCAACAACTACTGCACACGGTTTAATTTTCGCTGCATCTCCTCTCGTCCTTTTCCTTCGTATACAGCCGCTCACCCTTTCAATATGCTCATATCAGAGAACATAAAGTGAATCCGGTGGAGCGTCTAGCAATTCTTGGAATTCAGCAGCGTATAAGCGACCTTAGATGCATGACTAGGATGCTAAAAACGAGGGAAAAAAGTGCATATCACTCACCAGATGTAGTATATGCCTAATCACGGAACCCAGGTTAGAAAGAGAAGGATCGGTCAACTAGAGTTATTATCGAACGAAATGTCAAATGAGACAGCACGGCCATCACTAAAGATATCTTTAAAAGAATATCTACACATTGATAGACATGAGACGGTGAACACTTTGTCGTGAATTTTCCTGCATTCGATCCAGCGTGTTCTTAGCAGAGACAAGATCAAAGCAAGGGTATGGCACTTACACGTGGATTAGAAATTGCACATGTTTGTCTGAAGGTTGCGAAAATGCAGAAAAGGCGTTTTTTTCAAGCACCCTCCTTTTAACCGTAAGTATCAATTTCAGCGTATGCGTGTCAAGTAATGTAATAAAAAGACAATACATTATAGGTTTTATTAGCTAGCATATATGATATTAATAGTCAGTGCTGAACATGGCGCTCATCGGATCAACGTTACTCCCAATAGGACTTGGCGGTAATGGGCTGCCAGTATTCATCGGATCAACGTTAGGGCTTGGTGGTAACGGGGTTCGTGCAGCCATTTCCAACAACATATCCGGAGTTAGCGCCTGTTGACTTTGCAATTGTTGCTGTTGCTGCGGCATAAAACTAGGTTGCTGATGCTGCTGCTGAGCAAACGGGGTATCCCAGTGGTCAGGTTCATTCCAAATATCATACTGTTGCTGTTGTGCTGACGTGCGTTGCTGCTGCTGTTGATATGTTGACGGTGGAGGCGGTGGCTGTTGTTGTGATGGAGATAGCTGTTGCTGTGCCTGCGATTGTGATTGCTGTTGTTGCCGCAGGTGTTGATACTGCTCTTGCTTGATGTTTGGCTGTGGCGAAGTAATAAATACATCCGGTGGGCCATCCTGAAATCTAGCGGCTGGCACTAACTCTTCCATCGGGACGCCCTGTTTTTCGGCCAATTGTCTCAGCATAAAATGCTGCTGGAGCTGCATCTTGCGGGTTTCTTCAAACCCTTGTAAAAGTCCAGAAAAGCTCTCTTGCAGGGATTGGAACTGTCGCTGGAGATCCGCTTGGGACACTTGGAGCATAGAAAAGAATGTTTGCATGTCGCCTGCCTCCCGTCGTAGGACTTCGGAGTCCATAGCCTTGCGTCGAATATCCTTAAGCATATCGGGTCGGTTGCGTTGGAACTGTGGGTGTGAAAACTCCCATATTTCATTTTCATTGCCACGTTGTCCTCGTGGAGACTTGTTAATCTTGTGAAAACCATACCTAATCATAATTGTAGAGCTCACGTTGAGATGCTACTGTGTTTGTATGTATGTGTAGTAGTAGATGTTGGGTGTGGCTCTTACATGTTTAGTAGACGTACGAAGCTTGAAAAATTGCCGTGCTTGAAATATTCCGGTAAGACTATTTGGGCAAAACGCTTTACGTTGCAAATTAAGAACGACGTTCCAGTTTGATTCCACGATACTAAATCCTGGTGGCGCGCATCACCGACCAGGCTAAAAAAAAGTGCATGGTTGGTATATGCTTGTATGAAGGTAATATGTTTGGCATACCTGTAGAGTTTGCTAATAAAGGAGCTGACATTCTTTGTAGAACGCTCTGTGGACTTTTCTGAGCCAACCCGTGACATGGTGGCATATTCTGCGGAAGAGCCACTGGATGAGCAGCTCCCTTGTCGAAAGCTTTCGTATTCGGGTGAGCCAACGTCTAGATACTCAATGCCCGACATTGGAACAGAAGCACTGTTTAATATATATCACCAAGTGTATAGCTTATAAAGAGCAAAGGAAAGAAGAGGTGAAAACACATGCACAGGGAGGGTCGTTTTACGTATTAAGCAAAAATGTTTCACCCTCTCTTTTTTTCTCTGATATGGGTTTACGTGATGGTAGGCTTTATTACTATTAGACGAATGCAAAAAATCGATGAAGTGCATGATGATTGGGAGAAGCGGGGGAATTGCCAGGTAGGGGTTGTTGTTGTATGGTGTGTCGCTATATTTACATTGCTTTCCTCTTTTTACCGCGCTTCTGGGACGCTTCCAACGCTTTGTCCACCGCATCGATGACTGGTTGAAGCATCTACAAACATTCGCGGAACCGGAAAAGCAAACAACAAAATGGCGTGATAAATAACCACATCGTTGTCAAGGTTCTTGTTTTGGAAGAGAAACACAGATCTGAAACCACTTTTCCCTTTAATGGTAGTTATTTCTTTTACCTTTCTGCAACGCTCTACGTCGCCTTCGTATCGGTTCACCGTTGTTAACACTTCTTTGAGCTTCTCCTTTTGCTTTTTCAAGCTTTCCGCCATGCGTATGTTCTTGTCAGCCCTGTACGGCTCAAACGATGACCAGAAATGGCGCAAGATCTCGTTGGTGGCTGAATGGTAGCTCTGGACTTTTTGTTGGATCATCGGCGGCAGTTTGGCATCTTTAAACCACAGCAGCAGGAAGTATTCCTTTTTGGATCAGTAAGCCGTCTTCTTTGGGGAAGAAAGAGATAGGGTCCAGGCTTCCCCAACTTACCTGAAGCCGATATCTTCCGATCATGCTGGACCTTGCGCTTGATATATTCTGTGAGAGTAGAATAGGCGTTGTTCGCCGCCCTTGGTTCCATAACAGACTGAAATGGAGTCGATAAGCTTGAACTGTGATATACACACAACCATCATCACGACAGATTTTGTTCTTACCTTGTTAAGGTCTGGTTGCCATCCTTGAAAGTCTTCCTTGAAATCATCTAATAGATGTTTTGCATCCTGAAAGGAGGAATGAGCTACTATAACCAAATTTTCGCTTTCCAAATAACGATGGAGTGGGTGTGTATGTTTGGATCCGAGCGAGTAAACCTAGTAACTAAGAGAATATTACCTCCTCGCTAATGCTGATATCCTGCCGCTTCCCACTTTGACTTTCAAAGTATCGCCGTGAGTCCTCAATATCTAAAACAATCTTCTCTGGTGGATTCTCGTCTTGCAAATCCGTTATGATGATTTCCCTTTCAATATCGTCCTGGCAATGATGATGAAATTAAGCGCCCTTCCTTTCATCTCCATGATTAACTCTTCCTATCCATGTATCCCCTTCTTACATTATCTGAAGCTTTAATATCTCTTTTTTTACTATTTGTGTGATGACATATCAAATTTAGCTATTTTGTTTTGCTTTAGACGAATACACAAGAAAAGACTCTTACCTTGATGGTGATGTTTCCAATACCCGCATAGCGTGTCGATTAAACCGCCGAATCAGTGGCAAAACTTGAGCAGATCCACCCGGTTTCATGGTAAAATCCGGTGCATTACCGCTATCAATATGATCTTCTTCTGTAGCCGTCAAATCTATTGCCCTTTTGATTTGATCTATTCGTGATATCTGAGGTGCTTTTGAATTCTCTATATGTATGGTATACATGTTCAGCGTTAAATCACCATACCCCAACCCCATAAATACACATACTATCACATCAAATGTACATCAACAGCAAAAGAAAATGTCCAATTTTTTTACCTTCATCCTCTTCTTGAAGGCATCGATCAAAGATGTCGTCATACGGTGCCATTTGAGATCGTGCCCCTGTCCGAGAGCGATGAAAAAACTCTGATGCCAGGAATCGCTTCCAGAATTGTTGTTCTGTCACCTATTGCCATGATCCCCCCCCCAGATTCACCGGTTCTGTTAGCTTCCAGCATTTTCCATCACTGCTTCATCGAACCAACAAACAAGAGCACAAACTACTATGACAAACCTTGTCAGGAACGTTTGTATCATATGCGCGTTTCACTAACCAATCCAAAGAATATGTCGCATTTTAGAAGAGAAAAGCATGAAAGAATAGCACGGTATAATAGACAAAAAAATCTCCACTTACCAGATGGGAATTCTGTAAATATATTGTGAATAATCTGACTTGTCAATGTATATTTTACATCAGAGCCCTCTTGTTGCCCAGGCATCAATTCAACCATTTTCGACGATTTGCCCTTTTGTCGTCCCTCCTTTGACACTGACTCCTTGTTCAATTTCTAGAGCAATGATTTGGCAGAAACGTCAGTTGAATGTTTGTGTAATATTGATGCTGCTGGATAATGGTAGAAATAAACATTTCCAACAACTCACTTGTCGTATCCGCTTCACATAGGGACTGGCCCAAAACTCTTCCTCGTTAACGCTTCTGTCGTGCACAACCAGTTCCATATGTAGAGTATGAAGTTCACGACTGGACGACAGTAAGTGCTTTCTAGCGTTGAATTCTTCTTGTCGCCAGGAATGTGGACTGCCAGGTGTAGCTGCTGCTGAACCTGCCGGTGTAGGTGCAGGACTACCGACAGCGGAAGACGAAGCTGTTGCTGCTGCTGGCGATCCCGTTGCAGTTGCAGGTGTAGGCGTTGGCGAAGCGGTTGCTGCTGTCATTGGTGTCAATGCAGGTGTAGATCCTCGCGACGATCCTCGAACACGACTAAGCAGCTCTGCAACTTGCGACTTGACGGCTTCGCGTTCTGTTAGTGCTTTGGGGGATATGAAGTGGAACGTATAATCTTTGGGTTTCGGCGCTGTCACAGAGATCTTGAGTAAAACTTTGGGCGACGTATCCGGTGTTTGTGATAAAGCTTTAAAGACAGTACGACGTTAATTGTTGTATTTTACTCAATAAGACTTCCCCGATCTAGCTCCAAAAAAATTGTAGATTTAGATCTATAAACGATTACGTACTTCCCATGTCACTGTAAAGCAAGGAAGGATTTAATTGTGGTGTGCCTTGTTGTTGCCACGCCACACGTCTCGGCGTAACAAACAATGTTCCTTCATTCTTTTTGTAACGCGTGGGAGCACGAAGAAGCAATTGTTCGTTAGGCTCCCACATTGGCACACAGTTTGGTGGAAGCGAAGCAGGAAGCGGCTGCTTTGAAGGCGGAGTCCACGATTAACTAGTTGTGTGCTGCGGGTTCTGAAATGCTTAGAGAAGCTCTACTGGTGGTAGTTAAAGAAGCGGGCAGTCGCTGCAGTGCTCGCGTTCCGCTTGTTGAGTGCCACAACGACGATCTTGGACTGGATGCGAGGAAAACCAATGCAACAGCCATTACAGCAGCCGGCACTTGTCTTGAGATAGGTTGCCAGATAGAGGACAGGATTGATCACACTCGGTTGACCGTCTTGAATTTGGTGCACCGTGCACGGTAAGCATAAGCGCATTTTATACATAAATATGGCCAACTTCAGTGACCATCATTTACTTCTGGTATTTCAAACTTTTAGCTCTTTGTGAAAGATATTGAACCAAAAAAACTGAGAATGTTTCGAAGTTTTTCTCTCGTATATTATAAATTCGAAGATATCGCTGCCAATACCCTTTTCAGTTTTAAGTGCATCGGCCACCACAGAAGTAATCTCTTCTTATGTGAGCTTCTTCCCACAACGTCAACCATTTCCGGCACCTGCCATTTACTTTTATCTGGGATCTTGTTGCTGAGACCTCTAAACCCTGTCTGTGCGCCTTGTGGCCTGATGGGTGCACGTATCATACTATTTGGAAACAGGCGGCGACGCCGTCGGGGCACGCCCTGCATGATACCGGTGAAACATATTTCGTAATACACGCAGACCACATACGCCTTCTTCTTGACAGCTTGACCGTGTCTCTTCAACACCTCTTCTTCACATGGTTTGTTCCCTGCCATTTTAGTTTCCCACATGCCAATTTAATGACGAATCACAAGTCACGTGACGTGGTTTTTTTTGGGCCGGGGGTGAATCCAAAAAACATGAATACGCCTTTTTTCTCTTCACTCTTTCTTTCCTTCACTTTTCTTTTTCTTTCACTCCCTTGGGATCCTCCTGGTCTTTCTCTTGGCTCTTCCCCTCGCTCTGGCTCTTTCCTTGGCTCTTCCCTTGGTCCTGGTCTTGCCTCTGTCGGTCCTGGTCTCAGCCTTTTTCCCGTGGTCCCCCTGGCTGCCTACAACCGGTCCCTGCTTTGGGCTGTCCAGTCTGGCGTTCAACAATGTTGGTCACAACCGGTCTTTAGGCGAGATCAGAGGACGGAGAAATCCTTTTCTGTTTTTCGCCATCGACATATGGTAGCGTCCTTTCGGTTGGATGCCTTGTCTGCTGGTCTGCCATGGTGGGGTTCGCAATAGGAGCCAGGTGCCTCTGTGGATCGCGTTCGACTCCTAGGACTCGATTCTCGGCAATCGACTGTCTGGCGATCGTCTCTCTGGCATTCGACTCTCGGCAATCAGCTTTCAGCTTCAGTGTTCGGCTCCCAGCATCCGAGTATCCAGTAAGCAGCTCCTGCAGCAAATGGCCGTCCTTTTGGGTGTTTCGAGAGTCAATTCCTTCCCCGACCCCTTCCCTTTCCTCTTCCCGTCCTTCCCCTTCCACTTTTTCCACTCACAAGCAATCCTCAACCGATTGCTTGCACTTGACTCTCAAACGTAGTGTACGCCATGGCTCCCGCTCGTTTGTACCAATGATGGCTTGGGTTTGTGGTTGATTGACCCAAGCCAAATGATTGGGAGACTGGGACTCCCAGGCCGAGGCACTTGGTGGTTTTCCCTTCCTCCCCTTTTACACACTTCTTCTGTTTCTTCTTGCTTTCTTCATGCTTTTTGTATAGCCTGCAGGTTGTGCGGTCTGCTTGTTGAGGGCACTTTCTAAAATCGTTCTTATTATTTGTCTTTATTGTCCACTAATTGTGTTCATCTAATAAAATTTGCACTCTTCGACTATTGATATTCATAACGATAACTTCCGTCTTCAATAAAATGTTTCTTTACTCTCTTATGACAATGAATAAAAAGCCTGCTCTTTTACTTTATGTCCTGCTCAAACTCATTTACAATTTCTTTCCTTGTGAAGTTATTTACGTGTTGCTTCACCTTGCAATAGTCATTTTCTTTTTGACTGTGTTGAATCGTCTTCGCCGCTTCATTTGACAGTTGGGAAAGAACTCATGTTTTGGCGTGCTGTGTCCTTGTTCTTATACAATGCTGACAAGTCATATGGCTTATACTAGATTCGTAATTACTTTTACTTTGCAATGACTTGATCGATTCTAAACATAATATCTCTGCAACTGTTTGACGCAAGCATAATGCACAGACCATGTTATACAATGTCAAATTGCTGTGAAACCCGTTGCATAGCAATATCAGTACTGGGCACATTAGAAACTCTTTTGGACTTGGAACAAGTTGATCGAGCTTTGTGTGCTTAAAATGTCGTTTCTCATGCACTCTACAGCCAAGATCAAATCTATTGATACCGAATACTGTAACGATCATACTCATTAGTAGAATTGTTTTACAAACGTTTCAAAGCGCTTTCTATCACAGCCTAAATTCACGTGGATGTGCCCATCTGTTTGGGAGATCGCCTGAGATTGAGCTGCCTTTGGAGCGCCATATATGTTTTCAGGTGGAGGCAGTTCGACACATGTACAGCAACTACGCTTTTCTTTATTACTCTTTCTCTGTGATCCTGCTTGTCCATACAGTTAGATAAAGATAGCTGCCGTGTCGTACTTTTCACTTGTCACCCACATATGACATGGAACGTAGTCGCTGTGACCAATGGCCCGCGAAAATAATTAATTAAGCTACGGACCGCCTTTCGATGGTTTGCCGTACAAGGCTATGTAGTGAATATACTGATATTGATTTAAATAGCACAACACATTTGCTTTGTATCAAATCAAAGTAAGTTTGTACAGCATCTTATCGTCACCTTTTGTATTGCGCTTTCTCATGAGAAAAATTCATCGGCTACTTCAGGCTAATATCTATTTGGGGATTTATATACATCAAACGTGCAATACACCATTTCCTTGATGAATGATGGGTTAGTGTACAGAAAAGTCTGATAATCTCTTTTCAAAACATGCCACATGTCTTTCCCATTTAATATCATAGATAGAGCGCCACTCCTTCAGTGCTGCACTACACTGCACGTGTCTTCCATTCCGCAGGTTGACAATCTTCCGTTGTCGTCCTCTTTTGTTAATGGCGCCAAGGAACCCGCCCCTCTTTTATTTTTAAAACTGACGTTATTGAACAACCCACCAAATAGTCTGCACTTTCCCAGAAACTAAAATACTGTATCATACACTATTGAAAGCATGACAAAACCTACATTTTTGAAGCTCTAATGACAAATACCCATAGCAAAGAAATAAAAGACGATTATATGTCATGAGCAAAACAAGAAAAACCAATAGTTTATAAACACAAATCATGACTTTTAAAGCTTTTCGAGCCGTTGCAGGGCAGCCTGCGGTCGTCAATTTGATGAGTAAAAGATCCTTTTATCAATATCCGGTAGAATTGGACATCCTGGAAACCAAAAACTAATAAGGAACCGGCGAATGTGCAGATGCTGAGAAGCATTTGTATAACAGCAGCCAACGTATGAGGTGAACGGATTGCTGGTGTTACTGCTGGCTCAGCTACAGGCGCGATTATTTTTGTGTGTGCCCTCGTCAAAAACGACGATCGCGTCAAGTCAGTACCCCAGCGCGCGAGTTTGAACAGAGTTGAACAGAAGATGGCAGCAGACGACGACCCCGAAGCTGTGGGCGTGTGATACGCAACGCCATTCACAGTAACCATAGACTTCACAGCACAGTATTTTGGTATCGCTCATGATAGGTATAGCTGTGGGTCGCTCGTTGTCACGCTTAGGCAGTATGGATATGGAGAGCCAGGATTATTCGCTTGGTGGTTCTCAACTAGACATGCCTGAGTGATCGCTGCAATGACCGCCACTGCTGGAGCTGGCGGACTGGCTGTTGCTACATACAGCAACATTAAAAACCGGCAACCCAAGGTGGAAGAACAGCCTGTGGATACAACAACATTTGAAGATCAACAGTACTATGGCAACCTGGCTATTGGACCTTCTTCTCCGACGCATGTTATTGCGAATAACTATGACAACAATGGGGTTCAGGTCAATGACAACAACAGCAATAGGAGCAATATGATCCATATCAACTCAATCCATATGCTATATAGCTTAATGCCTCAAGCATCCGCTATCAATCCTTTTTGTACAGCAGCTTCATACTGTACAAATGCGCCAAGCTTCTGCAGCAATTCCATCAATCGAGCGAGCTCCTACTACAGTACAGTACTGTCATCACGGATCCACCTATAACAATCTCCATGCACTAATTGTCCATGTCAGTGTTCCGCCAGATGACAATACGGTCCCGGCTGGTTTTGGCTGGTGGTGGCGCCTATGTACCAGCACTTGTACCTACTATCCATGATCAACCACGCCAATCACAAGAGATGATTGCTTTAAGAGGCGGCGGCGGCAAGCGCGGAAGCTGCATAATGGCAGCAAGCATCGGCAAGTGTCGCGCGTGACTCTGGGCATCACAGCAACAACCGTTGCAGGTAGTGCCAATAACGATGGTCCTGCTTCCGATGCTACAGTACTGCCGAATCGAAGCAGCAGAGACCTCAACATATCCAAATAAAGTCTGGTGACTACAATAACAACAGAATTAGAATGCTATGGGACGATGGATTAGCAAGCGCTGGCGGTAGTACAGTAGCACGCTCAGCATCAACAGCATCAATCATTCGATTCCGTAGCAGCATGTACAATCCTTGTGATGGTGTCAATTCAGACTTACGTATATGATACCACCTATTTAGGAGGATACTTGGTCTTTGGAGGACCATGTTCATAACAAAATAGTGATATATACACATTCTGGGATTCCATTTTTTTATTACGTGTTATGTCTTACGTTTAAGCCGGGAGATGCTTATACATACATTAGGCTTCAGCTATCATTTTTTCTATATTAAGCTTCTTTTCGCTACACAGTGATACTGCTCTACTTATTGAAAACAGGCAATAAACATTTATTCCCAAACACTGATGCAGCCTCGCTCCATACTAGGGTATGTGGACCTGCCCTTTAACCTGGGTGCCAAAGGAGGAAACCCGTTGCGACGCTTTTCCGTTGAATGACCAGCAGCGAAGCGGAGGAGCTCATTTATCCTAGCTAAGCGAGGAAGGGCCGCTAATAGGCAAATAAAAATTGACTCACGGTCACCTGCCAAAAAAAATGTTGCACAAACCATAGCTCTCAAACTTTACCGTGAAAGCTTAGCGTAGCGCGCATACCCACCATGGTTTTTATTAGCGTTTATATAAACTATTGCAGATGATGATAGCTTCCGTAAAAGCTATATATCGTGTACATTGCTATCACTAGAAATTACAATTATCCCTCGGTCCTGAAATTCTCTATTGTGGCTAAGAGCAAAGTAAATCTTGTCTGCGTGCGACTCTTGTTAACTTGGAACGATGGAGTATTATGTGTTATCCAAGTGGTGAGAGGACGTGGTACGAAATGTTTTTTACCCATCCTTTAGCTCCTGTTAACTTATAAATGCGACACTAAGTACGTTTGTGTAGTGCACAATTTAGATTTTCCGAAAAAAGTTCTTGGGTTTTGAGAAATTATGTATGGAGCAGAGCGCAACGAGGAAACGGTATTCTACTTACTGCTATGTGTCAGGAAACAGTTGTCAAGAAGGAAAAATGTGCGATGAGAGAGGCTGATTCTTGTTTCCTCCTTTTATGTACATAAGAACTCAAAAGTAGAGAATATTTCCATTTTTTGACATACTCTCGCACGTCCTTTATGATCATCGCAAACCCTCCACTCGCTTTTTGTCGATCACACATACATCAACCAGTAATGGTAGTAATTAACATATTACTGTTCCTAAAATATCCCGCAGCTGCATTACACAGACACACCTCCTTCACACACATAAACAGAAAAAACCCTTAGTATACACTCCCGAGGTTCGCCCTATTCACAAAATTGAGCATCCGAGTAATATGTAGTAGTACAAGATACATCATTTTGATTAAGTTGTACATATAATAATACTAATGTCTTGACTCGGTGGTTAAAATCACGCAACCCTAGTGCTAAAAGAAAGTACACTTGATATTAAATATAGCTAAAGGGTGCACAACAATACACTGAAGTACTACTTTACACGAGCAAGTGTGCCAAGAAGGAGCATCTTGTGCAGAACGGGAAAGGTGTGATGGCGCAGTGGGTGTATATGTTGGATAGGGGATAATAAGAATTACAGGTTCGATTGGGGGTTTCCAAGAGATGGAGTAGGAAATCTGAGTTGATGGAGTGTGTGTGTGTGTCAAGGGCGGCGGGTAAGATTGAGAATTGTAAACAAAATAACAATAATAATAACTTAAATAAACTAGTACAAGGACATGCCGCCAAATACAGCGATAGCCAATGTCGGCAAAAGAGCGAGTTTGGGGCGATAGGTGATAGCTGCACTATCTTGGTTGTCGACAGATTGAGCTGTAACAGATTCGTCAGATGCTTGTGCGTCTGACGATGAAGCTCCTGCTGAGCCATTTGCTGCTGCTCCTGCTGCTGATGATGATGATGATGGCGACGATGATGTTGAGGCTCCTGCTGATGAAGCTCCCGCGGACGATGAATCTACTGAGGATGGCGAGCCCGAAGAAGCGGCAGCGGCGGGTGTGGATGCAGCAGGTGCTGGAGAAGAAGATGCGTTAGATTGTTTGGAATTACTGCTGTCGCTGCTTGCAGCAGGGGATGTGCTATCGCCACCACTGCTGCTTCCAGGAGTAGCATTTGCAGCGGGGGCAGCATTACCATCACTAGCAGCAGCACTGTTGCTAACGGCAGCATCGGCAGAGGCCTCGCCAGCATCGATCGTTGCACCTGAAATGGGACCGCTATAATCACCAGGAATGATGTGAGCACAACCCTTCTCGGAAATGCCACGGTTACAGTTTGTTTCGGTGTTCTGTAGTAGTGTTGGATAGTAATAAGTCAGGTGTCGCTTTTTTCATTTCATCGATACTGTCGGTAGTATGTTCTGGGAATTACAGATGGATGTTGATGATTACTTACACAGCAACGCATACAGTATGTATAACTGGCTGGTTCGACCAGGTTCACGTAGAAGTTGTAACCAGCGCATGCGGATGGATTGGGCGCCTTGATATCGTATTGACTATTGAATACATTTATCGATTTTAGTCGCATTTTTCTATAGTTAAGTAATATGCAAGCCAGTGAGCTTACCCTCCCCAATCGGTCACATCCAAGTTCGCTTTCGAAGGTTCCTAACAAGACGTCATATTTCTAAGTATGTACATAGATATATGCAATATTGTGACTTTTGGACCTACGATTTGTCCCGTCACTTGAACGTAATCGTCCGTAGCAACGAAATGTGCAGACTGAATGAAACCATCAGGGATCGTGCCAGCACCAACGGCCAACGGGGTGTTACCCATACAGAAAACTTGGGCCATGTACTCAGTATCCGAGATTACACGGTCCGTAGAATCGGATGGCGGAAGAAATGTGCAAAAGTTGCTGGCGTCGACCACTTGAGCAACTGGCATCGAAGCTTGAGCTTGGCCCACAAACAGAAAAGAAGTGGCCAACAACGAACCAATAATTGAAGTCAACATGGCTTTAAATCAGTATTTTTTTGTATGTTTGTGTGAGTGTGTGTTTGTGTGTGTGGAGACGGGTTCCGAGGGGACGAAGGGGAGGATGTGAATATAAAATGTTAGGAGAGAAAGAGAGAAAGAACGTAAACTGTGAGAAAGCGGTGTGGGTGGAAGGAAAGGAGCGTCGAGGGGAAGAAGAGAAAAATGTTTGGAAAAGGGAAAAAAAAGGGCGGTACAATAATTCCTAATAAGCTTCTTGTCTTTGTGAAAACAACCAGACAAGCTCCATTTCAAGAGAATTTATACCATTTCAGGGCCTTTTTTCACGCTGAGTTTGGAAGTCAAGGTTTAGCGTTACACTGGATTACTGGATTAACTTTTTCCGGTGTCTAAGGCTCTCCTTGTATTGTTATTCACGCTGGCCCTTGGAAGCACGTCGTTACATGCCATGAGTAAAACCATAGGTGTCACAATTCGCTATTTTTAACTTGCATTTTTCCTTTTCGAGGCACTTTTAACATGCACTTTGTTCTTTGGTGCACACACGCACCGCACAGCACACCATCCTCTTTGCATCTGTTTATTCCACAGAGATCTTGCATTATGAAGCCTTGCATTCCATTGATACCACTTTGCTCAAGCAGGTTTCTTCTGGTTCATATGCTAGTGCTATATGAACCATCACGGGCTTCTCATTATCGTATACGCCCTTCTAAACCTTCCCAATAGCAATAGCCATCTTTGAAACCATCCTGTTTGAAATCGGACATTAGTTTCTATAATAAACCTGACGGAATCCGTTGGATATATTTCAGGAAACGAACGCGCATGGTTGTTCTTCTTTGAGCAACAAAGTGGATAAACTTAGCATTTGAAAGGTTCTATTCTTGGGGCTAGAATTACCATGTCAACTCCTCTTGTTTCTCCTTTTACAACTGCACAGTTTAGGAATTGTAATGCGTGTATGTGTCGTGTCGGTGTTTGATATATGTCGCTATTGTTGAAATTGACTTTTCTCTTGTAATGTACCTTTGAACCTTCTATCCCTTCTCCTTCTTTCTCGTCGGTATGCCCCGATAGCCAGCTCGAATAGTATCACTCAGCAAGCGTATGTCTTATTCGCAAGAAATCAAGGTGTGTGAGGGATATGTTATTTGTCAGCGAAACGTATCCTAAGTGCGGTCTACTCACGACAGATGTCGTTCATATAAGAAAATCATGTCATGCGTTTGATGACCCTAGAAACGTACAGCTTTTGAGGAGTTATATTTGTAAAAATATGTACATTCATGCGCTTTTGACCACATTCAATAATCGCCAATCGTTTGCACCACATGCTTCTCTGAGTGATCGGTTTCCCTGGTTGCTGCGTTGCTGTGGTGATTTCGTTGCTGCCAAGTGCCCTGAGTGTTACACACTGTGTCAGCATGACATCAAATTTGTGGCTTTTGTCCACTCCGAGAGATCTGTTTTTTTCTGCCGGTGTTTAATTCTAATCTCCAGCTGTTCATTCTTCCACGTTTGCATAAAAAAAATCGCCATGGCACTTTTGAATAGGTATAATAATCGGGTCACCACAAGTAGAAGGTGAAATGAAATTAATAACCATTTGACGTTTCGTTTATCTTAGCGAATGCCCCGATTTGAAGCTGATTGCGCGCGGCAAAGTTCGCGACTTGTACGAAGTCGACGACAAATCGTTGCTCTTTGTTGCTACTGACCGCATTAGCGCGTTCGACGTTATCATGAAGAACGTAATGCCGTTTTTTAAACACTTTTTGTCGCTTCTTTCATGAATGCCGAGATTGCGTTATGATATCTCATAGTATACTAATAAATGTTTTATATGCAGTCCATTCCCGGTAAAGGCAAGGTGCTGACTGAAGTATCATTGTTTTGGTTTGATTTGTTATCGGACGTGTTACCAAACCATCTTATCACGGCCGACTTTGACAAGATGCCAGTAAACGTCCAGAAATATCGTGACCAATTGGAAGGCCGTTCGATCTTGGTCAAGAAAATGCGTGTTTTGCCTATTGAAGCGATCGTACGAGGTTATATTACGGGTTCAGGTTGGGACGAATATAAAAAGAAGGGCACGATTTGCGACATCAAGCTTCCCGAGGGATTGATCGAAAGCGAAAAGTTACCAAGCGTTCTTTTTACACCAAGCACCAAGGCCGAGATCGGTGACCACGGTAAGTACCAATAACTTTCTGCAAGATGTTGGTCCTGGCTATATGTTCGTTTTGTTGTGACGCAAATACTTATTGATTCTATGCTTTTTGAACAGATGAGAACATCCACCCTTCAAAAATGGTAGAGATTCTCGGTAGCAAGGAATTGGCAGATAAAGTAACAAAGGCTGCAGTGGGATTGTATACCAAGGCCAGCGAGTATGCTGCAAAGAAGGGCATCATCATCGCAGACACCAAGTTTGAATTTGGCTTGGATGAAAATGATAATCTGGTTTTAGTGGACGAAGTATTAACACCTGGTAAGGGATTTCGGTTGTTTCTGTATCTGTTTTGGTGTAGCTCGATGAGAGCAAAGGGACTTTTCCACGAGGAGAAAGAAGAAAAAGGCTAACCCAAACAACAAAACAGATTCTTCTCGATTCTGGCCTGCAAGCAAATACGAAGCCGGCCGCGGTCAAGAAAGTTTTGACAAACAAATTGTGCGCAATTATCTCGAATCGATTGGCTTTGACAAAAAGACCACCATTGAGCTCCCAGCTGACGTTACCTCAAACACTTTAACCAAGTACAAGGAGGCGTATCATATGCTTACCGGCAAGGAAATTGCCTTGTAAATAGTAAAGTAAGTTTAATTTATTTCCTTTGTTTTTATTTCTTATTTTGTGCGCTCTGACCATTTTCGTTTTCTCTTCCTGCCTTTCACTGTCCCACGGTATTCTATTTTCTCTTTGCCTTTTGAAGCTCGGCTTTGAATAAAAATTTAGACAACGTATAGTACACGTGCACTTGTGATTGTTTTTGTCAGATGATAACATCCTATACGGCGTACTCACGTCGATCATATGCGAGATGGATGTGAGATGAGTAAGTTTGAGTATGGATGAATAGAAGATAGATGACTGACTGACTGACTGACAGCAGTGCCACGCGATGTGATCGCGCACGATAAGCATTCCCCTTTTCCGGGATTAGTTAGGATCTTCCGGCTTCGTTGTTTCTAGTTTTCTCACAGTATCAATGCTTAAGCGTCATTGAGCGCCATCGAGATAGCTCAGCATTTCGGTTTCCCGAATGCGGGGTACTCTTTTGTTATTGTCGCTACCATGTGATAGTTGCTCACAATTCGATACACATAATGATAAAATACAAGATACACATGCATGAATATATTAATGACAAAAGGTGGAAAGGAGAGAGAATACAATACGGCGATGACTGTTCTGTGATAATAATAGTAGCAAAAATAATAGAAAAAAGGATGAAGTTGTATAACGGAAAAAATAAAATGAAAAAGAAAGGTGGAAGATCAATTGTATAAAGTGGGATGCCGTCGCGTTGCTGTTGGTAGTGGAACTACTGCTGATAATCTACCACTGCGACGCTGAATTGGATGAGGGCGATTATTATTTTTGCTGTTAAGAGGATGATAATGACGGTTATTGCTAATGATGCTGCTATTATTACTGGTGCTTTCATTCGAGGAGAATGAAGGGTCGCTGCGACATTTCTTCTGATGCCTCAATAGTGAGTCGTGACGGCTAAAGGATCGCTGGCAGACAGAGCATCCATGAACGAACTGCTTCTCGTGGATCGATTTGTTATGTCGTTTCAAATCTTGTTGTCGATTAAATCCCTTCTTACAGTGGTTACATTGATGTGGCCTTTCGTCAGCTTCTTTAAGTAGATCAGATTGCGATGGTAATGCATTACTGCTGGTGCTACTACTGCTGCTATTACTACTGCCAGCGCGTTCCGCATTAGTGTCTGGAAGTGTTTGTCTCCTTCTGCCACCGATGCTGTTGCTCTCTTGTTGCCACGAAGATTGCCGGTAATGGCGCTGCTGGCGACGGCGACGGTTATTATTGTTGTTTTGCTGATCTTGCAGCATTTGTAGCGGCGGAAAAAACTCGTTGTTGTCCTTGAGCTCTTCTTCTGTAAACAGTGGCTGCGCTCGTTGAACTTGTCCGGTATATCCGTACCCCAAAAGATGAAAATCGGATGATGACGACGACCCCGACGAGTGTTGAGTGATTAGAGGGCTATGCCTTGGCTGTTTGACCGGAGATGACAGCGCAAAAGATTCATTACTGCAGCTTGAAAACTGGCCGTCGTGGAGATAAAGCTGTGGTGGTAGTTGCTCATCATTTGTATGAGATGCAGGTGACGGTAAGTCCTCAGTCGTTGTCGTCGACGGCAACGAGCAGTTTGATGCAGTACGATTATGAGAAAGATGATGAGGATGGTGATTGACCTGACCAGTGCTGGTGCTGCCGCTGGCTGTGGTGTATGTATTAATGCTTTCGCTAGTCAACCATGAGAAGCAATTGCTATTGTCCGGATTCGTCAATATACCGGTAGCTGTGTCTCTGGGATCCTGCCCAAAACTAGTGCTGCTACCAGTAATAGTATCGTAAGTGACGTTAGATGTGAAAGTGTGATGTGGAGGAATTAACGGCTGTTGATGTGGAGGTGTTGAATTATGTCTTGCATGAGCTGCAGGGATTGTTGATAAAGGCGTGGGATATTGCTGTCCTGGCAAAAATGGGCCGTGTTGTTGTTGTTGTTGTTGCTGCTGAGTTCCGTCGGACACATCCGATGACGTTCCGCTGAGTGATTCCAGAAAGCTGTCTGGGCAGTGCTGCTGAAGGCCTGCTAGCATAGAATTTATATTGCCTATCGATGTCAACTGCCGTGTAAACAGGGCGCTGCCACTACTGTTGCGAGATTTTGGCTGGAATATGTCGGTAAAGTACGGTTCAAGCGAGCCTGCGTACGGTGGTGTCGTCTCTGCTACTGCTACTGCTACTGCTTGTGGTTGTGTCGTGTCATGCGGCCTGTACAAGTATGGATTGCCGGAATCTTCGACTGTGTTTGAGTGCCCGAGGTATTCAACCATGATGATTGTGATGCTATGCACGACAAAGGTATAAAGAAGGGTGGGATATTTTTGACAGAAATGAAGGGATACGTCGAGAGAGGGAGATAGAAAGATGAAGCTGTTGAATCAGAAGGTATTTTATGACAAAGAAAGAGGGGAAAAAGAAGAAGAAAAGTCTGGAAAGCAAACAGCGTACACTATTTTTTAAGTAAGACATCGCCTTATCGTGGTACAATGTTGTTGTTCCCTATATAGGAATAACTTAGCATCGGGCTTCGCCGGTGGTGCCTAATCAGCTGTCCTGTGTGCCAGCATACATTCTTCACATATACTAGAGACGCCGGATTGAGAGAAAGGTGCCCAGGAAAAGGTGCGCCGCAGCTTTTATTGGCTCGATGCTGCGAAATTATCCACCTAACGAATGCTATTTATTTGTCATGACAGTAACATTTTTACTGAAGCTGTATATATATCATGTCTTCTTCTTGGTTTCTTCTAGTCACTGACATCAACAAAGAAGCGCATAGCTCTCCTTATTTCTTACAGGACTGGACTAATGCATGCCGTCGAGAACCTCGGATTCCTCTATGCTAGACTAGGGAGCTAGCTTCGGGATTGCGAGAAAGCATGCCGAAATCTTATTCGCTAGTCATGAGCCAGATATGAAACTTGCTACTCCTTGTTGACCACCACCATCTGATGTGCGCATCCAGCTACAAGCATGTGAGACTTATTCAGTAGTGTCTGCTGAGGCAATATACAAAATGCCTTCGGGGCATTTAAACTTGCATATCAGGTAGCCTTATAGAACGGGTGGCACGGACCTACCACATTGACTGTATTTTGATTGTATAGCAAGGATAACAAAGGGAATCGATGCGTCAACATATACTGTCAAATTGTGTATAAGATATAATATTATTAGATAAGAGTGTGCATGCAATACTTTGTATCGAACAATTCAATGAGACTGCAAATTCTCATTTACAGTAAAGGAACCAGTATATTACGAACTGTAGCAAGAATTACCAATGCTGAAACAAACGCTTGTCTTCTATCAGAAGAATCTGTGAAAACTCTCGAGAGAGAAGAATTTAGTGACAGGGCGTTCCCTGGGGGTTGGGACGAAAGGAAAGCGGCGCGGTTCTCGTTCAATACTGATTGTGGCAGATGACTGCTGAGAACTGCTAAATACTAACTGTAAAGCAAGTCCTGTGTTTTCCTTCTTTCCAATGAAAAATACGAAACGAGAAATAGGTTTATGGCTGGGTGCCTTGATGGGGATCGCTGTAGAGCAGACGATTATCTGATGTCAGGAGCTAGAAGACGTGAGGCATGTCCTATATAATAAATACACGGTCACCATCATCATTATGACGAATAAAGCTCGGACCCAAGTCCCGAAATGCCGAGCCTAAAAAACTTCTATTTGTACGACAGTTGTTCGGGTCCTCTTCGATTTCGTCTCCAAACGCTTTTGCTCCGCCACATTGGATCAAGGATCCGCTGAAGACAGTCAAAAATCGTTTGCAAATAATGAAGAGGCCAGCTATCATATGTTTGCAAATTTACTTTTAGCTGTCTGGACCGAGATCAAGTGCGGCCGGTTTCTTCTTCAAGCAAGCAGTTTTCGGGTAGATAAATAAGCATGGCAATCCGCGTTCTTCTTGCAGGTCAAATCAAATTGCTGACTTTATCATGTTGTAGGTAGCAGTATTGGAGTAGATGATCACCATTATCATTTAAAAGGAGACCAAGTCATTTACTCCTGCTCCTCCACGCTTGCTTCCTTATTCAACAACCCCATCACCATCTACCCAAAGGAGTAGAAATCCCTCGGGTAACGGGAACCCGTGATCTGGTAAATAGTACGCTCGAGTTAAATATAATTGTCCGTCCGCAGATCTTGGAGTGCGTGACGAAAACAGAAAGTAGAGGCTAAAAATGTAAAAAGTACCATATATATAAAAAGGTTCCGTTCCTGTAAAAGCAATCTAATATTTCCCCCATCGTGTCGACTAACAAAAAATAAGCTTGATGTGTCATACAAGGCACCGGGGAACCGCACTTCTGGAGCAAGTTTATAATCAAAAGCTGCTGACGAGATGTTTGGTCACACAGCGTCAATTTTAGAGAAAAAGATTTAATTCCCTTACAACCTTATCAAAATCTCCAAGGACAGTCACCATGCTATGTTTATGCCGGTGTTTGGGAACTCAATAATATATAAACCCTACCATCGATAAACATGCTCACAGTCACAGTATTCTTTCTTGCTGATGTCAGGTTTGTTATAAACATTGCCCCTTGTATGTACCGTTCACTTTGTTAAATTCATATGAGGATCGAGTGTATGGGTACACAAACAATATTGTGGTATTGCAGAGTGACGGCTCGACTCTGGATACGACGAAGTGAAGTGTGAATAAAAGGGAAAAGGCCGTAAGTATGCTATCAAAGCTACAACTCTAATGATAAATGGAAAGTGGGAGTTTGAGAATTGGGAATGTTTACGTCCGAAAAACCACTTAAAACATTTCTTTTTTATAAAGAAGTATTGTAAAAGAAAAGGATAAGATATGAACTGAAGTGATATTGGAAGAAAAGAGAAAGGCTATTTATACTAATCGGTGCTCTTGTGTCTCTAGCTAAGGAATTATTGAGTTTGCTAATGCTAGTGCAAAGCGTTTGCTAATGCGACAGAAGCATTTGCTAATACAGTGGAAACATTTACTAAGGTGGCGAAAGCACTTGCCGCGAGGCATTGGTGACTAACCCAATGAGGGTGCGAGAGAGATTGAGTTTGGAGAGACAAAAATTAGGCGTGTTGGTATGAAGTAATGGGTTTTTATTATTGAGGATGTGAATTTGCACTACAATATATTGTTTACAACTACATGCAATAAATCTCTGATGCTGCTGCTACATACTGCAGCACACGCCGTTTATTCTGCTATAATTGATATTGTACTTTACATTTTCTAACAACAATAAGTTTGTCGTATTTACTCGACAAGCTTGGCTCACACAGATTTTTACGGGTCCAATTATGACTTTGATAGAAACTGTTTCAGATATCGAGCTTTGTACGAGGCTAAATGTTAAGGACTGATCCCGCATGGTCTTAAAATGCACGACCACATGTCAGAAGACCACTGGAAGACACTCTGTAAACTAATGTGTAACACTAGATCATAAAATTCGTCAGATGTTGCCGTTGCTGTAGTACTTGTTCTTCTGAACATACTGGGGGCCATGCCATTAGCAAAATCCTCTGTTTTATATCCTTTTGGCCCATTTTATTTCCAAGTGCGCGCTTATATTAGACTGCAATATAGCACAGCAATTACGCAGTGTCTAGATTATAATTTACACTATCACTATTGGCTTGCGTGTACCAGTTTTTTGTGAGAGCTATTAAAAGATGCAAAAAAAGATACGAATAAGAAGGAGTGTTGACAAACATAGGATAAAAGAGATCGAAATATAGAGTTGAACTATCATACGCATTGATTTAAAGTTTCTCTCAAACCTTCATAACTCTGTTTACCTAGTGTCCAGCGTAAAGCTCCTTTTTATCCACTGATCACCATGATTAAAGTGGTAGACCATCAGCCCACATAATGGCACTAATTATTTTTCGCTATCCTTCTTGTACTCATTAATGTGTCATTTTAAAATAAAAGTCTACACGTTGACAGCAGCCAAATCAAATTACGTTCCGTGCGTTGTTAGTGTTTTGAAGAGCACTGTCATTGCATGTTGCTATCTAGAAGCCGTTATCCAAGGATATACCTAGGCAGTATCGGGTGAAGACATTACACAACTATTGTTGACATCATTCAGCGCATATTCGGATCAAAAGACATATCTTTACCATTAACTTTGTACAATAGTATACTATCCACATCACCGCTTCGATTAGTACTAGCTTCATAAAACATAAACATCTACAGTACACTTTTATGGATATAGACATATTTTCTAAAAATATATTACAACGCTTTCACCACTCCGTGTTAGAAAGCTTACATATAAAATTAAAGCAATTGCATGTTGGGATATATTGTATGAAGTCATTGCTGCTTATAAAGTACGCCAGCAGCAAGAACATACTGTAGATGCGTCCTAGTTTTCCAGCTACGAGGAATATTTTTGCAGGGCTCGTGTACGTTTCTTCCTGTGCATGCCTGTTTTGATATTTATGGGCTGATGAATAAAACCAATTTCTGACTTATGTTTCATTACTATATACATTGCATACTCTACTCTACGGTATAAAATGTATAAAAGGCTCTTGGTAACAATGAGCTAGCAATCACAGGGAGAGAAAACGATGGCTTGTTTTATTTAAATAGAATTGTGCTGCCTATAATATAACAGAGACAGCGACGATCAACTTTATGTCAACCACTTCGTCGAATTACTACGTAGGACGATACTAGTATTCTTAGAAACACTTTGGTGAAGACCTCACATGTTTGCTCTTAAGTCCTCCTACTCATTTCTAAAGGGTCACAATTAGATGACAAATTATAATGCTGATCCAACGCAACAAAAACGATGCAGACTAGTGGTATTTTGCAATCTCATCGTTCACAAAAGTTCCATTCCGCTTATAAGTACTTTTTGGGCCACATGTTCGTGAATAGCATACAGTATCATCAAACAAACACACAAACAAAACAATACTGTTTGTTCGGTGTCACATCAATATATTATGACGTGAATATGTAGAAAGATAAAGAGATCTTTTGCTGATAAAATACAAGTGTACTTTAAGAAAGAAAATATGCTTGTATTTTGCAGCCACTATTAGTAGAAGTTGGTGGTGCACTTTATCACTTTATGGATACATGTTTCTACTGCTATTTGCTAACAGACGTATATGTGTACTTTGCAAATGTAATTGGAAAGAGGAGAGATTGAAACATTACTGTATATTATAGGAAATGTTACCCTCTGACACATACAATGTAATATAACTACTTTTTATTAATACAAATGGCAGGGATGATGACTACATTGCGCCAAAGATAGGGATCTCACTAGCATATTTGAAAATCTCAAGGTTGTCACAATTACAAAAAGAGGCACGAAGGATTGTGTCGATGCATTGGTGTGCATATATCTTTCTTGATGTTTGCACTACCATTATTTGAAATAGTTTTTGTCAGCGCCGTCAGTCCCAAGGTCTAGACGAACAATATCATAGACGGAAGAGCAGTACCACTAGCAATTGCAACATCTTAAACAACAGCGTTTCATAGTATGTGCATATGCTCATGATCGATCTCAATGGTACATATGTGAGGGAAACGTGTGCACCAAAACGGTATATGTACCAATGGTATGTAATGCTTTTTTAGTATATATCATATGTACATAGTTTGATACTCTTTACGACGACATCATATCACAGATTCCCATACAGTATGTAGCTATGCATAAAGTCTGCATATGTCACAAAAAGGAAAATAAAGTAAAGTGATGCGTATATATAATTATACTAACGACGACGACGACGACGACTCTAACTCTAAAAAGCATGAACAGGTTCCCCACAAAAACGGCTACTACTTCTTTCACTAAGACACTAGTACTACTACAAGATACTCCTCTGTGTTTTTCTGTGCTACGGATAACAATTTATACATTATAAATAATGGGAGTTGTGTGCCAACGAAGTAGTACTACCTGCTGGAAGTATTGTTGGGAATCTCTATTGATATAATCAAAAGTAGGGGAGGAAACTAATAACATTTTTCTATTTTATTACAATATGAAGGTACATAAATAAAGACAAGGCCAACTTTTTAATGCAAGGGGGCTAGCCTCAATGCAGGAGGCTCCAAAGTATCCCATAGTTTGTACTGGTAGCACCCTATAGTAAGCATATGTTTCCTTCAGTGTGGTAAAATAAAGTCAACAACAGTAAAGCACCATACTTAATGTTGTACAGATCGTGAAGACTAGTAAACAAAACTAGTCACTTTTATTGGATATCGCTTAATTGGTGAACTTGCTGGATGCCATTCGTACTATTATAAGTACCTCGTGCTTTTCGATGGGGGTATTTGAGTGGGGGAGAAGGTCAACCTTCTTTACCCTTTCGAATCGCAATTTGTACAAAAGAGATGTATCAGCGCTCCAAGGGCATACAAAGACGAAACAAAAGTAGGATTGACAACAGAAAGGAGGCCAATGCACATAAAGGATGCTGCATTGATCTCTATTAATATCCATTTGTCTCCCCCCGCGAAATTTGGCAAGGTCTGTGGTTATATGCACCTACATTATGTATGCTGTGGAGGGGCAAGAAGCAGGATCGACCAAAGATCTGTGCAACGCCCATGTAATGCCAAAAAATACTACTGTATGGTGGCAGCGTGCAGATGTGATGTCCATCATTTGCTATTCCGAGCCCGGCGATCAAAAGGGAAAGAGTTTGTTACGATCCCTAGTACGCGTCAACTGTTTGTTTGTGAGAAAGGAACGTGAAAAATATACTGAAGCTGACTCCCTATCACTGCTATGATTAGTGGTCTCACACAAGAGATAAAAGAAAGGTCATATATCCGCCCTTTTGTCAATTGTATCTCAAAAACTGAACTGACACTGTAAGGAGCTTCTTTTCCCAATAAGTAGGTTATATGCTGCTGCACTTGAAAAGAGAGAAAAACAAAAACAGCAGCAGAAGCATGTTGTGCTCACGCACTGCCTTTCTTGGTCATTCTTCCTGCGCACGTCAATGTTACTGATCAAAGTAGGTTAGACACATGTCCATGCATCGCCTACTAGGTTTTCTTCTCCGGATATTACTTACTATATGAATTTTGGGGAATTATTATTTTTGCCTTTCTATAACCATGATGCGCTGCAATAATCCGACAGTGCATAAAAAACTTGTTTTAGCGCAGTGAAGGCTTTCCCATTTCAATGTGCATATGCTCTATTCTTCGGTCAGCTTCTTCAAGCTTGCCGTATTGGCAGAGCAACACCAGAAGCAGCATCAACTTGGGGTGGGTCACTATTGCTCCTTTTTTTTCCGGGCTCATCCCTCCTTTTATTTCTCTTGCTCTTTAATGGACGCCAATTATTCGATCAGTGAAGGCTCCAAAGCTCCAAGGCATATCAGAGAGTTCGTGGCATTTTCACTCCTAAACAGCTGTGCCTTTTTTTCTCTCCATCCTTCCGTACCTGCTTTCTGCTAGTGTTGCTGAAGTCCAACAAAGGATAGAAACGGGCAACGACAACAGCAGCAGCAGCAACAACAACAACAACAACAACATTGCTCTCCGCATTTGTGTCTATTAGCAATTTACAGCCATGTACTACATGTGTCAACAGGAATAGAGTCCAAAAAGAACAAGCCTGGTTTCTCTCTTTGCCTTGTTGACAAATCGGGTAGTTGCTGTGCATACGAAAAAATGAACTTGGCCACCATAAGTTTTGTGCAATGGTAAGAGTTCGTTCTGTTAAAAACATAAGCTATTGACAGTTGCCATTAGCTCTTGCTAAAGGAGGAAAGACAATGTGAGACTAAAGGTGCGTCCCGATTGACTTTGTCATTACCGCCCCTCGACCTCCTAATGGTTCCATTTATCCCCCATCCCTCAAACTCCCTTTTGCGGTCAATGACATGGCAGCAGCTTTGGAGTGTATGTGTACGTTTTATCGGCTTACATTAGTACGCTTTATGCAGCTACACGACTATTATGCGATCATGGGCATATGTATACCATGCCAAATCTACCTGAGTTAAAGCAGAGAGACCACACTCGTGCGATAACAGTGTATGCCGCAGTACGTTTTGACCTGTTACTGATCTCTCACGAGTTGAGGCTCATGGTTTCGATCGGAAGAAAGGCCATGTACGGTATGTTTTTTGGAGGGTTGGCTATGCGTTAAGAAATATGTATGTAGAATGCCTTTCTTTGCATGTGTTTCCCTGACCTTACGGCTATTAGAGGCAGGTGGGATCACTACATTTGTTGGCCTGGTCTGTCCACGATTCTTCCCTTGTTTGTACTCCCGATAATAATAATTATTTACATGTTCTCGCTTTACGTGTGTGTGTGTCTTACTGTTTATATAGCGTTCTACGCATATTGGCTACAATATATATAGAGCGTCCCGAATCTATTTGGCCCTTATCCTTTCCCCTTTGCCTTTTATTCTCTTTTTTTCTGAGCCCATAGTGCAGCTGCCTTTTTTCTCTCTCTTTTTTCTTTTAAAATTAATCTAATTTTTTACCTTTTCTTCACTCGCAAACTTCTTCTTCCCTCTTCTTTCCACTCTCTTTCTCATTATTTGTTCTCTTCTTTTCTTCTTTTTCTATTGTACATCTACGTGCGAGGCTCTTGTCTGTCGTTCTCTTGCTACCCAGCCGCTTCCTCCTCAACGTACCAACAGCAGCACCATTCGATCGTTATTTGTCGACGACGTCTTGCTTCCCAGCCTTTTTTCGTTCTCTTTTGCACACATAGCGGCCAAACTAGGTGCTTTTACCCGAGAAGAAGAGCATCAAGACAGCGTACTTTTGATTTCAAAAGCAAAGTTTTATACAGCCAATCTGAGGTAATTTTTTATCATCCGCCGGGTATGACAGTGGTTGCTGGGGATGGATTTATATAAAGGAACAAGCTACAGCACGACATACAAAAGATCGCTTCAGAAAGGAGGAACGTCTTTTTCCTTCTTTGATATCTTACTGCTCTTTAATTCCAGCGCACATTTTTTATACTCGCATGATAATTGCAAGCCAACGCAGAACCTACTACGACACTACCACCACGCAGAGTAATTTACCGCTTGATTTTACTACGCGCAAAGAAAGGTGAGAGAAGACACCACCGTGGTTACTGTTTCTACTACTATGTTCACCAAAATAGAGTCCACCACTAAACGTTCTATGTTGCATATGTTGCTTGTTTATCGTGGGACCCAGCATTATGGATCTCAAGTCAAACGGCAGTACCGCTACGAGTTATGACGTGTTTGCAGCAGCTAATATGATGAGCAGCAGCAATGTACCACCCTCATCGAACCCAAGCTTCAACAACTACGTGTCATCATTCCATAGCTTTATACCACAGCATTCAGCATCGCTACTGGCAGCAGAAAACCACCAGCAGCCACAGCAGCAGTGCATCTCATACCCTCCACAGCAGCAAAATACCCCTTCATTAGAGCTACAACCATCCTACGTGGCACCAATTACGAGCGGGTCAACGATAGCGACAACGTCGACCGATTATTTCAAGCCACCAGCGGACATTAGTGACAAAGTCGTCAAGGATGAAGTTATCGTCGACGAGCACCAAAGTCATAGTCGCCATCATCATCAACACCATCATCATCATAGTCATGGTCATAATCAACATGGCATCTGGAGTGACAGCCGACCGGGACAAGATCCGATCGTCAATATGGTGATGCTGGGCGGCGGCGTCAATAGCAGTAACAGCGGTGGCAGCGGAGGCTATCCCGATGACAGCCTTGTAACACCTTGCACATACTATTCCCCTTCATCGGCTATCCAGTCCAGCCCGTCCTCAGATTTCTCACCGCCGCCCAACTTGTTTCTCGGTTCAAATAACAGTAATAGCCGAAATGGCAGCAGTAGCAACGGAATGGCATCATTTGGAAGGCCACAACCATACATCAAACGCCGCCGCTCATCTGCCTTGGCGATCACGCCCGTGCATGATGCTGCTCCTGCTGCTGCTACCATTGTTGATAGTAATACCGTTCATGCTCCTCACCACCAACAACAACAACAACAAAAGCAGCACGAGTCTGTGATTGTCACTGCGGCTACCGCTGTTACTGCTACAGCTGCTACAGCCATGTCCGGTCACTACTACTCGCCAATCCCTTCCCAACCGACTTTGAATGTACAGTCGCAGCATCGACATCATCATCATCATCAACAACAACAACAGCAGCAGCAGCAACCACAGCAGCACTACGTAGCAGCATCAGGTTCTACAAGCACCATGGTAACACCAACATCATCTGCCACGGGAACACCGTCACCTTGCTCCTTTCCGGGATCTGCGTCTTCGTCCTCCTCAGCTGGACAGCCGATGATGGATCAGCGAAATGCAAACATGTACGTTTTTGTTTTTTAACACAGTTTTTTGTTTATGGAAAGGGGTGGGGTGCTTTTCACGGAGGAAAAATTGATGGGGAATCTAGGGGCAGAAAATATGTGAGACAACAACAAAGAGATGCTTTGATCCCGAGGCAAAGGGGATAAATAGGAAAGACAAGCGAGAGAGAGTGCTAGTGGGGAAGGGGGGGGGGCGAATGGGAGAGTGAAGGAGTGATTGAATGCGAGGGCATAAAAGGAAACAGCGCGATGAGAGAGCGAGAGAAAACGACAATGAATCTCTTAGTCTGCAGTTGAGCGACGACAAGTGCAGCAAGAGTTACACAAGAGAATCAAGTGTCGCACAAGTGATTTTACCTTTTCGTTGTTGGTTGGAATGCAAGTGGCAAAAAAGGAGCTGACGTTTCTTTACGACTTGAATTCGTTTAGGCTGCTACGCTGTAACATTATCCTACAAGGTACTTGGTGAATGGGCTCTTTTTTTTTCTTTTCATACCACCTCAAATAACCTCTCCTTCAAATCCTGAGCACACCAGCCTCGTGCTAAACTCTATGTTAATCCCAATAGCATCTACTGCTGCAACACAGATCAGCGAAGGTTCTCCCACGACCTACCTCAATCGAGGCCAGGCTTATGCTATCCATCTGCAAGATACTTACGAGCACGACATTAATATTACGAGCACATTTATTATCATGTTCCACGAACCATCCCATCGCAAAGTAGCCCTCAACTATTGGAAGTTCTGGCTTGGCCAGCAGAAGAATCCTACAGAGGCCCGCGCTGTAACACTGGGTAAAAGGCATTTTTCCAAGTGCTCTTTATTAGACTATGCTATTAATATACCCTTTGATGAATTGGCTAGATCAAGACCAGTCCGTGGGGATCCATAATATCCGGTTTCCAAGTTTCGATCGCATCACTTTTGATTGGAACGGCCGCTATGGTGCCAAGGTCTTCGTTCGGTTCAATTGTCTTTCGACAGACTTTTCGCGCATCAAAGGTGTCAAGGGCATCCCGTTGCGCGCACAGATGGAAACAAAGACAACATTGGCACCTCCAATGCAAACACCATCAGACCCACACATCTTGGCAAATACTTTGCACCACCAGGCTTCGTCATTATCATCGTCATCGTCCGCCTCTTCGGCTGACAACAGCAATGAGTATATTGAACAATGTTATTGCAAGATTAAGCTTTTCAGGGATAAGGTATGTTTGAGAAGGGTCAAAACCTCTTCTTATCCAATATAGCTCAACAAGTCGGTTTCCTCTTCGTTCTGTATTTAGGGCGCAGAGCGCAAAAACAAAGACGATGCCAAGCAAATTGGAAAGCATCTAGAGCGTGTATATGGTAAGAATAGCATTGGTCACCTCTTTATTCTTCCTTTTGTCTGGCATATAGAAATACTCACATAGTACATGTTCGTACCATATTGCATTTTGCCATCTTTAGCTGAAGGAAACCCACGTCAGCACCCTTTTTGGCTCATGTACAACCAGCCCAAACCATTCAGTGTGTTCAGTGAGATTCCTACGACACCTCAAGCATCAGATACATTGTTCTCAACAGCAATTACGGATGATCAACAGGATCAGCAGCAGCAGCAACAATCTAGTCAAATTTCATTGTTTCAGCAAGTCAACAGTAACGATAACTCAATGAATGATCTGGGCAATATGACGTCTACGTCTCCCAACGGAGGATCTCTCGGTACAATGACTCAGTATACCAACCAGCAACAGGCAACTCAGCTGCAGCATAAACGCTCGTATTCTCAAGTTGAGGACCGTCAGTCGGCGAATATCTTTGATATATCTGCCACAGTACCCGTATCTTCTCTCACACTTTCAGATAATAGCAGTAGTACTACCGCTGCCCACATTACAGCCACGACCACGGCTACCACAACAGGTAATTTTTGTGAAAGCAATCCGTTTAAGAAAGAGAGGTGCACAAAAATAATTAACTGGTTGTTGTTTTCAGTAGGTCTTTCGCTTTACGTTAACGTCAAGACGACTCAACACCAACGTTTCCATTCGTCACCTACCCCGACCGCCACATCACGGTCTCGTACCGACAAAAAGAAGCTTCAACACATTGTCCTTGAGCATGTAGCCGTACAAGAGCTGATCGCGAAGCTATGTCCAGTATTATCGCTCCATCACAGCCAGGTGTCAGAAGTGCTATGGCGTCAGCCAAAAAGTGCTTCTACTTCTAGCACTGTCGGAGGCCCGTCCTCTGCTTGGGATAGCCACGGTCATCATCGCAGCACTACAGCAACATCAACAAAAGCAGCACTAGCAAGAGCCAATGGCAGTGACAGCACGCTCGTTCGGGTCGATGACAAGGTACTTGCCACCGGCTTTGCAAACGATACTGTGGTTGGCGTAGAATGGGAGATCAAATCCGACGGCACAGTTCGTCTTTTGCTCCAGCAATGATAGCAATAATGAAGAGACTTCTTTGTTTACTATGCCCCCCCCCACACACACTCACACCCACACCCACTGCCTCGCCTTTCTTTTTCTCCAAATCACTCTGTTATTTATGTTTTTTTTTTCTTTCTTAATTTAACCATCGCTTGTATGTATGCCTTTCATTTGCTTTTTTCTTCCATCCATTCATCCATCTCTCTCTTTTTTTTCTTCCTTACTTACTTACTCACGCACTTACTTTTTTTCTCTCGATCCACGTATTCTGTTGCCATGCGTTGCTGTTGTTGTATATGAAAAATCTGGTTAATCGTTTGGCCTTCTTACATTTCCCCCTTCCACTGCATCAATACTTCTTTTTCATTTGTTTCCAGCTTGCTTCGTAGGTTTCACACGGTATACAAAGTGAGAACTTGATTTTCAGAAATTGGCTGTGGGGTTCATCAGCGGGAGGGGCCATCTGCTGATCCTGTCAGCAGTTTGAGGAGCTAGCAGCATAATTGTAACGTAAGAATTTTCGAAACAGTGACGGCATGGCCATGAGAACTGTAGTCGTCGTCGTCGTCGTGCTACGTTTACGTCTGCTGTAACGTGGTTTCTTGTTGCTTTTCCTTCAAGTTTGCACGTTGTATGTATGCGTTTCTCTTCCCTTCTTCTTTCCATCCATTATTATTATGATAAGGTGTCAATACGCATGATGTTGATACAAAAAAAGGGGGTGTTTTGATTCCCGGTCCCGACAAATTCATCGTCAAACAATACAATTGATCGGGTGGATTTTTGGCAGGCCAGCGGAAATAAAATAGAGAATCATATGCGAGTGGGGTTGTAGGCAGTTTTAAATTGTGGGGCGAGCGAGAAATACATTAAGCTTAAAGGAACTATTGCCTTATTTCGACTCAGTACGACCGCAGCCCCACCCACAGGATTTGCACCCTTTGATCGGATGGATTGCTGTATGTATGTTTGTTTTTGCTTGACTACATGTGAAAAAGGGCTGGGAATAATGGAGGTGCTGCTCTATCTTACTTGCTACCACAAGGCAAAAAAACAGTGCGATCACAGATGCTATGTTTTCTCTGTGTCACGCTTCAGAAATTCGCTCGAGTATATAAAAAGCGGGTGTCTAGGAACGACATGGAATTCCACCCGCTTTTTCCTCTAAATATTCCGCGTCATTCACTACAACACCATGGAAACTGCTCTCGAGATGGTTAAAGATGTCCCTCAATACTGGGGTCGAGGCATGCTTGCTGGTCTTGTTGCCCTTGGTCTTGTTTACAGAGATCGTGCTGCCTTTGATGAAAAGCGGCCGGATATCCACCAAGAATCCGGCTGGCCCATCCTTGGTAATATCCCGGAAATACTTAAATGGGTCCCTTATTTCCATGAATTCGGTCACGAAGCCTTTACTCGCATGGATCAATTGACTGGGTATGTGTTTTATTTTCCTTCTTTCGATGCCCATGAAATTCACAAAGGAAGCACTGTGAACTAATAATGTGTTGTGCATTATTTTCTTGACTCGACGCCTATCAGTAAATTAAGCGTCTTTGTTGTCCCTGCCTATATTGCCACGATCAATCCGAAAAACGTCGAACACATTCTCAAAAGTACTAAATCAATTGTCTTTTTACAAATTGAACAGTGAGAAAGACCCATAACTAACGCCTATCTTTAGCGAATTTTGAGAATTATATCAAAGGTCCGGAATTCCATGCTGCCCTAGGTGACCTATTCGGTAACGGTATCTTCAATGCCAACGGCGAGGAGTGGCGCTACCAAAGAAAGACGGCCAGTCTTGTTTTTAACGTCAAGAACTTCAGAGATGATTTTACATCGTACGTTTTCTTTGTTTTTTGCTTAAAAGAAAACTCACTAGATTGGTGGCTGGCAGGCCAAGAAAATCTTGACCATTATCTGACAGGTTTCACAAAAAAATTGTAGCGTCTTTGTGCAAGAAATGGATTTTATGTCAAAGCACATCCTTGATAAGGCCGCCGATGAGTGTCAAGTACTTGATTTTCATGACCTCATGTACAAGTTCACCTTGGACTCTTTTGTCTTGTAAGCTCCATTTACAATCATGCTATCATCACCTACCAGTAGCATCACGAATCGCCATTAACTGTATTGTGCTGCTGCTCTGCTATCTAGACTCGGTTTTGGCGTACATCTCAATGCAATGGCTCAAAAGGGCAAAGTTCAGGTACGAACATCCTTCCATTGATAGAAAGAAAGACAGCTATTCTATTCTATTCTTTTTACAGAAAGCACTAAAGCACACTTTCTATGATACTTGGTTATAATTAGTTCGCGGAAGCATTCGATGATGCCCAGAAGAATACTTTTTTACGCTTCATCAACCCTGCACATGTTGTTAGCGAAGCGTTAACCAAACTGTTTTATCCAAACAGTAACTCCATGAAGGACAACCTCAAAATTGTTGATACCTTTGCTCGTGAAGTCACTGAAAAGCGTCGCGAAGAGCTTGCCAGCGGCAAAGAGTATCGTGATCTTTTGTCGCGCTTTATGACCGCAAAGAACATGAACGGTCAAGATTTAAGCAATGATGAGGTATGCAACGACATCATTTAGTAACCTTGACCATACGTAAATCGATATCGGACCTTTTTAAATGGCTGATGTTCTCTATTTCTTGAAACACATATAATATAGCTTCGCGACATTGTGCTCAACTTTATCATCGCTGGTCGAGACACAACTGCGCAGGCATTGAGCTGGTGTTTCCATTTACTGTGCCAGCATCCTCGTGTCGAGCGAAAACTGTACAAAGAAGTTGACGAAAATATCACCGAAGAGCTTTTACGCGATGCACCCGCTCTCTTTGAAGTCATCAAAAACATGAAATACGCACATGCAGTGTACGTTTATCTGAAAGCTACTCCAAGTATATCACAGATATATAGCACATCTTGATACCAAAAAATCCATTTGTATAGATTCTATGAAGTTTTGCGACTTTACCCATCTGTGCCCCTCAATATGAAGTATGCTCTTAACGACGATGTCTGGCCTGACGGCACTCATATCCGCAAGGGAGACTACATTCTTTGGCATCCTTTTGCTCAGGGTCGCTCGCAAAAAGTTTGGGGCGAAGATGCCCGTGAATTTGTTCCCGAGCGCTGGATTACCCCTGATGGTGAACTGAGACGCGAATCCCAAGGTATGCTGATCTCATTTTCTAGGGTTGCACACATGTCAATCCAAGTGTTTCAGGTTTTTTAATCTGTATTCTTCTACCTCACTTTAGGCCAATGGCCAGCTTTCCATGCTGGACCCCGCGTATGTCTTGGGGTAAGATGATTTTAGTTTCCTCTTTACAATGGTGCTGATCAGCTAACTATATATGCATTTTACAGCAACACTTGGCGACCTTGGAAAGCTTGATTGCCATTTCGTACCTCATGAAATATTACAGATTCTCTTTGGTTCCAGGTCAGAATGTCACATATCAGGTAAGCTCAAGTAAAGAATCCGTATCTTTTATAGGTCGACTGATGATCGTGATTATACATTCTATTAGGTCTCTTTGACTTTGCCCATGAAGTATGGCATGAAGGTCACTGTCGAGAAGCGTGCCTAAACATCTTGTATATTGCATAAGCTATCCCTTCCCCCTGTACTCTTTTTTCTACATTTACCGATCATCTCATCAGCGTTATTCTACCTATTGTATTTAGTACTCACTCCACATAAATCATGAATACACATGCTCTTCTCCTTCCTCTTATATTGACCCGTTTTCAAACAGATATATACTTTCTCACCATATAAAGCTCCTTATTACTATATTTCTGTACTGGTATAAAAAGCCATTTCCTTTATGCTGCTAGGGCAAAGATGTCATTTACCTGAGCCCTTTTTCACGTTAAAACCAGGATCGCTGTTCTGGAATGTCCTTGATGCTACTTGAAGCTGGAAGCGTACATAATCATAGCTGGATGGCGTTTCACACTCAGTTTCTCACTGTCCCTTTATTTACAGCTTATTTGTTTCGTCATTAGTGTTTTTAATACCGGGCTTATTTTAGTTTGTTGTGCGCTGGTTCGCTTATAAGCCTGGATTAAAACTTCTGTTGCTTATATTTTAGCATTTCAGGGCAAGAAGTTGCGGTAAACAGTGCGAAGCGATATTCGGAAACAACGAGCATCACCAACAAGATGGGTGCGCGATAATAAGTCGAGAGCTGTTATAACAGCAGTTAGAAAAATGTCTGTAAGAACTTTTTGCATGACAGCTGTACAACTAAAAAACAGAACTAGCAAGAAACAGTCGCTCATATTTACTCTTCTCCAATGCTTCATTGCAAAAGGAGAAAGCCATTTGAATTGGGTGAAAGCTGTGTACCACCAAAAATTCCGCTCCCTGCGTGTAGCCTACTTTTTCAGGAAACCTTTAGCACGAGTGAGTACGTGCCTCTTGTTCGTATATATTATTACTTTGCTTAAGTCAACTTGGTGATAACATGGTAAACAACCTTATTGCTCTTTTTCGGGCCAATTCTCACTCTGTAGCTCGCATTGACAACCTGAACCTCATTTTTGCGTGAATTATCGTGTATATACAGATCCGGTTTATTTTGGTGCAGAATCGTCAGGGCAAAACGAGATTAGCAAAGTGGTACGTTCCGTATGAGGATGATGAAAAGGTCAAACTCAAGGGAGAAGTGCATCGATTAATTGCACCGAGGGACCAAAAGCATCAGAGTAACTTTATTGAGGTAATTCATAACCTTCTCCACTCACTTCTGACATATACGACTGGGTTGAACTTTTGCATATAAATATACACAAAGAAGAACAAACTTAAACTCATCATGCTTTCTATGGAAATGACCATTAGTTCCGCAACTACAAGATTGTGTACCGTCGATATGCAGGTCTTTTCTTCTGCGTATGTGTGGACGCCAACGATAACGAGCTCGCTTATTTGGAAGCAATTCACTTTTTCGTTGAAGTACTGGATGCCTTCTTTGGAAATGTCTGTGAATTGGATTTGGTATTCAATTTTTACAAGGTACGATGGATTCTCAAACATGGTTAAAGAGGATACATATGGTTATAAGTGAAACAGAGTAAGGTATCTCATCGGTGCTAATGTTTGTCTTGGGTTGGATGATGTTAGGTTTATGCAATCTTGGATGAAGTGTTTTTAGCAGGAGAGATTGAGGAAACAAGCAAAAATATCGTGCTTACGCGACTTGATCATCTTGATAAATTAGAATAACGTATCTATACCCTTTTGTTTCTACTTCCTCACCATCTCCTACCACAACCTTAACTTTTTAATCTTATCAACAGCAGCACATCTCTCTTTCTTTCTGCCCCTCCTCTTGTGTAAATAAAAATGTCATTGTTTAGTCATTAATAGTTTATGGATTAGTACTCGTTAGAGGAGTGAGGAGACATTGACATATATTGTGTTGGTTACAAACTACCTGGACCGTTTAATCGAAAGTGCTGATAAACTAGACCACATCCAAATATACGCTGCTGTTTTTATGAAAAGCAGCATAAAAAAGCTTGTAATTAAATGGATTGGAGAACAGCGGGACAGTTGAAACGCCGATAGACTTGAGCCATGGCCGCTGCCAAGGTGGTCTCCCTCTTTCCAGGCCAACATGAAGGTAATGAGCACATAGAAACGGATCAGCATCCTTGTTGGATCAAGGATATCGTGTACGAATAGATGGATGACCCAGTAGATGGATTGATCGACGAACGAACGGATTTTCGACGCGACTTCTTGAATCCAACATGATGCCATTTCCATTCTACCAACATTACCAATAACACCGAGAAATTTCCAATGACAGCCACTAACGTAATGCATCTCTACACATTCTTAGTTGAACATTGCCAACCCAGCCACCGGCTGTCAGAAGCTGATCGAAATCGACGACGAGCGTCGCCTGTGAGTTGACTTTCTTGATTTTGATATAGACGTGTTTCGAAGGAGTACCCGAAAAGGCGGGCAGATATGATTTGAAATCGGCGAATCAAGAAACTGACCATACGGTATATTGTAGGCGTGGCTTTTACGATAAGCGTATGGCTCAAGAAGTTGCTGGCGATGCGCTCGGTGACGAATTCAAGGGCTACGTTTTCCGTATCTCCGGTGGTAACGACAAGCAGGGTTTCCCCATGAAGCAGGGTGTCCTTTTGCCCCACCGTGTGCGCTTGTTGTTGAGCAAGGGCCACTCTTGCTACCGCCCTCGCCGCACCGGTGAGCGCAAGCGCAAGTCTGTCCGTGGTTGTATCGTCCAGTCTGACTTGGCTGTCATGAACTTGGTCGTTATCAAGCAGGGTGAACAGGACATTCCCGGCCTTACCGACACCACCGTCCCTAAGCGTCTTGGTCCCAAGCGTGCCAACAACATCCGCAAGTTCTTCAACTTGACCAAGGAGGACGATGTTCGCCAGTACGTCATTCGCCGCACCATCCAACCCGCTAACCCTGACAAGAAGCCCTACACCAAGGCTCCCAAGATTCAGCGTTTGGTCACCCCCGTCACTCTCCGTCGTCAGCGCAAGAAGAAGTTGGAGAAGCGCAAGCGTCTTGAGCGCAAGACCGAGGCCGAGGCTGAATACAAGCAGCTTTTGGCTAAGCGCGTTAAGGAGGCCAAGGACCGCAAGATCGAGAGACGCCGTACCTCGTCTATGCAAAAGTCGAGCTCTGCTTAAACTCCAAATAGTCACCAACTTCCCCATCTTTTTTTAATAAAAACGGTCTGAATCGGCAATGATTTTCTATCTGGGATTCTTTTCTACTTTTTTTTCCAGCTTTGACTTTTCTTCCCCCCCACAACATACCACACGTCATGTCACCAGCTGCAACTGCCACCACTGTTGACGCATCGCAACAATTCCACACGATTTCAACAACAGCAACATCAACGGCCAAAAGCAAAAATGATTGTCTTGTTGAACCTAAACGTTTTGAATTCAAAGACTCGTTATTTGAGTATTCTGTTCATGCCCCCTCCGATCGATTCCTGAGAGACATGGCTACTGTTTTCCCGCATCTCTCCGTGCGACAACGTAAAGATCTTTTGGTTGTACCAGTTATTCAACAATGTGAAAATGACATGGTCGGCTTGACATATGAGGTCAACAAAGAGCGAGACGATAAGCTTGAATTGGTAAAAAATATCTTTGTATTATCTGAACTGAGAAATATAGATGTGATCTGACTGATTTTTCCAAATCTAGTTTGTTGACTGGGGTAAACGTGTCGCTGACAGACTCGCATCAGTTGGTTTTTGGGCTGATGTGACAGACCCTGCATCTGGTTTTCCCGTAAGTTTGTCTGTCATAGATGCAAACGAACATACTTGAAGGTGGAGAGTAAACTAAAGACAAATGTGGGATTATGGTTGACAGGTACTTAGCGAAGCCGGCCCTTCGCCCTATCCGGACGTACAGGCAACAACTGCATTGACACGCTATGACATTCAGAATGTCGGATGCTGCCATATTCTGTTGCATCCTGCTTGGAAGAGTCGCATCTATCCTGCCACCTTTTTCACCATTGCTCCTGCAGATATCCTTGTCAAAGTTATTGACGAAATTAATTCCGCCCTCCAACAGTAAATTGGTCCTGGTCGATCGATCTTTTTTATATTCACCCGATTTTCTAGTAGCAGATGCACCCCGCACAAATGTATATTGCCATTTGAATGTAATAGACAATACGTTTTTTTATTGTTTTCCTACGTTGCTCCATCCCAAATGTGCATAATGTGATCATAAAACGAGCATGAGGCAACAAGATCCGGCTGTTGGAACGACCAATCGGCACCGTATGCCATGGATCTATGGTCGAGGAAACTTTTAACGACTTGCGAGTTTTCCGTGTCAATGACGAAAGCACCCGCATGCATTGATGCTGACAATAACCGATCTGATCGTGTAGGATGCCACTTGAGACGCCAAATGCCACCACCCGGTGTATGCACTTCAGAAAGAGGCGTGCGCATATTTCGTGTATCCCAGAAATGTATGTGTTCGTCATAGCTACCGGTTACCAGAGTATGTTCGTTGTGTGGTGACGACTGCATAGCCGTAACACCCATCATGTACTGTCGTCGATTGGTGCTGGTGCACTGATACGTACGCGTGTCCCAAACTTTAAGCGTGGCATCATCAGCGCCTGAATAGAGCGTGTGTGGATTCCAATAGTTGAACGCGACAATCCATGCTTCCAAGTCGTGCGCATGCCACTGATGTTCAACAAGCCAATCTGTTTCATTCGCTTTGACAAGTGACAAATCGCCATTGGAATGCGAGGTTGCAATCAAAGGTGTTATGCTACGACCAACACGGCTGGCCCAGTCGAGCGACAAGCAAAGGACAGTGTCATCCTCTGTTACTTGGACATGCGTGTCTGGCTTGAACTGCTGATTGTCGATTGCGTATAATTGAAGGCCACCAATGGAGTCAGCCACACCAAGTACTGGACGATCGTTAACGAGCGCGTGACTCCATTTCATGTCGAGAATAGCAGGTGTCTCAATCACCTGCTTTTGTTGCAGTAGGGAGTTGGTTGTGGTTGTAGCATTAGGTTCTACTTGGAAAAGGTACAGTTTGCCTTTACGGACTTGGGCATCGTTGCTTTTTTGTCGTTCGTCGGTGAGCTGGTAAGTGCCGCAAGCGAGGAATCGAGCATGATCAGGAATCGGGCAGAACTCGGTGGAGTCTGCACTGAACAGGGTGTCAGTGGATGCAAGAGAAAGAGCCCGATCCGAAGCCATAAAGTTATTTTTCCACGGTCCCAAAAAAAGAATTAAAATTTGAAATCAAGGTATTGAAAGCTCTGTTTAAGTAAAGACGGTAACAACAAAAGACGAGTGGGGAAAAGAGTAAGAGAGAAAGAGAGAGAAAGGGAGAGGGAACATCTAATAGACTTTTTTATACTGCATATTTAATATATATTTCACATTTACAAAACCTTGGCCTCGTTCTTGAGCTTATCGAGCAACTCATCCACACTTCCAACCTTGCGACCACCTTCGCGCTTGGGTGGCTCCTCTACCTTCAAAGTCTGGATACGAGGCGAGATATCCACACCCAAGTCTTCGGGAGTGATTTTGACAAGGGGCTTCTTCTTGGCCTTCATGATGTTGGGCAACGAAGCATAACGGGGTTCGTTCAAACTAAATTCAACCAGAGAGGTTGTGTCTTAGTACGATTATTACTACTATTCGCCAGGCATGATTTTTTTTCTTGATGACTCACCGCAAATCGGTGGTGATAATAGCGGGCATCTTGGTCTTGACGGTTTCCAGACCGCCATCAATTTCACGAGTGACCTTCAAGGATTGGCCCTCGAATTCGACCTTGGATGCGAAGGTGGTCTATACATCAAAGAGACAGATATGCATTCAACTTGCCTTGTCTCTATCCACCCAGTTCATCTTACACAATAACTCTTTCCACCCTCCCTGACTGACACTTTCTCCCAAAGAAGGAAAGAAAATATATATCGTACCTGAGGCCAGTTCAATAAACCAGCCAACATTTGACCAGTCTGGTTGCTGTCGTCGTCAATTGCCTGCTTACCGAGAATGAACAGATCGGGCTTCTTTTCCTCCTTGTTAGTATAAGCCTCGAGCAACTTGGCGACCGCCAGCGGCTGCAAGGTGCTATCGTCCTTTACTTCGACGTGCACAGCACGGTCAGCACCCATGGCCAGAGCAGTGCGCAAAGTTTCCTGTGCCTTGGCAGAACCGCACGAAATAGCAACAACCTCAGTCTTGGGTGCCTTTTCCTTGATACGGATAGCCTCCTCAACAGCAATTTCGTCGAATGGGTTCATGCTGTGCTTCACGTTACGATCGACATCGGTTTTGCCCGCGTTTACGCGAACCTTGACAGCTATTTTTTTTATCACCAAAAGAAAAATAAATAATACAGTTAACCCATATGGTCACGGAAACACCCTTGCAACGTTGGTACCTTAATAAAAGGTAACACACTTCTTATGAATAAAGAAAAGGTTCTTTACCAAAGTCAATGACACGCTTGACGGGGACGAAGATTCTCAAAGGGTTGGACATGATGTAATTAATAAGAATGTATAGAGAGGAGTAAAAAGAAAAGAGCAAAAAGACAGACCCGCACACACAGAGAGAGATTCGGCAAGTACGTCACATCGATTTCACATGTGCTGGGTCAAAAGTCTTCCCACGATTTTAAGCAAGTCAAACTCAATGACAAAGGACCCTTCGCGGTTTGTTCCGACAAGCTTATTTCTCTCTTTTTCTTTTCTTCAATACACCTTCTTCTTCTTCTGCTACAATCCATGATTAATAGTCCTTGGAAAGGGATCTGTATTTTCTTGTTTTCACTGAGAAATGATAAAACTTCTGAACAAGTAAGCAACATAACATGTATGATATGGCAGCAGCATATGATTAGTATAAGTCCAGGAACACATTTTAGCGACCGATCGAAGGATAGACTCTTGAAGGTCTGCACAATTGATACATCGTTCTTGCCGAAAAAGGTTTACCAATGACAGTGAAAATGCAATCTGTCAAATGTTGCAACAAAAAATAAAGGGGCCTAACGGGATTATATGCTGCGTGATGGAGCAGCTCGGACGACATAAATCGACCCATGGATGAAAGAAAAGGTCATGATGACGCTGGTACCTGAAGTGTAGTACCTAGTCATCATTATTGAGGTGCGTTATATCATACTTCCAAGTTGATCGCTGTGAGCACGCGTACATACTGGGCAAACACAAAAAAGCAAGTTAGTCGGTGTTAGCAACTATGATTTCTATCAGTGATAGTAAGCTTGATCACTTAATCATAAGAATATATACCTCGTAACAAGACATACATCTTACTCTACATATTAATCTTTGATCCCAAAGTTGTATCGGTATTGTTAAACAATCTTTTGTTAAACACCGCCTGAGCCAGCGTCGATCACAATCGATTTTTACCCTTCTCACGCTTTCATGTTAAAAATTTTCAAGCATTGCTATATACTAACAAGCTTCAAATGTAACCATATACGCGAATAAATTATACACCATACTCTTGGTAGATGATAATGTAGATCTGTACACCATTGTCCGGGCCACTAGCCCTTGTATATTGCATCGTTGTTAATTGGGAAGAAAAACCGGCCACCATTCTTCATGGTATGTAGTAATAGCGCTGCATTTGAAAGTTCGATGTTTTTTTACAAACTGTACCAAGTGGGCTGTAAAAACCTATTCTCTTAACCATAGCAACGGCACATGTATTCTTTTAGACATATCAGATTTTAAGCACAATAGTAGCAACTTGAAGTCCTTTAGAGTCATATCAAAGGATTAATTCTTTTTGCAGCCTAATTTCGAGCGACCCTTAGCAACAACTAATATCTCGCAGCAACCAGAGTTTAAGGCTAGCCACGGGCTTATCCTTAGCAATCAAATTTAAAGCAACCATATCATAGCAACGACTTAACGTTCCCTATTAGCTGGATTTAAGCATAGCAACAAATTTATCCCCCGTAGTAAACATTTTTAAGCTTGTGTTATCGATTTAGCACAGATTTGAGGTGAGGGTCGGCAACTCCAATGTTAATGAGATTCTACAAGGGATATCTCAATATTTCGAGCGTTTATAGAGTTATAAATTCTGATACTCGCTAAAAGCAAGTTCACTTACGCATGTGTGATACACTTATCGCAAGTAAATTTATAGTTCGCTTGACAAGTCGTAGACGGGCTCTTCGCCTGTGATACGATGATGGACGATGGCCGGTCTTTGAATGAGAGGCCGCCAAGTGGAAAACGCGCTGCTGCCCTGAAAGAGCACTCAGCTCAGCAGGTCCTTTTTTTTGCTTTAACCCTTTCTTTTACACTTTCTATTATTTTCATCATGGACGAAGAATCAATCCTTTTTGGCATTCGCAATGCGTTTGCTCTCGGAAACTACCAGATTGTCATTAACGAAGTCAGTTCAGCTCGCGCTTTGCAGTCACCTGTCGCCAAACTCGAATCACAAGCATTCTTGTACCGTTCATACGTTGCCCAAGGCAAATATAATCTCGTCATCAATGACATTGGAGAGTCTGGTGTCGAGGCTCCCTTAGCTGCAGTACGGCTTTTGGCTACTTACTTGCGCGCAAAGCAAAAAACCGAGGATACACAGGCAGTCATTGAACAAGCAATGGCATTGTTGGAGGAGGGTGCTAATCGAGTCGATCAGACCATTCAAGTTGTTGTGGCTACCATTCTTGTCAACGATGGAAAGCTTGAAGAGGCACTTAAAGTGTTGCATACGCGCAGCAAGAAACTCGAGTGGTATGTTCTCCTTTTTGTTCGTTTTGGCACGCGTGTATGCATATGGTATCATCACACGGAAAGCAAAGTACAAGGCACTTGACACATAGGCATCTATATTACGCACACGTTTTTTTAGTTGTGCATTAGCAGTGCAAATCTATTTGCAAATGGATCGTTTGGATTTGGCAAGAAAGGAGGTAGCACATGCTAAGTCGTGGGCAGAAGACGCATTGTTGTTGCAAATGATAGAAGCTTGGGTGGATCTCCGAGTGGTAAATGTTAAATACATAGTGGAAAATTGCAGTTTCTGCCGTATAAAAATGAAGGGAGGATTTGTTCCAATTACTGAGCTGCTTATGTATGATTATAGGGCGGTGACAAGTATCAAGAAGCCTTTTACATTTTTGAAGAGTTTGGACAATCCAATGCAGAACCTTCGATCAAGGTCTTGAATGGACAGGCTGCAGCCAACATTGCTTTGGGAAGATATCCAGAGGCCGAAAGTGTCTTGATGGAAGCTCTAAACAAGGTTTGTACATTTTTCTTACGTTCACATCATGGCTCGAAAGAAAAATTCTGGTTTTTGTAATAACGATGGAGGAATGGGTGTACTAAATTGTTGTTATATAGAACAATGATGACCCTGAGACATTAGTAAATATGATTGTATGCGCCAACTTGACATCCAAACCAAATGATGTAGTAAATCGCTATGTGAGGTATGTTAAAGCTTATCCAATGCAAGAGAATGTTTAAAAGAGAGGAAAAAAGAACAGAGCAACTCACTGCATCATCAATCGCTCATGTTTGTATAGCCAACTTCGCGAAGTCGCTCCATCGCATCCTTACCTTCAAGAACTAGATTTAAAATCCAGTTTATTTGACAGAGCAGCTACACGGTTTGCTTTGGTAGATTCCTCGTAATACAATCACCTAAGATAATACAGTTCCAAATTTACAAATCAAAGAGAGTTATTTTGAGACAACTCGCACAACTGCGAAGCGTGTTTTTGGAGTGCTAGTCATTTTGGATGCGTTTGCTTCCTATATAGCTATTATGTGTATACGTATGTATCATAAAAGCGTATGAAAAATATGAGAAGCTATATATCGTATCAAGAAGTACTACACTCTTTCCGGAAAGTAAATTCACCCAATGACGAAAACGAATTCAGGTTGTACGGAAAATGAATTCGCTCTGAAGGAAAATCAATTCACCTGATGACAAGAACAAGGTCTAATTAAATGCAGCCTTAGACTTCCTCAGCCTCCATCTAATAAAAAGAGAAAGCGGGGAGATGGCGTTGGGCAAATGAGCAAAGGAACGGTTACGGGACACTATATCAGGTTTCTAAAAGCTACGATGGATGAAATGGACCGGTATCCGCACATGAAAGGTCATTACCTCGTGATGGATAATGCTCCTATCCATACATCAGACAATATAGCCAAATACGTAGAATCTCGCGGTTACCGCTGCGCTTATTTGCCTCCATATTCTCCTGAGCTCAATCCAATCGAGCAATTCTGGTCAGTGGTCAAAAGCAAAGTGAAGCGCAATAAGTTTCTCGAGAAGGAAACTTTGATGACCCGGATCAGTGAAGCTTCTAATAGCTTGAAACTAAGTGATTTTAAAGGGATTGTTAGACATTCTCATAAATGCTTGGACAAGTGTCGTAATGGGCAAGCACTCTGAAGAAGTGTTTATTCTACGGAAGCAAAGGCGTTTGTGAAAAAAAAAAAAACTTATTGAATTGAAATCACAGAGTAAATGAGGGAGTGGGTCCTCGAGGACAGGTAAAAAAATGGGGAGGGTTTTTTCGTGCTTTGTCTAACAAAACAGAATTGTTTGGAAAAATGCCGTAAGAGAGTGTAACTTTGAACAAGAGGAAATCTTTGTAGCTCTGGTCGGTTAATGTCATCCTCTCTAAATCTATGCGAATATATTCAATGCCAGTAAGCATATCTTAGAGCTTCATTGAAATTGGTGCACTTTTTTCGAATTATAAATTATGCATGCCCTAAAATTCCTGATACGGAGAAACCGGAAAGATTGTCGTTTTTTTTCAAAATATGATGGTGCTTCTTCTGCTTCAGATGGAGCATTCATTTTGTCGAGATGGCGGCAGCACAAGCACTGAATTGTCGTTTTTGACGTGCCATGCTGTACTATTTTTTTACAGTCAAAGAAAAATGAGACCAGAATAGGGCAAAATGAAAACGAGTCAAGCTTGCAAAAATGACACTGGCCCATGGAAATGAGGCTGTCGCAAAAATAAGCATCTTCATAAGCATCTTCATAAGCATCTTCATAAGCATCTTCATAAGCATTATTTAAAATGCCGCGTTGTATTAGCCAATAAAACGCAACAAATAATCTGAAATCGCTTATTTTTATGGGCTACAATATGCATCTTCATAAGCATCCCCATAAACATCTTCATAAGCATCTTTTTTTGAAGGCCAGCTCGCCACCAGCCAGAAAATTACTCATCAGCATTTTTTGTGTCTCGTTACCATGTTAAAATTGTTTCGAAAACATTGCTGTCATATTTGTCATGGCAACGATTTTGGCCAGAAACAAAATTTGCGAAGGCATCTGAAAAATGTTCAAAAATGACACTGGCCCATGGAAATGAAGCTGTCGCAAAAATAAGCATCTTCATAAGCATCTTCATAAGCATGCATTGACAGTTTGGCTGCAATGTATTCACACGTCTGCAGAAACTCTTATACTATATCCCACGGCAGAACACATGAATATTCAAAGTTCATCGCATACAGGAGATATTTGTACGTCATTTGTTTTATTGACAATGATATCCACTTTGATTCGCTGCTCCATGAGAAAAATTGTTTATTCATATGGCGAAGATTTGACAAACGGTGCGCGTCACTTCGGCATTTGCAGTGATGAGAGAGGGCGATATTTCATTCGCCAAATTGGTCAAAGGACGATTGAGTTGTTCATTGCCAATGATGTTGGTGGTTGAGCTGTCATTGAACAGACTGAGAATCTCATCCATAATATTCCAAACTTTGCCGTTCGTCTTGCATTTCTTTTGTTGATCATTAACACAATGTCGGCTAAGGATAGCGTTTTCACCTTGTTCCCAAACAGATGCCGCGACTACTCGAAACAACTGGGATGCTATTTTTGCATCTGAATCCTTGTTCGTACCGGTGTTGTGGTCGGCAAGTGTCCAGATCGTAACAGGCCGCGAGCACAGATCGTTTGCGAAGATGGAACATGATCGAGAAAGAAGATAAGTGGTGGTTCTGTGGAACTTGGACCGCACTTGTCGTAATTGCGCGTACTCGTCAAATGGATATAATTCGCGGATGGACAGATCGTTGAATCCTCGTTGTCGCAGATCGCCATACCATTTAATAAACGATCGTCGGATAAAGATGATGGTATCTTTGCTGACACTGAACCCATTTGCGCTGGATGGACCGACAGCTGGGGGCTGATTTTTGTCAATTCGGATGGATGATGTAATGAGGACATTCATTGTTTTCGTGCCAAGTTCAAGTTTATGACTGTTATCTTTTTCGACAATGAACAGCTCCACATTTGGGTATTTCGTAGTTGGATGCGGTAAGGTTGTGTTTAAGGGTTGATAGCGCTTGATCTTGGTTTGTTCATGATGAGCATCCAATGTGGGATATCGACTGTACACTTCTGCACAATTCACAAGCAGACCTTCACGCCTATTGACAAGAATCAGTCCCTCCATTGCACGAGCACAAACTACACGCATCCACGGACGCCGTGTCCAATCAATGTTCAATATGGTGGCGATATTTTCATCCATTTCCGTATAATCTGTTGCAGAGAGACATGTCAGATGGCTGTTAGCGATCAGATGGGATAAAATGGATGCAGCAGGTCGTTGGTCGCCTGCATCCAACATTTGGAAATAACTGCGCTTCATCGGTGTGATTGCTTTGAACGCTGGAGCCTGGTAACCAAATTGTGAAGCCAAGAGGCTAGAAATGGTTGCGGAATGACCAAGCATATTATGTTCCCTATTGTTTTTATCAAAGATCGCCATTGGGTGCAAATCGGCGAGTTCTGCAATCAGCAATTTCTTCTGCTTTTCGTCATCCGGTAAATCCATTGCACCCATTGCGGAAAGCGTCGCGTCTGAATATGTTCGTGTTTCATTGTGTGTTATGGCTGTTGATTCGAAGTGTAATGGTGGTTTGCTGGGCATAAGCTCGTCAATAGGCAGGGTTACGTCGACATCTTCTGCTTCGTCTTCATCCTCGTTGTGTTCTCTCGCAGCATCAGAATCTTTACTGAGTCTGAGAAACAATAACAAAAGAACTAAAACTTTTCAGATTAAGGCAAAGAACACGAAATAAAAGGACTTACATTTTAAAATGTTCAGGAACATGGCAATCCAATTCTTCGAGTTTCGAGAAATAGTTGGGACAGGAAGGGCAAACGAATACAGTCTTATCAGCATCGTTTTCATTTGAAACAAACAAATGATCTTTCACTTTCCGGATGTTGCCTTTCACACCAGCTTCAAGTTGAATATCATGAACATTTTTCAGATGCCTTCGCAAATTTTGTTTCTGGCCAAAATCGTTGCCATGACAAATATGACAGCAATGTTTTCGAAACAATTTTACCATGGTAACGAGACACAAAAAAATGCTGATGAGTAATTTTCTGGCTGGTGGCGAGCTGGCCTTCAAAAAAAGATGCTTATGAAGATGTTTATGGGGATGCTTATGAAGATGCATATTGTAGCCAATAAAAATAAGCGATTTCAGATTATTTGTTGCGTTTTATTGGCTAATACAACGCGGCATTTTAAATAATGCTTATGAAGATGCTTATGAAGATGCTTATGAAGATGCTTATGAAGATGCTTATGAAGATGCTTATTTTTGCGACAGCCTCATTTCCATGGGCCAGTGTCATTTTTGCAAGCTTGACTCGTTTTCATTTTGCCCTATTCTGGTCTCATTTTTCTTTGACTGTAAAAAAATAGTACAGCATGGCACGTCAAAAACGACAATTCAGTGCTTGTGCTGCCGCCATCTCGACAAAATGAATGCTCCATCTGAAGCAGAAGAAGCACCATCATATTTTGAAAAAAACGACAATCTTTCCGGTTTCTCCGTATCAGGAATTTTAGGGCATGCATAATTTATAATTCGAAAAAAGTGCACCAATTTCAATGAAGCTCTAAGATATGCTTACTGGCTTGAATATATTCGCATAGATTTAGAGAGGATGACATTAACCGACCAGAGCTACAAAGATTTCCTCTTGTTCAAAGTTACACTCTCTTACGGCATTTTTCCAAACAATTCTGTTTTGTTAGACAAAGCACGAAAAAACCCTCCCCATTTTTTTACCTGTCCTCGAGGACCCACTCCCTCATTTACTCTGTGATTTCAATTCAATAAGTTTTTTTTTTTTTCACAAACGCCTTTGCTTCCGTAGAATAAACACTTCTTCAGAGTGCTTGCCCATTACGACACTTGTCCAAGCATTTATGAGAATGTCTAACAATCCCTTTAAAATCACTTAGTTTCAAGCTATTAGAAGCTTCACTGATCCGGGTCATCAAAGTTTCCTTCTCGAGAAACTTATTGCGCTTCACTTTGCTTTTGACCACTGACCAGAATTGCTCGATTGGATTGAGCTCAGGAGAATATGGAGGCAAATAAGCGCAGCGGTAACCGCGAGATTCTACGTATTTGGCTATATTGTCTGATGTATGGATAGGGGCATTATCCATCACGAGGTAATGACCTTTCATGTGCGGATACCGGTCCATTTCATCCATCGTAGCTTTGAGAAACCTGATATAGTGTCCCGAAACCGTTCCTTTGCTCATTTGCCCAACGCCATCTCCCCGCTTTCTCTTTTTATTAGATGGAGGCTGAGGAAGTCTAAGGCTGCATTTAATTAGACCTTCAGCGGAAATCGCGCCCAGAATGGTTGTTGTTGTCGCTCGTGTTTTGGGAAGTGAGACCACTGCTGGTGCACCTTTCTTTGACCACGCCATACTACGTTTCAAATTAATATGAAAAGCAGATTCGTCAAGAAAGACACAGTTACTCGTAAAATTCAAGTCTGTTTTTTCCCATTTACGAACCCAATCCAAGCGCTCTTGAATCTTTTCTTCACTATTCCGGTCTATGGGTTGAAGCCGAGCTTTCTTAAGAGATAAATTGCAAAGTTGTTTTACAAAATCGAACAAGGTAGTTTTAGATACTTTTAATTCGGTAAACATTTGCTTTAACTTCTTCATTACTTCGTCTAGGACGATGGAAGGATTCTCATCAAAGGACTCGAGAATAGCGCTTTGTGTTCGTCATGGAGAATACGTGGACGGCCAGTCTTTCTCCGTTTCTCAAAGATGCTGTCAGGATCTTTCTCGTATTGCGCAGCCCATTTTTGTGCTGTACGAACAGAATCCCAAGTTGTTTTGCAGCAGCGGCCGCACTCAAACATCTCTCAAACAACAGTTTGAAGAACCTCACTTTGTCCTGATCAGAATAGCGTGTATAATTTCGCTTCACTGAAATTTCCCTCATAATGACATCACCGTTAGGCTTTGCCTTCTTTTCTACCTGCATTGCATCTATCCTTTTCTCGCTCTCCAAAGGCAGTTGAGCTAAATATTGTGTATGAGAACTCAACGTTTCAAGACGAAACTGTTCCTCATCGACAATATAATCCATTGGTTCAGGTCTGCCATACTCATCGACGACAGATCCTTTCCCATTTTCAAACAAGAATTGAATGTTCATTATCTGTGATTTGTGATGTAATTGTGAAAAAGAAATAAAACACAGACAAACACTAGGCGTGCTCTTTTATATTTAAAGTATGCCAAGACTTGTCCTACAAAACAATCTTAGCAACAGGACATATGATTTGTCAGCCAAGACGAATTTATATTTCGTACAACACAAATTTTGTTCTTGTCATCAGGTGAATTGATTTTCCTTCAGAGCGAATTCATTTTCGTCATTGGGTGAATTTACTTTCCGGAAAGAGTGTATATCCACATTTTTGTCATAGAAGTATGTATTATTCCGCTTAGAATGAGGCTATGCAGAATAACCATCATGATTATCATTATGACAGGTGCTCCATATAAACAAAAGACTGCACACATGTTGTTATGATATCTTTTTTTATGTAAGGAGACCATTGGTCGGGAACCATTTTATAAAGTGTGCAAAGATCAGAAACTGACAAATGAATAGACTAAGGCACACCGGTGTGCTACTAAGGACTAAATAGATCATAAGGAGGGGTGGGTATACAGATTGTCACAGGAATTTCCGCGAGATGACCGGTTTTTCACCAAAGGAACCACAGGTGGGACGTTGTTGTTGTTATGATATGATTGAAGAGTCTGTTGTTTGTAATATGAGAGATCTCTAACCAGCTGCATAATTTATTAACATACAGCAGTTTGTGTGTGTGGAGCTTTTAAGGTTTTTTTTTAATACGCCTGCATTTGCCCTTGAGTATAACCAGCGTCTTCACCAGTTTTTCCCGGCTTCGTCCTGCAGTTTTCAACTGTAAAGTATGATCTTGGCAAGAAAAAAAAAGCCTATAAAAATTGTTGCTATATTTCGATTGAATTCGATCTGTCTAGAACACTAAGGATAAATTGGTATCATTCTAAATGCCTGAGTATCCAACAGTGATATATGCTTTCGATATGAAAAGAAGCTTATTATCAAGATGTTACTTTTTTCGGGAGTAGTGCCTGTTGTAGCCATAGCAACGGCAATAAATCAAGTATAGAAGTGTATTTGGAAAGATGCTGGATTGTACAAGTGCCATAATCAAAGCCAAAGAGGGGAGCCGTACATATAGATACAGTTGTTGGAACTGAAAACAAGCAAAAGCATCTGCCTTTGACGTCTGCGTGTGGTTCACAAGCAAAAAAAAAATATGCACCAGAACAAACACTACCCCTGTTTTAACAAGCGTTTAGTCTTCAGAAAGTAGGAAATCATCATCAGTGGTTTCAAGGCGATCGGTGCTGAAAGGATCCAGTGCATGACAACAATCCAATCGCCATGTGATTTCTGAAATATCGAACGATCGATCAAAAGGTTTCTAAAACGTCATTACGACACTACTGGAGAGACAGCAGACACCTCCTCGAGCGCTTACAAAGCAATCACCCCGGTAGCTGGAGTGCCCGCATAGAAGATGAGAAGCCAATTATTAAGCCGTGTCAGTGCTGAAGAGCTGTTCGTATTCGGCTACAAAGTGAACCCGATAACGGTCAACAAGAAGACCGCCGTCTTATGGGCAAATTACAACGAGTGTTTAGACAGTGGCAACAAAAGTCAGAGTGGAACTCTGAACAAAGCAACAACTATTTTACATGATGATAAAGGTTGAAACCATCCATCGGTATATAACAATTGTTCAGTAAACCTGTTGTTTTAGGTGATGAGGCATACACGTTCTACTCCAGATGACACGCTGCCTTCACAAGATCAGATATATCCATGGATAAACGGAGGGACGCAGCGACGAATAGCACGAAATGGTGAACGATGACAAAGCAGCGCAAGGGCACGATAGGGGTTTACACGGTTCACTCTGTAATGTATGTTTTTCATAATACTGTTGCATCACACGGACGACAACGATAACCGTTGTTGCTATATGTAACTCTATAATACTACACTAATAAATATAATAAACAGCTTCGTATATAGTGCGGGACAAAAGAAATTGCCGTACCACCTTCCTCCAGGTTATCACAGGACAAACCGGGCATTTCACCAAAATAGCATTTTACCCATCTGTGCGACTCTGTGCATCGCAGCCCCACAAAACTGTATGGGAAAGTATGACAGCGCTAGCATCGGTTGCTTATCGTTTCTGATCGGTATCGCAGCGTCGATGAAGCCAAACGTGGAGTATTGGCCGCGGATGGATTTACTTAAAGAATTGGGCGATAATATGCACGACTGTAGGTATAAAAGGAACGATGTGTTATAGCCGTTTTCTCCTGTGGTTTGCCCCTGCCTGTCTATTTTGCCCCATCGACACCGTACTTTTGCCTTTCCCTGGACTTCGCCTATCAGCAGCAGCATCAGTGCGAAAATAAGCCGGCTCGTCCATTCACATACGCATACAGCAATGTAATGTGTGTGACACACTATATAGCAGCTACCCCCAAAAGAACACAAGCCCGTACTATACACATCATCATTTATCTGCTGTTCCCTTGAGCTTTTTGGAATCAGAAATCAGACGAAAAGAAAAGGTCACACCACATGACTGATGAGGATGGTGTACAGTGCCAACCTCACCGAAAAACTCGCCATCGAGAACGAGAAGTATCATCACGGCCCACCTCCAAAATGATCATAGTAGCTAACACAGTACATCGTGACACGGGTGTTGATTTCCACCGTCGAAAATGTGGGGTTGCCAAAGTCGTACAGATTTCACAGCAATTTACGTGCTTTTTCCCTTAATTACCCGACCCGTGCGGACAAAAGTATATTACATACGCACACACAACATAGACTGCGACGCATTACCGTGAGATATCGAGCAGATGTCGTGTTGTCTGTCCCGTCTAGGATGTGCGGGGGATAGGTTATCGCCTCGTTCTGTGTGCGTGTGAGAAATAGTACACCAAATCATCTGCTTTATATTCCGAATTCAAACGAGCAATTTTTTTCGTCGAACAATTCGCTTACACCGTCCCCTTACCATAACCCCCCAACTTCGTCAATCTTGCTTTCTCTCTCGCGCTCGTTTCCACTCTGTGTGATTGAGAGTGGTGAAGGTAAAGAATTCATCGTGAGAATTGTGACAGCACAAGCTCATCTCAAAGTTCTTGGATTGGCGTTGTACCGACTGAAGTCATGGACAAGTTAATGGTTAGACTTTAAACCCGAAGGGACTTTAAGCGCTGTCTGTGTGCGAGTGTATGTATTAATGTGCTCCATCTTATTCTTATGACTCTTGTCTGTCATTGGGCCGAGAAGCGGGGTAACGCTTGATTTGTAACCCATTTTCGATGCGTGGGATCTACGCGTAACGTCAAGAACAGGGAAAACCTCAAGGCTCTCTGTATGGGGAGTAGAGTGGAGTGTGATGAGTCTCTCCAGTAATGATATGTAATGCGTGCTGTGGGCTGGTGCTACACACACCCAATCCGTAGGCAAATTTATGCAGACCAACTTTAATCAGCTGCGTCCGTTCCCTATTTAAACTCCTGGGGCCTCGCACGCAGTTTTTTTTTCATCCTTTCTTCCAGCTTTTACTTATTTTCTCTACTCACTTCAAAGACCACCATGACTGCCAGTGAACAAGCCGACCCCATCTACCCCGTCCCTCAACGGCTCCTGGGTGAGGGCGTTCCCAAGCCTCACATTTCCAGCATTGACGACTACAAGAAGCTCTGGGAGCAGAGTGTCAACGACCCTGATTCATTCTTTGGCAAGGTCAGATCCCAGGAACAGATACCCTTCCCCCTTCCCTTTTCTTTAGGTAGCCAATCTTGATGGCTCACTTGCGGTTCTTTGAAAATGTTCTTAGCTCGCGACCGATCTGTTGAGCTGGTCCAAGCCATTCACCCAAGTTAGAAACGGCAGTTTCGAGGAAGGCGACGTGGCCTGGTTTCTGGATGGTGAGCTCAATGCAAGCTACAACTGTGTTGACCGACATGCACTAGCCAACCCTGACAAGGTAAGCTGTGACATATAAACATTTATACAAACAAAACAAAATATAAATAAGGGGATACATGTAGGCAACATGTATGGGTTGTGCACATGTTTGTATGGGCGTATGCAGGTTGCTCATCACACATCTTGACCATCCTCTATTTCCATTCAGGTTGCCATCATCCACGAGGGTGACGAGCCCGAGAACGTTGCCAAGATCACCTACCGTCAGTTGTTGCAAGAAGTCTCGCGTCTTTCCAACGTCTTGTTGTCTTTGGATGTGCGCAAGGGTGACAATGTTTGTATCTACATGCCCATGATTCCCGAAGCCGTCTATGCAATGCTTGCGTGTACCCGTATCGGTGCATTGCACTCTGTTGTCTTTGCCGGTTTCTCCTCTGACTCGTTGCGCGACCGTATCCTTGACTGCAATGCACGCGTTGTTTTGACCGCTGATGAAGGTCGTCGTGGTGGCAAGAACATTGCTACCAAGCGTATCGTCGATGCAGCTGTAAAGGAGTCGCCATGCGTTGACCACGTCTTGGTCTGCCGCCGTACCGGATCCGAGGTTCCATGGTCTGCTCCGCGCGACAAGTGGTGGCACGAAGAGACTGCCAAGGCCCGCCCATACTGCCCGCCTGTGAGCGTCAATGCCGAAGACCCAATGTTCTTGCTGTACACCTCTGGATCGACCGGTACGCCCAAGGGCGTCATGCACACCACTGGTGGCTATTTGCTCGGTGCTGCTGCAACCCTCAAGTACGTTTTCGACTATCATGCTGATGCAGGTGACATCCACGCGTGTATGGCAGACATTGGTTGGATCACTGGTCACACCTACATTGTGTACGGCCCCTTACTGAACGGTGCCACAACCGTACTGTTCGAATCTACCCCAACCTACCCTGATCCGTCCCGCTTTTGGCAAGTCGTTCAGAAGCACAAGATCACCCAGCTTTACACTGCCCCCACCGCCATCCGTGCTCTCCGTCGTCTAGGCAACAAGTGGCTTGATGGCTATGATCTCTCCTCGCTCCGAGTTATTGGCTCTGTAGGTGAACCCATCAACCCTGAAGCTTGGGAGTGGTACAACGAGCAGGTCGGCAAGAAGCAGTGCGCTGTCGTCGACACCTACTGGCAGACTGAAACCGGCTCCATCATAATTACGCCCCTGCCTGGCGTAACCGCTACCAAGCCTGGCTCAGCCACATTCCCCTTCTTTGGCGTCAAGCCTGTCGTCCTTGATCCCGTCACCGGAAAGGAGCTCGAAGGCAACGATGTCACTGGCGTCCTCGCTATCGCACAGCCCTGGCCATCCATGGCGCGTACTGTATACAACAACCATTACCGCTACCTCGATACTTACCTCAACCCATACAAAGGCGTAAGTATATTCAGTAACAAAACGTGAATAATGTTGCTCGGTACCCTAATTAGCCTTCTTTGACATCGTAGTACTATTTCACTGGCGATGGCTGCACAAGAGATGCCCAAGGATACATTTGGATCAGAGGACGTGTTGATGGTAAGTTTCGTAAACAAAAATGTCCGGGTTTATAAAGAACGGTTGCTGATCAACTTTCTATGCTGTAGATGTTATCAACGTTTCTGGCCATCGTTTGTCGACTGCCGAGATTGAATCCGCATTGATTCTTCACAATGCTGTTGCTGAAGCTGCTGTGGTTGGTGGTCAGGATGATTTAACTGGTCAATGCATCCACGCTTTCTGCACTCTCAAGCCAAATTTGGATGTTGCCGAAGGTTTGGAGAAGGAGCTTACCCTGCAAGTCCGCAAGGTTATCGGTCCATTTGCTACGCCCAAGCGCATCTATGTCATCGGTGATTTGCCAAAGACCCGTTCTGGCAAGATTATGCGCCGTATTTTGCGCAAGATTGTCAACAATGAATCTGATTCGCTTGGTGACATTTCCACCCTTGCCGATCCTTCCGTTGTTCAGGCTTTGATCGATAAGGTCAAGTCGTAAATTATTAAATGATAATCACCCTCAACGGTCTCAATCTCCCGATCTTGTATGTCTTCTTCTCGCCCCCCCCCTTCACCTATTGCCATATGTCCCTTTTTCGTCCACCTCATTTCATCGCCTTGTAATATTAATATGAAAAAAGGGTGTCAGAATACAAAAACGTTATAAAATTTGCTGGAAAATTTATTGCCATGAAAGGCTGTATTCCCAATACGTTCTTTTCACTTTATTAGGTTTGTGCAACGTGGATTGTTACATCTTCACATGATGAAGAAGTACATTTTACGAATCATTTTGATATCAAAGCTATCATATCTTGGTGAAGATACAGGTTGATACCTACTGCACTTGCTTTGAATAGCATTCTTCGTACATGTTGTACCCAACTTAGCGACTACACCAAATGATGATCACACTTTGACGTCCTGCGCCAAACCAGGTTCATTCTAATATTTGATTGTGAGATTTGACGAAGCAGCTCAGTACCACGAATGGTTACTGGACTGGGTCTAGCATGTATGTCTGTAAAGCGTAATACACTGTGGACTCCCTTAATTTCACACATGAAAATTGGATTGTGAAACAAACTATGATACATGTTCCAGAGTGATTATATGCACTATGTATAGCAGACATACATTGTGTAGCAACACACAACTGTGGTTTAATTTCATGACGTATATGTATAAAGTAGCGTACCGACTTCAGCAGCTGTATCATCCAACATGGTCCATAAAATCTATATTCTTTGTCCATCATCGATGATTACTGTTATTTCCCTCATAGCCTCACGTGCGTGGACTTTTTTTTTTATCCAGATACATCTTGGTGTTACAAAAGCTACCAAAACTCTGGAAGAAGCTGTCACTATATGGATCACGTAAATCACATAACCTATGTATCTATGCATGCACCTCGGTTGACTTTTTACTCTTATTTATTTGATCCCCATGTATAGCATAAAAATTTAAATTAATTCATCCGCTCAATGCACACGCTGTGGTAGTTGCCAAGGATAAACAATTTCTTATAAAGAGAAAGTGAAATATGCGAGTATGTGAATTCTTTGATGTTATTTCTACCATTCCGAGATTTTTGGTGAAGTTATCTGGAAGTTAACGGATGTGAGAAGGAGGGTTGGCGTGTAATGGCCATCTCCGTCGTGTTGTAGCGTACGTAGGCAAGTAATAGATATCATCAGAAACATACAATCTACATCCATTATGTAATGTAATTGCGTCAAACTTGAGCTTTTAACGAGAATTTCACTTAAAGGCCCATTGGAATTGTACTGAGAGAGATATATTTAGAGACTTGTATAAATGACTAAGGAAAAATCAAAAGACCAAAATATAAAAAGAAACGATTAGCGCAGCAAAAACAAATCTGTGTGGGAAGTAAGCGAATGAGATCGAGAAAAATTTTAAGGTGTGTGAAAGAAATGTAAGAAAATAACCGTAGAGAAATAATCATCGCTGTCACTATCATTTTCGTCCATAGGGAAACGTATTATTGCCTAAAGGTTTAGTGTCATATAATGCTTGTAACACACTTAAGTTTTGCCGAATAAGACGCGCAGCTGCTTCGGGTACAAGGACTTGTTGAGCGGAAAGGATTAGCTGCATTGGATATTGTATACTGTACAGTAAGTTATGATAGCCTGTCACTGCAAGCTCGGTAACCAAAACATTCAAGACAATGGATGCCCCCATGGTTCTTTAGTAGCCAGTATATCACATGTTGTAAAGCATCAAGTAATGAAGTTTCTCACCGTGACAATAATGGAGACTCAAGGTGGTGCTGCTGTTGCTGTGGTTGTTTTCAGTCAAACAACAATGATCATTATGTAGTCACGTCCATCATTCACGACAGTAATCAGAAAAGGATATTTGAGAATTACACTACGCTCGACTGCGCTTGGACTTCTTAATTACTCTGTATAAAACTTTTGTGTTCGATGGTGTTTGTAGTCTCGGCGGTTCATAGGATGTCTTGTGGGCTATTAAATGTTACGGTGATAGAGACTACATCATTGCAAAGGACCATATACGCTACACGACGATGGAAATAAAAACTGGTTCGCTTCTAAAAAGGGTCCGATTTGTGCAGCGCGTGTAGTAATTCTCATAACCTTTCGCCAATTTGACATTCTATTTTTCTTTCCAAATGACTTCTGCATGCGCGTTTTGTGCGTGAGCTCGATGATATCTCGAGCTCTGTGATAATTCTGATTGCGCTCTTTACCGCTATTTCATTTCTGAAAGTAGCTGTCAGTCCTTTCGTGTACCGTGCCCTGATATCATTTTAATTACTCAAGCGTATCAGCTGTAAATAGTGGTTATTAGTCAAACTTGACTATACTTAGTATATACTGCTTCATATGTCTGACAACAAGTGATTAGATATAAACGCATTATTTTAATTAGATGAATTGAGCGAAGAGGCTGTCGTAGAGCCACTTGTGCATTTTCAAAGGAGTTATCTCAAACAGTCTGTCGTGCTTGTTGCATCGAGGAGCGTAGCTATTGAAGCTGACGGATTGTATGATACATACAAAATATCTCCGCTCATACAACAGCTGTTGTCAAAAGCTTACATTGAAGTGAGCATTTGCATCCACCTACGTGTAGCCGTATACATGGTTCCTTATTTCATAATAGTCAAATATGTGATTTGTTGTAGTAAAAGAACGTGCGATTAAAACTTTATTGCTACTTTGTTACTCGAGATAAGCGTTTCATTAGAAAGCACTGCAGAGTGTGGTTTCGAATTAGATTGACATTATAAGAAGTAATATAGTGTACGTATAGGTATAAAGGAGGATAAGTGTGTGCATGTTGTGTAGGATGTGTTTAGCAGTGTGTTTTTGTTTAAGCGGCCGGCGCACTATGTCCATTAATGAAACCTGAGCACAAAAGCACATCATCAGTCATATTCAGCGTTGATGATCCTGGTGACAAGCAGACTTGGAATAGCAATCGTCGTAACCGTTCATGAGAGTTTCGGCAACCAGCTGGATCATGGTAATAGGTGCAAAAAAACAAATAAGAGTCAATGGGTACATTCTAGCAACAACAAACATCACTACAGCTAACTTATTTTTACCCTCACCACCCCCCTCAAATGAATTGTTAAAGAATTTACCTAAAGCTGCTCGTTCAAACCAAACGCTTGCCTCTTGCAAGTCAACAGCACAGCCGAGACCTCGCTCAAAGCAATTGCCTAAATGGTATGCAGCCGATACGTGCTTTTGCTCAGCTGCTCGCTTGAATAAATCGAAAGCACCATCTAGATCCTTTTCAGTACCAGCGCCGTTTTGCATATGCATAGCCAGTTTATCCATTGCCCGTGCGTGATTCTGTGCTGCAGCTTGTTGATACCAATGAACTGCCTTGACATTATCTTTCTCCAACCCGATACCATTAGCATAGCCTTTGAAGAAAGAACGTAATCGAAATAAAAGGTGAGTACACATTGCAACTGTAAAGTGGTATACAAGCTACAGTGACGGCTTACAGAAACCGAGGTTGCATTGGGCCCATGGGTTGTTCTGACGCGCTGATTTGTGGTACCAGTATACGGCGCGTGCTGGATCTTTTTTGACACCCAGTCCTTCTTCGTAACAGAAGCCCAGCGAGTTTTGTGCAAGCGCATTGCCTTGCTCTGCTGATCGTCTGAACCATTTGACAGCTTCCCGTTCGTTCTTAGGTAAGCCAATACCATTTCGATAGCAGTATCCCAATGATAATTGGGCTGGTGCATGGTTCTCTTCGGCACTGAGGTAGTACCAAAAGACGGCTTCTTGTTCGTTGACAGCTACGCCAATGCCGTTTTGGAAGCAGTATCTAAAGACAGTTTACGCACACACTCACTCAAATCAATACGGTTTTGAATGAGCAGATACTTTAATGCGCAAATTACACATACCCAAGCGAGTGATAGGCGAAAATATTGCCTCGTTCTGCAGAGCGGCGGTACCACTTTACAGCCTCTTGTTCATTGCGTTGAACACCAATACCATTCTGGAAGCAGAATCCAAGATTGTGTTGTGCTCGTGCATGGCCTTGGACGGCGGCTTTGCGATACCAATAAACGCCCTGTGCGTCATCTTTGGTAATACCAATGCCGTTTTGGAAGCAGTATCTATAATAATCATACAGGTAACCGTCGGAAGGTGATGAGGAAGCGTGAGTAAATATAAACAATTGGTACTGGTCAGTTAATGACCAGAAGAAAAACGTGACGATAAAGACCCTTTTTTATGCACATACCCGAGATTACACTGAGCCCAGGGGTAGCCTTGCTCTGCAGAGCGTTTATACCACATTGCAGCCTGTTCAAGGTCTTGCTGCAATCCTATACCGTCTTCATAACAGTATCTGATGCATGATAACAATTTATGTTGCATGATTTTTGTGCGTGTTAGAGAGAGAAAGAGAGAGCGACATAGAAGCAATTTAGTCACATTAGGAGAAAATCATGCGGATGGGAATAGTTCTCGTCATACATACCCGAGCGAGTTTTGAGCAAAGGCGTTGCCTTGATCTGCGGAAATACGGTACCATTTGACCGCTTCTTTCACGTCCTTTTCCACACCAATGCCGTCTTCATAGCAGTATCTGAATGTTGTTCCATTAATACACGTCAAAAGAGAAATGTTAGCAAACAAAGACAAAGAAAAGAAGGAGGTTGCATTGTTGCCCCCACCCCCAATGGTCGATCAGCAATAATAACATATAAGGTTTTTTCTCCATCAGTTGCGTACCCAACGTTGTAAATGGCGACGGTTTCGCCCTGTCCTGCTGCGAGGCGATACCAGCGCATGGCTTCAACTTCATCCTTGGCTACACCAAAGCCTTCGCCGTAGCAGTATCCGAGGATTCCCTGGCCCCGGGCGTTTCCTTGATCTGCGCTGGCTTTGTACCACCGGAAAGCGGCATGTTCGTCCTTGGGCATGCCAATGCCGTCATGATAGCACCTGTTGTTTAAAAATAAAGAAATTATTTATCTGCTTTTTGTTACATCAAGTAAGAAAAAAAAAGAAACGTACACGCCAAGCGCATATTGTGCAGCTGCATTGCTGTCCAGCGTAGCAGCTTCCACAATCCAACGCATAGGTTGTCGTAGATGCCGGACCCGATCGGCCCATACTTCAGCCTCAGCACGATCAATTTTGACATTGGGACGACCGTACTTGCGTAAAAAGGCCAATCGTGCCATGGCTAATCCGTCCTGATATCGTCTGGCCGCTTCTAAATAGAGGCGTTCACTTTCTTTGAAATCTTTGTCGACACCTAGGCCGAATTCATGACAAAAGCCCAGGACACCGAGTGCTTGAGTGTGGCCGAGGTTGGCGGCGCCTTTGTAATAGGTTATCGCCAGACTTGGCTGCTTCTTATGCCCTTTGCGACCGAATAAAAACTGGTTGCCCAGTTTAAACAAGTGCTGTGCTGCCGCAGGACTCTCGTTGTTGTTTGTTGTCTTATTCATAGTCTTATTATCTTTGTTGTTATAATTATAGTCAACGATATTACTGCTGCTGCTTATCGTTGTAAATGACTGGAAGGAGGATTGACGTTTCTTGTTGTTGGAATGGAGCTTTGAGAGGACAAGCTTAGTTGAACGGTGCAGTAAAAGAGAGAGAGGAACAGTCAAAGGAGACATGGTCAGGTCTGTTAAAAGTGTATAGAAAAAGAGAAGATAAAAAAAAAGGAGAGCAAGTTTGTTGCTATAATTACGCTACACACACACACAGAGAGAGAGAAAGAGAGAGCGCGCGAGAAAGGGTGTGTCCAGAAGTAGTGTGTAGATGTGGTGAGGTGTATGGAGTCTGATGGTAGCAAAAAGAGAAATGACACGCCCCAGAACGCACCACAACCACTCACACGTTCGTCCGCAACTCACCAGATTGGGGCCCGTGTGTGAAGTTTACATGGAACTGATCTGAGCTCGCTTTCCTTTTACTCTCCTTTCCGTCTCTATACTGTAGTGACATCTGTTGGGTCTTGACTCGATTGCGCAATCACTTATGTTTTATTACTCTGACCCCTCCCCTCCCCTCCCGTCCTCTCCCCTCCCCCTATTCAGCACCAATGTCTTGTTGGGTATTACCATAAATGGTGCAAGAAGATTCGAGCGTTGTATACAATTAACACCACTGTACATACCATATCAAGGATAAACAAGAGAGAAGGGGAGTCTTTTTCTATTAATATAGCTATAATGTTACTGACAATGATGGTGATAGACCATGTTGAGGAAGAGGCGCCCCTCACAAAAAAAAACTGGTCTTCGGGGCCATTCTGTATCTGATTTGCTGGTTCGGTGTAAGGGTGTATCGTACAATACATGCGCAATGTCTTCTTGTGTGGCAGATCCGTCACCGAGGCCTGTGTCGCCTAGGACAGTTCCATGTAATGTGATCCGTGTGTCCGCAATATGAGCATGATGTGGCAGCACCACATGAGTATGGGTGACTTGGCAGTAGCAAAGATAGCGACGGCGGCGACGATACAGTGATAACCATATGTAGCAGGGATATATATTTCAGGGGTAGGCGACCCAAAAGACTCCTTTTAAGAGGATGTGGGATTAGGGGAGATAACAAATATAGGCTTTGCAGGAGAAGACAAAGAGAAGGTGTGTGTATTTATCATACAATGAAGAAAAGAGACAAAACGACATGGTGTCCGCCATTTATATATAGCAGAAAGAAGTTGCTTTGCGCCCTTGAGCGGAACGGTCGCTGTTATTGTATCTTATCAAGGTGGCTTCACTTGTTCAACAAGCAACAACATCGACTATGTTCGCAGTCGCCTGCGTTTCTTTGCGCACGATGTTTGTGTATGCGCCCACAAATATATACACAACCACCCCACAAACTCCTTGTGTTTGACAGAAGAGAGAAAACAAGCCCGCCGTAAACATACAGCAAACACGATAGACGACGGCGTGAGAAGAGTGTGAAATGGGAGGATATCGTGACAATACCAAATAGACTAGATTCATCCGACGTTCGATATGATAGCAGCTTTTTCTACAAGTGGTCATCATTACTATGCTTTATTAATATCGCCTTCTATTCACTCGTCGGCAAAGGTGACAAGACTCTTGTTCTCGTCGACCAGGTCGCCGACACTGTACAAAACTTCGCTGATCGTGCCCGTCATGGGTGCCTTGATAACGTGCTCCATCTTCATTGCTTCCAAAACAACCAGCGTGGTTCCCTTTTCAATCTTCTGACCTGGTGTTACCAGCACCTGAGAAATCTTGCATGGCATCGGCGTTTTGATAGATCCAGTGCTGTCAGCGCCCTTGGCACTGGCAATCACGTAAGGTGGGGTTGCAAGTCGCACCTCTGTACGTCCATATTCGTCAAACACCGTCACTTCATCGCCATCCATCACGACATTACTCTTGACCTGCTTGCTGTCGATGCTCGAGACCAGCTCGCCTTGCTCGTTGTATTGTGCTTGCACATCCGTGTATGTCTTCAAGACACTGCCGTCATCCGCCGACACAACCTTAATATCCACAGCATCGCCCTTGTCTTGGGTAGTGATCTCGACCTTGTATTGCTTGTCGCTGTCCTTGGAATCAACAAAAGTGACGGTGCGCGTGTCCCTCATGTTCAGTCGGAACGTTTGATGCAAAGTAGACCAAGGGTTATAAGGGTCCTTGGCGTTGGCTTGGGTTTGAGCGATTTCGCTTAGTCGGATGGCGTTGGCAGCTGTGGCCAAAGTCTCTGCGCTAGGCGCAGCTGGTGGTTTCAAGAGATCCTTCTCATAGTCTGGTATGAATCCCGTCTCCACCTCACCCTTGATAAACTCGGGGTGCTCTGCGACGCGCTTGACGAATCCAATGTTGGTTTCCAATCCCACAATCTATTTATTTTAGCATCAGTATCAGTTGCTATTGTTTGTCGTTTCACCATTGTCCAAGGTTTATCCTTCACCTGATATTGTTCCAAAGCTCTTCTGAAACGACGGAGTGCATCGTTTCTATCCTCTCCACGCACGACCAGCTTGGCAATCATGGGGTCGTAATGCACGCTTATCTGATCGCCTTCGATGAAACCCGTTTCAACACGGAGATCGGCTGATGGCTGTGGGGTGCGTACGCTGAACAAAGTGCCAGTGTCGGGAAGAAAGTGGCTGTACAAAGGGAAGGTTTTGGCGTAAGCTACTGTTACCCCATCGTCATTTTCCCGTCAATCATAAACACACGCTTACTTGGAGGGGTTTTCAGCATAAATACGAGCTTCAAAGGCGTGTCCACGCAATTTCAATTCTTCTTGCAACATTGGCAATCGGTTACCCGCAGCAACCTGTCATGACATCAGACCACGCGTTTTAGTATTCCGCGTCTTCCCTCCATTCAACAATACATTCTCATCTGCTGTTTACCTCCAGCTGCCAGTGGACTAAATCAGTGTTCGTGACCATTTCAGTCACAGGATGCTCGACCTAGTACAGATTATTGAACGTAAACAAATCAGTTTTGACTCATCTTCCTTTCTCGTCTGTTATCCTTCAGCGACCGTTACCTGTAAACGCGTGTTCATCTCCATAAAGTAAAACTGCTTATCCACGTTGTCCATGATGAACTCGACCGTGCCAGCATTTTCATAGCCGACAGCACGCGCAGCCGCAACAGCCTTTGCACCCAAATGAGCACGGATTTCTTCCGTCAATCCAGGACCAGGAGCTTCCTCAATGACCTTTTGGTGACGGCGCTGAACAGAGCAGTCGCGTTCAAACAAGTGGACACAGTTATCATGCTTATCCGCAAACACTTGCACCTCGACGTGCCGTGGACGCTCCAGATACTTTTCAACCAGAACCTTGTCATCACCAAACGACTTGATCGACTCGCGTTTGGACGACTCTAGCATTTCTTCAAACTCGCTAGCGGAGCGCACGATACGCATGCCTTTACCGCCGCCACCCTTGACGGCTTTGATCAATACCGGATAGCCGATCTTTTCGGCTTGCTCCTTTAAAAATTGGACGTCTTGGTTTTCGCCGTGGTATCCAGGAACCACAGGTACGCCGGCGTCCTCCATGATGTATTTTGATTCGCTCTTGGAACCCATGGATCGCATGGCGTCGCCAGACGGGCCAATGAATGCCAGCTTTTCGGTCTTGACGCGGTCTGCGAATTCTGCATTTTCCGACAAGAAACCGTATCCGGGATGGATTGCCTTCATTTTCATCGCTCTTCTTTAGCCCGTCTCTCCTTTCTTTCCTTATCTTTTCTTAATGATTTACCTGTGCGCCTGTCATGCGAGCCACATTTAATATCTTATCGATGCTCAGATAGCTTTGAGCCGATGGGGGTGGACCGATTAAAAACGACTCGTCAGCCTATGATCAAGAGAGAAGTAGAAATAAAAACATCAGCCTGTCTTCTTCTGTCCCCTATGCCTTTTTGAGATTCCTTTCCCTTTTCCTTCCAGCCACTAACCATTTTGACGTGTTGCGCGTTAACATCGGCTTCACTGTACACTGCAACTGTCTTGATGCCAAGTTCTTTGGCAGTTCGCATTACACGACACGCGATTTCACCACTACAATGACTCCTTTGATTAGTCCTCACTCTTCCTTTTCTTTGCTTCTCTTTGCGTGCCGCTGAGACTCGTCACCATATGTATCTTTACCGATTTGCGATTAGGATCTTTTCAAATAATGGGTTTCGAGCTACAGCAATAAGACAAAACAAGATAAGGCCGTTAGCTTTCTTTTATTTTGTTGACATGTGAAAAAAATTGGGTTTTTTCTTTGGGGAGGAGGCGTATGTATGTATACGTCGCGAGCGTGCGGTAATAATTATTGATATTTACTGGAATAGAATCGTATGGACGTTGTTTTCATAGTAGCATAAAGAGGCTTGGACGTTGTCTGCAGAGTAAACTGCCTACATAACCGCGTTTGGAACATGGTGGTGAGGAAGTGCAAAAAAATAGAAGAGTGGAAGTCAAAAGAAAAAGGAGTGTAGTGTGTTGCTGATTACACGCTTCTTTTTCACTGAATCGTGGGAAAAAAACTGTTTGCAGTACACTGCGATTCGGAGTCCGTAAATGCTGTGCTTTTGGTTGTCCACATTCAGGGCGTTCCTTGGTGGTACCAAACAGCTTACCCCGCAAATTTTTCTCACAGTGATTGCAAGGAAAACCATTCTGAGTATGCTAGTTAAGCCGCTTTTCTACATAATAAAGTAGGCTACATACGAAGGTGATCAGTAGATCATTGATCATTCCGTAGCTGTGTGTCTCGTCTATAAATTGTCTAATTCGAAAATCTCTACGTAGTGTATTCTATCCGCGCATTGATTATTGTGCTGGGATCAATTACTTTTACGCTACGTGCTGACGATGATAGATACGGATGCATCTCTTAGCAGCACTGATAACATAATACAGATTAATACACCACAACCATCTTTGTTGGCTGTTCAATATGAACCACGCCGCACATATCATGAGAAGAAATGAAGCAAATATCAATTGGACAGTAGACGCATTTAGCGCTACAGATGCATGGATGACTTCAACGGCAACTTATCATTCTGCTGCTGTTTTTATTAGACAGGTATACGGGCAATCATTTGTAAAGTGAGAATTTAGAGTCCTGCAATTTGTACAATATGCATGATACAATCCGGTAGCAGATATTCTAATACCCTTGCCAAAAACCTTAAAAAGACGACGCTTCATTCCAAAACTACCGAGCTCCGTGAATTTCTTCAAAACGATGCAAGCCGTACCGTCCAGTGCATATTTGTTGCTACTGCCGTCGCTGTTAATATGGATGTGATTTTTGTATCCAGGCACTATGTCCAGTAGGAAGTCTTCAGGATATTCTTCGCACCATTCTAGACCACGCGCAAGATTCTTGAGCCGCCTTTCAACCGCGTATCAAAGACCATGATAAAGACCATCTCTGAATACTCAACTGGTACATTTGCCACGGTATACGCTCTCAAATTCAGTAGAGGTAAGGCCAGCACCACACGTACATCTATTGTCGTAGCAGTTGGTTCTTCGTCATTAATATTGTTGTCGTCGTCGTTGTCGATATACTGTAATTGAGTATGTTGTTCTCGCAGTACGGATCGCGCAATCACTTGCTGTCGTATGGTGTTGTCAGAAAATTCTACTTCAACAAGGGTCGAGTAGTAGGTGATTGATAACACGTCTGTTGGGTTAATTCGAACTCTCTGCAATAAACGGATTGAATTTGTGCCGTACTTTCGCTGTAAGATATTGCAGGCAGTGGAGTAGCTTAAATTGCCTTTGAAAGCAAACATGATCGTACGAGGTTGTGGATTTAAAGTTATCGTAATTTGCCATTGTTCGACAGGACCAAAGTCCTTTATCCTTGGAGGACTAGTGAGTGAGCTCATTCTTCTTGTCGTTTTGATTATACACGCCTGTTGCTTTTTATACCAAAAAAGTATGAAGAGAAAAATTTTCTTTCGAAAAAGTTTTGTATTTGATCAAAGCAAATATATATGAAGATGTGCATGTGATTGACATAGGTGCTTCATTAAGTTTATCAGTCTGACAACACACTCGGGTAGAAATGACAGCCTTGGACTTCTTTCAGGTAAGGAGCATGTGTGCTTGCTAATTTTTAAATGGCTATAATGATCCATAAGGGTATCAGCGTAACCCCGTTTAAGACATCTATATAGTTAATCTTCCAATTTCCTTGCGCTGGTTCCCATCAAGCCGAGACTTTCCGATCTGTATTTGGTAAATAAAAGGCAGTCAGCATCAACTAGTATATAACGTGCTCATCCCTGGCTAACCATATTGATATTGTAATTACAGTAGCATATTTATCATATTTTACGTCTTAATGATCCATTTCATATGATGCCGAAACATGTAATGACCACGTTGCACAAAACCATACCAAAGAGTACTGCAGCTCATCAATATGCTATCAAATCCCACAAAAGCAACACACTGTGCGAGAAAAATATTGGGTATTAGAAGGCTCCTGAGATGCTGCCGCAGGTTAACGGTTTATAAAAGCCTCGCGAAATGCTATCGACACATATTAGCATCTCAGTTTCCTCAAGCCCTTCGACAGCCTTTTATTCTAGATGCCAAATCCTCGATGAACTACTCATTTTTGAGCATCTATAACAACATCGAAGAGAAGTGCTATATAGAGAGAGGAGCCATTTTTTATATGTGCGCGGCTACTTCCACTAATTAGTACATCGTGTGTACCTGTCTGATACTATGTAATCACAATTAAGTGTAACACCTCATACAAGCACACCAATACTTCTATCACATTTAATTACTGGTAATTTAAATTAAAGGGAAAGATTTTAAAGCAAGTTTATAATGTTGACTTTTATAATAAGTGTGTGGAGCAGCTTTTGACCACTGCCTAATTGCAATGTTTCCCGGAGTTATCAACGGTTAGGTGGCAATATCTTAATTTTTCAAAAAGATTGTCCATTCGAGCTCAAGAAGAGTAAAAAGAGAGAATCAGAGAACGCATTGCAAAATCCACTACTGTGGCTAGGCTGACCGTTTATAGATCAAAAGTTTCTAACAAAGCAATGTACTAAAAGCACTTAACACCCAACCTGCCAGGGCTCTACTTACAAGGTAGCAATATTAAAGTATGCGTCCGGACTCTTTGACACAAAAGGGCTACATATTACGCACCTGCGCATAACAACCTGCGACCGTCAAATGGGTGATATTGATTGGATCAAGTGTAATATATAGGAACAGAGTGTCCAACAGGGATTGTTGGTCCACTTGACTTCTTGTAAATATCTTGCCGCTAAAACAATGATGGGATCCTTGGCAATGGCAATTCTGCTCTGTATTCTGCTGCGCCCTCACCTTCAACGTATGAGGAAAAAACACTGCTGCCTATGTAACTACAGTACTTCCATAGATCGCCGCACACATTTATTCCTTGTTTTTGTTAAAACAAACATTCATCCTCCTCGTCCTCATTTCTAACCGCGCAATTCAATCGCACCCTTAAATTTTTTTGTAGCTCATGTGTTCAGTGAACATTTTGGCACTCGAAGCTTTTGTATTTGTTTCGGCCGGGAGGCTGGGCGCGTGCACTGACACGTCTTTCCAAAACAAGCGGCGAAAGTATCGGAGGGTACACCCGCATGATGAAACATAGATTGTGCAAGGTGATACATGCCGATCACTGCTGCTAACATATTTGACTTCTTGACGACAACTGTTACTTACACATCTCTATCCCCTTCCTTTTGCTTTTGTGCTTTTTTACGTAACATGGTATAAGCGGCCCATAAGGCGAGCCAATCTTCCCTTGGTAATAACATCTCATTTCACGAGGAAATGTCTCCTTATCTGCAGCATAGTCCCTCTGAAAGGCATTACCATCAGCAGCAGCGCTTGATCTGAAGCCAAATATTGACTGACAGCTGCGAAACCGCGTTGCTAGACACTGTGCTTCCACCATACAAACTAAGCTATTGTTTTCGTATGTGTCTTTCCCCGGATGTATGATCGTTTAAAAAATGTTTAAACACCATCAGCAGCGCTTAATATGAAGCTAAACATAACTGAAAGCATTTTTTGAAGACACTTTAAGTAATACGGTGTGCACTTATTGCTAGGACAGTTTTTTTTATTACGCCGATGGTTTGTGAGCTTCATGTGCCACTCATGTATGAACTCGACAATATCGGATGAACCAGCGTTCCATTTTTCTCGTGCTTACCCGCTTACAGATTGGATAAGCGGCCGTCGTACACACAGAAGAAAGCAAAAGAGCCCACATCAAGAAAAAGTTGGATGTGCTCTACTTTTGTATATAAGGAAACATATAAGGAGCAGCACGAGTATATGTTACGCTTTCGTGAGCCTGAATTGTATTGACATTTCTATTTGTTTGTTTGTTGTGAGCATACAGACAAAGAGCGAAATAGGATAAGATGCACGCCGTAATGCAAATAAGAATGCCAGCCTTCTTTTCCCCTAAAGTGTGTCCAAAAAGCAATCTGTAGTTGCCTGTCTGTGGCGTTTGCTTATCATTATATGAAGATATGACTGCACCTTTGCTAGAAAGACATGATTAGCGGTATGTATGTAAGTTTCAGCCTTTGGGCTCGGACTCTCCCTTCTATTGAAGGAAGTGTAAACATTACAAGCAACAACAACAGGAAAAGCCTGTGCATAGATAGAGATGATGAAACAACAAGAGACTATTTACCTATTCATCTTCCCGCTTGTTGTTGTTGCTTCTCTTTCTCTCCGAAGATATCTGCATTGATAAAAAGATGATTCGAGTTCTTCTTTTTGGTAAGTAGTAAATACACACTAGGAAGTTGTTGCTCATCTTTTTCACTATAAGGAGTTAGCATACCCAAGGAAACTCATGAATACGTTTAGTCGTTGCCACAGTGTTTTATTTCTGCTTGTACAAATTGCACTACGATACTGGATTTTCGCTGCCTTGCCATGGTGTGATCGAAGAAAAACAATTCAAAAGTCATTATCATCATAAAAGCTGCTATTGTGTCATTTCTCATCCCGAGCATGGTGATGATGAGAACCGCAGTAGCAGCAGTTCAATAATGGCCGTGATGGTTGACAACAAGCCATATCCCTTGGAACCTGGGGTGCGTGGAATACCTCTTTTACACTGTGGAATTGCGCCTATGGCTAATGGCGGCGCTTACTACTATGTTAAAACCCACATCGGCAACAGCAACAGCAGCAGCAACAGCAATAATGATGTCGCAATGGCACTTACCATCGACGAGCGCGAGCATTTTGTCAGGCGAAGAGATCATCGACTCCATCTACCACAGCAATACCGTCGTGAAAATGACGGCTACGATGACCTTCTTGCACGTTTAAAACGGATGAGAAAGTACCGTCAGCCGACACATGACTTTTACAATCGGACACAAAACAAATGGCCTATCCGTCCTTTGCCTCAACTTTATAAGCCGCTCTCGGCAATCCATCGCGTCGATCCAACTCCTGTTACTACGATGGACCGTCGTACCAAATACTACACAGACGAAGTGCCAACAATCTATTTTATTGCAGACCCAGCTGAGATAGCCTCGATGCATGAACATAGAATGGAGAAAATCAAAGTAACAGCCAGAATGTTTTACATTAGGTAAAAGTGAAATTACAAGAAGCTTATATATGTCCATCCAAAAGAACAAAAATATGCTTTTTGTTCGCTCCTATTTGTTTAAATAAGCTAATGTAAATCTGCATGTAGCTCTTCCCAAATACATGAATTCTCGAATGTTAGGCTCAGGGTTGCCGGGCGGAGCTCCCGATCCATACCTAAACTGAGCTATGATATAAAGATCCGCAAACAAGCAGATGCAACTCTGAATGGATACCGTCGTCTCAAACTGCGTGCCTTCGGCTACGACCCTTCGTATATACGCGAAAATTTGGCTTATCGAGTATTGGAGTCTTTGGGTATGCCTGCTTCATCTTTCTCTTATGTCAGGTATGTACTGTGTACCTCATTGTACCGACCGAAAGTACTGTGGTGTATGCGAAAAATCATGAACGGCCAGAGTACTGTAACTCATGATATAACCGCGTCAGGAGTTAATGTGCTATCGCTATATTAAAAATCAAACAACTTTACTTTGTTCTCTAGAATGTTTATCAATGATCAAGCAATCGGTCTCTTTGGGTTGGTAGAAGCTTACACTGATTCGTGGCCACAGAACGAGTTTGGGTATGGCCAAAACGAGTACCAACAAGGGTTCCTGTATCAAGCCAAGTCCGTGAAAGTTCTTGGTAGACCGACACAGTATATCTCAGATTTACGATATCACAACAGCAGCAGTAGTAATGACGACAATGAAAATATCAGCAATCCAAAAGAGTATCCTTATGCTCAGGGACAGTACAAGATTAAGGCTAAACCATCGCTCGGTGACAGCTCATTTATTCCGCTTGCCGAACTTATAGAATTTATTGCTCAAGCGCCTACAGACGACAGTCCGCAAACAATCAGAGAGTGGCAACAACATCTTGATATGGAAAGCGTCCTTAGAAGGTATATCTCCTATCCTATAATCATCAAATATTTAAAATATATGGATACATGACTACCAAGAAACAAACTCTCATAATATCTATTATATATCTACTTGAATGAAACAAGTTTGGCACTAGAGATCATAATTGGTTTTGCAGACGGATTCATTAGCATGGCTGATAATTACTGCTTGTACCAAAACGGATATAATTCGACTCAATTTATATTTGTTCCGGCCGATTTGGATTCTACGTTTGGACAGACTTTACTACCAATATCTCAGATGCTTGACGGCGACTACACTCAGTATCCAGGGTTCCAAAACCGCGGTTTTCTCAACAAGATATTACAAGTACGGCCGTTCAAGGATCGATTTGAAAGCTTGCTCAAGAATATCGCTAGAAGACTCATCAATTTGGATGTCTTGGACGAAACCATTGATGATCTGGTGACTATGCTCAAACAAGATGTAAAATGGGATCAGTCGCTTCCTCGTGTTCATCCCGGCGGCCCAATTAAGCTCTGCAACCCTCAGATGCCGGACGACAAGAAGAATACCAAAGAGACGACACATATTGGCGCGATGACACCAATGCCTATTACGAGTGCTATAGAAGATACTGGTTACCGAATAGATGCTGCCGCGTTTCCTATATTTGGGGATGCCGTCCGCGATACCTGTAAAATTCTGACAACCAATCGTGTCACTTTTACAGCGGCAGTGTATGAATCGACAGGTCATATTTCACTTGCAGGAGTCAAGGAATATATAGCTAACAGTAGTCGTGCCATACGAAATTTTTATGGCATTTCATAATCCTGGAAACTGCTATATCATTAAAATATGTGTTAATGTATATCTTAAAAAAAAAGAATGTACAGTAATATTTTGCTTGCCTACTGCTTTCTTTCTTCGCGATTACAGTATTTATCAATTCTCGTTGCGCAGTTCTCATTATAAATTATCCATGTGTGATATTACGAATGGTATATATGAAAAAAATAGTCGTCCCTATATATAATAAGAATTGAGGAAGCACTCTTTGCACTATAGAGATAGCAGCAGTTTAAGCAGGGGAGTTGCTTCATGATCCATGGTTGTCGTTGATTTTATAATAAAAATTACATATTTTTTGGATACCACCGCGGCGCTGTTCACAGCATCGAGTCCACACAATATATATATTTTATATATGCATAACTGATGTTGATTATGTATACATGGTTCTAATTCTATATAAAAACTCTGTTACCTCTGAAGAAATGATTCCAACTACAGTACTGTAATGTGAGAGCTTACAATGAAATAATAATTAAAGTGTTAACAATGATCGGGAACTGCATTGATTAGTTTTTAGGTCATTTTATTTCGACATGTAGGCAAGATCCTCTATCGTTTTTAAGACGACTAGCAGCATTTCTTTTCCGGCAAACTTTCTCATATGTAAAACTCGTTTCCGTTTTCGTTTTGATGGACGGCAGCGAAAAATAACTTCAATTCTTAGGATAGCACGGCATGATTTGTACCCTTGTTACTACAACTAACAGATGACCGGTGCGTTCTTCGGCAAGTATTTAATAGCACATTCGAATATCCAGAAACGTATATTACGGAGGGTGATTGACTTTTATAGGACGATAACCTACGTGTTCACATCTTAAAGAAGAAAGCCATTTCGTTGCCATGGAGGATTGCTCAGTAATGAATTGATGAAAAATGCATTGATCTCAGTGCGACAAGCTGGACGGATGTTACACAAAAGGCTGAGCATGCGTAAGGTATAAAAAATTCCAGTGCATAAAACTGTACTGTACTCCCATTATCTCTTTGCTCTCACAGTTCCATCTATATCATAGCCGCTATCGTTATTACATCCTTGAATTATTATAGAAAAATAATGTCAACCGAACGCATCTTCGTTACCGGACCCACTGGAAAAGTTGGATCCCTTGTAGTTCGGGAACTCATTAAACGAGACGTATCCGTCACTGTCTATGCTCGTTCTCCAGAAAAGGTGCAGAAAAACGCCCATACGACCGTGGTTCAAGGCGATTTCAACGACTTGACACCATTTGAAAACGCCATTTCCGGACACACCCGCTTGTTCTGCTCGTTGTGGGCACCGCCGACGACGCAAAAACCAAAACCGAGCTTGCACAAAAGGCATATGACGCCGGTGTAAAGCAGGTGGTAGACCTTTCAGCAATAGAGCTGCCTTGGCGAACCTATGCTCTTACCAACGTACTTGAACAAGCAGAGGAAAAAATCTTCAACTTGCCGAACCGCGGTAGCTATGTTTCTCTGCGACCCACGAACTTTATGACCGATACTCTTTATGTGGTGGATTCGATCAAAACCAAAGATGCCATTATTGATGCGGCTAGCCCGGAAGAACTGCAAGAATGGATCTCCCCACGAGACATAGCTGAAGTCGGTGTCAATGTTTTGCTCGATCCGGTGGAAAAACACGGTGATGCCGCGTATGAGCTCATTGGTGACCTTATCACTCCGGTGCAGCGTGCAGCTATTCTGACCGGTGCCGTGAGGCGAAAAATCACTTACAAGCAAATTCCTGTCCAAGAGCTGTATGACTTCTACTTGAAAATGTTTAATTTTTATGCTCTGGCGTACTACTTGGCGGCCTATAATCGCACCAACCCTGTGGTTCGCGGTCTGCCGATACTGCTTGGCCGAGAACCCGAATCGTACGAGGCGTGTGTTGCCAATAACAAACAAGCCTTCCAATAGTGCATACAGTAATATCTTTATAGATAGTTAGCATTTGTATTCTCGTATAACACAAAACAGTGGTTAATGCGTACTTTATTTCAAATAACTGTTTATGCAATCCTGCGTAATGTATAGTTACCCGTAAAGCAAAAAACAGACCAAGTGGTCCAGCACCAGAGATCAAGACGTCAACGTTCTCTTACCATCCTTTTTTCCTGACTCGTGGTGATTTAAGAGTTGTTGCTGTTGCTGTTGTAACTTAGCGTGTAGTAGTTATCAGATACGTAAGCTGGAAGAACCAGCAATCGGAAGTACACAATTGCTTAAATAGTACTAGAAAAATAAGGCACGGTGGTTTCGGAGCCAAGACCTCTGCTTCTTCCAGTATGAAGCATATTGACTCAGAGGAAAGGAGTTTTCGATTTTCGTCACCCTTATTTCCTACGAATTCGCTCTATGCAGATCAGAACCCCTTTTTCGGGTTATTCGGTGCAACACCAACCGAATTTACTAAATTGGCAAAATCCTAATACCAGAAACTAAATCACAGTACCGTTAAGTACGTGCAACTTTTATATTTAGATATCTCATGTACTACTCTTGTGTGAAAGGGATTGTTATCTGAAAGAGAACAACGTTTATTCGATTAGTGATATTGATGAGTATATATAGTAGTAGGGGCTAACTGTCACATCTTGAAAAAAAGGAACGTTCTTCCTCAATATCAGGCGCTGCGAAATTTGTCGCGAGTTTGCGATTGCCCTAACTTTTTGAAGAGAAAACTCTTTGTTGTGTGTTTGCATGACAAATTATCTGTTGTCCTATACTCTTCATTGCTAACATGTTTAAAGAGAAATTGTCAAATAATGAGATGTGTACGCTGATGACACTTTACAACCCACTTTATTCATGAAAAGGTGCACAAGATAGTTTAAGCGCGCAAAACATTTATCTTTGCATTTCACTCATATAAGCTATTCCACGCATTCAAATTTTCCCAACATATCATGTTCGCATGGCCAACCGGAGCAGCAAGGAGTTTGACTACGAGGATCACAAACATTCCCAGTAGCAATACAAGTGCCACTATCATCAGCAGAAACCAGCACGGAAGCCAGCATTGAGGCCAAAACCACGGAAAGAGAAAGGCGTTGGAGAGAGAAAACTTGAACCATGTTTGTCTTGTTTACTATAAGCGTGTACATATAAATTATGGTAGTTGAATAGATTTAAAGGTACATAGTAGTGAAATTAAGAAAAGATGACTTACAATGAGTGAGGATCACAAAAATATTTGATATAGAGCAAAAGCGTTCTGTAGAAAAACGAGCCTTTTATACTAAAAGACTGACTGTAATTCTACCTCTGCAAGGTAAAAGGGGCTAGGAAATGTAACGCCATCTGTAGAGCATACTGCATTGTAACTTCCTATGATACAGAAGTAAAAACCATATGCATTAAATCAAGCCCAGCCCTTCCTTATTACGCCACACAAGGATCATCAATTGAGCACATCTGGCTATATATTTATATTGAAAAAGTTGACGAAAAAGTAACACTACAGATGATACTCTCTACCTATTAACTTGACAGCCCATTACACAAATGTTGAATATAAATACTATTATTCTAAATGTGCTGACAGCTAATGTATTTCTTGGAGAAGAAATCTCATACCTTCTCTGTATTCTGCGTCGTATATGTGGAAATGAAGATCATTATGCATGATTGCGTCTATGCAGCACATCACTCCTTAAAGTATGTATCTGTGCAGATGCAGATATTTTGGGATCATCGCCACATATATCAATTCACCTACAGCCAGACTCCGTTTTTTGCAGTTCAAACAGCATTTAGGTGAAGATGGCAAAGTGGCAACATCCTTTATGATAGGCAATTTGCCAGCAATAATAAATCGAAGGAAATATGAATATATACAGCGGTTCCCCGTTTAATTTCACACTCAACAAGATAAACCCTCAATTAATACGGTAAGTGTATGCCGTATATGTACATAAGAGTAAAGGTAATGAATATGATTTCGTGTGTTGGGTGGATACGAAAACTAAGTTGTATAAGGTACATTACAGTTTTGGTGATGGGAGCAAGATGTTGTGCTAATAGATTGTAACCTTAGGACTTGTTGGCAGCAGCGACAAAAAATGATTTGATGTCCGCTGTTTTCGGCGCTGCAGTCGTCTTCTTCTTTTTAGCATTTGTTGGGTTTGTACTGCTTTTGCTCGCCTTTGTCGCCGTTGTGGTCTGTATTAATGACATATGATTTGGTATATCAATATCAAACCAATGACGAGGGGGACCGAATGAGAAGAGAAAAGGTCCATGTGAAATCTCTTACCTTTTTGTTTTGAAACTTTTCCAACAATGCCAGGGCCTTTTTTAGCCCTGTAGGAATAGGTGAAGTTTTCAACTCATCGCTAGTGACCCACTTGACTTGTTCTTTGTCATCCACAACAGTTCCCTCCGAAACATGGATCCATTCGACATGATACACCTTGCGAATATGGGAAAAAAGATGCACAACGTTTCCAAGATCCTGTCTCTGTGATACTGCTCCCTTTGCAGTGATGTCCAGGTCATAACGTTCGCATAGATAGTCGCTTGCCTTGACTGCTCGTTCATTGTAAGTTGTGGTCAAACTTCCCAATTCTAAGCTTGGAAATTCCCATAGCCCTGCCAATAATCCCGTATCCGGCCTTTTGGAAATCAAGAACTTCGAATCAAGTTGGATGATATAGACTGCGCATTCTAATAACAATGTAAAAAAAGGTCAGAAAGAAAGATGCACAGCTAGTCCTCTTGATCTTCCCGTACTTTCTCTTTTAAAATATTCTAACCTTCATTTCGAGCCTTCTTCTTTTCTGGCTTTGCCGGATATCTATTGAAGCATATTTCAATCTAAATGTTATGTTTTCTGAATGCAATATCATACCTAGTGACAGCATAATCTTCGTCTTCGCGCAAGACTGTTTGTATTTCAGGGCAATGAGCGCACTCTAAAGACAATCGTGGTGTAAATCAATGAGCGTTGTAAAACAAGCAAGGTAAAAAGAAACATTAACTTACCATGTTCCATTTCCTCCCGTTTGCGCTTCTTTTGTTCCCAGAACTTCTCTGCTTTTAATCGTGAATAGACGTCTCGTTGTGTAAAAGCATAACAGTTGCTTTGTAAAGGACAAGATCCACATTGAGGATTCTGTGGAGTGCAAACAGTTGCACCTAGCTCCATCAACGCTTGATTAAAATCGCCTGGCCTTTCCTTTGATACTAATTTCGCAGCAATTTCCCTTATAGGGGTATTTGATTCACATAAGTAACAGAGTCTAAGTCTAGCATCTGCTATGGAACCGTTTCCTACCAAAACAACTCGACAGTACTGGATTTCTTAGGATCGGCACCAATGGCACGCAGACGAGCAATAACACGGATTACGTTACCGTCAACGACAGGTACACACTGGTTGAACACAATGGATGCAACAGCACCAGCCGTATACCGTCCAACACCAGAGATGTGTTTTTGCAAGTCGTCAGCATTGTTTGGCAAAGACCCATCGAATTCATTGCACACTTTTTGCGCACCCTCCCATAACCGACGTGCCCGAGAGTAGTAGCCTAATCCTGCCCATAGCTCGTTAACTTTCTAAATACATGTTCTTTTTAGGTTATTTGTACAGTATCCTGTGGAACAATAATCAGATAAATTGAATTTGTACCTCAATATCGGCATTCGCCAATGCTTGCATCGTTGGAAAAGTTGTCATCCATCGCTTGTAGTACTCAATGACAGTAGCAACTTGCGTCTACGATGCTTCTATCAACCAATCTATACAGAGATACTTTCAAGGTATCAAGATTTTGGATCCTCTCGTTTACCTGTTGCAGCATGATTTCGCTCACCCAAACTATAAAAAGGGAAAGGGAGAGGACGTGTCAGACGCCATAATGGCAACATGCTTTTTTCTTTATCTTCCAAGCAAGCATAATATATAGCATATACCTTCATATGCTCTTTGGCTGAGAGCCTGTTGTTGTGTTTGCGCAAAAATATTAGGTATCTATTCGTCCTTGGGAGCCAAACTATATAAAATGACAGGTGATCGCTAACCTCAAAGTCGAGATCGGTACGCGTTGGTTTACGCCAAGGCATATTCGTTCGTTTTTCGCGATCGTAGTAATCAAGCAATCGCTCTTGGATCAAACTTCGATCTTGAGCAGACACTGTATGGTACAAATTGCCGTGAGCGAGACAACCTGTTTGAACGCAGTCTTCAATATCAAGTTCGTTGATTGTCATGTTCTTTGAGGCTTTCAGCAACAAAAAAAAAGAGAGAATGAAAGGTTGCAGGGGCGGAAGCGAAGTTACCAACAATTGAAAAGGTTTGTGTAACATAGATCGGAAAGCAACAATGAGTGTGCACAAAATAAAACATAACAGACGAGATATGTATACGGTATCCTTCTTTTAATGCTTTTAGCACATACAAAAGCCTGTGCATTTTCTCTATGATTCAAAGCTCTTTTCCCAGAAACTAGTTTTTTTTTGAGAAGCAGCTGCTACTTGCTTGTTGGATTGTGTAAGCCATCGAATGGCAGCCTTCATCCCAGGGTAAAGCAGGCCTACATTCAACTTCCACCATTCTCTATTATATTCCATTTGTCGTTCGTATGCCTTATCCAAAAAGTCCTTGTAGAATATTGACAGTGCTTCTGGTGTTACGTGCTCTCCGTTTTGTTTTACTATATAATGGTACCTGATGCGTCAATTTATCTTAATTCACAGATATCTGTCTATCTGCAGTGTGCAAGGAGCTCAGTCCTTGTGTAGCTTACAGTTGTTTTCATATTCGGCTTTGGCGTCCACAAACATTGTATTGTTGTTCGTCCAAAATTTCTGGTTGAATTCGTCCACTCGTTCGCGTAGTTCTCGCCATTCCTTTTCCTGCATAAAGCAACAAAGATTTTCAGGTTATCTCGTTGCTCACGAAGCTACATATATGGTTTAAGAATTGAATTTATGTGAAAGAATAATCAACATACGGCTTCCGATTCATTAGGCGCGACATAGTAGCGTACAGGTCGTAAATTGGAAACGGGATCAGGTGTACCAATCATGTCGGCAGCCACAGGCGTTAGTAAAGAATCCGTAGAATGTGGTCGTGCATTTGAATACTGTCGTTTGGCTATAGAACGTGTGCATTTACAGACTTGTTGCTATATTTTACAAAGTGCTAGTAAGATTGAGAGTGAGAAATAACTTGACGAATATCAACCATTTACTCACACGAACAAGAGTTGACATTTTGACTTTTTCGAGTATTAAGAAGGCAACAAAAAAAATTCATCAAAACATGTGGTCAGACGACTGGGGTTCAATCAACCGTCTGAGCCTTATAGATTTTTAATGCGCACTATGTGCACAAGTTGCTTTACATGAGGATGTACAAGTTATATTAAGTATCTTACAATTCCATTTGAGTGCATGAGTATCACGACATATCAAATGGCTCTCGATTCAAAAAGTTATCTAACACAAGTTGATCTAGAGTACTCTGCACTTCTCGTGATGATGATTCTGGGCCGACTTGTTGCTCTTGAATGCGTTGCCAGGAGAAAATCAAGTCTTAGTAGAGAAGGCTCTTTTTCTTGTTGTGAAGAAGATGAGCTTGATGTTGTAATATTGGAAATTGATGTGCTGCTAACGGTGGTGGTGGATCCCAAGTGATGGTTTATCTTGTATAGCTGCCCTTTGTCTGATTAACGTTGAGGAATCTTCAAATGTCAATTGGCTAGCAAGCTGTTCAAGGACTACTGCGTTCTGACATTGGTTGACTACATCATCTTTTCTGTACAAATTTGCACATCGTAGCAAATTTCTACGTGCCTGCAACTGAGTATCCAGGTCCTCGCTATTGTAATTTCGCAAGAAAACAGTGGCACATTGCGCGACCGTGCTAATAGCAATTTAAAGAAAACAAGAAGCTGTTATTATCATAGGAAATAAAGAGGCAAAAATAAGCACTGATCATTGTTTTCTTATTACAACGGTACATAGCACTTACTAATCTTTCATACACGGCATACCCATTACTGGTGTCTGATCCAAAAAGTCGATAATATTTATGGCGATCGTAGTGCAAAAGCTCAACAACTGGCTTTTGTCAAACATCGTTTGTCTTGATAAAATAAGTGGTCGATAAAGAAGCAGCAACGCATTGTTGTAAAACATGTCAAACGTTTCTACAGCCACAGAGAAAATTAGAGTTGTTAAACTCAACTGCACTGTTTTGTCAGTTGATGTCATCAATAAGCACTTGAAAATTACATACCGGTTTCATATCGAAACCCTGTTTTTCTCATATCTGCTTCTTGTCTCCATGTAATGAGTGCTGTATCCAAATTGCTCACTACATCAATGTCGATACCATTCCAGTTATTAGCGGGAGAGACGGCAGCAACCATCTTTTGTGTAGGTATATAGAGAGACAAGAGAACACGACCAATCATCTGTGCCAGAGGAATAATCTGTAGATGTGAATTGAAGATAGGCCGTTGCTCACGAATATCTGCATCAGTCTCAATCAGTAACTGTGGGATACAACCACTCGAGTATTTATCCATGACAGCCCGATCTCCTCCAACTTGGTCGTCATAGTTGTCTGGCGCGCTTTCATAGACGGATGACAGTTCGACATCGAAATCTTCCTCGCGGATAGTATCATAAACGGTTTTCCAGTTGCTGCCGCGGAAATCTTGTCCCACAAATTCAGAGTATATGCTAGTCGTCTTCGTGTTTCTTGCTCATATTTTGGGAATCTTTGTAGATTTGGATCACGAAATAACTCCAAATCTTGACCCTGATCAAATATAACTCATCATGATGCATCAGATATTTCCTTCCTTTCAAAGTTATAAATGACTTGATGATAGAAGATAAAGACTATGATTAATTTACCATGCGGATTGCCTATGCAGTGAGCACGTTGATGCGTGGTCCGGTAAACGATTTCCGTTAGAGCGCTTGATGACAAATTAAGCTGTAACATCCTAAACCCAATTTAAATATTACCGCTCCTAGTATTAACCTAAAAAAAATAACATGGTATTCATGACAGTATGTATATATATTTCTAGGTTAGTATTCAAAATGACTTTTATTTTTGGCGTATATTCAAATCAATTTACCAGTTGGCCGATGTTCCTTCACTATCTGAGTTCGGTGCAAGCATTGCCATCAGAAGCAGTGTCTGTATCGCGCTGATACTGGATCGCTGAAAGACCAACTCCTTGACCTTTACCATGGCTTTTTCTCGTAAATGTCGTCCTACTTTGCGCTCCAACGCATATTCCTCCATCGATTTTGTTTTGTTCATAAATTGACAGCCGAGAGCGCACACCGCATAAAAAAGATGCTTTTCAGGTGGTTGAGGATGCTGGTAGTAGTACTGCATTAAAAATGATCGCCTATCAATGAGTGTTAACCTGGGGTGAGGGAATTCAAAAAAGCTAACAGAAATAAACATAATGTCCAGATTTTCAATGGTTAAGCAATATTTCTAAGATGAGAACACGGACCACCATATATGCTTACGCTGTCAGCATGCGCTCTGTCAATTCGGTCGTCAAGTTAGGACTGTAACGCATGATGCATTTGTAAGTCTCCAAGGTTTATGCGTGCCTGTACACACAGGAGCAGCTCCGTCTGCAGTTTTGATGTGCTTTTCCAATATAAAAAGATGCCAACCTTTGTCCTGAAAAGTATCATTACGCACAAAAGCCAAAGAAAGAAGTAGCTCAGTTGATATTTTTATTCAAAGAATATAACAAGGTAAGAAGCAGCAGCAGCATTAAACATGTTATTAGGCAAAATCATAGGGAAAGCTACACCAAATAAATTTTCACTCTCGGCGTCTTGACCGACAGAAACACTACAGTATCATAATACAAGCGAAATTCGTTGAGTCAAAATCCCACTTGATATTCGTTGACCATACTCAAGGTTTTATTTTTTTATTTTCTTAGGCGCGCTAAAGGAGCGTCGAGTTTTATTACAGACTACGTCATATTGAGCGGTAAAAAGAAGTGACATAAATGCTTTAAAGTACATACTTAGAAGGAATACAGTCTCGTGTATAAAAACTAGAGTGCTTTGAATGACATACTGTACTCGAGGTGTGAACATTGACAGAGTTGAGCTAACCGGGGTTCCATATTTTAGACAAATACAGTTTTTCATCGACTTAGTAGACACAAAGAAGTTTAATACAATTTAATGATGACATAAGTATATCAAAGGATCTCCATGAATAGCGATTCCCAAGAGACTGTGATAATATCGCTTATATGCTTCCAAGAAGAAAAAGTATTTACAAGCAGAAAGGAAGAATTATAAATTGAGAGTATATACGGAGGAATACAGGCACAAAGCAAAGTGATAAAGATGATGATGAATTATACAGCAACCACTACTAATATACAACATCCTTATTGTTCAGTGTTGAAGTAAGAAGGAATCGCTAGGAAAAATAGTGGTTATTGTACATATTTGTTGAATCCAAACACATCCAAGCAGACAACGGTATCGACCTTGATGTGTTCTCGGAGGTCATATCCATCCAACTGAACTTGGCCGACGTATCCCGTTTGGGAATTATCTTCCCCTTCACTCATGTCTGTTACTGCCACCAACATTCGGTCTTCAGGATCTACCCGATGATTTTCAATTAAACCTTCCCGTCGATTGAGGCAATGGATGGTGTATCGAATGCGTGGTTGCTTGGGGATAGTGGTTGAAGTAAATTGGGAAGGTGCTGAGCAGCGACGACGGAGCGTGGATGGTTGTGTTGCTGATGATGGCACTAACGCTACTTTTGAAGCAGGCGTTGTTGGCTGTGATGAAGGCATTCCAGCTGTGGGTTGCCGTGATAGCGCGGGTATTCTGTTTTGGTGATGGTGTGCCGCCGACATCACTGAGAAGTTGTTGTTGCTGCCTAGTTGCGCTCGTTGTAGTTCAAAGCGACAAACCAAAACCCGACTGTCTTTGTGGGTATCTCGTTGACTGTCATCATTAACAACTCTGCTAATGTTGCTTCCATTAGTATCACTATCGTCGTCGTCGTCTTGGATAACCAATAGATGGTGGGGAATCACTTGGGCCTCAATTTGAATGCGGTACGTTGTGCCCCAGATCACTTCAGGTTGCGAATAAAACGTCTTTCGCCAAATGACATCCTGGTATATGTGCTTGCCATACCGATGTGCCTGTGGTGCACTGTTGTTGTCGTGTACGTCATGCGACTGCTCGTCGTGGGTATCTGGATTGTTGTCATCATTGTCGCTCAGAGTTCTGGAAAATGATGCTTGTTTTGGTAGCTCTGTGGGTGGCGGCGAGCCAACCACGAGTTCTCCAACCTTATGATCGCCGATTTCATCGTCGTCCTCCAAGTTCACGATTTCCTCTTTTCCCTGATTTTCTTCTGGTTCATCGACATTGCCATGCTGTTCCGCTAATAATTCTTTGGGAGGCGAATGCCCCTCGTTCACCGGATTACCCGGGCTATCATCATCATCATCATCCGCCCTCGATGATGATACGTTTTCGTCCCGGATCCAGCCATTTTCAGTACATGGTGGTGACAACGTTATAGTCATGCAGAATCGATACTTGGCCGTTCCTAGCAGTATCTGTCGTCGATAATCGTCCGAATCGCTGACATCAAAGAAATCATTCAATGCTGCGTGTCGTTCATCACTATCTTCTTCATCGATATCGTCGTCGTAGCTATAGCCACGCATCGCAGGAAGTAGAAGTTGTTCAAACTGTTTCTGTTGCCATAGTGCTCGAAACACGATTTCATCATCAACGATCCCGTCCCGGTGAACTTTGGTGAGCTGGTCAAGCGTCATGTTGCTGTAATCGATTGTCGTTTTTAGCAAATGGGAAAGGACCGTTGCTTTATCAATGATACCACCTGATGATGCATCTTCAGCCAAGCTTTTGAAAGGGACTGTAGCTGAAAAGCTGAGACGGGCAAGCTTGCTGGCACGATGAGGAGAGGTGTAATCTGACGCGAATTCATTCGATGGTATGCGCTTTCGTTTTCTTGAACGGATGTCAACGGCTGTAATTGGCTTCGGTTTGACAAAGCCAGAAAGGCGCTTGCGGTCTTGATCCACAGGGCCGTTCTTTGTCCAAGTGATTTCTCCGACGGATCGCATGAACAGAGACAATACTTCGCGAATGAGACAATATCGATCATACTCGCATCCAACAAACAGCATATCCGCGTTAAGAACATCGGCCATGTAATCGACTGGCAGCTCGCTCAAAACTTCTGGTTCGTCTGGACCGTGTCGCAACAGTAGCAATAGTGCCGCGTCCCTAAGCTGCAAGTACGCGTGATGACTTCGTGGCAGTTGACTAATGTGTTCCAGGTCGCGTATAATCGTCTCCATGGACAGCTGCTGTTCGATATACTTTTCCACACATGATGTTGCTAAGTCGTCCAGTCCGAACAGTATAGCCATGACTAGAACACGTAAGGTATCTTGGTCTTCCAACGTTTGAACGAGTTCTTGTCGGTCATATGCGTACATCCATCGTAATGCGAATCGAATGTGAGAGGAGAGAATGTAGTTTGCAAGCGGCTTGACCGTACCACCTGACGGTTGTTGCTCAGTTTCTTCTGCTGTTTCTGTTGGTACTTGTGATGGTATTGACAAAGACGGCGACGGTACTTCAGGGCGTTGCCATTTGCGACGAATGATGAGCTGGAATGGTGTCAGTACAAATCCACAACGAAGTAATGCCCCAGCCAAATCGATCTTTAGCACTTTTGATTCAACTTTTTGGAGAGGATTTGCTTCAGTGTCGCTGTTCTTATCGCTGTCTTTATCGTAAACGTAAATAGTTGTGTGGCTGTGCAGTTCGTTCACGTTGTTCAATATTTTGTGGAAGAACGGAGATTGCGAGACAATGTTCTTATGGACCTCGAACCGCATGCTGAATGGATGGGTAGGATGAATAACGTCGAGTGACAAATCAGCAAATGCTGAATCGTCAAATATGGTTGCCATGTGGCGTTCCAGGCGTGGGCGTGATTGGGCACGTTGCATGGTGTTGTGAAGAAAAAGAGAAGGGTTAAAGACAATTGCCTTCAAAAATTACCTTTTACTCACCCTTCACAGTATCACACTCAGTTTTTTTATTTTGGCGTTGCTCTTGGCCTTGGTATTACTACACCTATATGACAAGTTACGTTCATCGATACTTCGTTTGTGAACTCATGCTCCTTCGGCTTTAACCGTCCTCGATTTTCATATGTTGCACATTATGCAAATCGTGTTTTACTGACTCGGTAGGGATATGTCCATACATATGTTGGGGAATGTTTTTCTAGTACCTTATCATCACCGTAGCATACAAACGTATGTAGGTATCCTGATACGTAGAGGAAAATAGAGATATTGATAAAAAAAAGAGTTTGTATGTCGCATTCTCGGAATAGATGCAATGAGTTGTAAGTCGCTGCAAAAACCACATACTCCAAGTACTTTTTAGTACAAGGCAATGACAAAGATACTAGTATGAGCAGCGCGGAAGAGCAGTGACAAACGTTTGTGTATAAACTAGCATAGAAATGATTCCCTCGTACTAGCAAAGGTCTATCTCAAATAGACGACTCTACTACAGTTTTTGTTGCAGCAGTACTAGACAAAGCATACTTTTTCTGCTTCTGCTTCGGTCGAAGCTTGCTGACTTTATGCACATCCTTCCATCTACAACTAAAATCCACTGCTATATAGATAATACAAATGGTATAAGAACACTGTATACAAGTCGCCTCCAAATTGCTACCGTTAAATATAGTGATACGGGTCTGTTACGGTAGCATCAGTGAAAAGCTATGTTTGACATCGCGTACCGATGATGCTACTAATCAGGTATGTCTTGAAATGTTTCATACGCTTCTTTTTGATACATCAGCCAGTCAGTTTATGCAAAATATAAACACTTTAAATGTCTGTGTTTTTAGAGCGAGCTGATCCATATGAATTATCGAAGGTTTTGTCCCTCAATTTTTTAATGCCCCGTCGACACGAACTTTTCTCCTCTGCTATTGTTTCAACATGGAAATTCCCATATCAACAACGCTATTAAAAGATTTCAAAGCAACCAAAACATTCAAAGATAATCAGAAACCCATTACATCGATATGTTTTAATGACACGGGCGATCTATGTGTTACCTCAGCACAAGACGAGAGCTTAAATGTATATGATTGCAAGGATGGCGAGTAAGTCTTTTCTAAGGGCATCTAGTCAACCCGCCAGGTAAAAAGAGAAGTCTAACAAAAAGTTGGTGGATGCAATCAGAAAGCGATCGACTCTTTTTAGTAAAAAGTATGGCGTTAATTTGGCAAGATTTACACACGCAAGCAGCAATGTTGTATATGCTTCCACTAAAGAAGATGGTAAGTTAGTAATAACATGGTATGAAGCCTAGCTCTCTTTCTGTGAGTAAGAACAAGAACACTGACGCGTCTTTTTTTGCCTCTGTGATGGGATATGTAGATACGCTACGTTACCTGTCTCTACATGATAATAAGTATATCCGCTACTTTCGAGGCCATAAACAAAGGTACCGTGGTCGAGTACGACGAATAGACACTTTACGCGTTATTAACTCTTGCTCTGTGATTAAGGGTGGTGTCGTTAGAAATGTCACCTTTAGACGATAGTTTATTGTCAGCATCTTTGGATAATACTGTACGATTGTGGGATTTGCGATCGTCGGCTTGTCAGGTACATCAGAGAGTAACTGGATAGTATAGTTAGCGGATTAGTAGTGTAAAAGAAGGACACATTGCTAATAAAACATTATTTTCAGGGAGTTGTCACCACGACTGGTCGTCCCACCGCTGCATTTGATCCTGCTGGCCTAGTATTTGCAGTGGGCACTAACTCAGGAACTGTCAAAGTATACGACTTACGAAATTACGAATCTGTAAGAGAAAGCCTCCTTTTAAATTTGAGGTAGGGACTAAATAGATATATGATGTACTTAAAATCCTTTATTTTTTGTTTGCTTGTAGGGTCCTTTTGCAACATGGAATTTACGCGACGACTACTACTACCCAGATGGCATCCCAGATTGGACAGGGCTTAAATTCTCAAATACTGGAAAGAGCATATTGATAAGCACGGTTGGACAGACCAATTATCTCATTGATGCGTTTGAGGGCCATGTAAAGCAGCGGTTAAGTGGTCATTCGCGTCTTTTGGAGACCTCATATGGAGAAGAAGCGGGCTTCGCTCCAGACGGTCGATTTGTGTTTGCAGGTAAAAAGCGGTAGTGAGGAAGAATATATACATCACAAATCAAATCCAAATTTCGTTTTTATTTAACTCATTCAACTGTACTATAAATAGGTGGACGAGATGGAGATCTTCATATATGGGATTTAGAAAATCCTGCGAATGTGGCAGGTCCTATCCACGACAATCGGCCTATGTGTACGTTAACAACGCCGCATGCCGGAAATATTCGAGCGGTCGGATTCAATCCACAGTATATGATGATGGTTACTGCTTCGGATGATCTTGTAAGTAAGAGAACTTGTTCTTATAGTCATGTCTTCCTTTTACGCACGAAAACGATTCTTTGTTCCCCGGACATCATAAAGTTACAAGATGCGCCGGTTTATCAGGATCGGAGATATACACAACGTACACATGTATACACTACATATTCAAAGGGTCGAAAAAGATTGCTCAAACTTTGATTCTTCTAGGCTTTCTGGGAACCTAAATCCGCGTTGGATTTGGCTCGATAGAAACCGAAACAGCATACAGCATGCTCCCGTTACCAGTTGTTTTTATTTTTTATCTTATTGATTTTCGGGCTCACAAGGATGCTCTGCTTCGATAAAAGCAGCATACTCGACATCGTCCATTAGCTGCTCCACTTCGTCATGGTTTGACAGCTTGATTTGGACAAACCACCCTATTGATATGTACATTTAATACTAAATTTCTTTCCCCCTTACACATCTTCCGCACTCATTCATTAAAGGAATCACATACACATCATAGCAACACACACGAGCATATATACTCTCACTTATCCTCACACCTAATACAGTTGTTTCTTTTCCCAGAAATATACCTTCATCTTCGGGGCTCTTGTTGATCAACGCGGGGTAATCCGTAAGCTCTTCGTTGGCATTGATGATTTCTCCCGAGACGGGCGTGTAAATGTCGCTAGCAGCCTTGACAGATTCAATGGCACCAATTTGATCTGTATTATTAAGTTCAAAATTAACAAGATATGTGGTATATTAGTACGAATGCTTATCATCCTGTGTTGCATCGCCCGCGGGGAGTAACGGGGAAGCAGGACTAATTCTATGTAGAAGGTATACTAACCGCCCTTCTTGACCACGTCGCCAATGATGGGTGTTTCGACAAAAACGACATCACCAAGCGATCTATAATTGTTGTTTATTGTTTTATTTACGAGTGGTACGAATACTGTAGAGATACGAAGAAGCTTACTTTTGAGCATAGTCGGTTATTCCAAGAGTACCAAGGCCATTACCGTCAACTGTCAGCCATTCATGCTCCTTGGTGTACACCGTTCTTGCTATTAGATGGAAAAGGGACATCCGCAATCAGCCATACTACTGCGAAAAAGATTAAGGACTTTCCTATCATAGCATACTCATGAGCGATTGACAAGTGCTAAATCGGAAATGGTGGATAACCCCAACTCTGATAATGCGAGTCGTCATCCTGCTAATAGGAGTTGCACATTGCCGTTGACGGCTGCAGGTGGAAGCAACTTGGCGAAACGCACTTTTGAGAAGAAGCATTCTCAAAGGAAAAAAAAATAACAAGAAAGGATTGAACACGCAACAATTTTTATTACGAATTACAGCATCTTCTATCTATCTATCTATCTATATTATTAAAATCTTTAAAAGTTAGCTGAAAAATCCAAAAAAGGAACCTCGGTTCATCCATGTAAATTCACAGACAAGCAAATACTTACGCATAGCATTCCCCAAATTCATGGGGGACCTCGGCCGCACTTTCGACCCGTGGGCACGGGGAATTTAAAATTAAAAGCAGGACTTACGCCCGGAGGCTGCCTGAGTAAAAAAAACAGCCGTTCGCGTGAAACGATGCAAAATCCGAAGATGGGTCGAGACAGAGGCTACTAGGAACTGTGAAAGAAAGCAAAGGGGGAGGGGAGGGGAGGGGGATAAACTATATTAAGAACGCAATAGACGCTTTTAATGACTTCCTGGGTCAGAGCAAGGGGAAGGAGGGGAGGGGGGTATAAAATATATAAAGAACGCAAAGAAGAAGATGAGGCTTTTAACGACTTCCTCAGGTCCAAGTCAAAGCAAAAAGCACACGCCACCGTCCAGATGGATGGATAGATCTTGACCACAGCCGATGGACTACTTGACAGGTCGGCTTCCAGGAGCGGGATGGCAGTAGAGCATCAATCTTGACCAGCGTGGATGTGTCTGTGCACTATCACCATTCTGAGAAACAAAAGAGACGAACAGATAATGGGAAATTATTAAAAAACACACACACGCACACAAAAAATTCTATCGCGCTATACTTACCCATACTTCTACGATGAGACACAGGAGAACCGAACACCCGGCCAGTGTAGAGCAGAGAATCACAGCCAAGACAAAAACACTTCTTCTAGCTGGAGAAAAAGATCATTAGAGGGTTTCACACACTGTGCTATCTTTATTTTTTGACACGGCATGCCCATCCTCCTCCATCCCAAGCTGGATTTAGCTATAATTACATTTGTTTTGTCGTTTTACATCAAAGTTATAGACAGAGAGAGATGGGGTCTAAGCCAATCCAAGTCCAAACAGATCACCGCAGAGCCATCCTCTAATAGAAAAAAGAAAACATCTATGAGCAGCTGCATACACTTTTTGACATGTCACGGCACACATCTTCCTGGTTCTTCAAACACGCAAAGACAAACACAAGCACAAAATCCTTTCCAGCTATACTTACTATCATGACATCCTTGACTTGGAGGAAGAGAGCCTTGAGTTCAAAAAGGAAAATTTTTTGAGAGACTGCCATACTGCACACGTCATGGTCAGGAACCCTTTCCCGTCACGCTGCTGCGCACACTGCACACCTTTGACACGTCAATTCCGAGCACCCAGGCCATCCTACTCATCTACCAATGTTCGAATCCCCTTTCTTACTATCTGTTACTTGTCCGCCGGATAAGATTAACCCAACCAGCATAAAGCGAAACCTGAAGTAGAAAGAAAAGAAGAATGACCATAAGCAGACTGTTCCAAAAATGCAGCTACTTTTGAAACGTCATGGCATCAGCACCCCCAACAGACACTCGACTTCTCTCCAGCCCATGCTCACACTTCATTCCCTACCGTACTTACAGTTGTTGCGTGTGCTTAAGGGTGGGGTGCAAAAACAAAACGAACCAACCATTTCAAAAAGTCAGAATCCTACAGTAGTAGCAGAGAAGAAAGGAGGATAAAATTAGCAGCTGTATGCTGTACACACACTTCTTTAGACACGTTGAAGTTCAGATCTTCTTTCGTATATCACATCCACGCGCAAAACCTCAAAGTACACTTCACATTTTCCATATTGTACTTACACTTGCATTTGTGCTTTGAGAGCCAACGTGAGGGGGAGATGGACCAGGTTAAGACGAGAAGCAGGTTTGTGTCAAAAAAGAAAGAAAGTGAGATAACGGAACTTGGTATACTCACAAGCGGTTGCATACACTCCTCTCACTCACAATTAAAACCATTCACTCTTCGATCCTTTAATCCGTTCCAATGATACTCGCGTTGAATAGCTTTGGTTTAGAAAAGTTGATGAGGAGGCAGAAGAGCCCCATGATTGCTGCGGCCGCACGGTTACATAGTAGTAATGAACACGGCATTTGAGCCAGTTCAATCTATCCAATCAGATTGCTCTCTCACGTTTATGACGCGCCGAAATGTGTGGCTCCTCCAGATCAGAAAATTTGTTCTACATGAATGTATGACTATGTGAGTAGACGGGTATCGCATCGAGGAAAGACTCAAGGGGATAACCTTCATTAACACGAGATGAAGCTCATTTCACGTCCTTCATCATATGAATAGTGTCATCGCTTTAAACACGCTGGACACCAGTATCAATACAAGTATCAACGTATACGTACAAGCGTATCCAAATCTCATGAGACATGACGATCCCGCGCTTGCCGATGTTCCATTTGGTGGAAAAATTATGGTCCTTGGTGTTGACTTTTGCCAGGTACTCAACATTGTATCCTCTCTTCTACTTTGCATGTTTTTTACTATTAAGCGGTAGTACTCACAGTAAAGTATATGGTAATAGGTCCTTCCAGTGATACCAAATGCGTCGCGCTCGCAGATCGTACAGCAGTGCTTAAATCGCTCATCGAAGCCATTTACGGCAGCCTTGACGCACCACACGTGGATCGCGATTACCTCATCAGTCGCTCCATTCTAACTCCAAAAAATGTCGACGTTTCAGCGATCAACGATCTGATACTCGACCATTTCCCAGGCACCATCCACGTATTCCCGAGCGCAGATACTGTGGATGATCCAGAGAATCAAATCACATACCCACCAGAGCTGCTCAATTCCATGAATCCATCCGACCTCCCACCACACTTGCTAAAACTCAAAGTCGGTTGCCCAATTATGCTTTTGAGAAACTTGCACACCCAAAGTGGTCTCTGCAACGGGACACGGTTGATTGTACGCTCTTTTCAAAGATATGTATTTGAAGCTGAAATAGCCACTGGACCTCATGCCGGCAACATTGTCTTGATCCCTCGCATAACACTCACACATTCACCACCACGCTCTCCCATTCTCTTCAAACGCACCCAATTCGCTGTTCGCCTGGCATTCACTATGACCCCCAATAAGGCACAGGATCAAACTTTTAACACTGTCGGCCTCTACTTGCCTGAACCTCCGTTCACGCATGGTCTACTTTATGTAGCCATGTCACGCGTCAGCACCCCTTCATCCATCAGGAACATGTTAGATCCCGAGAACTCGAGTATCGCGGGTCAGCAAGGTCAAAACATCCGAGATGTTGTTTTCCATGAAGTTCTTCTCTAATTCTTTTTATCGCCTATTTTTCATTTGTTACCACCACCTATTCTCTTTTTATCAGTATTACTACACCATCTTTTTCCACACTTCTATTCGCTTTGCATTTGAACTGGAGATAGTAAGTATCCAACTTTGACGACTTCCTATGATAGAATACTTCTCACTGCACAATAATTTTGCTTTTGTTTTTGAAAACAGACAATAAGTATCTAATTCCAAGGTATTGATCCAACCTCGCTCGACAGTGGGGTTTGGAGGTCAAGGGGGGAACCCCCTTGCGACGCGTTTCCGTTGAATGACACGGAGCGTAGCGGAGGGGCTCATTCATTCGAGCGAAGCGAGGAAGGACCGCTAGTATTTGTTTATCTGTCAATGCAAGATGCTCTACATCGTAGTTGACGCATGAAACGCGTATACGCGTCAACGTTTTCCCAGCTTCTTGCTTCTCTCGCCCGTTAGCTCTGTTATTAAAATTAGGTTTATGCTCCTGTTGTGCTAATACAAAACTCGAGATATCTCATTGCTTTTTGATTCCTCTTTTTATTTTTGATTCCCTGTACCAATATACTCTATACAATACCGAATAAATGTCCTCACAGCAGCAAAAACTTACCATCTGCATTGACCGTGGTGGCACCTTTACTGACTGTATTGGCTTCTATGGCAAGCCCGGTGCTCCAGGGACACGCGAGTTTGTCGTGAAACTCTTGTCTGAAGATCCGGCGAATTACAAAGACGCTCCCACTGAAGGCATTCGTCGCATTGTTGAGTTAGCAACAAGTCAAAAGCTCGAACGCAACCAGCCAGTTCCTACCGATGCCATTGGTAAATTAATACTGTCAGAATATTGAGTCAATCGGGTTGCACGTCGTCAAACAAGGCTTCTTTTTTTGCTGATCTAACCAAAATGCATACATTATCTGTGTCGACTCGTGGGTAAAACTTTATAGATAGCGTTCGCATGGGTACCACCGTAGCAACCAACGCGCTGTTGGAACGTAAAGGAGAACGGTGTGCTCTAGTTATTACAAAGGGCTTCAAAGATTTGTTATCTATTGGTAAAAACAGCAGTTTTTCTATAAAGCATGTGGAAAGATGGAATGGAAGTAAAGGATATTGACAATTTAAATGAATATAGGAAACCAATCGCGACCGAGAATCTTCGATCTGGCTATTACTAAGCCGGATGTTCTTCAACAAAGTGTTATTGAAATCGATGAGCGGTAAATTTCCATTAGTTGGACTTGGATTTATGCATACGTGTGTGCTCACAACAAGTACTCAACTTGGTTCGATAACTTACATCACTAGTGTTGTCTTGCTCAACTCGGCTGCAGCGATTGACCGCGTCGATCATAAGGATGTTTCAGGTGCTAAGGAAGGTATCTCTGGAGAATGGATTACAGTTCAAAAGAAGCCAGGTAAGTTTTATTTTTTCTCCAAGAACGTGGATGAGATTGTTGGAGGGAGTAAGACGTCGTGTCGCTAATTCACACTATCTGTATGTATATGAAGATTTGGAAATTGTAAAACAACAGCTACAAAAGGTCTATGACGATGGTGTCCGCAGTATTGCCATCTGTCTGATGCATTCTTATACTTTTCCCGGTAAAAAACGAAGAAATTGGGGACAGTACATGGCAGATAAACCAAACATTTTTGAGGATGTGCGTGCATGCAAAAGAACCTTATTAAGTAAAATCATCGCAATTTTTTGTATAGATCATGAAAGCATGATTGGCGACATTGCCAAGTCGATCGGATTTACCCATATTTCGTTATCCCATAGTGTCATGCCTATGGTCAAGATTGTTCCTCGCGGCACCTCTGCCACGGCTGATGCTTACTTGACGCCTTGTATCCAAAATTATATTGAGGGATTTACTAGCGGCTTCGATGATGGATTCGAAAAGGGAACGACCAAATTGCAATTCATGCAAAGCGATGGCGGATTGGTTCCTGTGAGCAATTTTTCGGGTTTTAGAGCTATTCTCTCAGGCCCGGCTGGTGGTGTGGTTGGATATAGTGCAACATCGTACGACGAAGGGGAAGATCCTGTCATTGGGTTTGATATGGGGGGCACAAGTACAGGTCAGGAACATTTGTTTTTCTTTTTTTTCTGCGTGATATGCTATATTGATGCTCTTCCCCAATTGTGAGTGTTGTGATTGACTAACTTGAAAACCATGAATAGATGTATCACGTTATGGTGGTATGTTTGAACATGTGTTTGAGACAACAACAGCCGGCATTACAATCCAAGCACCCCAATTGGACATCAATACAGTTGCAGCTGGAGGTGGCTCAATGCTGTTTTTCAAAAATGGAATGTTCGTCGTCGGGCCAGAGGTAATAACAACCTGGCAGCGAGGGAGGAGAGAAGGGAACTTTGTTAATGTGCAGAAAGTAAAACTGTAGAGTTACTTATCGCCTCTACATATATTCTAGAGTGCTGGTGCTCATCCAGGTCCTGCTTGCTACAGGTATAAAGAAAGAGAAGACAAGGGATATGTAGCTGCTATCATATAGTGCTTTTTTTCGTTTTGAGGACATATTGAAGTGGTGATCTTGTGCTCATCCTACAAACACTATAGAAAGGGGGGCCCATTAGCAGTTTCAGATGCAAACTTGTATCTCGGTCGCTTGCTTCCGGATTACTTCCCGAAAATCTTTGGTCCTACCGAAGATCAACCGTTGGATGTGGATATTGTCCGTGAAAAGTTTGCCAAGTTGGCCGAAGAAATCAATGCCGCAAACCCAAGTGATCCAAAGAGCGTCGACGAAGTTGTCTATGGTTTCATCAAAGTGGCCAACGAAACGATGTGTCGACCTATTCGCTCGTTGACTGAAGCCAAGGGCCATAACACAAGTCATCACACATTGGCCGTATTTGGTGGAGCTGGTGGTCAGCATGGTACGAATAATGATAAGGGGGAAAAGGAGCGCAAAGAGGACGGTTTTGGACATATCGGCTAACTAAAATGGCTATTACTAACACCAATACTAGCCTGTGGTATTGCTCGTAACCTGGGTATCAGCAAAATTATCTTATACCGCCACAGCTCGATCCTGTCCGCCTTTGGTCTCGCTCTAGCAGATGTGGTTCACGAAGTCCAGGAACCTTCTGCTGAGATTCTCTCCGCTGAGAGTATCCCCGGACTGCAACAACGAGTCGACGCGCTGGTTAAAAGCTGTACCGACGAATTGGCCGCAAAACAAGGTTTTGCTGTTTCCGATATCAGCACTGAAGTATATCTCAATTTGCGCTACGAGGGTACCGACTGTGCCCTAATGACACTCAAGCCTGCTGGTTCTTGGGATTTTGAGGGCTCGTTTGTCCAGTTGTATAAGCAAGAATTTGGCTTCTCACTTAGCGACCGTGGTATCGTTGTGGATGATATCCGTGTGCGCGGTATCGGCCATACTATGAGCACCAACAAACGGTTAACGCCTGAAGATGAACTCAAGTCGCTGGCTATTGAGGACGTTGACGAAGATCGTGAATGTGAGAGCACAACCTCTGTGTACTTTGAATCCGGCCGTGAAGACAAGGTTCCCGTGTACCTGTTGCACAAGCTTGCCCCAGGGACTCGAGTCAATGGTCCAGCTACCATTATCGATGCGACGGCAACGGTGGTGGTCGAACCCGCATGTACGGCCGTTGTTACCTCACAGCACATTACGATCACTGTTGGCAAGGGTGAAAAGAAAAAGATTACCACAGAAATGGAGCCTATCCAGCTATCCATCTTTTCGCATCGATTCATGAGCATTGCAGAGCAAATGGGTCGTAGTTTGCAAAAGACTGCTATCAGCACAAATATCAAGGAACGTCTCGACTTCTCATGTGCTCTGTTTAGCTCAGAGGGAGGTTTGGTTGCCAATGCTCCACATCTGCCCGTACATCTTGGCGCACTAAGTCATGCAGTGACTTATCAAATGAATTACTATAAGGACGATCTAAAAGAAGGAGATGTGATCATGACGAACCACCCCAGCGCGGGCGGTTCCCATTTGCCTGGTATGTGCTTTTTTTTGTGCTTTTGTCTGTCCTTGGCTCTGTACGTTCTCTCTGCCTGTCTTCAGAGAAAACAAACAATGGCATCACAAGTATACAGCTAGTGCAACACCAACAGAAACTCATTCTCAGTATGAAAAATATCCTGTCTTAGATATTACCATCATCACACCCGTCTTTGATAAAAGCAAAATTGTATTTTTCGTCGCCTCCCGTGCTCATCATGCGGATATTGGCGGATTAACAGCAGGTGACCTTCATTTAGGAAGAGAGATGCGAATTAATATAAAGTTTAACATTGACATCACTGTTAACCACTCGTTTTTCCTATTTTAGGTTCGATGCCACCGTTCTCAAAGGAGGTTAGTTTAGAGAAGGACAGGTGTATGGGCTTTGCTGTCTATAATTTATTATTATTACTATTTTCCTTTTTTTTGAAACGTATGACACCCCGTGCATATAGCTTTATCAGGAAGGTGCTGCGATCAAATCATTCAAAGTTGTCAGCAATGGGCATTTTGATGTGGATGGTTTGAAACGGTACATGTATGACATTCCAGGATCTTACCCCGGATGTTCCGGAACCCGGTTGCTACGCGATAATATATCAGGTGTGTGTGCGCAAAAGAAATAGTGGAAAAAGAGAAACAACTCCATCATCATCGACATCATCAGAACAAACGAACTCTGATGTCCTTTTTTGTTCATTATAGATATCAAGGCGCAGATTGCAGCCAACCAAAAGGGTATAAACCTCGTCACATCGCTTATTGAGGAATACTCACTTGAGGTCGTGCAAGCTTATATGCGTCATATCCGCGCCAATGCTGAGGGAGCCGTTCGCGCATTACTCAAGGAAGTTGTGGCGAAACACAAAGGAGAAGCGCTCACTGCAGTGGACTACATGGACGACGGCACGCCGATCTGTCTCAAGATCAGCATTGACGAAAAGACGGGCAATGCTGTATTTGACTTTGATGGTACCGGTCCCGAGGTCTATGGAAACACCAATACACCCGAAAGTGTTTGTTACAGTGCGATCATCTATTGTGTCCGCTGCTTGGTTGCGCAAGACATACCGCTCAACTCGGGTTGTCTGGATCCAATTGACATTCGTATCCCGCCAAATTCGATCTTGAGCCCATCCGAAACGAGCGCTGTCGTTGGGGGCAACGTATTGACGAGTCAGCGAATCGTCGATGTCGTATTGAAGGCATTCAACGCTTGTGCTGCTAGTCAAGGCGACTGCAACAATCTGACTTTTGGCAAGAGTGACAAGGATCATGGCTGGGGCTATTATGAGACTATTGCAGGTGGTCACGGTGCTGGACCTACTTGGATCGGTCAAGATGGTGTGCACACAGTAAGTAGAAATCTTAATTCTTAGCAAAGCTAGCTCTGCTTTTCGACTCCTTAAGAAAAAAAAAAAGAATCTTTGTGCTCAACTTTGTTTCTTAGCATATGACCAACACGCGCATCACGGATCCTGAAATATTCGAGCGACGGTACCCAGTCCTTTTACGCGAGTTTTCTCTGCGTTCAGGTAGGACATCTTGTTATTATACCAAATAGCAACAACAGCTCTTTGTAGCTGCTACTAACTAGCTGAATTAATTATTAGACTCTGGCGGAAAAGGATATCATCGTGGTGGTGATGGTGTGATCCGTGATATTGAATTCTTAGAAGCGGGTATTGAAGTCTCCATCTTGTCCGAGCGCCGTGTGTTTAGACCTTATGGTTTGCATGGTGGTGAGGATGCTAAGCCGGGTTTGAACTTGTGGGTCCGACATGTTGGTGACAAGATACTGACGCTCAATTTGTCGGGAAAGAACACTGCATTGTTTGGTAAAGGTGATCGCATCATTATCCAAACACCTGGTGGCGGAGGTTATGGTGCACCAGGCGATACTAGCCCTTGTTCTCAAAACGTCATTCATCAAAAGCCTGTGGTGGTCAAGGCGAGTGGAAGCTTAGGCGCTTATAGAGAAATGCAGGAGAGCACGTGAATGAAATGATGTTAGAAGAGTGTGTCAGCTGACAACGGTTATTATATATAATAATTTTCCCTCCTTTCAATCAAAGCAAATCATTTTTCCAGGACAGACATGCATTACCATGCATGGATAATGGAAAAACGTCAAACCATGTTTTTTTGCTAATACTAGTGCTTGTTCCTGCCTTATTATCCTTGACAGATTTCTCTTTTTATTATTATAGTAAATATTTTGCGAGGGGAGTGGTGGAGGTTAGACTTTAGTAGGTGAGATGTGGGATGACGCTATATACAATAAACGAAGAACAACAGCAAAAAAAGTAAAAAGAGATAATGGTATACACATAGAAAAGATGAATAACGATAACAAAAATTAAGAAATATGTTCCATAATCCTGTATGGATTGCCCGGGTTCACGGTAACGTTTTCGACTTCGAGTAGAACGGTATTACTATAACTACTAGTATCGCTATTGCTGATTTCATCGTCGTCGTTTTTAGATAAAGAAGTTGATGGCGAGGACGAGGTGCGGATGATTACTTCGACAAATAGTGGAAACTGCTGAAAAAACTCTTCCATATCTTGTGTGATCAGTGGCTGACCATCCTCGAGTTGATGGTAGGTATAGACGTGACCAGTACGGATCTTAACAAAGACTTTGGCGAGGCCCAGTAACCGGTTATTGTTTTTCAGCTGTGCCAAGATGTCGTGTGCGATGTAATCGATGCCATCTTCCAGAATGGGTAGCGGGTCGTCTGGTTGTTTGTTGTAGACTTTGTGCTCGAGCCACTCTTCAAAGAACCTTGAAACCTGTGCTGCTGCTTTAGTGTTGGTATTGCCCAGTGTAGGGAGCTGCAATATTTACAGAAAACAGAAATTAGCTTGAAACGAAGAAGCAATGAGTACTTTTAAAGGTGTGCCCTCTTAAAGCAAGACTTACTGATATGAAGCGATTACCGCCATCCATGAAATAAGTGTTCTGGTAACATGCCAAGTCTTCCATAGCGGAGAGTTCTTCTTCGAAAAAGTCAATGTTGTCGGCTGTTGTGGCATCATCGTCTTCTTCAGAGTCATGGTAGGATATGCTCATTATCGAATGGTTGCTGGTATGGGGACTCGTGGTTTTGCCTTCATGGATGGTGACAGGCTCTATCATTATTACAGAGTATACGTTGCGCAGTGTCGGGAGAAAGAGAGGAAGAGAGATGAGAAGGTTAAAAGTGGGCAAGAAGAGATTAACAGAAAAGAGAGAGAATCGATGGCCCTCTTTTTTCCCGCATTTTATTTACCTAAAGCGGTGGTTGTCGTGTGCGAGTTGACTAGCATTAAGCAAAGACGAAAGGGTGCGCAAATTTAAGATTCAAGTAAAGCCGAAGAAGTTCTGTGTGTGCACAAATAAGTTCCAGCAGTTTTTTTATATTTTTTGTGAGGAGGGTATCTTGTGGGACTGAGTTACTTGTCTCTCTTTTTGTTTCTCGCAGCTTCTTCTTGTGCTGTCGTCGTTTGTCTCTGCCCCATTCACCCACCCACCCACGCCCTGCCCTATAATCAGCTACTATCGGCGATTTACTTTTTTATCTTGCATCAAAGACGAATTGGGTTCGACGCAAACGCTTTATCGATCCGAAAGATTAGTTTTCAAGACACATGATATTACCCTGGATGTGGTGCTTATTACTCCTTCACTCCCTCCTTCTATTATCTCTGCAGGATGCCTGTCATTCCCACGATGTTACTATTTCCTTTTTCTTTACACAACGCCCTGTCTTCTCCACTCTTCCATTCCTATCCCCCATCCCCCATCCCCCCCCAACAACAACAACAACAACACATCTTTCTCTTTGTCTACTTTATCGATTGTCACGCGGTTGACAATAATCTCCATGTTTATTTCTTTTTTCGACCGCCACCTCCAACAGTAAATAACAGCACACATCCAATCACCAGAATCGATCCGCAGCCCTTGTATGCCGTAAAGCCTATTGTCAATATTATAGTCAGTTGTCCAATACAACTCCTCGAGGTTCTGCACTGTTTACAAGATATACATTAGAGATTTATAAAAAAACACTCACACTGAGCTGCATCAATGCTGCAATACCAAGCGTGACTAATACCATATACCAAGATTGCTCGAAGACCTTGCAATATACCTGTTGCGACCTTTTGTGTGCATGTGTGTGAGAGTGAGAGTGATGAGTGATGAGTCCTGTGTTCCATTCCTCCTGCTCTTTTTGCCACAGCACAGAAAAAAAAAGAAAAAAAGTTTTCTCACATTGCCCGTTCTGTCAATCAGCTCGTAATAGTTGTAAGAATGGATAGTGTTGGACAAGGCCACAAGGGCGTACATTCCCCACACTGACGAAATGCTCACGCTCGGTTGTATCTGAATGAGGGTATCGAAACGCGGCAGAGTATAGGCAGCAATCCAAACCAAAGCCAAAACAGTGGCGTAGATGCCTGTGGTGAAACACACACGGGCTGGTAGGGGGGATGGTATTTGCTTTGATAAGATATGGTCCGAGTACACATACATGCATGCTAGAAGTCAATAACAATAATAAGAATAACGGTGGTAATGATGATTAGCTGTTTCAGGATATATTTACAAAATACAGAGTAGGTAATAGAGTCGCAATACTGTAATTAACTTACAGTAGCCGAAAGTCCCGACCATCGTCAACAGTGTGCCTGTCGTCAAGCTCATAGCACCGCTTGACGAATTTTTGTCAGGCGTCTCGAAACTTCCAAGCGAGCTGAGCGCTAATCCTGCGCTGGTTCCAAAAATGGCGAACCATTGAAGCTTTGATAAAGTTCGTCCCATGAGAAAGTAGGTTAGAATGGCGCACCAGATCACCACGCTGGAATAGATGACCTGATACATCTACAGTAATCGCATCATCACCATATTATACATGTTTATAGCAGCTAGCATTAGTTAGTCATTTGGCACTCATGCAATTCCGTTATTGTTATCTGTCGTCCTAGACGCCTAATCTGGTCTGCTTACCCCTGAGCCAATGGCTGCAAACCCCATAGTGACCGAGAAATTGGCCATTACATCTAATAAGGCCAGCTTCATGACGGACTTGTGCGGAATCGGTCCGTCTGATATTTTTGACGCTTTCATTGTCGTCTCAGTTGGGCTCGCAGGCTTTTCTTCGTCTTCATCCAAAACATCCATACTGATTCGATTTGCTACCTATTGAGTAAAGATGAACAACATGTAAGAATAATTGACGTAGACAGACATAAAAGGCAGGGATGTCTTACGTCGTCTGCATCATCGGTTGTTGCTACGCTGGTATATTGCTGCTTTTGCCGGGATAGAATGATAGGGATGATTAATCCCACCAATACCATGCCTGTGTATTGTGCCAGTTGTGTTAAATAACTGTCACCCGCTATATTCAACAAAGTTCAAGATGGGAACGCCATTAGCTATTAAAAGATCTTTGACAGTTCACGATGAAAAAAAAAAAAAGAAAAGAAAATACTTGCTGGCAGCACCGGAATAGAATAAAAACTGGGTTCCAAGTGTTGTCGATAACCCGGTAAGAAGAAATGAGATTTGGTGAGTGATTGTAACAACCATGTCAGGATGCAGCCATGATGATGATGAAGTTGCTGCTGCCATTGCCAACAACTGCAGAGGGGTGAGTGTACTGGCTTTCTGGTTGGTTGGGTGGTCAAAGAAGTAGCTTTTTTAGTTTGATTTCTTTCTCTGCTTTCCTGACTCTCCGAACAACCAACCACGTTGCTATTATCGTTAATTGCTGATAATTAGAATGTATACTGTGTATCTTTTTATAATATCCTCTGTTTATGTTAACTTGGCCAATACTGGAGCACGCACAACCTGCATGAATGACAATGTCTCTTTGTCTCCTTGCAATTACTACTACTTTATATTATTATGCGACTATATTACATCATAAAGACAAGGCTGACAAACCAATACTCTTCATTCTTGCCCTGCCACGCATACATCCTCATTTGAATGCTGTCAAGCAGCTGTTTTTATTACTATGCGACTATGTACAAAGTAGTTCTTTTGTTGAAGAGGGAAAGTATAAGGGGATGCATGATGAGCCGTTGATGGCGGTATAGTTTATATACAGTGTGAGAGTGCGTGACGTGAATTTATCATCCACGAAGTGTCGAAATCATGATATCCAAGACGTCGATCGTTGCTGCTTCATGAGCATTTTGAGCAACGTCCTAACAACGGTTCATTTTAACACTCTAAAAATAGCCTCCTTCTACATATACCCGGTGTTTAATTGCCTTACCTGGATAAGTGTTTCCTGACGAGAAGACGACGCCAGAGCAAGAAACTCATACGTGGATATCACCGTCCAGTACATTTCGTTACTGAGATATATGTTTTTTATAAGTCTGCTATTGAGCTGGTGTTCGGCGTCGAGTAGTTCTGGTAATTCCGGAACGCGTGCATTATCACATTGTGTTTCGGCTGCTTGTCGATGTTCATCGCACTCTTGATCCGAAAGTGCAAGTAATTCAGTTTCAATGTACATGCACCACTGAGTACACCGTTCAATAAAAAACGGTTTCCAAGTGGCAACACGTGGTGTCATAGCTTCTTCTAGGATTTGTGAGTATGTGGCGATGGCTGTAACTAGATTTTCATTCATAAGCTGCAGAACAAGAAAAGCGGCGGTGTCTTCTTTTCAGCACGTAAAATTTTATACGAAGCTAAATTACATAACGAGATATACAACGATTGCTCCACAGAGACTTATAGAAGTAATAGTTTGGGATCATCCTCCAAAATATTCTACAGCTTTTGGGAGGACGTGTGGGCAGTCAAATAATCAGCACGTTCTTGAGAGACGAACTTGCACGGTCTGTTGAGATGTGTATAGCATGGTCAGCAATAGTCGGCAACCTGCGAAGAACCAGCTGTTCCACACCATTAGATTTTCACCAGTTCTATGATCGTGTCTCTGTTAAATTCCTTGATACCCTCGAGTTCAACGATCTTTAAGCGAGGAAGCGATCGCAATTTACGAACGAATATTGCAATCTCATCAGACGACACGGGACAGTCGATAAGTCTAATTGTGATCCATAGCACCGTAATAATGATAATTGCGAATAGGTTTAGTATCGCCTCAATGACATCACAACACTTTGCGAGTGCAATAGTTCGCAATCCGTCTTTGCTTTTTCGCGCAGTTCATATAAATACGGCCAACAGCATGGTTGTTCTGTCCGTAGACAATGTTTAGATACAGTACATCAACCGCCTTCTCCTGTTTGCCTTGCATAAAGTGCTACAGCTGCCCTGTAACAAGATAACCTTCTCCAATTGCTAGTCGGTTCTCTATCATTTTTCATGCGTCTGAAACGGCATCCCAAACTTGTCTTAATTTCCAAGCGCTTGTGCCCGTGCGAGAAGCAAAAGTTTTCGAACATACTTCTTATAGTGGATTTTGCAATCGACTCATTATCAGCTGCTTCAGTTGTTCGAGTAATTGAATAGATCGCTAACTGTGTCTCGTACAGAATGTGTTCTGCTTGTGAGGTTCAATTCGTTTGTTTGAATTATCAATTGCTGAGCCATTTATCGGAAGAGGTCTTTCTGTCAAATTGTTGTTACGCAAACGAAGGATGTGCTGTTGCAAGACGGCGGTTATGTTGGCAATAAAATCATAGTCACGTTGCAGCGTTTATTTTTGCCAAAACAGAACAAAACAAATGTATAACGGTAGCAGTACATGTTACTACTTATTGCTGGTTTTCGTAGTAGTATCCGTACAAAAATCGAGATTTCATGGCGCGACTTGCGTCGGATTTTGCACCAGTGTACACGAGAATTTTCGAATCGGTGTTTGGCGCAATCATATAGCCCGTCTTGTAAACATCCGTGCTGTTTGGGTGTAAAAGAGCCAGGCTAGGATCCGCATAATACGTGTCCCCTTTTAGCTTAATCATCGGTTCCAATTCGTCTAAGGCCCGTGTTCCAGTTTCTCGATAAACATGCAAATTGGCTGCGAACTTGTCGTGGTCCTCTTCTGTAGTCTAATTTTATATTAGTTTCTGGTTATAATATAAAATAGTGGCAGTATATAGGAGACTATTTTACGAAAAATAAATAACATAGTTGTAAAATGACAATTTACCATGACATCTGTATACGTATATCCATCTGCACACATGTTAACAAGAGTGTATGTATTATTATTCAATTCTGGATGTATCTTGGCAAGAACCGTTGATGATCCGCGTACAACACCAGAAGCAAGGCTTCTTTTGACCTTAATTCCTCTCAAATCAATATGCCCGTCCAAAATAGCAATACGCATGTTCTCGGTGTCGATAGACTACTCAATATATCAAATTAAACATGTATGATATTAGATCGCTCCTTAATAATAGTATAAGACATGACAACTGCACATCACTTACTGTTAGATTCACAGTACCCCGTCCTACAGTAGCCGTAAAACGTAAAAAATTCAGATCTTTGGCATAAACATTTCCTGCTTTTGCATGGAACATAAAATGCTGCAAGCCACCATTGCCGTTCGTGAAAGAAGCGCTAGTTTCGTTGGTGCTAGAATATATATCTGGTAATATAATCCGTAGTGAACATTTGACATGATGAAATGTTGTACTACGAAGCCATAGACTGTAGCGCCCATAGCCACCGTATAGCTGAAGCCCCGCATCTCTGAAACCATTATCGTCATCGTCATCGTCATCGTTGTCGCTGTTATTGTCATAATGGCCGTCATACGAGGTATACGATGGTTTCAGATAGATATGCAACATTTCGGTAGAATCAAGGCCAGCTTGAGATGCCGTTAAAATGTGTACAGAAACGTCAATATCATCGTCGACTTGGATAGCTAGACCGCGGATGGATCCTCCAGGCACGGATATGTTTTGTGCATAATCAACTGCGAGTGGACTGAAATCAATATAACCGTACCGATTTGAGAAGGTAGTGCTGCTACTTGGGGTTGCCACATATCCGCGTGTCTTTGTTGATCCCACCACCATACTATCATGGGCAGCGCTAAAGGTGGGCATGGGCGCGCCACTGTGATTGAATGGGGAAAGGAATGCGGAGGATGGCGATGGTGGAAGAGAGGAGAAGCTCTTTGTTTCTGAGTAGGGTGCCTGTGCTCCCGAATAATTAGCAGATGGCTGTGGTGTAGGAAATGGCCGGCCGTTATTGCTGAAGGTAGACGATAGCTCTGGGATTCTGGAAAATACAAGGAAATCATTTAGCAGTGTCTGCGGACGGTAGCATTTGCCCATGATGTCTAAAGAGGATATGTCGTTTTTGTTAATTCCAGTTGGTTTTCACTTTGTTGCTTAGAATATAACTTACCTTCTCCGTAGCTTCTGGCAAGGAATCGGATCGACCTTCTTAGCACTAGCAGTTCGCGTGTTCTTGGAAAGCTAACAGGGTAGTCTATGGAAATCTCCCATTCTTCTGCACATGTGCCAGAAATCGGAGACAACTACAACTAAACATGAATAATTGTGTATATGTGTGCTTTGCATATGCCTTTATCTGGTGCACAGCTATATTACGAATCAGCATACTTATATGGTGCTTACCTGATTATATATACTGTTGAGACAGTACAATCCCAAAAGGCAGCATGCAGCAATGCAAACAAACATACTTCTAAAGGTCCCTGTAGTGCATACACAATATGACTTTCAGTATCAGACGCTTTATCTTGTGTATACATGTACGATTGTTTTAAGATAATATACTGAGACCCATACAACGTGGTTTTTTTGAATGCTTGTTAGTTTTAGCGCTGGTCTTCGTAGAGTCGTCCGCATCAGATACTAGTGCTGAATCTTTTTTGTTCCCTCGCAACATTGCTTTGCTTGCTGGTGATATCAATACTGAGGTGAAATCTTCATTTTTCGTTTCTTCCATTTTCTGCGGTAAAAAAAATTGGGGAGGAGAAGAAAATAGGAGAAAATGGGCGGTGCCACAGTAAGCTGAGCACTGGAGAAAATAAACTTTTTTTCTTAACATGCTTCAAACACCATATTTGGTATTGTACGACATTCGAATTTTGAGCTTTGTAACCCACGAGGTCCTTTTTTAGAACAAGTCGAGCTGTTGTGAACGAGTCGCAGTATCGTTTGGTTCTCAATATCAGACGTAAAAAAGCTTAATAGTGAGCGGGTGCATGTCTATATAACACTACCTCTCAGTACGTCCAGCATATAATATAATTTGCCTCAATTGAGACGGTGGGTGTCTGCATGCTACGTTGTTTACATCTCAGTATCTTACATGCTCATGTCTTATGTGCGATTGCCTTTTCCTCAGGTACAGTGTATAGCATGCTTGCTAGAAGGATTAAGGTATGATACCATGAATCTATTATATCTAACCACTTTATATATTTCGCTCAGTATCAGAGCTATCACCTCAATATATCTATATACTCAGAACACTAATAACTTTGGCTTTGATGCCCTTCTTGCCGTTATACTTTTCTATAAATTGCATGATTGTACTCTCACGATCACTGCTCCTTTCTGCCATGTTTAATATTTCTGAGCATTGTGGCAACGCGAAGCGTGCGAAGGGATAATCCTTGTTGTCACCACCCTCACATAAAAGAGTAAGAGGCTTGTCCATAAGTGTGTCAAAGTAAGTGTGTTTGATGTCGCTGGCATTAACCGTTTCCACAGTTGGCGGATCCCATTTTGGCGCTGTCCGAGTGATCAAAGTCGTTCGAGCCCCCTCCTTGAATTCTCTTCCAGCCTTCATTTTTCCAATTCAAGCATAATTATTATCACAGGCGCAAAAGAAATTTAAACGCGTATAAGGGTAATAAACGCAATGTGTGATCTTACCAGAGTTTGGTTTGTCAATTGATACTCCAGTTTCATGCAGTCAGTAAACGAGAGACTTGCACCAGCATGATACAGCTGCAAAAAGAGCTTCAATGAGGTCGGCGACAAATTAGCGAGTTGATCGAGAGTCTCCTTTGCCCACGTTGTTGCTATTTTTTCATCCTTGAGTGCGACCACAATTTCTTCCATTGTGTCATGTTGGAAGCATCTATTCAAACAAGAAAAGCAAACATAAAGTATAAGTAAAGGCTCTCTCCGTTAAACTTATACGTGTAGCCCTAGTATGTGTGCTAGTAGCATGAGTATATGTATACCTGTTGATTGCTTTGTAAACGTCGCCACCAAGCGAGAACATGGGTGCTTTCTCCTGGTCCATGTCAACGTAGAACTGCTCTATAGCTGCATTGATGGCATCCTGCTCCAATGTACCGTTGTTACGTACAAGCTCCTTGAGGGCATCTTCTAGCTTGTTTAAATTTTTCGATGAGACATAATGAGTAGCGATACCGGCATAACTAACAAATAAAAAGTAGTTTCATGATCAGCTAACCTTTCTCATTGCCGAAGCTATGATGGCTATATGCGTAGGTGTATTTTCTCATTCTACTTACAACACGTCTACCCCACGCAGGCGGTGCCCTGTCAACCCAAGATAAAGCCCAAGATATCCGTCTAAACGAGGATACCAGAACGAGGCAGAAGCGTCAGGAAAATGGCCAATTGAGCATTCCGGCATTGCGTGCACTGTGTTCTCTGTAGCGATCCGGAATGGAGCATTGATGGATAAGCCGACTCCTCCGCCCACTATTCATTTTGTTCGTTATTGGTTAATAAAAAGAGTACTAGCCTTTTTTGTAACCATATTTCGCTTCATCGTATATTACTTGTAATGCCATCCATGATCGCTATCAAACAAGTTTTACGTCGAGTGCCAACAACATGATTCAAACGACAATGCTTTTTAAAAAGGTCGATGCATTCATCGTGACGACCAGCTAGCTCTAAATCCACTAGATCTTTTTCACATATTGCAACGCGTCCAATTTTTTTGTGAGCCAGTAAAATTCACATGAAAATCGTCAGATCGCCAAAAAGGACCCAAAAGTACACAAAGCAGACTGAAGTCTAAATTTTCAAATTATGCACGTACATACCTCTAATATCGCCACCCGCACAGAATGCCTTCTCACCAGCGCCTTTGATAAGAACAACCTTGCTCACTTCAGACATTTCCCACGCCTTAATAATCTTAGTATCTTTTTTCTCTCGCCTAGAATGATAAAAGCATCCGCATTTTCTTTATATTCTATCGTGTACTTTACATACCAACAGGTTTTCAGCAATGATATCACACATACTGAATGTAATCGAATTTAATTTAGTCGGTCTATTCAAAAGGATCTCGTAGATACCACTTGCGTGTTCGGTTATTACTACTCCATCGTCAGCCTATTAAAGCGGGAGGAAAAGAGAGTGAAAGTATCATTCAATAGTTGGGTCTGACTATGTCTTTCACAGTGGTGTAAACTTACTGCAGTTGAGCTTGATATAAATACATCCTTACTACTCGGAGATCCGACCGATGGAGAAGAAGGTGTGACTAAGCGTTTCTGGACTGCAAGTAATCTCTGATTGGCGACCGCTCCATATGATAAGGATGAGTTACTTCCGGTGCCTGAAGATTTTTTATTAAGAGGCATGGCTAAAAATGTAACGAGGTTGAGAGGAGGTGAAAGATGTGAAATAAAGAAAAGAAATGCAGGACAAGCAAATAGCTTAACTATTTATATTTGCGTGTGACGATAAATCAGGAGATTTTGGTGATCTTCTATTCGGCGCGTCATGCATGACAAGGCAACGACAACATCAAGTCATCGACCCGTTGCTATGGGATTAACGGATGAATTAACAACCGGATTACATAAAGTGAAACGTGTACATGCTTGCCTGTCTGTCACTATTCTCTTACATAGCAAGAAATATTAGACACAATCAAATAAAAATGAAAGTTCATGGATGTCGGATAGAGAAGCAGGGAATCGGCTAAAGATATCGAATCCTTTTGACCGGTTATACACAGGGTGCTGACTTCTTGGTTGCATGTGCAAAAAATGCTAAAATACCTTCGTTATCTTCATTGTTGTAAATAAAAACCTTGAAATATCTCACTGTTTTTATTAAGAAAACATGGTCTGGGTATATAGTTCGCTTAATGGACGTGATGCATGCTCTTTTGCCGCAAAGCCACTTGTATTTGAGACATGAGCACTGGTGAAAAGCTTATAATGTTTTCGTCATGTGTAAGTCTGAGGTTTCTTACCATTGACCTGCTGAAGATGATGAAAATGATATACAGCTTGACAATGTTGCTTGTTGTGATTTGCAACATTACTACGTAGACTAAGAGGAAGCTTTCCCCACCAATTCGACAGTACAGCTGGAAGGTTGTCTTGCTTGAACAAACAACGTCCAGTACCTAAACTGCAACATCGGATTTATTTTCTGCTATGAATCATACAGGCCACTCTTTTGTTTGTTGCCAGATGTACAACGTTACTGTAGGCTGCTTTATTTATAAAATAACCAAGCAGAGCTACCATTACATAATACATAACAGCGAAGGCCAGGAACTATAAACATCTATATACAATTCTACTAAAACAGTCAATACTGTTCTGAGTGGTGACCCTACTGGCATTTGCCATGTTGTTGTTCACTTGTTAACTTTAACGGTCAACAACTAAGCACCATGCTATTTGGCCTGAGCTGCATTCGAAGTAGACAGGCGATAAACAGCCCATTAACCAAATTAAGTAAAAAAAAAGCCTGTCCTCAAAGCCTGTCGCGGTTTACTAGAATTGTTTTTTTCCGGCCACCAAGGAAAAAGATAATCTTCTTCTCGCTCTTTTTGCCTCAAACTGATGCCGCCCATCACTACTGCTGCTGATACTGTAACTCTTGCTACTACGGAGGGAGATCCCACGGTACAGACTTTCGAAACGTTCAATGTTCATGAAGCGAGTACGGCTTCGGGAGACATGAATTCAGAAAAAGAAGGAAACGGTGATCAACAAGATGGCTCGCTTCAGTGGAAGTCCCTGCTGCCTCATACCATACAATCCTTTTATATCCAATTTGTTTCTGGAATGAATGATGCGAATGTCGGCATTATCCTACCAAGCTTACAAGCCCACTATGGATTGACGCAGTATGTTATCTCCATAATCTTTTTGTGTACAACTCTGGGGTACTTCATAGGTAAGAGTGCGATCATCTTTTTGCTTTGACTTGATTTGTCATCATCTCCCAACAACCTTTCCGTTCCTTAAAAAATTACAACGTGATCGTATCATTAACCGTTTGGGTATCATTGTATAATACTGCTACCAGCTGCGTTTACAAACGGCTACTTGATCCACAAAACATCACAGGCCAAGACGGCAATGATCGGATCGGTGTTCATGGGTGTGGGTTACATTGTGATATTGTTCGCACTACCTTTCCCAGTAATGTGCTGTTTTATGATCTTTGTTGGATTTGGCATGGCGTTGATGCAGTCATGTGCCAACGTTGTTTGCGGAGAAATGCCTCGAGGCACCATTGTTTTAAACGTTTTGCACGGTACATAAAACAACCATTCTCTACTGCAAGTACGTAGTACGCACTCACAGCTGGAAATTTTCTACAAACAGCTTGCTATGGAGCTGGCGCCTTGCTTGCACCCTTATTAGCAGCGGCCATACTGGAACAAGGAAAATCGTGGGCAGTAACGTACATGATTCTTTGTGGTATGCAATGGGCGAATGTCCTATCCATGCTGTTGGTTTTCCGAAATCTTAAAACTCGAGCCGAACTTGAGAACGAAGAGCAGCAGCAGGACCAGCAGCAAGAAGAAGAGTTATCAGTTTCGTCGTCATCGTCATCTTCTGAGGGTCGCCAGCAAGCACAAGAAGAGGAGCAACAGCAGAGCTATGATAATGGCAAGATGCTATCGACAGTGATCCAAAGTCGAATGGCATACATGGGAGCGATCTTTTTGTTGGTGTATGTTGGCTGCGAAGTCACCATAGGCAACTGGGGATACACCTTTTTGATTACGGTTCGAAGCAGTGACACGGTAGCTATGGCGCACTTTATGAGTGGCTATTGGGTAAGTCAACCTCCACATGATTCACAGTCCTTGATTCACATTCTTTCATGCGATATACACTAGGCTGGCATCTGCGCAGGCAGGCTGTTCCTTGGTTACTTTACATTGCGATTCGGCGAAAAGCGAATGATTTATTGCTATGTTACACTGATCATTGGCATGCTGTTCATCTTTTGGTTCGTGCCCGTGGCTGCAGCAAGTGCCGCTTCGCTTGCCATTATGGGTATTGCACTTGGTCCGATCTATCCTTCCACAGTAGCCTTGGCCAACAAGGTTGTCCCGTCGCGACTTTATGCTGTGACCATCGGGTTCTTGTCCGCTGTACGTATTTTATGCCGACAAAGTATACCCTGTGCTTTGTGTGTGGTTTTATCTAACCGTGTAATTATAGTTTGGAAGTGGTGGTTCAGCCCTCTTCCCCTACATTACTGGCGTCATGATTGGTGTCAAAGGCATTGGAAGCATGGTTCCATTCTGCGTTGCCTTGGCCATCGCCATGTTTGTAGCGTGGGTGTTTGTGCCAAACCCTGCAAAGGGAAAAAGGGCAAAACAAGGACAAAGCGAGCTGGACATCTCCTTGGATGCTAGTACCAGTCAAGCATCTGCAAACACGGCGGCAATTAGCTCGCGCTATCGTGGAAGTAACAGCAACCAACAATAAAAGAGAAACCTGCGTCGGAATGGAAGGGCATTGCTTTTTGAAACAGTCTGTGGGAAAGGGCGTAATGAAATCACTTGAATGTCATTTTACTCTGTGTAACCGTGGTCCCCGAGTTGCGAGCTTAAAAGATGAACAGACAGATGGTAGCATGTACGATGTCTGCTTTAAGACAGCTTCCTACTTCTCGACTGCTACTACAGGGGAGTCGATCGAGAAAGGGACCGATGGAAAACCGTAGAAGAAAAGTTAAAGAAGAAGCAAGGAAAAGTGAGGTGAATCGCCACTTGCCTTAATTGGAAGTTTGAGAAGAAAAGAGAGAGTGAATCCTACAACAACGAAAAGGCCGCTCGCTATTCTTCCTTTCTCACACCACCTTTTTTCTTTCTCTTTTCTCCCGCACTTGCATCCGACACTTTATATTAAATATTCTGCGCTCCCACTCAATTCAGCAACAACAACAACAACCACCACCACCACAATCACACACTTCTTGCTTCTCGAAACTCACTTTGTCCTCTTTGCCATACGAGCGCTGTAGTGTAAAGAGCTACGGGAGTCTACTCTGCAGCCACAAGTCTTCTTACCCTCCAAAGCGGTTGTTGGTCGTTCGCAACAGGGCCAGAAGAAAGAGAAGGAAGAAACGGCTTCTTTTTCTTCACTCCATTCCTGCGGATTGACTCAACGGCACGTTTCCTTTTATTCTATCTTTATCCCTCTTTCGAATTTGCACAACAGCAACAACGATACGACCCTTTCGTTCCTTAAGCACTATTTATTGCAGACTCTCTCTCTCTCTCTCTCATACATTTCGACCAGACTGTGATTTCGACTTCCCCTCAGCTGCTGCCGCGACCCTTTCCTTCCTTTCCCTTCCCCCCCTTTTTTTTCCGCTTTGACCACGCGCCTTTGTAATGACAACCGTGTACTCGATGCGTAGTAGTAAATCCTCTGCTACCACGACAACAACAACAACCACTATTCCGGCTATGATGCACGGCGTCGGTGGCGTCGGTGCTTTCAACAATAATGGCGGTAGTGGTCATGGGCGGCAGAAGCAGCAGCATACGATCCAATCAGGTGTCACGCTTCCGTCGTACACACCGTTGCCTCCTTCTCCGCCGCATAAACACAAACATGCCCAGGGTGGCAGCGGCATCGGGGCAGCATCCTCGCTAGACAGCACAATCAGTGCAAGCAGCAGAGATGTTATTGTGGGCGACCAGTGGCTCGTCTTGTCGAGGATCGGCGAAGGCTCCTTTGGCGAAGTATTCGAAGGTGTGTTTCTTTTTGTGTTCAGCACTACCCAGTAAACCTCGTGATAAATTCTTGTTGTAATTTGTGTGTGTATCGTGACTTTAGTTCATTAATATTTCTATATGTAATAGTCCAAGACATTGACACCCTTCGCCTCTATGCCATCAAGCGGGAGCCTCTGGATGTGCGCTCCCCCCAACTGAAGCATGAGAGCATCATGTATGATATTTTGGCTGGTGGACGTAAGTCTTCTTCTTTGGTTTATTTCCTCTTTTAAGGAACAGGAAGTCGTCTTTCAGACTAAGATTCTTCTTGATGATGCAGGAGGTATTCCCCAATGCCAGTGGTATGGAGAGCATGACGATTTTGCGTGCATCGTCATCGATCTCCTGGGGCCTTCGCTACGAGAGCTACATGAAGCAGTGTCTTTTATTTCGTTGGACGTTATAGTCCAACTCGGTTGCCAAATGGTAAAGTCCTCATGAGCATCCGAGTGTACGGCTGAAAGATTGCTCGTGGGTTGATGTCAGAACCAACTAACGTGATTATTCCAGATATCTATTTTGGAACACATTCACCGCCGTGGCATCGTCTACCGAGATGTCAAGCCTGACAACTTTTTGTTTCCGTCCCAGTTTTACTTGCCAGAGTATGGCATCGACATGCACAACCATCCTGCTGCTGCTACTGCTTCTTATAACGGTGGTAACACGGGTGGCACGCACAGTCCTAAGCCTTCCTGTCAGGACATATTTGAAACGTGGGGCATCAGCTCATCCTCGGCTACTCCGATGCTTTCCGTGGTGGATTTTGGCTTGGCCACCTGGTGGCGCAATCCGGCAACCAACAAACCTTATCCACAGAGCAAGCGGCGGATCAAGAACAAGACAGGAACGGCTCGCTATGCGTCCTTGAACGTGCACCGGGGGAAGACGCATTCACGTCGCGATGACATTGAATCCCTTGGCTATCTGCTGCTCGACCTTATTCTAGGATCGCTCCCCTGGACGGGCATCCAAGCCCGCAATTCCAAGGCAGGCTGGGACCGCATGAAGGAGCTCAAGGAAGAGACGTTGTTGACTGATCTTTGTGCTGGATTGCCCCAGGGTTTTCTGCGGTTTATCGATTACGCTCGTGGCCTTCGGTTCTCGGATCAACCGGATTACGACTATTTGCGGCAACTGATGCGGGACTCGCTCGATAGAAACAGCAGCATGTCACAGTTGGTGCAACGTGGCAGTAGTAGTAACACCAGCACCAACAACATGGCTTTTGAGGAAAAGCAACAGCAACGGCTTCCAGCACAGCCGCATCAGCAGCAACAAAAGCAGCAGCAACACCCTCCTAATTCGGGTGGAAATAACAGTCGTCGCAACAGTAATAAGCGACATCCATCCATCAAGGCGAATCATCATCCGAAATTCAACGGCAACAACGTCAAGATTGGGCCATCGCCTATGTACAATCAAGAAGGAGTATTCATGATGGACGACCTAGTCCACGAGCTTTCGAACATGGAAGAACCTCAAGAACAACAACAACAACAGCAGCAGCAGCAGCGTAGCGGGACGGGACGCAGACGTCGAAACAGCAGTCGGAAGCTAACGATGAGCAAGGGAAGCATTAACAGCAGCAGTAACAACAATAACAATAGTAACAACAACTATGGTCGTCAGCAACAACATCATTATCATCATAATCATCCTCATGAAAGCCCACCGCGTCGTACCAACGACAACAAGGCCAATGCACCGCCTTCTCCACCATGCGCATCTTCATTCCATAAAATGGTCTATTCAGCACAGCAGCATTTGGATAACCATGGCAACAACAAGAAGAAGAGGAAGGGCATTGGCTGGAACACGCACAGACACAACAATAACAAGCATTACCATCAGCAACAGCAACCATCTTTACCACATGATGCGACGCTTTACGTCAAGAGCCCTTCGTGGGGAGCAAACAGGCCCGATGCATTGTGGGGCAACTATCAGCAATGGCTGTAGTAGTAGTATCACTTCAACGCACTAGCAGAAGGAGTAGCTCATTTATCTACCTTGAACCTTTGTCTTGGATTTCTTTTCCTTCCCCTCATTCATTTGTTCATAGTTTCAACAGCAACAACAACAGATCAAAATAGCATTTGTGTTCATACGTTTGATTTTATCTCTGTCTCTTTACAAAATACATGCAAACGAATAAGAAAGCATGGGAAAATTGCATCAAACTTTGTTAGTCCGTGAGAAGTTGACGACTCTAGGCGTTGCCTTACATGGTTCTGTAAGCAAACAAGCCTGTACTCTTCTTCCTTTTACTGTTTTTTCTTTGCTTCTCTGAGTAGTGGTCTGTATACACCATGTGGGCACGGCGCGCATTTACCTTGAAGAACAATACGTCTACTTCTTTTTACAACAACGCCGCGAGACAACAATTGGCAACACGCACGTTTTCACATAGTGGTGGTGTTCGCAGCGCTCTTTCAAACACCTACGTCAAGTACAATTGGGAAGATCCATTGGATCTTGAGTCGCAGCTCACCGATGAAGAGCGTATCATGAGGTATAGCATACCAAGCCTTAGGCACGGTGTCTTTCTCTTCCTCCTCGCTTTCAACAGCAAGAGAGAAAACGACGGATGACGACTAAATAAAAATATTGTCTACAGAGATACGGCTAGAAATTATTGCCAAGACAAGCTTATGCCGCGCGCAGTGAATGCATTTAGACATGAAAGCAAGTTTCTTTTCACAAACAAGATTTCCATCATGTGATACTAACAATCAAAATCCCAAATAGAGTTTGACCCCGAAGTATTGGCAGAAATGGGTGACCTGGGTCTTCTAGGCGCCACTATTGAAGGCTTTGGGTGCGCAGGTGCTTCTTCGGTCGCTTATGGCCTGATTACCCGTGAAGTTGAAAAGTAATGTCAATTTCTTTTGAAAGTGATAAAGTGTGTGAGAAAGACTAACCAAAAACTGATCGTCATTAGGGTTGATTCGGGATATCGTTCTGCCATGTCTGTGGTTTCTTCTTTAGTCATGCATCCCATCAATACGTATGGCACGGAGGAACAAAAGCAAAAGTATCTTCCAGGCTTAGGTAACCAGTTCAATATATCATCCCTTCTACTCTCTCAGTGCTCATCATTCGATTTTATGTATACTGACTACATACTAAGCTAAGGGAACTATAATTCCAAGCTTTGGTCTTACCGAACCCAACCATGGATCCGATCCAGCTGGCATGGAAACACATGCTCGCAAAGAGGGAGATCATTATGTATTGAATGGTAGCAAGTCTTGGATTACCATGGCTCCTATTGCTGACATGCTTTTGATTTGGGCAAAGAATTTGGATGAAGAGGGTGCTCCTGTCCGTGGATTTATCGTGGAAAAGGTAGCCATAGTTTACCGCTGTTACTGCACTATGGCAAAACTTGAAAAGGAAGAAGGAAGATACGGTAGGCTTACAGCTTTTATGTGTATTTGCTAGGGTACCGCTGGTCTTGCTACGCCCAAGATCGAAGGCAAATTCTCCTTGAGAGCATCTATCACCGGTATGGTCATGATGGATGAGGTGCGCATTCCGGTGGAGAATATGCTACCGAATGCCAAGGGCTTGTCGGGTCCGTTCGGTTGCTTGAATAATGCTCGATTTGGCATCGCATGGGGAGCTCTAGGTATCGTATCTCAAAATTGACATTGTACGTGTCATATGCTCCCATCCTTTCGTTTTTTACTAATCAAGCAAGCTGATAATAGGCGCAGCAGAAGCGTGCCTGGACGTGGCACGCAACTATACTATGGAAAGAAAACAGTTTGACCGACCCATTGCTAGTAACCAATTAATCCAAAAGAAACTTGCAGATGCTCATACTGAAGTAAGTTTGAATTGTTTTGTCGTGTCTTACATGCAACGAGCCAAAAAAAAAACAAACACTAACCGAGCACCTTGATTATAAATCATGCGCATACTTAGATTGCTCTCGGTTTGAATGCATGTCTGCAAGTGGGTAGACTCAAGGATGCTGGCCGTGCCGCTCCACAAATGATTTCCATGATGAAACGAAACTCGGCTGGTAAAGCATTACAAATTGCGCGTGAATGTCGAGATATGCTGGGCGGGAATGGTATTGTGGATGAATATCACATAATCCGTCATCTCTGCAACTTGGAAAGCGTTAATACATACGAAGGAACATCGGACGTGCATGCTTTGATCTTGGGCAAGAGCATTACTGGAATCCAAGCATTTTATTAAAGCATAACTAGCAGTACACATCGTTCATGTACTTATAAAACGTCTGCTTTTTTTATAAATGTATACCTAAAATAAATTGCTAAGCATCAGATGATAATAGACTACATGATGAACAATGAGTTTTCAGATACATATCTCATTCCATAAAAATTAGACTAATAAAAAGGCCGACAGCCAAATGAGGATATATGTCACCCGCAAGATATGTGAATACTTATGTACAGTAGTGTAGAAACTGTTTCTTTCAAAAAAAAAAAAAAGACGGGACATCATTGACAATTTGAAACAACGCATCGCAAATAACGTACATAACCGTGCCATATGATGTATGCACTTCTTGACGCCATGACCATCATTTAAAGCATTTATATTGTACAAGTAGTTTTGTTTGGTGCGCATTATGCAAAGCTATATCGCTTAGCGAAAGCCACAGAAGAAAAGTGATTGCAATTCCGTGCGGTAATTATACCATTTTGGGAGATGGAGCCTCAAGGAAATTCAGGCATACTGTATTAATCCTTTTGTATCACTGCAATCATGTCATATACGGATTTAACCCGCTGTTTGTAACCATTGTTGCAAAGGTCAGTAACCTTTCCTTTCGTTACATACTCGGAACAACTGATCCGAGAACGGATAAAGATCCGTAAAGCAGCACGTACTACTATGCAACTTTTCAGAGGGACAAACATAAATTTTGCAGAAAAAAAAAAACTTTAAAAAATAGATGGAAAAAAGCGATAGTATTTACAGAATTACAGTAACAGAGATAAGACATGTATAATATATATGTATATATATATATATATACGTATAAGTACAGAAAGAGTAGAGATGGAGGGATTAAGGGAGGGATAAGCTGCTTAACAGAAAAGGGTACAATATTTTAGACTTCTTCAGCTTCTTTCTTCTCATTGACGCTCTCGGTTTCGATGCGCTGCTGAGCCTTGGGCAACAGAATCTTCTTCTTTTCCAAGTAGTAGACGATAAGACATAAAATCATCATGACACCGGTGGTGGCAGTGGTGACGATCTTACCGATACGGAAAGCAGGAGCTTGGGTGACAGTCCACGCGGCCACGTTAATGAAGTTGGGGGCGAGGTTGCCAATAGAGTTAACCATAGCGATGGCCAAGGCACGAGTTTCAGGATCACATTGATGGATTTCGTTGTTCCAGGTCATCATGATGGGTGAAATACCGAGCACAGGGACGACCATGTAGACACATACATACAAAAGAGGGATGGGGACATCGCCAGCATTGACAGCGACAAGAAGAACGTAGAAGATGAGGGTCCAGAGAGCACCAGCTTGGATATGCCAGTGACGCTCGCCGTAGCGATCGGAAAGCCAGCCTTGGGCGACAATGACAACACTGTAGACATAGAAAAGTTTTTTTGGGGGTCAGTAAATGAACGATCATACAATAGGGTCTCTAACATTTGTGAGAGTGAGAAGAGAGAGGAGACTTACGCAGCCAAGCACCAAACAGGCACAGTCATATAATTGGAAAAGGAAGAATCATAGCCGGATTCACGGAGGATAATAGCGAACTGCTGGAGAATACCCATACCAAGCTGCATGCAGGTGAAGATCAAGATGAAAAGATAAATATATGGCGTGGTGCAAACGTTGCGGAGGGTATTAAGGTTGAGACCGGTGGCTATGACCTTCTTGCCCTGGCGCTCCAGGCGCTTGACAGCAAGTTTACGCTCCTCACCCTGGATGAAGCGAGTGTTGTGAGGGTAGTCAGGAATCAAAAAGAAACCGACAACGCCAATAACAACGCCGATAAGACCTTCAATAATGAAAAGCCATTTCCAACCACGCATACCGTGGGCACCGTCAAGGGTTTCAGCGATAGCGCCGGAAATCAAGCCACTGAAAGCACCAGAGACTAAATGTTTGTTATCAATAAAGATGTTAGCCAGGGGCACATGGATAAAAATGTGATAGCATTGATTGTCGCGAAGATGTGTGCTACTTACACTGGGAGCCAGCAACGAAGAAGGCGGTACGGGTACCAAGTTCCTGACGAGTGTACCAGTTACCGAGTAAAAAGACCATACCAGGGTAGAATGGGGCTTCTGAGAAACCAAGCAAGATACGCAAACCGTAAAGCGAGCTGTGGTTACTTACAAGGGCCATGAAGCACACAATAGCACTCCAGAGGGTCACTACGGCGGGCAGCATGATACTGGGTCGTACTTTGGTGATAATCATGTTTGCGGGAATCTGGAGACTATATAAACATTGATGAGAACGGTTAGTTAGAACAATTCTCATCATCTCAAAGATCCGTTGCCGCCATCATTCCATAAATATACGCACATGACATAGCCGATAAAGAACATTGTGATAGCCCAGTTATAAGCAGAAGATTCAAGTTCCAGCTCTTCCTTCATACCGTTCGTATAGGCGTTAGCTAATTATATAGGGAAATTATTAACTTTAGCTACAAGCACACGTTTACAAGATTTTGAATAGTAGTAGAATAGTAGTAGAGAAGATGGCACTTACGCATGTTGTTTCGATCGAGACCGTTGACCCAGTAGGCAAAGAAACTATACCATCAAAAGCACAGCACATCATCAGTTTCAATGCAATCAAAAGCAGCAATATGTCTTTGTTGTATAGCAATCAAGACTTACGCCCAAATCATAAGTCGATAATCTAGTTTACGGACGAGTTTCTTTTGGATTTCAAGTTCTTCAGGTGTCAAGTCGGCTGGCACAGGTGTCGTAGAACTGCTATGTCGGCTGCTTGTACGAGACAAGGCTTCGATGGTCTCAACTTGCTCCCGATGTTCTTTCTCCATGGTGATATGCAGAAGAAAGGATTATGTGGGTGGGTGTGGGGCTGAGATAAATCTGGGGCAGGTTTATGAATGATCAGAACAGGCGCCTCGCCTTTTATATACCTCCACCTCTTCAGTTCCATGCTGTTGCTGCCCTCCATCCTTCCCCTAGTAAGCTAGGTGGCATATTTAGCGCCGACTCCTCTCATTCATTCACCACACCAACCGGGCCACCCCGCGTTGGATCCCAGGCACTCCGCTTCTTCCCCACATTTACCGACAAATCCTAGCCCGTCGTTTGAACAACTCTCCGCGGGAGCGTTCGGATCCACCTTCTAAAGAAGGCAATACTCTTGCGTGTGAGCGAGCGGGCAGTAAAATGGTTTGCAAGACGCAGCTAACCAATCACTTGCTTTCCCACAGTTCCATTTTTATACAAAATACGATTCAAGATATTTCACCAAATACGACAGTTTATCCCAGAGAGGTGTAATTCTATCAAAACATGGAAACACTCATTTTGTATATATTAGCACAAAATAGAATTGTGAAAAACCAAAAAAATCCTCTCAAAGACAGAAAACTTACGAGTCTCGTAGCAGTAAATATAGAGTTCATACCGGTTCCCGCACTAAATCAGATATATAAAGAGGCTCAAAAAAAGTTTTTGTGCATCCTCTAATTGAAGTACAGACCCAACTTGATCCGCGCTACAACCTTTTTTTACATAATTTAGCCGAAAGGGCTGGCCTTATTTTGAAGCTTCTAATCCAAACAAAGTGGAGTGGAGAGGACAGGAGAGAGTGCATTCAAACCCCATCAAAGAAAACGGCCGCAGACACACGGACGATGCTATGAAAAAGCTGTGCTGTCATGCTAATGATACAGCCAGCAGCAATTCCGCTAAGTACCGACTATTTTGATCTATTAATGCGAAACAAGGACAAACATATTATGGCGAATGTACAGCAAGCCTAATGGCACACACACACACACCAAGGTTTCGTCCCACCCTTCATCATCATGATTTTTGCCGCTGTTACCCAGGCCACACCGCTCTCTAAAATTGGGGCCATCCTTCCTTCCGTATGAGCATGAGTGGCCTTCCGTCTTTTCGCCGTTGTCTCACCTAAAACTTCATCAACCGATCACAAAACAGGGAGTGTGTACGAGAGGGACGTAGCGGAACGAAGCGATCGGGAGTGGGAGAAGATGGGATGGGATCGAAATGGTGTAGGTACCCTCGGATTTCTTTGTTGCTATTGGGGACCAGGTTACTAAGCTGGGGTAGGGCGGGTGGGGAGATGGATGGATCTCATTCTCTCTCGGGACTAATCAGTTTTGCATGAAGTATAGATTCTACGTCATGTCGAGACAATCCGTCTTTTCTGTTACATTTTTCTTATTTTCTGCCGCACACGAGGTATCACCGAGCAGAGCGATACCTCTTTTTTCTGTATTTTTTGGTTCAGATCAATACCTCGTTTGTCTTGGGGAAAAAAATGGCGGTATATCTTTGTAAAGCAGGTCGGGTGGGAAAAAAACAGCACACAGAGTGAACCCTACGCTAACCCTGACTTAAGGGTGAACAACACGTAAGCAAGTTTTCCGTTTCGTCCTGAAACACATGCACACTGAAATAGGGGAATCTTTGTCATCCCTTTTCCCGGCAATTTCACATTTCAAAGTAGTAATGGATTAATCGAGTTTACAATAACAAAACCCAGTTCTTTTGCTGTCTTCTTTTACTTCTTTAACAAAACCGATGCATCCAGTGTTAGAGGAAGGAAGGCAAAGAAACTTCTTTTTTTTTCGTCCAATTGGTAACACGCCACTTTTCGTCCAGTAGATATTTCCAACTTGAAACGCATTATCGCTCTCGGTGCATCCGAGATCCAGTTTGGCCAAGTCCGCGTTTGAAATTCTATGTTAAGATTGTGACATCTCTTTAGACGACCGACTAGTATAATAAGCTTATCTATACAGACTGATCGAAGATCTTTGATTGAAGTGTCTCTGACTGATATTTCTATTAAAACATTATTGTACTAAGCGGAATGTAAGTAAGGCGAACAATGATGATGTACAGTTTCTCGTGGAGAAAATGCCTTTCTGGACCAAAGAAACGATGGGGGGCATGGATGAGATTTGTTGGGGGGAGACAAAGAATGGGATAGGTTCTTGTAGATCTTAAATGGGGAAATCTTTCTGTCAGCGTATATTTCATCGTTTTTATATACTCAATAACTAAAATGTAGTACCCAAACAAATATAAATCTTTCCCTCTATCCCATTCTTGAAGGTTCTACTTGTTCTCCTTCGGTGCATGAACATCATTATTTGCCATCTTATCGATGTTACACTCGGTGTGAAAGCGGAACATTGTGAAACGCACTTTCAGGCACATGTACAGAAATCACGTACGTCAATCTATTATACGACGGTGTATTGCACAGAAGTATCACTTGGAGAGAACAACAATAGCTCAGAAAGAGGTTGTGTTGATCTGTGTGTACGGAACGGGCATTCATTGGGCGACTTTACGAGGATATGATAATATAAATAGCAACGTGTGGAGATATGATGGGAGCGGACAAATGGATCCAAAATCCGAAAGCAAGGTGATCAATAACAAAGAAAGAACCTATTCTACCACATGGGCTATTCAATCTAGACAACAGACCTTGTTCAGACTGACTGAGTCATGTTACATAGAAACATACAGTGTTATTAAATGCACTAGAGTTATCGCTATATACTCGTTGATTATAGACTACATCGCTGTCAACGCACAATGGGAACTATAAGTTCTTTTCTCGCCTTCATGTGTAGGTCTCTCGAATTCAACATTATGTCTACCGAGTTGAGTTACTCAATGTAGACATTGCTGTAGCTGTACCTCCAGATGCTTGTGAAAATTTTCCTACGGATAAAAGTAAAGCTGAGAAGAAGGTTAGATCACCAATTTGAGATCATACATACCCCGCACTGATACATAAACCCGGATCATAAATTCCATCCCAGTTTATTAGCGAACCGACAGATAGCAGGTCACGGTTGGTTACTAAGAGTCTCCTTAATAGGGTCATGATATATTCCATATGCTAGAACCATCGGCATAAAGCTTGGATGATTTATTACTTCACTATGTATGTCATCCGTATGTTCGAAAACGTTTACATGTGGAGATAAAAAAAGGCCTTTTAAAAAAATACAAACAAAGGGCGACAGGCTGTCTTGTGAACTTAAGTTAATGTTACTCGCGAGAGTGCAGGCTATGATAGTACTCATTTAAATTCCAAGTTCATACCAAACCATAAGTGTAGCTATACTGTACATTAAACTGTTTATGCATGCACTCATTCTAATCTTATTGATGCAGCTAATTTATAAAAAAATTGTACGTGTAGTTGACAACGCAAAAAAAAAGTCCATTTGTCGTAACCAGCTTTTTGATAGGTCGTACCTTCTTGGTTGAAATTGAGTGAGATGAGAAAGTGCCTAATTGCACTGTACACACCTTAAGAGATGAATTAATGCCTTTGTGCCGTTCTTCTTCTCTATATTCGGGGCGTTTGATCTATTCTCAATACGCTTGAATATCAGTTTTTAACCTGCTGTCAACAGTATTTTTCGTCAAAACGCTCAGAATCGATCCACCAGAGTTGGAACATTATAATGGTTGATTCCTTTTTTGTATTACTGGCCTGCCTATCGGAATACTGCGAATTGATCACTCACTATCATTTTGAAAAAAATGTTTAAACAAAATTTGAGGAGTCTATAAAAAGTGGACAATCTGATACGCCTAGAGGAAACCATATGATGCCAATGTAAAAAGCTTCAATATGGAACATACTTGCTATCTAAGCTCCGTTGTAGTGTATTGGGCAACACGTCCGCTAAGGCGCAATTGTATGAACTTACACTGCCGAAGAAAACAATCCTCAAACGTTATAAAACGATACAAGGCATTAAAATGGATTTCGTTGCAAAAGAAGATTATTGGAATATCCCACATTGGAGAAGAATTAAATGCGAAAGAGGTCGACTCACACGAATCAACCACAACGCTTATTTACTATCGTGGTGATCATTGCGCTACTTTGATTATCGAAAACAGAAGTAAAAGATCCAAGCAAGACCGTGATCCGACAAACGATCAGGATCTAAGCAATTCTTCCAACCACTTCTTGCGTCTCTCGGGGAGCGTTCAACTTTTCTGGAGCATACACGTTTGCGCTTGTATATATTAGTTTTCAGCCTTCAGCTTTCCAGGAATTGTTCAATATCAGAACATTAAAATGCGCCGGGATTTGCGACGAACAGCTTATACAAGATGGTGAGATAGTCAAGTGATTCGGTTGTTGACATCATGCATACAAACAATGAGTTCTCATGCTCGAGCAAGGGGCCTAGAAAATTAGACACTCTTACAAGCGAGTCAGTCACATCTCTCGATCATGAATCTATGCATAAGCATTTTTGCATTTGACTTGTTTATATCTGAAAGCATTGACGTTGTGCCCATATAGTTTGGGACCAGAGTTTTAGTAAGAATGTTATCAGCGTAAAAAGAAAAGAAGAGAAATTGGTGGCACGAACATGTTGAAAAAAGATCCGGATAGCGACTGCCATTTCTCCTTCTTCTCGACCATCATCCTTCAAGAGTAAAAGCATTCTTGTATTTTCGCAGCTCTATATATCTATGCAGCCTATCAACAAGAGTGCTCTCGTATCTGTAAGAAAAATATATCTTTGTTTTACGCCGCCATTTCTGTGGTTGCTTACAAATGAGAATACAGTCGTAAGCGGAGGAGATGAGATGGCAATCTGCATTGTATATGTGTATAGCATGATGTGCCACATAAAAAATTCACTGAGGTTACGCGACAGAGATTATGCGAGGAAGATAACTAAAATGATAAAAGGGTCATTCTTCGCCTGTAAGCGCGAGGGAGAAGTAACGCAAGCTCAAACGCCAATGACAAGGTGGAATCCGTTTACGAAAAACGAATGGTCAAGAGGAAAGTGGTACTTTTTGAAACCGGAGAATAGCGGGAAAAAAGGCATCCTAC